GGCTAGGCTAGCGCAGTGTCAGAGCGCACAGACAGTGCAAAGAGATTTCGTTCCCGCAGAGCTCCCTAGCGGCTGTACAACGTTGCCTTGGTGTCGAACAGAACGTCCTGTTACGTAGTGGCCGGGCTGACTGCACTGCAACAGCGAATCCCAGAAATGGTGTCATTCGTGCTGTTGAACCCCGCCGCCGGCCTTTTGGTGAGAAGGTTGCCAATTCTAAACAGTTACATCCCGAGTCCGATGCTGCGACCTTAGTGGTTGTTTTAGATGCTCGCAGGTCGCTTAGACTAATGGCTCTAAGGTCCTGAGTTATATTGAGCCGTGAAATATCAAGTTGGACTTAGTAGTTAGATACCATGGGTAGAAGGTAGCATTCGTCAATGGACAGAGAGATCGGACCGGATAGTCTTCTAATTAAGGTGCGTGACTTACCTAACTTCAACGAATTTCATCAAGGCCAGTCCATTGTTCATTTCGTTAATGACAGTTCGGTTTTGTGTGATGTTGATGGTTTGATGGTAAAATGCAGTTGTGTAAAGCCCGTACAAATTCTCTGATCTTCGTCTTACGGTGGAGGATACAGGCAGACCGCTACTGACTCTCCCTGACTCGACCAATCTCCCAGCAGATTATGGAAATATCTTGTCAGATACCTTGAATGGACGGCCCAACTTCACTGTCCATCCAAACAAGCAAATGTTGACACAGACTCGTGACCAAACAAGTCTGCGTAAGCAGCGATGGTGGTCATCTCGGAGTGTATCTGTTAATACGGATTAGCGTAGGTAGCGTATGGGACCTGGTTGGAGTCGCCATTCACTACGCCATGTAACTGTGCTCATCTTTCCCCCGCCGTCGTAGCTTCTGGCCAGCGGATGCATGATGGCGGCAAAAGTGGCGGCGGCACGGCAGTCGGCCACGGTCCAGCAGCGTGCCCAGTGTACTTAGTATATTGACAAGATGCAGAGTACATGTTCATAGGAGGTTCTTATTAAGGCTCCTGCCTTTTTTGCTGAATGCTAGAGGCCAAATGACCCCGCGGCACATGGTTGGCAGTCATCTGGACTGCCTATCTTCACAAATGCGTGTAGAAACGGCCTTAGGCAGCCGTAGAGACCTCGCGGTGTAGTTTTTGTGGGCGGTCGCCTTTGTTGAGGACCATGACAGCCCCCGCCGAGTCCCGCATGCCCGTCGACGTGAGTTGGACATGTGGAACCCATCCACTTCGGCTTCCGGTGAGGTGGGAAAAGGATAGTTCGTAGTGAAGTTCTGGTGTTGTTGCTCAGATCCTTGTACACTAATCTGTATCGAAGGATCCATTCTGCGGGGTTCCTGCAGTTCGCTGTGAGCACCGCCGGCTGGATCACTGGGCTGGCGAGCAAATCATGTTACAGAGGTTATCCACAGTTTTGTTGACCGTATAATCCGGCGGATTCTGCCATTGATGGCTGGAGGTCATCATGACAGACGCTTCCAGGATATTTGAGCGGTCTTTGATTTCGAGTTGACCGCTACATTGGGAGTAACGGCGATCAGCACACACTGTGTTCACAAATGACCACCATCACTGACGTTGACCCCATGAGAAATGCTTTTTGGCGCGTTCTTCGCTGGAGCTTCCGCAATTGTTTGCAGAAACCCGATAGATGCATCGCGATCTTCAGGCGATCGACAGAACAAGCAAAGATGCTGGCCGCAGCCGTCTGCACAGGCAAGACAGTTCCCCAAAGCCTACAACGGCTAGGGCCACAGTGCCAGGGAATCGCTGCTCGAGCGTTCGGCCGATTGCAGTGGTCGCCGTCTGTGTCTTGCCGGTCTTTGGTTGCATCACGCGGTCCACATCGAGATCAAAACTTTGCCAAAAGAGGAGTGTCTATTGGCATTACGCACAGACGGCGCGGCAACTGGGGCCTTTTGTGAGCACGTTGCTCCGAATTCGAGCTCTTGATGTGAGAAATAGCCGGTGAGAATGGCCATCTGGAACAGCACCGACAGGCCAGTTGGCGAAGACAGTGGAACAAAGCCAGGCGGACAGGCGTCGCGTCCATCGACCGTTGAGCGAAACCGCTCGAATTGACGCGACCCTTGAGAACGATGACTTGCGGTTTGCCGCACGCCGCCCATGCCGTTAATGCATGTGCTGGGCCACTGGTGGGCAAGGTCGGTCTCGGGTGCTGAACCACGGCAGCAGCAACAGTAACAGAGGACCAGCAGCAGGGTTCGTGCCAGTGGCTAGTGCGCTAAGCACATGGCAAACTTCGCTGGAGTCGTAGCAAGGGTGTTGCCATGTCGATCGGTCACCCATCGCAATCGCAATCGCGGAAACCTCCGTTCCACGGGCTGTTCCTGATGGTGATTTTGGGTTTGATGAGCACAGGACTGGCCGTAAGAGCTGAATCACAGATGGCAAAACCACAGCGTGGGGACGCTTTTTTGCCTTCCTGCCAAATTGGAAAGGGGGAATCTTATGGAAGCCCACGCTTGGCATCGAGAAGCTCCATTCCACCAAGTTCTTGTCCCTGCCACGTGCTGGAATCTCCCGGACCCTAACCCCATTTGATCTGGTCTTGTTGTTGGCTAGCAAGTGGTGATCCGTCATTGCCGATGCCCCTCTTGAGATATTCGCATACCTGTGCATGTACATAGGTTGAGCTCAATTGCATGTCTGAACTACTCTACTGGAGTTAACACTAAACGCTTACAGTATAACGTGTGTATGAAGTGTGCTTTCACGTATCCTTCTCATGATGAGTCCGGTTTCGTGCCGGTCCGCTTGACCGTACAAACCTCACTATACAGGACGCTACCAACAGTGCATACGCTACACAAGAGGCGCAGGTGCTGAGGGGTCTGTTAGGGCTGCCTGTCATTGGCCTTCGTCGACGAGCGTTGTGGACGTCGTCATCGACGCAGTCAACCTGCAGCAGGAGATGCATATTCACGCCACGGGGTTGGAGATTTGATGACTGGGATGCAGTCCAGCTGCTTGTCGTGCATCTTGGCGCAGGGTTCCTGGCAAGGTGCTTGGGCATTGCAGGACCACGAGCCTGGAGACTTTGTGTTGCTCCCGGGGTTCCGACAGTGGTGTCTTAGTTGGCAAGGTTCCCCTATCCCAGAAGACTTGGCCATTTGCAGGCTTTTGACCTGGCCCCTGAGATCTGATGCCCCTGAGCTGACCTCCGTCTTCAGCCTTGCAATATGGCTACCCCTGGGTCAGCCCGCGCTGCCGTTGGTTATAGCCTGGAAGTGTAAATGATAGATCTGGGCAGAAAGCTGTGCAAAGTGATTGCTCAAACACAGGCAAAATGTTTTCATCAACGGCTGCAGAATTCCTCGTGAGACTGGGCAACACGACGGTTGATGTCGCTGGAGAACATGATGAGCGATAGGACGGGTTCACTGGTCGCCTTCGGATGGCCTGCTCACCATGCAGGCTGCTGTAGTGCAGAAAACCCCACCTCACCAACAGAAAGGAAGCTGGAGCTGCGGCAGGGACAGGTCCAGTACCTTATCCCCTTTTCGGGGCGCGACCAGCCACTGGGCGAGGGGAGGCCTGGTTCCACCCGCTCTCCAGGGCGGACCCTTGCCTGCCGTGCCCACTGCATGCTGCTTCTTAGCTATTGCGGTCCCGGCTCACCTCACTTTGAGGTCCTCCCCCCACAGTTGCGTGATGCCACAGGAACGCGCTTCTTTGCAGCTGCCCGTCTTGAATAAAATCTCCCATGGCCCCCAGTTTCTAGGGGAAGTTTTGTTTCAATTCAACCACCGCTCCAACCTGCGATCTCGATCCAGACACCTGGAACTGAAATCGGTCGAGGGCGTGCTAGCCACTTCCGTATCACAGTCCGACAGCCGACGACGCAACGCCCCCGGCTTACCCACCGTTTACATCGCATCGCATCACGCATTCTGCGCATCCAGTCTGGACGGATCCCAGCAAGCAGAACCACAGCAGATCCCACCCGAGAAGCATCCAGTGATCCCACGTCCATGACACTGGGAACTGCAATCGACCTCCATTGAGCTTCAAACCCGCAATTGGAATCCATTGAAACATCCGAAGATCGTCAGCCGCCGAACGCACGTGTTTGCGAGTCTCATCCTGGTCGCCTGTGACAGTTCTGCACTGTGTGTGTGTGTGTGTGTGTGCGTGTCTCGACTGGAAGAGCTTGAATTTTATCCCGTGAACTGCCCGAAGGAGCGGCGATTTTGCTAAGTTACACTGAAGCACCGAAAAAAAAATAAAGACTTCTAGTCTCATTCTTGTAGCCGCCCACGGAGCCGAAACGGTCGGTCCAGCACCCGAAGAGTCGCTTCCCCCTTTTTACCCTGAATTTTTCGGCCCACGATTGGAGGATCTGTGCGGTACCTGAATAGAGGATACCCCAAACAGGATCGGGGAAACAGACGGATTAAGCCACCGGTTCAATCGTGCAGCTTTCATCCGAACTCTCGACTGCAAGCCGCAAACTTGCTTGGGCAAAAAAGGACGGGAATAGTTGGCGAGTCCGGCCCCGAGCTCCAGACTTAGCTCGTCTTGCCACTCCGACTTTTCGATTTCTTATTCGCACGCCGCAGTCCAGCCATGCCCCATTCCGTCTGCTTGGAATTTGAGCATTGCTGATACGACGTCTGAAACACGGCCCCTTTTGGACATTCCTTGCAACAGGAAGGGCTTATTAGGACCTCAGAGCTTGTGGCGGCACTCCTCTCTGGGACGGGAACGGTGACCATCGTCCCTAAGCCCTGTTGCATTCCCGCGGGCCAACGGACAGCAGATCCCCCGGCCTTCTAATACCACGAGTTTTGGCCCATCGTCGGCAGATACACCACAGGCCTGTCTCGCAATAGCCGCATTGCGTCTGCGCCAGTGCCAGCACCAGCGCATGTGCCTGTGCGTCTGTGCTTGTCTGTCTGTCTCTGCTTGCGTTGTGCCATGAGCCACGACATACCATCCTAACTTTGGACCAGCTTTCTACACAAACATCTCCAGCCCCCACATGTTCAGCAGATCCCATAGATTCCACAGCAGGACTGAGGCTCATTCGCAGGACCAGCCTCGGAAACACCGCGACGTTCCTCGATCTCTCCTGTCTGACTTATCATTTCTCAACCCGCTTTCTCCCAAGGCTCGCTCTACAGCGCCCAGCCCCTGGGGAGTTTCTGACATCGATTACCAGCCGAATACTCCCGCTTCGACCGGTTACGACACCCCGACGTACCCAGAGAAGAGTAAGTGACGTCGTTCTTCCGTCCTGCCTGCGCTCATGTTCCCAAGATGATGGAATTTTTCAGTCAACTTGACCCTGGTTACTCATATTTCCCTATGTTTGTTGTTTTCCTGTAACTTTACTTTTTCTCCCTGCCAACAGTTTTGCATTCATTTCGTGGCGCCTGTGTCCTACCTATCTTCCGAGCTAACAATCACTTCTTTTGCCATCCAGGCTTTTCTGTTGCTACAGGAACTCTACCCGCTCCACCTTATCAGTCTTCTGCTTCTATAACCTCTAGCACATCTCGCGATACCAATTCTCGATCTGCATCAGTACGCGATACAATGAACACCGATAGGAGTCGCGGGCGCCGCGAGCGCACTTTCGTTGGCGCTGAGTGCGCTGTCTGCGAGGAGCCCCTTGAACATACGCTGCGTGGCGAGAGAATATTACAGTTTTCCTGCACACATGTCGCCCACGAGGCATGCTTCTATGAGTTTATCCGTGAATTCGATGGGCAGTATTGCCCAACCTGTAATGCGCCGCTACATCTTGATACCAGCCGAGGCGGCAATGTTTTAGATATTGGTAAGGGAAACATGCTGAGCAAATTCCATTGGCGAGCAGGGGCTGAGCATCAACCAGAGAAAATCAGCAACATGGTGCGCTCTGTGTCTGTGAACGACACCAGGTCACAGGCCACACCTACCCCAACACCTCACTGGGACGAGCCATCACTTCGGTCGGGCGTTGGGGGTCCCGGTCGGAGCATGAGTCGCGACAGCCGTGAGCATCTGTCTGCGGATCATCGCTACAACTCTGGTCGCGGTCACAATAGGAGTGACAGCGAAGCTACTGGTGTGGCATCCTCGGGCGGGTATCCCGAGACTATGCAGAGCGGGCCGCCCAGGCGCCACGACTACGACGTCCAGGCCATGGAGACGTCGTTGGCCAGCCCACGGGCCTTCACTCGGAACCCCATTCCTCCGCCAACGGTTACTGTCCGTTCCGAGTTCCCAACCATCAACAGATCCCGCCAGCAACAGATGCTAACCTGTCTCATCACGGTCGAGGTGCCGGACAACAAGTGGCGTCCTGACCCCGAAGATCTGCCAGGCGGAGCTCCCCTGGCGCCACCCCGGCCTGACGGCTCTGTTCGGGCACCATCCCCCGTGCGGAGTGCGCCACGCTTCTATCCCTATGAGTCACCTGAAGTGCTGGCAGAGGTCACTGAAAACCTGCGGAACCGTGTCGACAACTGGCACGGGCTGGATTTCAACAGGTTCGGCAAGCTTCGCCTCTATGGTACTCTCCGTGTGGGCAAGGACAAAATCTCGTGGCAGGAGCTGGAATGCTATCTGTTCGCTGAGATGCTTATTTGCGTCAAGGAGAAGAAGAATCATCACCATGGTCAGGGACAATGGGGAGACGATGGAAGCAACCGCCGGAATGCCCGTTGCACGCTTAAGGGTTCCATCCTGATCAAGAAGCACCTCAACGAGGTGACTGAGACGGGCAATATCGACGAAAACATTCTCACTCTCAGTCTGTCGGTTGCCGAGCTTCCGCAGTTCCATCTGCGTTTCGAGAACCGTAATCAGCTCAAGCTTTGGCAACAAGCGCTTCTTGACCTCAATGCGGTCGATACCCCGCCCGTTCGCAGTCCAGACTACGATCGGGGAGAGTTTTCCGAGACAGACGAGGACGATTGGCAGCGGACGCCCGGCTCGGGCCGCCCACAGCGTGTCTCATCGGTCGCTTCGTCTTGGGGTGGCGCCAAGTCGGTCACGACTGCGCCAACGGAGTACACCAACTTCACTAGGAATTCCCCGCTCATGCACTCTATCCACGTGCCCGTTGATGTTGTCGTGGTGGTCCCTATCTCGGCTTCTATGCAGGGCGTCAAGATCAACATTGTTCGTGATGCACTGCGGTTCTTGGTTAGCGCTCTGGGCGAACGCGATCGTATGGGCTTGGTAACTTTTGGATCATCGGGTGGTGGTGTCCCGATCGTAGGCATGACGACCAAGGCATGGCCTGGGTGGTCTAACATCCTCAACTCGCTCAAGCCGGTCGGCCAGAAGAGCCATCGTGCGGATGTCGTGGAAGGCGCCAACGTGGCCATGGATCTGCTGATGGGCCGCAAGTACAACAACCCGATCGCCACCATTATGCTGATCAGCGACGCCTCGACGTCTGATGCTGATAGTGTTGACTTTGTAGTGTCACGAGCCGAAGCAGCCAAGTATGTCCCCTCCCCAACTTCCCCCCTCAGTAGCAAGTGCTAACAATAGTACAGGATTACGATTCACTCGTTTGGCCTGGGGATGACCCACAAGCCGGATACGATGATCGAGCTGTCGACAAGGACGAAGGCTTCTTACACCTACGTCAAGGATTGGATGATGCTTCGTGAATGCTTGGCTGGCTGTCTCGGCGCCATGCAGACATTGTCACACCAGAACGCTAAGTTGAAGCTTAAATTGCCCGAGGGATCACCTGCCAAGTTCCACAAGATCAGCGGTGCGCTGCAAATTACTAAACGTGCCACGGGCCGCGATGCGGAAGCATCCCTTGGAGATCTCCGCTTTGGAGACAAGCGAGATATCCTTGTGCAACTCGTTATTATGCCCGACACAACCTCGCAAGATCAGCTACCCCAGGATCCATGGGACAACATTGTTTCTGGATTGGAGGCTCTGGGCGGTCCCATGGACCAGGATGAGCAACGGGTTACCTCTGTCGAGGAGGTGCCCCTGATCCAGGCCGAACTGATCTGGGGAGACATTCTACGGGACGGCACGACGCAGCATACCCGGCCGAGCTTGCTGGCCATTACTATGCTCCCGGCTCCCTCGAACAACTCCAAGAAGCAGTCGCTGTGGGGCAACTCGCCTCCAATACCACCTCACCCGCACATTGTGCAGCGTCGGATGGAGCTGTTGACATCAGATATGCTTACGCGGGCATTGACGCTGGTCAGCCGTGGCCAACACGACCGCGCACACACACTGCTGAATGAAACGCGGTCCATCCTGAAGGGTCTTGGCAAGGGCGGCTTGCCCCCTGTACCGCCATTGCCGACGAACAAGTCCCAGCCATCAACGCCACACCCGAACAACGAAGGATCTCCGACCCTGGCCGGGACACCTGACCGCAAGAACACGCCCTCGCCGACATCCGCAACCACCACTTCAGCGCCTGGCTTCCCGAACCCGACGCTCCCCCGCAGCCGATCCAACGACGGTCTCGGCCTCGGCACGGCTGCGGGTATCGATCCCAACACGGTTGCCGCACTCGATGCAGAACTGGAGTCGGCTCTCGAATGGATCAACCACCCGGCTGTGTTTGGGCGTGACTCGCGCAAGCAGGTGCTGCAGGCCATTGGGGTCATCAGCTCTCAACGGGCGTTTACGTTCCGTACGCCGATCGAAAGTTTGTGGGCTTCGCGGGTTAGTGGAATTAAGAAGTTGACAGAGAAGAGTCGGGAGTGGAGAGAGGAAGGCGGTGGCGAGGGGGGGATTATGGAGGAGGCTTGAATTTGAGCAGCTCCCTGGCAACGTGGAAGACAGTGTGTGTGTGCTGCCTACCTGTCATGATCAATGGTCGACGACATGAAGAATTGGCGCAACCCGCTTATGAGCGCAATGCTACGGTAGATGGACGATAACAGACAGGTCATGGTCATGACGATCGGATGTATAAACCCCATATCATTCAACAAAGTCATTGAGGAAGGAATATCGGGATGGGAAGGAATGATGGTCGGATGGACAGGAATATGTGAGGGATATTGGAGGGAATGAGGAGGAAAAGCTATATATTATACCCGATTAACCCTAGGACGGCGCTGGTTTTGCGCTATCTGAGCTGTCTGGAAGTTTTTGTTGGATATGGTCTTTTCCCCTGCCAACCCACTTGACTCGTTTACCGGGCCTTGGGGGCTGTCGGCAGCTTCGTTGTGTTTATCTTTCTCGCTGTTGATTTTGAAGGACTTTGCTTTGGTGGGAAGATGATACCATTGTATTGGGGCTCCTGTAACATGTATTTTTTTGGTCACCTACCAGCAGCTTCATTAGCTTCTCTGTTGAATAATTGTACCACTGGATGTCCAATAACTTTAATTTCCCTGATGTGAATGGTTGATGGCTCAAAGTCATCTAAGGCGATTTGGCTGAAGGGCCTGAATGGAGGATGGTTCTGTCCCAGGGCTCCAAGTTTCCAGAGTGTGGTCAAGAACAGGATATGATCACCTGTTACGGAGTAGATATGGTTCTCGTGATGAATGAACAATGACGTTTCATGACTTCCAGGTTGTCAGGTAGTGATATTGTCCCAGTCTTGTATGGGGCTCTGGATCACGCTTTGGAGCACCAAGCCCAACAGAATTGGCGGAGCGGCCCGCCCGCTAATAATGGAAGGCTGGGACGAACCAATTATCCAAGGGTCCCGGTACCGGCAGGTGTCGGAGATCGGCATCAAAGATCATGCGGTCAGATGTATGCAGCTGGACTATATCCTGTGCACAGCAGGGTGACGCTGGTTGCATTGTGCCATCAACATCGAAACTAGATCTGGAGAATATGTTCTAGGGATTGCAATCATCTTGGCATCCTCTCGAAAATCATGAAGGGTTAGGCAGGTAAATCCTAGGGACGTCATCAGCCACAGCAGATCTCCGGCAGCCAAGCCGATATCTTTCTGTGGAAATCGAAGCGAGCTCCCAGGCTCCCGCCATTCATGAGCGTGCGTGGAAACCAGCAGAAAGAAAGCCAGGATCCCCGCTCCGAAACGAGAAAAAGGTTTTATCAGATGCTTTAGATAATCTGTGTCCAATCAGAGTTGAGCACAAGACCCAGAATTGTGGGTCTTGTCCCTGCGCAGGCATGAGATTTGCGGGCAAACATGAGATGGCGCATGGCGGATGCCCCCCAGATGGGGCTCGGTGTTGTGTTCGGATGCCCGAGGGACTTCGAGTGCGTGAGTGCGCGGGAGGGGCACCACGCTGATGGAGGGTTGGGGATGGGAATGGGGATTCCAGGTTGGGGGGATGGAGTAATCGAGTTAGGCAGGTGTGTTTATAACTTTTACCATCTCGATCAATTTGATGCACAAGAACAGGGAGACGAGTCTCTCCGAGGCATACATTAGGTTCTGTTTCTTTGGTTCTTACTCTCCGCAGTCACCATTGTGTGTGCTCATTACAGCTGTCACCAGTCGGTGGTTAGTGATCCCTGGATTCTGAGACACATGAGACCTTTAAGGCCCTGGGCAGCCATTTGTGAGGGGTCCCGTCTCGCTACTTGCCTCTTCTTGTGTCCTCCGAAACCTGCATTTTCCTGCCTGGACAACTCTGCTGTTGTCAGCGTCCAGTCCAGTCTGCCAGCCTGCCGTCAGCGCGGGGTGAACACAGAGTTCCAAATACGCTCGAAAGGGGCTCAGCTGAGCAGGCTGGGGCATTGAGTCAAACATTGCTTACGCGTGGAGGGGAGAACTTATGTCCTGGGTTTCTTCTGCCTTACTTTTACTTCCGGGTTATTTTTTTTGAATCACTTCTTCTGAGTTCAACCCGTGGCTCGACCAACCTTTGAACACAAAAACCTGAAGTACTTGGGAACATCTCATCCTGTTTGTGATCCAGAGGGTCAGCGATCCAAAAACAGCGCGTCGGCCTAGGCCTCGCTGGCGACAACCCCATCAACTCGACCTGACTGCCCCATTCCTTCCGCCACGCGCCATTTTGCAATGCCGGTTTAGAGGTTTATGAGAACATCGAAGTCTCCTGCGCTCTGCTCGTCACTATACCATTACCAGAGAGCCCCCTGAACCCCATCGACCGCGGATGCCTGCCTCAGCCTTAGCCTTCACCACACTACGACGACAACACGCAACGCTGGTTTGACTTTGACTCGGCTCCGGACCATGAGGGCCGCCGGCCACGACGATGACGCCCGGGAGCCGCTTATATTCGCGGGCGGACGAAATGGCGACGGCGATGACAACAGTGACTGCAGCGAGTATGGCGCCGTGGCATATTCCTCCGCGCGAGGCCCCAGGGAGAATGATGGAGGCCTGAGTGATGCGAGGTCCAATGTCCAAGACGGCGTGAGGCGCATAGATGCACTCTCCCGGGCTTGGTCTCAATGGGGTCTTGCTGTTGCTTACCTTAGGTTTGGCCCCCTGTTCCTTGTACACTCTTTAGAAGGGAGGGGGAACGGAAGATGAGAGACACGCGTTGGAACGATGGCTAATTGTTCCCCTGCAGTATCTTCTTCATGGCTTTCACCCTCTCGCTTGAGGGTCAAGTTACATACTCGCTGGCCGCCTTTGCTGTGAGCTCTTTTCATAACCACTCGCTGCTGTCGACTGTCTATGTCGTGCAAGGCGTCGTGAACGGTAGGTCACCTGCTCCCTCGCTCTCGCGGTGCCTGTTGTGCTTGTGCATGCTGCCGCTAACTGTATGGAAGCCGTTATCAAGCCCCCCATGGCCAAAGTTGCCGATGTATTTGGCCGTTTGGAGGCATTCTGTATCTCCATCATCCTCTGCGTGCTGGGTTATGTCCAGATGGCCTTGTCGCACAACGTCCAGACGTATGCCTCAGCGCAGATCTTTTACTCGGCCGGCTCGACAGGCCTTCAGATCCTGCAGCAGGTCTTCATCGCCGATACGAGCAGCTTCCTGAATCGAGGTCTTCTCTCTAGCATCCCTGACAGTCCCTTTTTGGTGACTGTCTGGATTGGCCCTGCCATTGCTGCTGCGATTCTTGCGCATGCGAGCTGGCGCTGGGGATACGCGATATGGGCATTCATTCTGCCTGTTGCCTTCATGCCCTTGGCTCTCAGTCTGTTTCTCAACACCAGGAAGGCGCAGAAGTTAGGGTTACTTCCGAAGAAGCGGCATCCTAACTCCCAAGATGACGAGGAGTCTGCTCGGGCAGTGGCCAAGCGCCTCTTCGACGACCTTGATATCGGAGGCACCCTTCTGCTTTCAGGCGGCCTGGCCCTGATCCTCATCCCCCTCACCCTCGTCTCGCACTCGCAATCAGGATGGCACGACCCCCTTCTCGTTGCCATGATCGTCATGGGACTCATCCTGCTCATCCTCTTCCCGCTCTGGGAGTCCCGCCCAAATCTCGCTCCTCACCCCCTCCTCCCCTTCCCCTTACTCAAATCCCGAACTTTCTGCGCAGGCTGCTTCCTCGCCTTCTCCTGGTTCGCCGTCTTCTACATCGCCGTCCAACCCTACCTCTACTCCTACCTCCTGGTGGCCCTCAACCTACCCGTCTCCATCGCTGGCCCAATTACCCAAATTTTCTCCTTTGCCTCGACCATCGCCGCGCTGGTTGCATCCCTCATCATCCGCCGTCTTGGCGAGCCCCGGCCAAGACCTTTTATCATCTTTGGCGCGGTCCTCTACACAGTTTCGGTCATCATCCTAGTCCATACGCGTACCCGCGACGCATCCATCATGACACTCTCCCTCGCGCAGACGGGGCTGGGCGCTGGTGCTGGTCTCATGCACGTCTCTACGCAGCTGATCGTTCAGGCCGCAGCCAGCAGCGTCTTTGCCAACTCTGACCGGATGCCCTCACAAAGTTCCCATGCCCAACAACAACAATACGTCGGCGTTGCAACAGCCACATTCCTCACCATGGCCCAAGTAGGCGTTGCCGTGGGTGCCGCGCTCTCTGGGGCAATCTGGGGCAAGCTCATCCCGCTTAAACTGTACAAATACCTGCCCGACACTGCAAAAGAAGATGTGCAAAAGATATATAGCAGCGTCGTGGTGGCATGTAGTTATGAGTGGGGCAGTCCCGAGAGGGAGGCGATTGCTCGGGCGTATCAAGAGGTCGTTACGGTTCTATTGAGGGTTGCGCTTGCGGCATGTGTGCTTGTGTTGGGGTCAGCGGGGAGTGTGGGAGAGTATGTTTTGGGAGGGGATGGCGTGGGGAGGAAAAAAGTTCGTGGGGGAGGGGGACTGATGTTGAGGGTGAAAAGGTTGTTGTTGTTGGGAAGAGTATGAGATATGACATATAGAAAGGTGATGTTTGCCTGCATGCATATTGCATAAAGGGTTTGTCTTGGTCAAGGTTGAGTTGCTTGCGGCATTGCAGTGCTGGCTTACGAGCGGGATAGCTGATGATACCCCCTTTGTTTGGTTGTTACCTGGCAGTTTATCGGATCATCGTTGTCTGCATCGTTGGGTTATATATCAATACAAGATATCATACTGGCATTCATTTCCCATTCTCCTACCTACCTAATGTTGGAGACATAGCAGGTTCCGACGTGTAAGCAACCCATATCAAACAAGATAGGTATCTGGTCATCAAGTGAAAACGCGACATACATAGGAAGTAGTAGTATACACTTTTAGATTACAGTACAGAAACAGAAAAAAAAACCCACGAGATTTGCAACCCTTACAAAGGGCATCTTCGCTCGCTCGCTGTTGCGCCTCGCTTGGTCTAGTCTTGTCAGTTTGTGCGATGCATCTTTTTTTCTCTGTTGCCGTATATAAGAACACAGTGTACAGAAGACGACCCCCCTCTCTTTTCTATCATCACCCCATCTACCTCAGATCAAACGAGTTGCGCACGCTCCACCAATACTCGTACGGCAACACCTTGCGCAGCTCGTCGCGAGTCAGCCATTGAAAGTCGGTCAGGCCATGCTTGTTGTCCGTCAGGTCCGCCTGCCCGGCCATGATGCGGCCCTTGAGAAAGAAAATCTTCTCGCCGCGCTTGACTAGCCTCTGCTCGCCGTTAGCGTCCGCGGGCTCGAACTCAGGCTTGATGACGTGGTGCGCGATCGGGACCCGGCCGACGATCCAGGTGTTCATGTTGATGCCGGCGGATTCAGCGAGGACACGGGCTGCGGTCTGGGAAAGAGAGTCAGTACAACATCGTTCCTTTAGTAAGGGATTGTGGCCTACCTCGTGCAGCGCTTCCTCAGTCAATACTGGCCCCTCAGGGAACCCCCACACGGCATTCTCCCCCTCACCCTTCTTCACCACCAGGTAAAGCGTCTTATCCAACGCGCGATCCAGCCTCCTTACATCATTCTTCTCATCGGCCTCGGTACGCCTCGGCATCGGCCTCTCCACAGGCACGCGCTCTTCCTCCGGAATAGGCTCACCATCTTCACTAACCCGCACCTCCGCATCCTTCAACAATCTCTCGTACATATACTCCCACGACGAAGTCGTCGACCCAATCATGACCTCATCGTTCCACGCCATGCGCCCGCGCGGGTTATACCGCCCGATATCCTTAGCCGGCACACCATGACGCTCCTTCAGCTTGATACGGAAGTCCAGGTCAGCGGCGGAATCCGGCTTGTAGTAGAATTCGCGGCGGAAGGGGGCTGTCAGGCGCTCGTTGAGACGCTTTTGGTAGAGGTAGAAGGCTGACTCGAAGGGGGTTGGGTCACGGGTCAGGATCGGGGGGCGGGATAGGATCACGCCGGATTTGATGCGGTACGGGTTGGGAGACTTGGGGAGGTTGGATGTCACCGGCGGCGGGGGAGGGGTCGTTGTGGAAGATGATGGCTCGGAGGGGGAGGGGTTGGTTGCTTCGGAGGCATAGTATCTCCAGGCGGTGTTCGCACTCGAGAGTGGTAACCTGGGTATTGTCCTAGAGGAGCGAGCGCACTGGGAGCAGAGGAGCTGGGAGCCTAGAATGGAGGGAAGAGGTGTCAGTGTTCAGTTTTGTCTTCACGTCTTGCCTGGTCTTGGTGATAGCATTTGGCGGGGGAATTGGCGCATACTCCTCAGCAGGGCCGACCCTCTACCCGGCGCCGACATCATGGTAATACGGCAGCTCCCTGACAATTGAAGCTGCAGGGACTTATTTGGCGACAAAAAGGAGGGGGTGTCGTGGCGGTAGTGGAAACGGTCGGCCGACGGAGACCCAAACGTCGCCAGTCGCTGAAGCCGTGAACTTTTTCCATCGCGGCACTGCGCACTGCGGACCCACCCTTGCTGGGCGTCAGGTCCATCAACGGGTCTGAGGACTGGGGACTGGATTGTGCTCCCACCGCCTTCCAGTTCTGGATTAGTAGGTCCCAGTGCACGGACCACTCATCGGATCGCATTTTTTAACTTGGAGTTGCTCGACAATTTTTGACCTTGTTCTTCTTCTTTACGGCACTATACCTTATCATCAGGACATGCAGCACCCATCACGTCGTGATCATTACAGGTGCCCAGAGTGACCAGCGGCTGATTCGCTAGCGGAGCCTGCGCCGAAAGGCATTTTCTACCGGGCCCTGTTAGATAGATCCCGCAAACATTACTTCGCTTTTGGACCGAGTTCACAGCACTTCCAGTAGAGTACAGTTTCACTTTTGAATGTAATGGATCTTGGAACTTTGAGATGTTACGTTTGATTATTGCGTTTTTGTGTTGTGCATCTACTCCTTGTCTACGTCTCCCCTGACATTCGATTTGTCTGGACCCTCTCGCTGTTTTTGGTCCTTTCGGCTCGTTTTCTTGAGTCTCGCCCCTTTAGCCCTCCTTTTCAGAATGCTCCCTCTTGGGCCACTCCCACTCAGCAGGAAGGACAAGAGGACTCTAGATGCATCCATACGTGCCCTGTGTATGGTCACCAGTGGCTACAGTAGCCAGGTCTGTTTCGACATGAACCTGCGCACCTTTTAGCGGATGATCGAGATGGACAGTTCATTCTTCACACACTTCGGCAGCCGAATCCTAGGGTCCTGTTCGAAAATCTGTGGCTCGCTGATCCAATTGAATCTGGTAAAAATGCTTGTGGATGATAGGTGAAAATGAGTTGGACAGTCCCTCTGTCTGAGTGTGAGCTGGTGCCGGGAACATTGAACCACTTAAAGCTCGATGCACCTTGCTTTTCAGGCTTGTCGACAATGTTACTGTTTCGCAACGACGGCATGACCATTGTCGCTGGACTTGGCAGAACAAGCCCATTGTTTTGTGTTGGCTTTGTTGGATGTGCCTCGAGACCAACCTTGAACAACCCTGAACTCGGACGGGAGAAAGTAGCGGGCCTTTGGGCTTGCGTCCCGAGTCAGAGGACAGCGATTTGGTCATTCAAGGAGCTTGTTGAGGGGAGATATTCAAGGGTTCCAGAGTTTACCTCGAGTCTCGAGGTCAATCACATGTCATCAAGTGCAATGAAAGACATAACTCGTTGCTGACCATCTTCACAGTTGTTGGACGAACCAATGCCTGCTTGCACATGGAAACAGAATATGTTGTTAAGTCTCACAGACTCACGTGGCTCAACCTACAACTGTACATTGAAGTTTGAATATGTTGAGGCGTTGGAATTTCTGCCATCACCAATGATAATCTCGAAGCCTACTTTGGACCAATTATCTCACTTACCGTTCGTTCTCTTGACCAACTTCTATCTCACCATCACCTTCTCCCTTATTTAGAGCAGGAGCTCCAAGCACCTGACTTACCACTTCTGATCCTGTTTAGACCGACTCACATCCTTAAACCAGTTCCAGGTCTAGCAGATATTGTTAGGCATCTTACCGTGATGAGGACAGTAAAAAAGCTTCATCTTCCCGCGAATGCACGCCAGCTTCGGATCCTTCACCTCCTTCACCACCTCCTCGTGGTTGGGATCCTACACCGACAGCTTGCTGGAGGCGGGGTTAAGGCGAACAAAGATGTCGGCATTGGGGTTGAGCTTGGGGTAGTTGTTGTAGGCCTTGCCATCATTGTAGTTGGCGATGTTGTCAACGGTGGGTTGGTTAGACATTGAATGGGGTGGGGCATTTGATGTGATAAGTAAAGTGTAAACGACAAAATGATAGTAATGATGATGGTAGATGGTTCGATTACGTTAAGCAGTCGATTGAAATTAAGCCTGCTGTTGAACCTCGGAGTCAAAAGACTCTGGGGAAACTTATATGCTTGAATGTACCAGCGATCATCTCGAAGCGCGATACAATGTTGATAGTGTTAACGGGGGAAATCAGTTCATTAACTAGAAGCCTTGTACAGCTTTATCTGTTCAATGGGATCGTTGGCATTTCTCAGCTTTCGAAACCGAGGCTAACCACAATCTCCCCATCAAATAATCCATTTTCCTAGGCCCTCTATGCATGTGCAGCGAGAAAAGCTGCTGTTAGATGCTGTGAGTATAAACTAAGTTCCCATGTTGCTGCACTACTAAACTCTCATTATGCATGGTCCTCTCTTCGAACTTGGACTCGACTATTTCATGATAGCAAACCTGAAACTGATTGGTAAGACAGAACACTGACGTAAACTTCTCAACTTGCTGTTATTCTTATTCCGCCTGCAGTAGCACTAACATACTTGGACATATCTAAGTACATGACAAGCTCTTACAACGTAGTCAACCCTCATCATGTACCTTTTTTTATCTGGGACAGCAGCATCAGCTGGCTCACTAACCCGTTTCTTCCGGACATACTAACTATCACCCCAAGGGGCATGACTGTGATTTATCGAGCCCAAATATGTCCCATAGTCTTGCTTTTCCATGCATCTGTTAACTCGTCCCAAATCTGGATCCTTCTGAACCATCTCTTTATTCAAGACGCCCACGGAGACAGGTGGCTGTGGCTTCTGTGTCGAAGTGAATGGAGGAGCCTTCAGAGTAAGTGGGCTTTTAGGTCCGTCAGCATCTGCAACTACGGCAAGATGGTGGTCTGATGACACTGCCGTTGAAGGAGGAACTACTGAGGCGTTCTAATCACTGCTCTGTTTGCAGTCGCTTGGCTTAGTTTAAACAAAAGTGGGCGACTTGTTACGGCTGGGAGTGCAGGCTGGCAACTGTCGGCAGGCGGCGTAGCGTGAACCAATGGGAAGGCCTGAAGTGGGATCAAGAGGCAGACCAGTCAGATGGAGAAGCGCAATTATCGCAGCTTCTCGCGCTGCGATGCACTGCGATAACTGCGAAATTCCTCAACAATACCAAAACAAGTAATGACAGCACGCTAGGCAAGCTGATGGCTTCAGATATAAATATGTATATAGAATCAACTATCCCCAGAGCCATGACAAGTACTCTCCAGTCAGCAATAGAAACAGTTGTCAACCAACGATTGGTGACTGCAGTGAACCCCGTACTCTACTGTGGGAGGAACCCACTCCCTCAGATTCTATAACCTGGCCACTACCTTCGAACCTATCTGAGGAGGTTGTGGAATCGTCACATTGCCCCTGTGAGTCTATCAGTGTTAATTGTGGAGTCCGTTAGAGCCCTCCTTGGTCTCCATGAACTGTTACAGGGGCTTTGTGTTGCCCTGTGGATTGGACGAGGAGTCCCCGGGAGCTGTTGACATTTTTCAGTGTTTTTCTTTTTATTTGTTTAACTTGTGGCTGTCAGTAGCCTAACTTGAGCTTCACTGGGCACTGGGCTTCAATTGTCACCTGCATGGGCTTGAAAAGGGTATCCAATATAAAGAACTTTGTTGTGCCCTTCAACCATCAATAATTTATATATGCTTAGAGCTTCATAGCTGTCAACGCAACATCCAACATCTCTTTCACTGAACGTCAGTGCTGTTGGTCACATCCTCCCTCTAATATCGAATGCGGAGTGCTGGCAAGAATCAGATTTGAGCTGTTAAAAGCTTCGCTATATGCTATTTCTATGGAACTTGAATGATAACAATTCGCAATTAATAACGAACTTCCATGGTCATGAAGGAATGATAATCTTTTAAAGATGTTGAACATACGCATCATTGTCTGGGAATATCGAGTGTCCTGGATGAGACAGCCGTTAAATTATGATGAATTTGAGCTTAAGGAAACTCACTGATCTGTTCGAGCCCAATCAAAATTATTAATGTGAGCCTCTACAGCACAAAGGAAGCATGGTCATTTTGCAACCAGTGCAGCGTCTGCACCAGATCAAATTCCTACTTGCCACCATGACCTCCATTCACAGCCTGTGACAACACCCTCCGCCAAGAATCTGAATAATTGTGACCCCCTGAGATTCGCGCCGCGCACCCGGGCACAGACCGGTGTTTAAAAGTATAAAAACTTCCTGAAACTCTTTAAAACTTTCTCCTCTTACCACCGCTCTTCCCCAGGTAAGGAACTGCCGTAGAAATAACCAAGCAGCTGAGGGTCTACAGCCCTGTCTTGTGACAGATGGTTGTAACCATCATTGCGAGATCAAGTTCCTCCATCAGACCGCCTTGGCCATTCTTCTTCCATGGGTAGCTGAGGATTATTTGGTGTGAGATACATTTTCTTCTTCCTAACTGCTTTGTTAGGCAGGAGAGCACTAAGGGATCCTGTGGTCAAATAAGGGTCATTGGGGGTTCTCACTTAGGGTTCCTGGGGCTCACTAGTCGAGGATGTGTAGGGTGTAGGTGGGAGCATGTATGGAACTGCTTGAAACAGATACTATGATCTCCTTTATGCTATTTTTTTTTTGGTTAGAGATATCAGATATTCCTATAAAGCAGGAATGCATTTTAGCAAAGTTCATGATCATAATGGAATATGGACCAGTCATTGTCCATCATTTCACTGCTATCAACCATGGAACTTTACGGAGGATTTTAGACCGTGTTATTATCATTTACAGATTTGTACTTCCTCTTCAATCAACATAAGCTATGGGGACAGCCATTTCATCAGATATCAAGCCCGTATTTCTAAAAGCACCCAAACCATCCAAGTCTAAGCATAAGCCAGTACATCACCTTCGGCCCCCATCTCTTTGTCAACAGCACCCGTTATCGATGATTGTCCCTCAGGTCCTGACACTGTTCAACACATATGCTGCAAATTATGTTCTTGTCCAAGACTTTCATATTACAAACGCACTTGCAGACACACCTGTAGTCTGATAAGTCCTTGCTGTTTGTGCACTGGTTGTTCCTGGACGAGTCAAGAATCGCCATGGGGCAGGTGCATGGAGGCAAGTCGCTGGAGAATGCGACAGTTGTGCTTTCGGTAAGCAAGGGGGTGAGTGTGGGGTTGATATAGGAGAGGTTCTGCTGTTTTGGTTGTTGGTGCTGCTGTTTAAATTGCTCTGCAAAGCTTGAGAACGAGGATGCCAGGTGAGAGGAGGGAGGGCTATATACTATGTGAAGCAGGAAGATATTTATCATCTGCTTGCTTTGAATGTAAGATGATACGTTTAAAGCAGTTCCTCATGCCCAAAGGAACGTCTTGGAGAGCTTCAGTGACTCAGGGGTAAGTTCAATATCTACTTGGCAGGTGACATAGTACTGTTGTACCACTTCCTCTTTCCCGGTTACAATTACCAACACTTGGTATAATTGTAAGGAATCTTGTAATCAGTCAGAAGGACTCAAATTATTTCACGTTTGTGACATTAAGACACGCTGGCAATTTGGACTTACTTTGACAGATACCACAAAAGTCTTTAGAGCCATGTAGGCAGTCCATATAACAGAATATAAACTTTTTATGAGCATTCGTTTTGATGGACTTTGGGAGGAGTATATCTTAAACTTGGCTCTCTTTTCCTTTCGAAAACATAGTAACTGAAGCAGAACCCGATGCTCAGTTCTCCCTCTACCCCTGAGACCTTGTTAAACCACGGCCCCGATATCGGTCTACCCATCAGGACATTCAAGCTATAATCGGCATTTATAACTGACAACAACGCAAAACTACGAAGGCTCTATTGATCTTTCTTATGCAAGACGTGAAGAATAGGTAGTTTGAGCATTTTTTTCAAGAGAATCTTTCAATCATTCATCCAGCCCAACTTCGAACTCCTTTGTTGGCATGCAACAGACCACCAAGTTGACATACTCAGATTTATCCCCATACCAACAATATTTGTCAACTCTTGATAGCTCGTGTCCTTCAAATACATTTATCTCAACCATTCTCTTGCTCATCCTCATCCTCTTATCGGCTGCGTGTTGATCGGTACGGCTCAGTTGATGGCCCCTCAAGGATGGAGTGATCAACGGGTAGTGAGGGCACCAGCCATTGATAATGTGAAGCTAATGAGAATATTTGGTGTGCAGAAATAGCTCTAGAAAGCCTCTTTTTATTTGTGATCCCCCTATCCTGTCTCACTGAACTTTTCATTTTACGAAGTATCTGAGTCTTATTCTCAGTTGGATAATAACATCTTTAACGTACTTGTAAGCCACTAGGACGTGTCAGCTACTTGCTGGTGGGTGACACAGACGGAGAGCTGTAGCATCGGTAAAGGATTAGGGGCTGCTGTGACGGGGCGGCTTTGCTACTATACTAAGGCATTAATGGCATGTCACGGCCATAGACATCATGCAACATGATGAGTTTCAATCCAAAGGAAATCACCTGTTGGGCCTCGATGATCTCCTGAGCACAATGTGTAGAACACAGATGCCCTCACCAACACCACTGGGAGATGAAAATTTGAAGAGACAGGTATCTGTATTCATTTGACCAGCCACAACAGCCAGTCATATCTACCAACAGTAACCCCTTTTCAGAAAAAGATAATAAATTATGATGATGTCACCACAGAAATTCATGCCTAACTGACTCCCCTACTTCATAAAGCAGCCACATAAAGTAAATCAAGCAAATCCTATTTGACTACCCGATGATGATGATGATGATGATGATGATAACCACCAACCAATGACCTTGACGCCTGGCCTGCCTTGTTGGAGAAAGAGATTTAGGAGCCTAGTGCATCCACACCCAACCCTAAAGACAAGCAAGCACTCCTCCCATGACACCAGCCCGAGTCAGACAGCCTTGAAGCCAACCTTCTGAAGATGCAAGCCAGAAGAAAGAAACCCAAACCGTACCGAACCGAACCGAACCTGACCCGAGTCCGAACCAATCTCGCGATGCCCTCTTGTATTCAGTAGCACTACCCGAGAGAAACCAGACACCGAGGATTTTGCCCATGGGGTATCCATCCCTGAATGAAGACCCAGAAAGATGCTGATGCCCCCCACTGTACTAGAGATACCACCCGAGAGAAACTCAGAAGAACGCCTCGATACCCAGCCCATTAGATGCCAGAAAGAGAAAGCAATTGAGTTCAGAATCAGTTATTTCAGGTTCGCAATTTGCAACTTCGTAATGAGGATGTTTGAGTGTGTGTCATGGTATTTCCGATCCTCCTCGGTCAACTATCATGATTTCAGGACAGTATGTGCGGGTAAACGGTACGATCGACTACGCCTTAAGTGACGCAACCGCCCTTGCTACCTCCTGTGTTGCTGTGATCTGCCAACGTTGCTTCATCTCTTCGTTGACAGCGGATGGGTCCTTCACCTGCTCGTATATGCGACGCGATACGTCGCGGTTGATTGTTTCGTACTGCTCTGCCGTGAGTTTTCGTGAGTGCCAATGCGGCTTGAGAGCCGTGCGTACAATCTCACTGATGCTCTGCTTCATTTCTAACGGCAGATTGCTCCTCGTCGGCGAGGTGTTCTCCGAGCGCGACAGCGTAACGTTTTGCGCACGGCGGGGCTGTGGCTGGCGAAGCTCCAAGGGGCGATGGTGGACTGTTGACTGGACCAACTGTGGAGCTGACTTTTGAGCTGCCTGACGAAGTGCGCAGCCCCGAGACTCCGAATCGCTGTTTTCGGGAGATGACGGCCGGCCACGGGATGGTTGTAGCTTTCGATTGGGAGACGGTAGTTGTTGTCGGCTCGAGGCAGATGATGAGGCACGTGTTGGGGAATAGTGAGCCGGAGGGTAGTTAGGTCCAATATGAGAGCTCAGAGTCATCTGGGGAGAACTCGCCCGCGGAGGGGTAATTGTCCCGATCGATGGTGAGCGAGCCGGCGAGTGTGCCCCGGGAATAGGGCCGAACATGTTGACGAGAGTTTCTTCATCAGACGGAGTGCTCATCTCGACCTCTTTGAGAAGGGCAGACAGGAAGGATGGCTGGGCGTCGGAGGGAGCAGCGTCCGCTCGATGTGAAGGACCGGCCAAGTTCTTTCCCGCTGTGGATGACTCGCCGTTAGTGTGGTTGTGTGGGGGTAGCCGGCGAGTACGAGGGCGTTTTAGCTTCCTTTCGGGCTCATGATGATGTTCCTCCTGCGGTTCAGCCGAGGCTGAGCGAGACCGCTTTCTAGACTCGCACTCCCTCGCCTTTTCCAAAGCCGACCATGCCAACTGTTCTTTGCGCGATTCTTGTGTATCTTGCGGCTGCGGAGGCTCTGGACGTGCGAACTGGGGAAGGTTACTCCTGAACACTTCGCGGGCGCCCAAGCGACTAGCTATGTTCAAACGCTGCAGCCAACGTTCATGTTCCCTTCGTTCCTGCTCGCGAAGCTGACGCGACCGACGCAGACCCTCAAAAACTTCGGGATCCTCATCGTGATAATCAAGGTCCAATTCGAGAGCCTCCCAGATGTGACCTGTGATGCGGCCCCAAGCACCCTGCCAATCGTCAGACCGAGCGCGTTGCCTAGCTCGCCGCATACTAGCCTGAGTGCGTGGGAAGTAGTAGAGCCGACGTGGCCCAGGGTGGTTACCCTCTGCGCCATCCCTAGATTGGCTGAGATCAGGCCCGAGAGCATGCTCGCACTCCATGCAAAACCAGGAGCCAGCAGGGATGCTGTCAAGCCCAATACAATACGTGTGATAGCACGCATCACAACCGTCGCAAAGGAGCAGGACCTCTTCGTGGTCGGTCGAATTACACACGGGGCAAGGGTTGCTGGGGAGGTCGTCGTCGTCCCAGACTTCGTCGTTCTCTTCGGCCCATGCTCGAAAGTCGAACTCGGGCATCTGCTTTTTGTCTTCGACCCGACGGGTAGACAAATACTTGCCTGTGTCCTAGAACGTCAGCTCGAGGAACTGTTAACTTCAAACACACTAATTGAAAGGAGCATACCTCCGACTTTCTCATATACCCTGACGATGTTGAATGTCTGGCGACAGATGGGGCAGCTATTCGCCTTGTCGCTCCACTCGCGCAGGCATGAGTCGTGCAGCATGTGACCGCAGGCGAGAATCTCAGCGACATAGGACTCGCTACCAGGGCCCGAAGTTGCAGTCTTCTCATTGATTTTGTGCAATGCCTCCGGATCCTCAATGGCCAGCCGTTCGTGCTGATCCTTGAGATCTTGGAGCAGCTTGAGCTGCGCTGGTGTTGGTGGGGCTGACCCCTCTGGCTCGACCTCCAGGGGGTCCAGGCAGATAATACACTGATGGTCCGCCATGACTGTAAAACAGACTGGTTTTCTCGAATTTGTCAGGAGGACGCCGAAACCGAGAACTCATGTAAATAAATATGCCTCGGAAAAAGTTGGCCTGGACGTCGACAGTGGTGGCGTTGCACACTGCGATTCCAGGTCCAAGGTGCATGCAGCTGTGATGCAAAGGATATGGAGGGTATGGGTATGTAAATCGATGTACGTGTGCAAATGGAGCGTCTGCGATGAATAGAATACCAGGATTCGGCAGCCGGGCGCTGAATTGCCTTGTCTGGTTTGGGCTATGGTGCGTAAAGCGTAACTGTCCGCTCCAGAAAAAATGCGATGAAGTGATGATGTGAGTGAGATTGTGTGCGGTTTATGTTTATGTATGGTTGCGTTCCGAGCCAACTTAGGCAGCCTGCAAGTGATGATGGATTGATGGATCAGTGTTGGTGCCGAGTCACTCCCTATGGATGTCGTGGGTGGGAAGCTTCAATGTGAAAGAAGGTGGATCTCGGACCGCTTAAAATCGATGACCGAGATTCGCAAACAAGGGATTATTGGCGCAAACAGAGTGTAAAGTTCAGTGATGAGCAGAAAAGCAGGAGAGAGAGAGGAAGAGCAAAACTGCAGCCAGAAAGGTGCCTTTTCTGTACCCACCCCTCCCCATGTGCAGTGACCCCAGTTAGCGTGGGCTGGGAATGTGGGCCAATCAACGCTCGGATTACAACACCACACCGCTGCACAGCGTCACAACTGTACTTACAATTCGGAGTCTTCCAGTCCCTTGAATGGACATTATTAGATTGAGCCACTTTCCAAAAAATGAGAGCGAATACATCATGTAGAAGTGTCAAAGGATGACTTGCGTGGCTAATGAAGCAATAGCCCTGGCTCGAATATAAATTTGCGCTGGTTTTCTTGCTGATCGTGGGACTAATAGACAGGGTATCAGATGGGAGCTGTTATCGCGGGTAAACGGGATGCACAGCAACCCCGATCATCAGAACTTTCATTCAACGCACAGCGACTAACGTCCGGCGTATGAAGTGAATAGGCACTGGTCTTTATTGCTTTGAATATTGCATTTTATGATTTAGAAATAAAGCCGAAGGCTGGATACTTGTGATTCTGTGCAGCCTGACTCCGTTCTGGGGGTGAGCATTGACCACTGTTGAGATCCAGCCAGACGGGCAGGTACCCATGTCTATCTTACTGTTTCCAGAAATCCATATGCTATCGTTCTTTGCAGGTTTCTCCGACAGATTCAGTCACTCACATTTAAGTCCGTAATATTCAAACCTCACTCCACAAGCAAGATGACACATCTCCATTCTCCCCCATTTTCGTTCTTTTGCCGCATGTCTCGAGCGGAGATTCCTGCCAGCCGCCAGCCAGCCACTCCGCCAGATCCAGATCGGGCGTAGGCAGACGGGAGGCTTGAGACAGATTCCCGCCTGCCGAACCAAAGAGCTGGGCATATGATTCCGTCATCCTCTTCGGGAGCCGGAAGATACTTACGTTCTCCGTTAACCTGGTTCACGTCAGGTAATTACGTTTAGCCAACTCTATGGCGTAGAAATCACTTCTGAATTTTGCTAGGATTTAGCTGGTCTCACGTCCCGATTATCCGTTGGCGGTGCCAAGACGCAAGCTCAGCGAACGGGGTCTGTACCAAGGCATCAGAATAGCACGTATCAGTCAGGCAGGTTATTGATACTGCTCGCGCAAGAGGAATGCAGCCTGAAAGGAGAAGTCATTAGCAAGACCAAAAAGGACACAGATAGTCCTGAATTCCCATCAAGGCAAGAATGTAGCTGCGTCACGATCGTCACAAGGCTTTACCAGAACACACCGAGCCAACAGCGCACCGGGACCCATTTGGACAAGTGTCATGGTCATTGACAACTCTAAGGCTATATCCTCGGCGACCGCCATGGTCCTCCCGGGTACATTTGACCGGAAACCGAGGTGTCGGGCTGTTTCTCGTGCGTATCATTTGAGTGACATCGTAACACGAGACAGGCGGACTCGTCGTTGCTCAAAGAATTCTCATTGATCGACCCGCCGTGCCCATTGGCTGAAAGTGTATTGCAGAGCCTACGTTGTCCTGTCCTTGACACCGAACCCGAAACCCAAAACACGCCCAAACGCCACCTCTTCAAGCCTCAGTGATCTCCCGGAGACGGCGGAGGGTTGACCGCATGGCGGCGGCAGCAGGGGTCCTAGTGAGTTTGTTAATGTCATTTTGCCCAATGTCATCGTACACTCGGCTTCACCTACGAGACGGTGTAGGCACCACCAGCCATGGTCTTCTTGCACGACTTGCAGCTCCAGATGCCAACAGCAGTGCGGCGGACGCTGTTCTTGCCGCAGAAAGTGCAAGTGTACCGGGCGTGCTGGGTCACTTCCTGCTCTATGGGAGCGTTAACACTGCACCGGTAATCCCAAGATAGATGCGTTCAACTTACTCTTGACCAGCTTACGGAGCGAGGCACCATATCTGAGCGTGGAGTTAGCTTCAATTCTAGGCGCAAGTAGTCTGTTGTCCCCCGCTTGACGAGATCCCGCGATCGATATTCCGTTCAGCCTTGACGAATCCCACAGACCGCGCGGCCTGAGCACGCAATTCCGCATAGGGCGGTCCTCCACAAACAAGGGCGCTTGTCATTTAGGACTGAGGCACCGGATCCTTCAAATTCGAGAGACCGCTGGAAGAGCAGACGTCACTTTCCCATGAGACTAGCCCACTGCATGAAAGTCATGAAACTTCGATGTCGTCGGAACGTAAATCGCATTACATCGCAGTTTTTGAATATCGAACATGAAATCCGTCGAGATCTCGTTGGCGGAAGGACATCGACAGGCGAACTTCGAGCAATCCAAGGAAAATTGGCTGATACATACCTGGTACCGTACTATATTGATCATGAATCAACTTCTGCTCAAACAAAGCAAAGAAAGGGGAATTTGAGAATTTTCTCTTTTACGTACCTTGCCGGAGATGCCGACCTTCTTCGTGCGCTTAGACATCTTGACTGGTTACGAGGTGCTGGACTTGATAGCGACTCTCGGGGATGTTGGGCGGACGACGACGATTTTGATAGTTGTGCAGCGTATTTTTTTTTCTGGTGTGCGAGCAGGGGACGGGCTGCAAACTGATCGGACTGGCAGAACCCTTTTCCCGAAGAATTCTCGGCTGGTGGCAGGCGGCAGGCAGGCAACGCCAATCTTGGAAGGTGGAGTGGACACCGAGCCATCAAGCCAAGCTTTTGGATGGATGGGGCTCGCGGTCCTCAGGCGTTCACCAATCACCAGCAGGTCATCACAGTCCGTTTAGCCTAACTTACAGCTCCATCGATCCTCGGCGAGGGATGGCGGCACGTCTTTGCAAACATTGGAGATCATAAACAACAGATACAGACATGAGACAAAGCTGGTTTTAAATGATATGGGCAATTGGATCATATCTGCACCGCAATATGTTGGGAATACATTTCCTCAAATAGTCAAACATCTGACGATGACCGCATGGTTCGTTTAGTCAGCAGGGTTTTGGGCTGATCTCCGCTGCCTGTGATCTTGGTGCCCAGTTGACCTCCAGCGACCACTTCCTGACTAAATTTCGTCATCGAGCGTTGGAATAGGTTAGATATATAAAAGTTCGCCGTATATTGAGCGTTCGCCATGCCGCGGAGACAACACGACCGCCAGTACGACTTGGTCGTCTTCGGTGCTACTGGTATGTTATAGCTTAGCCATGTGACTCGGCCGTGAATGAAATTATGAAGAGAACAGTTGCTGAACAGCTTTAGGTTACACCGGAAAGTATGCCGTCCAGTACATCACCACCGACCTGCCAACTGATCTGAAGTGGGCCGTGGCTGGCCGCTCTCAGTCCAAGTTGGAGAAAGTTGTGGCCGAGTGCCAGAAGCTCAACCCAGATCGGGCTCCCCCTAGCATCGAAATCTGCAACTTGAACGATATCGACCTGTCCAATTTGGCCAAGAAAACCTTCATTCTCATTACCACCGTGGGTCCCTATGGCCAGTACGGTGAACATGCCTTCAAGGCCTGTGCGGAGAATGGCACTCATTACTTCGACGTCACCGGAGAGGTCCCCTTTGTGGCTAAGATGATCAAGAAGTATGAAGCTGCTGCCAAAGAGAGCGGCGCAGTCATGCTTCCGCAGATTGGCGTTGAATCTGCCCCAGCAGACTTGATCACCTACTCCCTTGCCTCGTTCATTCGTGAGGAGTACTCCTCTCCTACCGCTGACGTTACGCTCTCGATCCACAACCTCAAGTAAAATCCCGTCCTTTGACTCGTCATCTCAACCATTTCCGGCTAACTCCTCCCAGGAGCTCCCCTTCAGGCGGTACACTCCGCACTGTCTTTACCTTGCTTAACAACTTCACCCTCTCCGACGTGCGCGCCGCCTACGAGCCCTACGCTCTATCCCCCGTACCGCCCGCCAAGCCCCCTCCGTCCCTGCCCATCTTCACCCGCCTGACAGGCCTCATCCAAGTCCCGTTCCTCGGGCTGTTGACTACCTCTGTCGCTGGTTCGACCGACGCTGCTATTGTGCATCGCTCGTGGGGTATTTTCGCCAAGTACCCGGCCCTCTGGCTGCGGGGTCGGCAGCAAAACGATGCTGAGCGGTCGACTAGCTATGGACCCAATTTTTCTTTCCGGGAGTTCATGCGCTCGCGAAACTGGCTGACTGGGTTGGGTATCCATATCGGACTGCTGTTGCTGGGCTTGGTGATGGTAACGCCGTTCCTGAGGGAGCTGGCTGCCAAGTGGGTGGTCCAACCTGGTGATGGCCCGGATCCGGAGACTGCCAAGTTCGATGAGCTAGAATATAGGGGTATTGCGACGGCAGATGGGAAGAAAAAGCGGGCGCTATGTAGGGCTTGGTTCATGGGAAGCCCGTATTACTGTAAGCCTTCTCTCCCTCAGCCATGTTTATTGGAAGAGTTCGCGCTAACTTTGTGACAGTGACAGGTATCCTGCTTGCCGAAGCTGCTCGCACGCTGCTGGAGGAAGAAGTTGAACTCCCTGGTGGCATCTACACCGCTGCATGTCTTGGACAGCCGTTTATTGACCGGCTGGAGCGGGCCGGCTTCCATCTCGAGACGAAGTGCTTGGAGCACTAAGCACAGGAAGTACCCTCTGCATACTTTTGGATACTACATAGGCTCATGGAGTACATAGAAGCACCCAAAAGCACAACCAAATCCCTCATGGGGCATATTTTGACTTCGAATCCTGGCTCATGTTCCGTTCGTATTGACTGATTAACCAATATACACAACCAGAATCAGCTAGAATCCAAGAAGACCGCCTGGAGTAAACAGACTGAAGTACTAAAAAACCACACCATTACCTAATCCCGGCTTCAGAAACAGTTCTTGGCCGATAAGGCGCATACCCTGCCCCTATCATTCCCAAAGGCTCCTCAACTCAACCCTCGAACCCCCTGCTCCCCTTGCCCTCAACTTCTTCTCCCGATCCAACACTCTCTCGCCCTCCAGTAATCTCTCGATGCGGTACCGTCCACTCCCGGAACCAGTATTCACCTGCAGGTTGAGGTTCTCCCTCCGGTCAAGCGGCACATTGACATTGATCCGCTTGATCCCATCCGCTGGCCTCTCGATTGGAGGAGGGGCAGGGGTTGCCCTCCCTGATGTTGGCGGCGATGGTAGGTGGTATGGGGCTGTGCGGTCCCGGTCCGGATCGCCGATTGTGACGTGTCTCATGCCAGATCGGATCCGATCCAGGCCTGGGTCGAAGCGCCTCTCCTTGTCCCTGTCGAAGTGGTAGGAGTCCCTGCTTAGACTTGATTGTCGAGAAGAGAGTGATCTTCCAGGTGGGTAGGAGTATCTATCTCTGCCTTTGTCGACTGGCTCCAGGTCGTCGGCACGTGTGGATCTTGGCGCTGAAGGAGGGTACATGTCTCTCGCTCTGTCGACCGGGGGTTCCCTTTCTGGAGCATACGTATCTCTGCGCGTATCAACAACAGCAGGCTCCTGCCCTGGAGGATATCTCGTCCGTTCATGATAGTAGTAGTAATTGGCTTGCTCACGAGAATTGTAGCCCCTATGGTCCCTCACAGGGGCGTGAACCTCCTTGACGGCAGCATATGTCTGCTGGTCGGCGTCGCGCTCATTCCAGCGGGATCTCTCCCAAGTGAAGGTGGGCTGAGGATGGTTCTGGATGATCACCGGTTGAGGAGCCGTCGGCGGTACTGCCTGAGGTATTGCTTGAGCCGCTGTCGCGTAAGCTGTTGTCGGCTGGGCTACTGTCGGGGCATGCGCCGTTGGAGGAGGAACCCCAGTTATGGTTGTCACAACCGGCGCAACAGGCACAGCAGTAGGAGCTTGAGCTGGAACATTAGCAGGCGCAGGAGCGGCTGCAGCAGCCGTGGAAATCGGGACATTCCCCCGATTTATATTCGCCGTTGTCTCCATCACTTTAACCATAGCATCGGTAACAATCCGCTCAGCCATCTCAATCACTTGCTTCCTCTCTGCCTCACGGCAAGCTTCATATGTCCTCCTCTCTGCCTCCCTGCCGGCTTCATAAGCCCGGCTGTAAATGGCGCCTGGGTCAAGCGGTGGCTGGGGGACTGGAGGAGGAATGGTTGAGGACGGGGTGCTCGCCGGGCTGATTGGGTCAGCAAGAGAGGCCAAATGGAATGCCCCATGACCTGAAAGAGGAGGCCTGGAGTAGGTCTGGCCTGAGGGATGGGGGATGTGGGAGTTTGGCCAAGTCGACACATGTGGCTTGATGTTGAGCCGGGGTGGCGGTCGTCTTAGCTCATCAGTGTCAAGGCGGTAGTTCAAGCTTCTGGCTGGGCAGGTTGTTGCGGAGTGAGAGCGCCTCTTGCGAGCGTTGTGGATCTCTTTTCCACTGTCGCTAGAAGGCGATGAAGGAAACCACGAGGATTCGGAGCTGCTGTATTCGGCCTCGTGATTGGAAAAGATGGATGATGAGTCTGACAAGTCAGTGCCGGAGGACGAGTCACGGTAGGAAGTCGAGAACCGGTGCCGTTGAACCGTGTTCCGGGATGAGGTATGCTTCAGGACTGACTTGGGAGGGATCTGCAGCGTGTGCCGTCTGGTAGGAGAAGGCTTCCGACTACTGCTCTGAGCTGGACCTCGAGACGACGACCGGGCCCGCAGAGCACTTTGAGAATTAAACCTCCGGAGGGCTCTATCGTCAGAATGTGACTGATGTTGACGAGGCGGACTGCGGGAAGCTAAACGGCTAGGTGACCGATGTCTCGAAGACGACCTACGGTAACGCTCTGGACTGCGAGAACTTGACCTTGAACGCGTTCCATGCCGATTATTCGATCGATGACGACTCGAGGGACTGTGAGACGTGGACCTGTGCTGAGGCTGATCATGATCTCGATCTTGAGACGAGGACCGATGATGATAATTCCGATCTTGACTTCTCTCACGATGATGGCTTTGGCTCCGACTCCAAGACCTAGACCGATGTTCCTCGCGCCGATACTCGCGGCCCCTCTCCTCGGACTGCCGCTGCCCTCTATCACTCGAACTTAACCTTGCTCTTTCTCGACTCCGGGAAGAAGCTCTCGACGAACTGCGCGAAGTCAAACTCCCTGACCTCTGCCGAGTCGTTGGGTACTGCACACCACCGCCCTGTCTCTGCAGACCCGCGGGGGGAGGAGGGGGAGGGACCGCAGCGCCAATGCCAGCATGGACTCCTGGGGGGCCCTGACCCGGCCGAGGGCCACCAGGTTGAGTAATAGCACCTGCTACGCCAGGAGAGAGATGGGGAAGCCGTTGAACTTGAGGGTTCTGCCCAGGTTGTTGACCTGGGTGGTGTAGCGCTTGGCCTGGAACTTGTCGTGGCTGGTTGGGAGCCTGGCCATGGCCATGGGCTCCTACTGGAGGAGCCTGCGCAGGTATCGGTTGCAGTTGTTGTCGTTGAACTGAAGACTGTTGAGACACGGCAGGCTGTGATTGTCCATGTTGTTGTGGATGAATTTGGGCTGGGGCTTGGGCTGGGGCTGAAGCTTGAGGTTGCGTTTGAGGAGTATACACCTGCTGCTGATGTTGCTGATGCTGAGGAGAACAGACCTGCTGTTGTTGCTGATGTGGTGGATACGCTGCTGGCTGTTGCCCAGCAAAATGAGGAGGGATTTGTGCTAGCTGCTGCCTCTTGAGCTGTCCCCTTCGGGCCTTTTGTTCTTCTTTTTCGATCTTCATATATTCAAAAGGATCCCGGTTAGGTCGCAGAGACCGCTTGTAGTATGCTGTCAGGCTGAGGCGTTCACCTTGGATGTATTCCATCTCAACCTTCTCGGTTCGGTGCTTCGACGATTTTTTGCTTTTCTCACTTCCCTTCTTTCTGCTATCGCTCTTCTCTTCTTTAATCTTTTCCTTCACCAGTATCTCACGCTGGTCGTCCAGCTGGACCAGCTCTGTTTGAAACCACTCATCATCAGTCTCTTGGAGTTCGCTTAACACTTGTTGGATCAGTCGTTGCTGTTCTTCCGGGAGATCAGCAATCTTGTGCGTCACAGGCACCGCCTGACTCAGCTGCTCGACTAGGAGTTGTATCTCGGAGTTTGGGACTTTTGGTGCATCAGCGACCTCGGCACGGGTCCAATCAAGCTTCGTAAGCCTGCCATCGGGTCCGTAGCAGAGCTGAGTAGGTACGAAGCGCTTCACGATATATTCCGAGAGGGCTTCGCGAGCATGAGCACGCTGCTCTGCTGGGGACTGAGGTCCATTCCTGGCCATGTCGATGACTCTGACACCCGTGTTTGGCCGAGATCCTGAAACACTAGAAGAAAGTCGTGATGCTCGTTCATGTCGCTCATGTGGTTGCGCCGGCAGCGTTCCGGGCATTGCAGGCATCGGATTGCCCGCGCCTGTCACAGGTCTATTTGGGTTCATCTGGGGAGGATTGGACTGTGATGCCTGTTGGGTTTGGAGGGGGGTACCAACTTGCTGGGGAAGATAAGCCCCTGACCAAATGCCTTGGGGAGGTTGCGCAAGCCGTTGATGCTGAGCTTGGTGAAGGATGAAGTTTTCACTGTTCATTGTAGAGACAGTGATGCTGGATTGGTATGAGGAAGTTAAAGGAAGTCTTCTACAACGAAAGACCTTGTGATACTGATAGTAGGCCGGGATGTAAGGGGAGAAGGATGATTCACCAGATACTTCTCGTACTGGTAAGGTGCTTCAAAGGGAAAGTTGACCCACACAAGAGAGTCGACAGAGCCGCGATGGCTGCTAGGGTCTCTGAGTCCCTCAAAGAACTTGGGCAATGGAGCTGTATGCTTTATATCTTTTGCCTATGGGTTGTGTGTGCAACGACTCCGGAATCGAGACCTTTGTTTTTTTGATCCAATTTTCCAATATACATATCAAAGAGACCGGATGGTTACGCCATTGGCCTTGACAATTGTCCCGTCATGACGTTTATTTGGAGTGCACGTCGGTGAGAAAGGAGGCCGAAGTGCCATATCGGCCAAGTCTCCACGTTGCATCATAGCCCTACTCGTGCCAGCTACCTTGGGCGACAAGTTCCGGAGGCTCGGGAACCGGCTTTGCATATGTACATGGCCATGGCCAATTGTACCATCATACGTGTTCTGGACTCAGCTGCGGCTCATGGTGAGGGAACGTTGTAGAAAGGCAATGAAGAGCAACCGGCACGGCTGGGCAAAGTTGGCTGCGTCCAAAGTAACCAACAGCGCGAAGAGATCAACCACACCCAAAAGCTGCAGGGCAAAACGCGACGTATGCTTCACAATAGCGAGAGCTTTGCCCCGCAGGCCAAAGTCGGCACAAGACTCTGTTCTCTATTTTCCATGAAGGGACTGCCTTACTGTGCCCGTGGCGTTTTGCCAACAGAGCATTGGTAGTTGCAGGAAAGACTGAAGACCTAGGGTTCAGCCTGAGACAGCTGTATCACATACCCATTTCGACCACTACTAACTTGATCGTAATAAGTACTTAACCTCAACACAGAACCAATGGACCGGAGGCTTCGCGTTTTGAGCTCCTGCTATCCTCTGAGCTGTTCTACAGCTGCCACGACATACCGGAGCTCTTCCTTGGGGGACTCAGCTGGCATCAAGGCAGTATTCGCGCCACAGCTGTCACACTCGCGGATATTGGTGACTTTCGTTACATTGTCAGCAAAACTCACTTACGCAGGGCACTGTCAACAAAACCATGGGTCAATTGGCTTGAGACTGAAAAAGCTTGGAAAACCAATCCAGATTGCAGGTGCCCCTCCACCCTAGCCTTACCTTATCTACCATAGCCACCGGAACCGTGACCATGGTGAATACCTTATCAAAATGCGGCTCTGTAGGTGTACTCGGCGTCGTCTCACCTTCCAATTGTTGCCCCTCACCTCATCCTTTCAGCCCTTTATTTGCCAGTTCTATTGGTATCAACATCGACACCCTTAGCTTCAAACTTTAATACATTACATCTACCTACCCCTCTCAAACTCGACAGCCCACTCGTTTAAGAGCGCGCGTACATACTCTCCGGGCAATTTTGTCTGCAAGACTGCGTCACTCTGCCGCCGCATGCTTTCCCATATCAAGAAATCATGCAACATCTCAATGCACAACACGCCTGCAACTACCTGAAGCCGTAGACGCGAAGCCCTAGTAGTAGGGAACCCGTATCCACGGTGAGTTTGCACTGACCTAAGTACATGCGACTTTCCAAGAAAGCTGTTGCCCGTCTACAGTGGAGATAAACACTTGGGATTGTGATCACAACTTTGGACAGGCTTTTGTTGCTTGGAAGCTTTCTGAGGTTGCAGACACATTGTCTTGCACTTTCATCTCTAACTGGGGCTCTCTCAAGCTGTGTAACAGAAAACCTGTGGGCGATTTGGGCTCGAGGATATCATGAACATTCAGCAGAGACCTATGAGTTGATTTGCCTCTAAGTTTCCAGTCACTGTGTTCACGATCCCTGAATAATCTCGGGCTTTGGAAGAATGGATGACAAAGTGCCAAATCGTACATACTACCCTTCACTCTCCAGTACTATCTTCAGTCCCTGGCAATGCGGCAACCGGATCGATGCTATCATCAAATCCACTCAACGTTCAGCCACCTGATTGATGTTGATGTCCCGACTTCTAAGTGACTCATCTTTGATTCCTTTCTCCCACTTTCTGTTCTCTTCCAAGCTGAAAGAAACGCTATTACCCATCGAATGGAAGCTCACCAGTCCATGTGTTCCTGTGCCGCATCCTGGCGGCTTACAAAACTTGACAGGGTACTGAGCTGTAGGGAAGTAAACAAGCTTTCGCTCAAAGCTCGCTCCGCCGCGAGCTGCATCGTCGGATATTTCCACAGCACAAAGTGTCCTGCCACCCCAAACAAAGGAACAAGGGGCCGCAAATGTGCAACCCGAGACTGGGCACGTTTCGGTCAGCCTTGTTGAGTATAGCACACTCAAACTACTGGCTTCTATAGGTTGATTCAGTTGCTACCTACGTAGTCTATCTCAAACACCCCTCGTAGTAAATAGAAATCACCTCACAACTGTATTGGGCGTAAACTGTTGGCATCTCGGTGACCCATCAACACTAGCTCTCCCAGAATCAGCCCTTCAATTAGTCCACAAGATACGGAACGATAGCTCAAATAGCGCAGAGACATTCAGGTAGACACAAGTTACCCTCCCACAAATGCACAAAGAGAATTCTGCTCGTACTACCATCGTCATCCTACAGTCCAAGACACAAGATCCAAGCGGCCGCCCAAACACTTTCATGGAAAGAATTCGGAGAAGCTCAGGCGTTAGGCAAGTTCCACATGGGCACCCTTGGCTGTGTCTCGTGCCACTCCAACTCCAAGTTGTGCCACACCGGCTTCTTGGATCCGAGGGACTTGGACTCGAGCCTTAAACATGATTCGGTAGGCGTTTTCAGGCACTGACTCGAACGCCGCATGTTAATCTCTCTTATGAATCTATGTAACTTGGTACCACTTCAGGTCTCCCCCCCCATCACAAAAAAAATGGTGGACAGGCAGGCAAAGATTTAGAGCCCCAGGCGGCCACCCAAGGCGAGAAGATAGCCACTCTCCCTAGTAAAATCTTAAGCTCAGTTACGGAAATACATTCCGACAACAAATAGATGATACAAGAGGTCTTGGATCGACGTTCATGGAAGGTGATGGGACAACATCAAACATCCCTTTACATGAAAATGTTGTCAACCCGTTCACATTGACAGGATTGTATGACAGGCTGCATTGATTTCCAACAGATGACTCCTGTCACCACATCCTGCAAAAAAATTCGATTTTGGTTTACCGAGTGAAAACTGGGAGCACATGGCTTGGACACAACATATTTTGCAACAGTAAAAAAGTGGTCTTTGACAACTGCTCGGTGTGTTCACAAGAAATGAAAAGTTATCTTCACTGGTCGATGGTTGGCAACCACAGACATCCAGAAGAAACAATCGGAATCAGGGGAAATCCATCAAATCAATTCTCATTTTGATTCTATTCATTACAGCGATCGCCTTAACCTGTACACCTCATCATCTCCCTCATCTTTACCAGAAAAACAAGCGCTAATGATAATGAGTCTACCACTGTCACACCTTCACACAAAGGTGATGCACATGTTACATGCCTTTTGAAGCCATCATGTCTCAGTTCCAGGGATAGGAGCCATGCCCGTACTCATACCCATACTCGGAATCTGACCATTCTCCATCAGAGCCGTCCGAACCATCAGAGCCGTCAGAGCCGTCAGAGCCATCGGAGCTATCGGAGCCGTCAGACCCGTCAGAGCCGTCGGACCCATCCGAACCATCAGTATCAGAGTAGTAATCGGTATCGTAGTCTGGACCGGAACAGCTAAAGTCAGAATCATAGTCGTCAAGAACATCAAGATTGGGAGAGTCATTCGAACCATCATGAGCAGCAGATTCATTGCCATCATAGAAGTCCTCAACAGGAGTTGCGTTGGGGACGTATGTCACATTGGCATCATACGAACTAGGGGCAGGCTGAGCAGGCTCGTTGTCGCTGTAAGACTGCTCGACGGGAACCGCGGCATCGTCATAGGCGGCCTCGGGAGCGGGATCATTTTGGTAGGCAGAGTCGTTGTCGCCGTAAGAATGTTGGACAGAAGCTGTATCATCCGCATAGTCTGTAGGGGCATCTGCGAAACGAGTAGCGTCAGCAAAACCATGACGGTCCCAATGACAGGAAAGATTAAGAATGAAGTTACCATCGGGCCGAGCGTAGTCGTCATCGTCATCAACACCATAGCCCAAGATATCATCATGCTCAAAGTACCCGTCACCGTATTTGTTACCCTCAGGCAGGCGTGGACGGCAATCCAAGAAGCGACTGACATCGTGAGGGTCGCGGTAAGAGAAAGAGTATGTGTCGACTCCGCCATAGGGCCGAGGGAAATCATCGTAGGCCGACTCATCACTATAGCTGGCATAGGTGTAGTCGTAGTCATCGTGCTTGGCCTTGTGGTCCTTGCTCTTGCCCTTATCCTTGCCCTTGTGGTGCTTTTCCTTGTGGTAACCGATATCGTAGCCCTTGTCGTAGTGACGGTCATCATGATCATCGTACTTGTCGTTGTCATGCCCACGCTTGACCTTGTAGTTTTTGTCATCGTGGTCTTTGTCCTTGTACCCCTTGCCTTTTCCCTTGCTCTTTCCCTTATCCTTATCCTTGTGGTCCTTCTTCTTGTCCTTCTCCTTGCGGTGCTTGTCCTCCTCATAGCCATACTGGTCCTTGTCATCATGGTCATCATGGCCACGCTTGACCTTGTAATCCTCATCCTTGTAATCCTTATCCTTGCCTTTGCCTTTCCCAAAGCCGAAGCCCTTTCCCCTCCCTTTCCCCTTGTCCTTTTCCTTGTGTTGCTTGTCTTTATTCTTATGGTCCTTGTCTTTCTCATGGTCGTAATACTCCTTGTCGTCGTGGTCGTCATGCCCACGCTTCACCTTGTTGCCGTTGACTTTGCCAAAGCCCTTGAAGCCCTTTTTCTTGTCCTTATCCTTGTTGTCCTTATCCTTGTGATGCTTGTCCTTATCCTTTCGGTCTTTGTCGTGGTCCTTTCCGTACTCGTACTCATCGTGATGCTTGTCATCGTACTTCTTGTCATCGTGATCACGATCATCATGCCTGCGTTTGACCTTGTGGTCGTTGCCTTTGCCGAAATCGTAGCCCTTACCTTTCCCCTTATCCTTATCCTTATCCTTATCCTTATCCTTATCCTTATCCTTATCCTTATCCTTGATATCCTTGTCCTTGCTCTTCTTTTTGCCCTTGCCTTTGTCCTTGTCCTTATGATGCTTGTCCTTGTGGTTATCGCTCTCATAACCCTTGTCATCATCATCATGGCCACGCTTGACTCTGCGATAGTCCTCATCTCCATAGCTGTAGTTGCCGTAATCTTGGTTTCCAGAGGCTTCGTCGACATGGTCAGAGTCGTAGTCACCGCTGCTGGTTTGGGGGCGAAGTTGGTTGTAATAAGCATGAAAGACATAGCATGAGGCATAGTTCCGGGTGTTGTAGAAGCCAGCCGAGATCTCGGGGTCAGTCAGGGCCTGATACTTTGTGCTGTCGTAGAGGGTGCCGAACGAGCTAGACACATCCTTGTTGTCCACATTGGGGAAAAACTGGTCACAACTGTTAGCTCTAATCTCGAGTTGGGTTGCACAAGCACCAGAAGGCATACCGAAAAGGCAGGCTGGCGTCCAGGACCCCTGTGATCATGCCCATCCTCGATAACGATGTTGTCTTCGCCAATATGAAGCTGAAATGTCTTGTGGTTGGGGTAGGGCTCCCGGCGGGTGACGTCGTAGAGGGCAGTCTCAGAGGTGCTCTGACGGCCATCCCAGCTGGTTGTGAGGGTGCAGTTGACAAGATGTTTGGTGTCAGCTAGGGCAGGGAGAAGCCATTTCAGTTGGCCGCCAGAAAGAGACAAGTCATCACGAGCGATATACTTCCACAGAAACGACCAAGTATAGCTAGTGGCCTTGATGTCGCCACCGCCATACCCCTCTGGGACCTCGACACGGCAGGTAACCAGGTTGGAGCCAACGCGAGAGTTCTCGCCATAAGTGTTGGACTTTTGTGCAACAGTGGGAGTCAGGCAGGCGAGGCCCGCCACAACCCTCGGGACGGTGGCCTTCATGATGGCACTAGGAGCTGATGATAATGTGGATGGAGATGATCAGGATAACAAGACAAATTGATAGTTGTCTAACTAAAGGATTCGTCAAAATGGGGTATCTCTGCCTGTCAACTGTTGCAATGATGTGGTAAACTCAGAGAGAGGATCTGGGGAGAAGAGGATAGAAATGAAGAAATATCCCCTTTCAGAGGGAATTGATGAAGCTCCTTCCACCGAACTCATTATAGACGGAAAGAAGCTTCTGTTGGCAGATGGCGACAAGAAATGCCAATGAACTCTTCCGAAAAGGTAGTCCAAAAAGCAAGAGATGACCTCGATGGTTACAGGAGGAAATCGTTAGTCGTTGAACGTAATTGCCGGCCTGATATTGATGTCTAGGATTATAATGGTTGAAGAGAAATTATGTCTAAGGAAGGTGCGTGGGCAACTTCAATCACATGCGTCAGGCCATTTCAGATTCTCTCGGAACGGAAACCAAGCCCCGAGTCCTACTCCAACGTCGCCCTCCATGATTGCCATGGGCAAGATTATGCTCCTTTCCTCTGTACCATCCCTTATCCCTCTATCCTGCCCTTTCCGCACGAAATACCGGGCATCTAGCTGGTTTTTTCCTGCACGGCCCGTTCTCCGTGTTACTGTGGCGTACAACTTCCAACCTTCTGTCTCAAGGGCGGTAAAAAGGCGTGCACTCAAAACTCTGATTTGAACAGACTCATCGTTGCCGGGTTTCCAAGGTGATTCGCTGAAGTACAGTTGCATCGATTGATAACTCTGCTTAGGTCGTCTGCACCAAAAGCCAGAATCAGCGCTGATAATCACATTTCTAATGACATCAGCGACCCTCTGTTTGGCCTGACCATCTTGCTCACGTTGCGCCTGCTAATTGTAGATAATCCTCAACTTGTCGCGGCCATTGGGCATCAAGACAAGCCAATCTGCGTCTCTTTCGCCTTCAATACCATATCCGGGTCCTACAGAGTGGAGTATGATGGTGTCCTTGTCCCTCTTCTGGCTACTGCACATCATTTCCCCAACGACTTCCCACCCTTCAAGATACAGGAAGGCCAGGAGGTCCTGGATCAAACGCACACCGCGGACATGGCCAACGGTCCAGAAGGAGCCAAATGGACTGCTACTGAGACAAAAGAGTGGTAGGCTTTGGACGAGTAGGTAGTGGAGGGTCTCCCATGCCGAGCGATGCCTTTGCTGTAGGAAGAGATTGTTACTGAACAAGATGGCAGAAATGAGGTCTAAGGGGAAGCTGACGAAGCAGATGGTGTCTTTCTTGTGGACCGGGAGGGTTGCGTAGATCAGGGGGATTAAAGAGGCTGAAGGAGGGACCAGTCTCTAGAGCCTGTTCAACCTTTGGAGTGGGAGTCGGCGTGTAGAGGCGGAGGGGGCAACTCCTGGTTCACCATGGTGACAGTTGTCCGAAGAAATGGACGGTTGTATTTGAGCATTAAGCAACTTGGAGCTTCGCATCACCCACTAGTAATCGGATATATTGAGGGGCAACTCTCCATTCTTTTTGCTTTTCGTGACTTCTTTTCAGTTGTGGCTGTGGACATTTGTAGCACAGCGCCTCTCATGAAACAGCAGGCAAACGGCTGCAATTCTGCTCGTAAAGCACGTCCATGGGATGCTGTCGCTGTGAGAATGGTGCGAGACTCTCCATACGATGTTCTTAGTCAGGTACGGGCTCCTCGGTACTTGTCAGGTGGGCGTCGGCCATCCAGACCACAGTATCGGAGTGGGGCGACAGTCGTCGCGAAGTGCCTAGGATGACAACAATGGATATGCGATGGAAGCGCGGACGCCCAGACTTCCCCAGCCACCTGCCACTCCCGAGCGATCGAGCGGGATGACCCACTCAAGCTAAGCTTTCTTCTTATCGCTTATCTAAAGCATTTAAGTGGCTGGAACTTCACAAGACTCACCAGGCTAGCGCGGGCTGGGACAGGGATGTGGCGCCAAGGCTGCTTCCATGGCAACGGGTCGTTGGCACTTGGTTCGCTGTCGTTGCGCCGATTTGCTGGTGAGGCGGTCGGCTGCATGTCGTAGAGGGGGCCACGAGCTGTGTTGTTTTTTCCGCGTGAAGGCCGCCGGGGTCGGGGGATTTGGGAGCTGAAGCGTCATCGAGTTCTCTGTATGTTCAACTGAATCTTCAAGCTTTTGTGGCTAGAAACGGCCACTTCAAGTCTTCGCGAAAGAGTAGCACCGACGACGACTTAAACGAACCGCAATTGGCTTTTAACTTTTTGGACCTGTACACAGTAAGCGGCCTTGCCCTGCTGTTCCTCCTCCCCAACCACCGCCGGGACCAAAACCGCGGAATTTGAGACTCGAACGTGTTTTTTTCTCTACGAACCTTTTCGTCTTCAGAGAGTGACTTCTACGCCGGGCCCGCATTCCTGTCGTCCCGACTGCGAGACATCGATCCTGCTCTGGCCCACGGCATGTCGCAGCATTGCGCAGGAACACAGTACTGTGACTCCAAGTCATCCACAGCTCCGGATATCACGAACATCTAAGGGACTTGCGTCTGCCTGTCTGTTCTAAGGTCATCTCGGGCTCCCATCGAGCCCAATTGCCACCATGGCATCGGCCGACTCTCTCTCGCCGCCGGGGTCGAGTACATACTCGTCGGACATTCTACACGTCGGCGACGGCACTTGGGATAATGAACGCAACACATTCCTGCTGCCCAATCTCATGGGCGTCAACTTTGAGATGATGCGTTACAATGGTACTCTCTATCTTTCCATAATCGCGTCAGAGTGACCGAGACAGCAGGACAGAAATGGCTGACGATATGTTTCGCGCAGGCATGGGCAACCGGTTCAAGGACTGGCCGCAATACCACCGAATCATTCTGGGTCACGGTATCCTTGCCGCCATTACATTCCTCTTCCTCGTGCCCATTTCTGTGCTGATCGCCCGATTCTACACTGCCCGACCGGGCATGGCCCTGGTCTACCATTCCTACCTGCAGATCTTTGCAGTCGGCCTGTCCACTGTCGTCTTCATTCTCGGTTTCGTGGCTGTTGGTCCGCCCCGTAACCTGTCGAACCCGCACCATGGTATCGGCGTCGCCCTCTACATCATGCTTCTGGTCCAGGCCTTCGGTGGCCCGCTAATCAAAAAGCTGGCTGGTCGCCGCTCGTTTCGTTTGCACATCCATCGTTGGCTTGGTCGCGCCACTGCCCTGCTTGGCATTGTCCAGGTGCCTCTCGGTCTGACTTTGTACGGCTCCCCAAAGGTCCTGTTTATCCTGTACGCGGTCTGGATGGGACTCTTGCTCATCCTGTACTTCATCCTCGACTTCGTTGATCCGGGTTGCCGAGGCTTGGCTAGAGAAGGCACCTCGACTGTTGCTGGCCCCACGAGCAGCAGGATCACGGGTAGCCGTGTGGAATCCGACGCTAAGTCTGGAGGGCGTATGAAACGGCTGGGTGGTCTTGCTCTTAGTGCAGGCGCGATGGCGATGATGCGTGGTCGTAACAAGGAGAGGGATGTCGAGAAGGCTCTGAGCCGCAGTCCTACCCCTTCTGGCCGCACTCGTGAGCCAACTGTCATCTCATCCCGGCCCGATAGCTACTACTATAACGAGAAACCATCCGAAAGGCGACGTCCCAGCGAGAGCGGTGGCGGCAAAGGTGGCCTCATGGGTAAGCTCCTTGCGGCCGGTGCCGCCGGTGCGATTTTGTCCAAGTTTATGGGCGGCAAGGACCGTCGCTATCGTGATGATTATTCGGCCGTGACGACCGATGTACCGAGTCGATCGCGCAGATATGGGGCGAGAAGCGAGGTCACCGCCACTGAGGTCACAGGGTACACTGGATACACTGGCTATACCGGTTACTCGGGCTACACGACGACCGACGTGACCGACGACACCCGCAGGTACGATAGCCACTTGGGTAGGCGGTCATCAGTTACCGCATCCACTCGGCCGCCCGTCACGAGGGGTAGACGGGCTACAACCCCTCCCCCTCGCCGCTCGTATACCGAAGGAACATCAACCCGTCTCGAAAGCACCATCCAGTCGGATTACTCGTCGTATTATAGCCCTCCCCCACGGAGAGCGCCGCCCCCTGAGCGTCGAAAGAGCATCAGTGCTGCTGGAGGTAGCGTTTCAGGTCCCAGTGGCGGCGGTGCAGGTAAAGGTTTTCTAGCCAGCATTGGCCTGGGCTTTCTAGCGAAACTTGGTATGGGTGGCAAAGACAAAGACCAGCGAGACGAGCGTGAGAGAGAACGGCTCCGTGATGACGAAGAAAAGCGCAGGGAGGAAGAAGAGGAACGCCGTACCAGCCGCCGCATGTCCAGGTACAACAGCGACGACGACTACCCCAGCCCGTCACGCCGTGACTCTCATCACCATCCTTCCCGTCTGAGTCGTCGTCGCTCTGCGCCTTCGACCATCTTAGCCGCGTCCGATGATGTCCCAACGATTGAACCGCGCGGTAGGGCCCCATATGACCCAGCGCCCCCAAGCAATCACCCCGCTCGTACCAACACAATTGCCCCAGCTCCTCCCCCGATCCCTCCGGCTGGCACCATGCCTGGCTCATCACAACCCTTCCGCCACGACGTCACTGACCCAATCTCCATGCCGCCCATGCCCCCCGACCCACACGGCATCCTGCACCGTTCCAGCGACCCGACCATTTCAGGCGACAGCCGCGAGCGCGAGCGCGAACGCCATCACTCACCCAGCGACCATCACCGCCGACGCAGTACCCGTGACGGAGCAGAGTCATCAACACCTACCGATAGGCCGCCTGTCCAGGGAACGGGGACTCCGCCGACGAATCCGCCTGTTAGTGTGCGCGTGCAGGTTCGCGATGATCCCGAAAGGAATATCACACTGCGGAGGTTGACGGAGGAAGAAGCAAGGCGCGAGCAGGAGCAGCGGAATCGGAGGAGGGGGACGAGTGCCCCGGGAGCTGGCGCTGGTGGAGCCGGAAGAAGGGACTCAATGAGTAGCGTGTCGGATGGGGAGACGCCAAGTAGTAGGCATTATAGACGGGACTCGTCGTCGGCGAACACGGTGAGGAAAGTTGAGGGAGTTACTGAGGCTGTGGCGGAGGATAGATTGGGTGATTTGGAGCTGCCTAACCCGGGTTATGCGAGAAAAGCTGGAGGGTCTGGAGGGAATAAGGACTCGGCTTATTACTCGGGAGGAGCTCAAGGGGGTCCGTCACAGGTGCCTTTGACGACTGCCGGGCCACCTGGCGCGATGCCTGCTGCTGCAGCGACTGTGAGCAGCTTAACGACTGGAAATAGCATGGCTCCGCCTGGGTCAGCTGCACACAACCTCGTGAGTCCCGGAGGCAGCTATACCACGTTCACGAGCCAGCCCATGACGGATGCGACCGCTGCAGCAGATAGGAGAAGACGGAGGAGACTTGAAAGGAGAGAAGGTAGTCGGGCGGGAACGACAACCACAACTACTGATTATAATTGAGCGAAGAAGTGGGGCACACAACACTCTCCTTAGTTTCTTCGAGAGGCAAAGACTGAGGATAATGAGGCATAATTTCATGGATGATTGTTGGTTCATGTATGTATGCAGTTATGAACGGTGGACATAAGGGAGGGAGGTTTGACTTCATGATGTCAGAGCCAAGATTGTTAGATATGTATGTACAGGTTGGTTTCCTGTTGATTGTTGTTAATAACTTTCATGAGGACGGCAAACCTGAGTCACGTCATGAATTCAGTTTTACTATTGATTTCTTTTCATACAGTAACTCAGTTTCAAATCTGTTACCACGCCCCCCAGTGCAGATCAAAAGCCAAACAAAAGACACTATGGTATCCCTTGACTATTCACAACACATGATATATACTTTATGCAACACCTGCCTGATTGAACACACCACCGAATTGAACAACCCCTTGTCAATGTTATCGATGAGCTCTTGTATGAACAAATCAAGGCGCTGCTAACCTGTTCATGCCATAAACAAAGCAAGTCACAGGGGACTGTCCATGGGTTCAATTTTGTGGTGGGCTATTAGTAACCCTGAAGCCTTTTGTAACTGTAAAAACAATGTCATTCATTCTCAACTTCCAGTTCCATCTGCTGGGCTCGGCCTCATTGGACCTTCCAGTCCTCATTTTGGAAAATTACGCCCGAGAGTGGCGAACCTAACCCTGCAGAGAGATAAGGGTATGCAATCTGGAGGCTTTACCGGTTCCAAGTGCTGCTTGCGTGCAGCGGCGCCGATGCCGACAGCGGAAGCAATTAGGGGGTTGGGACACAAGTGGACTGGATAGCCGAATGATAGTACGACCACACGGGATGGAGCCAACCTGGAAGGTGTGGATTGTCAATTGTCGGTGATCGTCAACAACGCGAAACAGTGAGTGGTGGATGTGGCAGTGATGAGTGACATCGCATTGCAGCCCCAAATCATTTAAGCAGCCTACCATCCACTCGCGGAGCATCTTGCCTGCCCATCAGATCCCGTACGTACCTCGTAAGGCTCGTATCATGGATGGCCGGTGCCCTTTCCCTGGGACTGGCTGCTTCCACGTACCACAACTGCATCGCTTCTGCACTCCAACATCCTCACGCTCTTACCTGCCGCTGCCGTTGTGAGTATGACGCACAGCAATACGGGTCTGCGCCAGGCAATATCCAACAGAAATGATGTATTGCTCATTCCTTACAGCGGATAGAAGCCATCCTCCTGTCAACCCCTCCTTTTCATCTTGCTGAATTGCTGCTGCACCCCGGCCTCCTCCCGTCATGCCTAGTTGCCCCTCCGTCCATGAATCAGCGGGGGCTCTAACTTGTGGACCCCACCCCTAGGGCTCCGGCGTGGGATCCACCAGAGACAAGAAAACTTTCTGCAAAAGGCAAGGCCAGACCGCCGCTCCAGGGCTGTCTTACTCTTGCCGAGAGTGTTCGAGAACCGCTGCAGCCAAAAAATCGACGACCCCTCCTTTGAGGTGAGTCGAGACAACCCCAACCCCAGCAGCTTGCCGCAACCCGCAGCCCCCCAGGTCAGAAAACGCAGGCTAGCCACGTACTGAGCGAGATCACGGTTCACTTGCGGGTCTGTGGGAAACCGGCGGGGACAGATATCGAATTGGACTCAAAGCGGAGGGGCCCAATCTGAGGAGGAAACGAGAACTTAGTAAGCTGTCAGCCAGAGAGACACGAGCCACTATCCACAAACCAGCGCCGCCTTGACCTTCTGTTGATCTGTCCACTTCTCCAGTCACCATCTACTTGCCGCAAGTCACTGGTTGCTTGAGCATTGAGCATAGTTCTGTCGCTGAGTACCTCTCGCCTATACATCTAGCCAGAGACAGCTACCACGTTTCCTGTGGCTCACGTGGCAGTGCAACGGGTCCCAGGTAGCGTTGCCAATCGCAAAGGGAACCATTACAGTCACGCGGGCCGGACCATTAATACCGGGCTGGAACCTTCCACGGTCCACGGCATACTGGTTTGCGAATTACGAATACACAAGGGAAAGAACGGGCCAGGACGCTTGGAGCAAGAGTCTGTCTGGGCTAGACTCCCCCAGATTATGTGTTGCAGCCTGCAGGATAACGCCCCTCGGTCTAGTACAGTAACACCAACAACAGCCTTGCCACGAACAGTTTGACAGCCATCACACCTACTTACCTACCTTCTACCGCCGCCATGGATGACGCCGCCCGGATCGTCTCGGAGCTGCACAACAAGCTGGCCGAGCTAGACGGCAAGGTCGCCGCTTACCAGCGTGATATGCTGGCCGAGTTCCATCGCCATGTAGCCGATTGCCTCAAGAATTGTCCGCCCGATGTCTCGACTGAGGTCACCCGAGCCATCAACGATTCCATATCTGCTGGCCGCTATCCATACCTCAGCCCTCCGAAGAAGGATAATCAAGAGGAACAAAGGGATGAGGATGTCAGCGAAGAACGCAAGCCACGTGACGGCAGGAAGTCTCCCCCTCTTGTGCTCCGACATGTATCGGGCGCCCCCAAGACTGGCGCGGAAGTAGAGGCAGAGCTTGAGCCTGAGGGCCTACGGAGCCCCCATGCACGCGAGAGGGAGTTCCATGGCCTATTTACCCCATTTTATTTGCCACTGCTGGAGGGCAGCGACCGCCACGACGAAGGGAACATCTTGTCTGCATCCCCTCCCGACACTCATTCGCTTCCCCTAGTCGTTGCCGGGAAGAAGCAAGGAGATGAGGAATCTGAGGGGAAGAAGTCTGTTTCCGATGCCACTCCAAGTGATAGCGACGTCAGCAGCCGGCCTGAACCCGAAAGGAGGAACACGGATCGCTCGGTTTCTTCGATTAGTTCTTTTGGGAGTGCCAGTGAGCCGAAGCCGGTGCCCATGACTCCAAGGAGTGCCCTTCGTCGGTCTTCCGGCAGCTCCATCAAGAACAGCCCGCGCCGTGTGCGGTTTACGGTTGAGGGAGAGGAAGTGTTTCCAAGTGATGGGCCTAAGCCCCCGTCGGCTTCAGTGTCACCAATACTGACGCCAGGAAGCATGACGCCAACCAGCGAGCCTGCCCCTGCGTCGGCTGCTGTGCAACTTCCCGAGGCGAAGCAGGTAAAGGAGAAGGAGGAGAAGAAGGAGGAGAAGAAGGAGGAGAAGAAGGAGGAGAAGAAGGAGGAGAAGAAGGAGGAGAAGAAGGAGGAGAAGAAGGAGGAGAAGAAGGAGGAGAAGAAGGAGGAGGAGAAGGAGGAAAGGGAGAGGAGAAGAAGGAGGGGAGAAAGAGGGGGAGAAGGAGGAAAAGAAAAAGGAAACCAAGGAGCAGGCCAAGGAGGGAGCTAAGGAGACTAAGAAGGAGAAGAAGGTTGAGAAGACACCAGCCGAACCAACAACAGGTACTAAGGACCTCCTGGACGAGGATGATGAGGACGTGGCAAATTATACCGGTCCGTCACTGCTAGATGTCGAAGGCGAGGAGGATCTGCTACCCAGACCGAAGAAAGTATCTTCGACCCAAGCGTTACAGGCATTGTCGCGCACTCCGCTGGAAGAGGGCACGGTTTGGACAGTCGTCAACCCAGACCCTGAACTCATGAAGGCCAATGGCGAGACGGAGGGGCGGGAACTCACCATCAAGGTGGGGCCACAAGCAACCGTTGAGCCCGTCGATGCGGAAATTGATGAACAAGATGCCGCGGCTAATGGTATTCTTGGGTCCCCGATTGAGGAGATGGCCAAGTTCGATGATGACGGAAGTGATGCATCTGATGACGAGTTCCTTTCCATCAAACCCAAGAGGAAGTCATCCTTGCTATTGCCTGGTTCCAGCAAAAGTGTCGTTGCATCGTCTTCGAAGCAACCTGCGACCCCTTCTTCTTCCACATCCAAGAGGGAACATCATCGGCATCACGGCAACACCGAAGATGATTATGACGATCCACTGTTTGAAGTGGAAGACATTGAAGCCGAGAGGAAAGAACAAAAGAAGTACATTCAAGATGACGACGATGACCACACCCCGTCGCTTCGTTTACGAACTCTTGCCAGAGAAGAGCAGATCCAGAGAGAAGCCGGCATCCCTCCTGAGCAGCTTAAGATGCGCAACGGCACTTCCGGCTCGCAATCCTGGAAGCCGCCTCCCGTTTCACCCTCAGCTGTTCTGTTTGGCCACAGTATCGGCTCCTATAAGGGCCGGTCTGTGACAATCAACCCGATTAAGGACCCCCAACTGTATGATGAGATTGCCAAGTTGAAGGATGTGCACTTCTGGGTTGGAAGTGTAGATGGCAGGAGTGGGATTGAGCCCGCGGATATGGGGAGCTATAGGGCCGCGAATAGGAATTCCATAATTGGACAGGGAGGTGTGCCAATGAGTTTTACGCAGAGGTTGGCGTTAGAGGAAGAGATGGAGAGGAGGAGGTTGGCAGGGGAGAAATTACCTGACGAGGAGTGATGGCTTCAATAGGAAGAAATGCAATCACGTTTGGGATTGCCCTTTGGCTATATGTTCATTGTCTGTTTGTCTATTCACTAGCTGGATGGATGGATGCGTTTCATTTAACGTGATCTGGGTAAAGGAAGGGAGGTACTTGGTGTTCCGGAGCCTGTCAGGTCTGGTGAGAACGGAGGAATTTAAGGAGTGATTGCGTTGGTTTATACAGTGTTAGCGATCATACAAGGCTTTGCATCGTGATACCATCGACGGGCTGGCTTGGGAGAAGGTGGTCACAGACTGGTTGGCATCATCGATGTAAGATGAGATATCGTTAGATGCGATTTAGGTAGCTGGAAATATGTCGTTGAGTTTGATGAGTTTTGGTCTTACTGCCAAGTATCAGGTTGTCTAAAAGCATGGTAGACACATAGATGCGCAACCTCTGTGCCCAACGAATTGAGGAATAACACCTGTTCCCTCCCCCAAGAAGAGCTGGAAAGGCTTCCCCACCCCGCCGCCATCTCCGGGTCTTCGGGCATTCTGTGATCCCCACGGATCATGCACCATCGGCTCCGGAAATTGGTGGGTCCCCGACTCAATGCAGCTGGCCAATCAGCGCGTGAAATGGCTGTGTGAAAGCAGACCCCAGGAGTTTGTCACTTTGTCCTCCGACGACACACCTGTCAATAAATGAGCACCATCATGTCAATAACTGATTGAAGGAAGCTTATATTCTACCTCTTTATTTCATCTGTTGCACGATCTTCACCACGGACAGGATGATAACACACGATTGATTGACTTAAAGACCCAAACACAGAAGTTGGGACAAAAGAGTGTGTGATTGAACCACTAAAGCCATCGTCGTCCCTATTTGCTATCGTTGCCGCCCACGACTTGTGAAGGGACCAAACTTGCAAGAAGGCATTAGAATCTGTGATCACTCCTGCAGGATTGGAATGCGCGCGAGATTTTCCTAGTACTAATCCTCTCAAAAGAAGTTTGACGTGACACCGAACCCATCGAATCATCGCGACAACTTGAAACTTGGATCCGAACCGATCAAAGTCGAAAAGCAGACCACAATGCGCCTACAAGCCCTATCCATCCCCCTCCTCCTCTCTCTTCTTTCTTCTTCAACGGCCTACACCCAGATTTCCGATGACCTCCTCAAAACACTAATCCCGAACCCCTCCGACACCGACTTCGACCTCTCCCCCTCCAACGCTGACTCCCTTCTCGGCCCCCTCCTCATCACCCGCGTCCCGGGGACACCAGGTCAACGCGCAGCACAAGAACATTTCACTCGCTTTGCGACAAAACATATACCAGAATGGAAGCTTTCATGGCAAAACTCTAGCTCGCCCACGCCGTTGAGTAAAGGAAACCCGGTGCCATTCCATAATATTATATTACGAAGAGAGCCGCCATGGGCGAGGAAACGCGGAGAAGGGAATGTAGGGTTGTTGACGTTGGCGGCGCATTATGATAGCAAGATGATACAAGGAGGGGATTTCATCGGGGCTACGGATAGCGCAGCGCCGTGTGCGGTTCTAATGTGGGTTGCGAGGGAGTTGGAAAAGGTGTTGGGGCGGTTGTGGGGGGATGGGGAGGATGGGACAGGGGAGGGTGTGCAGATACTGTTGTTAGATGGGGAGGAGGCGTTTGTGAGTTGGACGGATACGGATAGTTTGTATGGGTCGAGGTGAGTCTTCTACGCTACCTCCAGGTGTTTACTGGGAGAGTCTGGCTGAGTTACTTGAATAGAGCCCTCGCTGCAGCGTGGGAAAACACAACCTACCCAGCCCTTTCAACCTTCCGCAACCCCCTGCGCCAAATAAGCCTCTTCGTACTCCTCGATCTACTCGGCTCGCCCAACCCGAACGTACCCTCATACTTTCAGACTACGCACTGGGCCTATCAGCGCATGGCGACGCTTGAAGGCCGGCTGCGTGGGCTGGGCTTGCTCGAAAGCAAACCGATGCATCCCTTCCTCCCAGATGGCGCGAAGATGGCGACCGAGTTTACACGTGCCTTTATCGGGGATGATCATGAGCCGTTTATGAAGCGCGGAGCACCCGTGCTCCATCTCATTCCCTCGCCTTTTCCGGAGGTGTGGCATCGGCTTGAGGATGATGGGGCACATTTGGATATGGCGACAGTCAGGGACTGGGCGAGAATCACGCTCGCGTTTGTGTTGGAGTGGTTGGATGCTGGGAAGTTGGAGAAGATCCAGACATAGTGAAAGATTGAAAAGATCTGAACCTTTCAAGGACGGGGTAGATCTCATTGTCGTGCTCATCCGTGATTAAGGGCCATATTGAGATGAAATCCATTCAGGAGCCTATACAGCACCCTGCTCTCATTGGACCTCACCTATATCCATCACGAGACACCTCGGGGGTAATGCTCTACGTTCCCTACATAGGAGGGAAATGAAGTGGCTTTAGGCATGCTCGGCTATATGGTATGTTCCCTGCCGTCAACAGCTCGTGCTACACAGAAAAGGCCCTGCCAGATTGCATCTTTGCTGACAGTGGGGGGTATGCATCATTCGTTCAGATTTACCCGAGGTAGCTCTTTCGGGTTGTACTTGCCAGGATCGTTGAGATACGCTGGTGCAACATTTTATCCTACTACTCTTTCAACCAAAGTTCAAATCCACATCATAACTAAGGTGCTCTCTAAGATTCGGTTTACGCATCTGTTCATTGCTGCATCGTGCCATTGGAAGCAGCTCGGCTTTCAGCGACGTCTTGCCCGAACCTGCGAGCTCAACCCTGATGCTTCGAGATGCGCTTGGCGGGGTACGTAGCGGGGCGGAGGGGCCTCAGTTTGACTCATGACTGGCGCCCTCAACTGCCCCACAGTCGCCGCCGCCGAGCCCCCAGCGCAGGCCCTGAGGCGCTGAAGGTATCGCTGGGACTGGGCCACTTCACAGGCACTGGACCTCCGCTGAGTGGCAGGGCAGCACCGAAAGGCTAGAGGCCCAAATTTGTGGCCTGGTCGACGCCGTAGCACCGCTTCTGTTTCGGTTGGTTTCGACATCATCATCTCGTCCTTTGCGCGCAAGTGCTGCTGTCGCTTCGACGTCAGCCTACGGCATTAACGAAAGATATTTGCGACTTGGCAGACGACTCTCTGCGCTTCGTAGCCGCTTGGGCCTCCCGACTGTCACGACCGTCACTCCACCTCCGGCCGAAGTTGCTTCACACAACCTCTTCAACCTCAAAAAGCGCTCTCCTTTGTTCGCTGACTAAGAAGGACGCGGCATTACATTGTTAGGGTTGCTTGTTGTTGTTACAGTCGCACACGCGCCTGCTTATATTCTGTCCTTCTGATCAACCGAGACCACGGCGTCCTACGACTCAAATAATAAACCCCAACAGGCGCGCCACCAATCCCGTCGCGATCCCTTCGCTGGAACCGTCACTGTTGGCGGTATTCTTTTCGATCCGCAACACACTTCAAGGACTCGGCCGCTGCCGAACCCCTGCCTCGTTGTATCTAGCCGGTCCGCCCGCTCCCAGGGCACACAACCTGCGATCGTAGGAACTATGGACGGAAGGAAACACCCGAACTCGTTCCAGCAGCTGGAGAAACTGGGCGAGGGTACCTATGCGACAGTGAGTCGGACCGAGTGAGACTCAAGAGATCAGGCATGACGCTGACAATTCGTGCAGGTGTTCAAGGGCCGCAACCGCCAAACAGGCGAGCTCGTCGCTCTCAAGGAGATTCATCTCGACTCGGAGGAGGGAACCCCTAGCACGGCCATCCGTGAGATCTCGCTGATGAAGGAACTCAAGCACGAGAACATTGTGGCTTTGCACGATGTCATCCACACCGAGAACAAGCTGATGCTCGTTTTCGAGTATATGGATGGCGATCTTAAGAAGTACATGGACACCCAAGGCGAGCGCGGCGCTCTCAAACCCATGGTCATCAAGTCCTTCATGTACCAGCTGCTGAAGGGCATCGACTTTTGTCATAAGAACAGAGTTCTGCACCGCGACCTGAAGCCGCAGAACCTTCTCATCAACAAACAAGGCCAGCTGAAGCTTGGTGACTTCGGTCTTGCCCGTGCGTTCGGCATCCCGGTCAACACCTTTTCGAACGAGGTCGTCACCCTTTGGTATCGCGCTCCCGACGTGCTGCTCGGCAGCCGCACCTACAACACCAGTATCGACATCTGGTCGGCCGGCTGCATCATGGCCGAGATGTTCTCGGGACGCCCGCTGTTCCCTGGTACCACTAACGAAGACCAGCTGCAGCGCATCTTCCGCATCATGGGCACTCCCACAGAACGCACTTGGCCGGGCATCTCCAACTTCCCGGAATACAAGACCACCTGGCAGATGTATGCCACCCAGCCTCTCAGCACCATCCTGCCCCAGATCGATCCCGTCGGCATCGAGCTGCTCACCAGCATGCTCCAGCTGCGTCCCGAGCTGCGCATCTCTGCCGCTGATGCTCTCAACCATCCCTGGTTCCATGACCTGCCCGGCGTGCAGCCCCAGCCTCAGCAACATATGCCGGTCACCGCTGTCCCGCCGCCGATGCCGCGTCCGCCATATCCGCAGCACCCGCATGCTCAGCACCCAACTCATCCTCACCAGCAACATCCCCAGCACCCGCATCAGTACGCGCAGCATCCTCAGCACCCCCAGCAGCCCCAGCAGCCGATGCCTATGCCCCAGCCGGGCGCGTATCAGGTGCCTAGCCAGGGAACCTATGGCGGCTATTAGTGGTAGTACGGCACGACTGGGCTTTGGTAAGGGGTGTCTTTGCGTTTTGAAGGTTTAGCTCTTTAGGGGTTTGCTATGCTTTGCTCTGGTTTTGCTGGCTTACGGTGGTAATGTCTATGAGTTAACGGAATTGTATGGCATGGTCATGGTTTGTCTTTATGGTATGAGAGCTTGGGAATCTTCTACACGACGGGGTGGAAGGAGATGTCGGGCTTAGCCTCTGGTGAACAGGACGCTTTCTCACTATCCTTAATTTTTGTTTCCTTTTCCAGCCAAGGGTGTTTGGGTTCGCAAGGGGAGTACACAAAGTAGACCGTCGGTTTCTGATTTTACACGTATTTTTCCCTCCCTTTTTCTGGCTCATACCATTTGGTTGGGCGGCGAGATGTCATGAGGAGAGAGGACCTTGAGGGGTTACGGTGTCAGGGTCGGGATTTCTGGGTTGCTACATCTGGTCAATGTCACAGTTGTCAGTGCTTTCTTAAAACGGATAGCATGCTAAATAAAATCACCAGTATGAAGAGACATTAAAGCAGACGCTCGGACGAAAAATCTACAACTTCTCTGCGATCAGATGAATTCAATTGTTCTGGTTGCTCTGATCGCTCTCGCTACCATTAGCACCCAATTGTACCTGTACACTGTACGTGCATATGCTAAACTGGGTAAAAGCCATAATTGCATATCGATAACGGTTCGGTACGTAGCCTGATCGCTGCAGTTGTCCCTCCGCGGCCACTACCGCAACGTTTGCCGCAGCTCCAAGCGCAGGACCGGGCACTGTCGAGCCGCACGAACCTAGACATCTCACAGCGACAACTTCCAACCTGCCGCAGCGACACCCGACTAAGGAAATGGGTGCGAGCCGTTCTTCATCTTTTCTAGTGCCTTTGCGCCCTCTGTTCTAACCATTAGGTCTTCGCCATTTGTTCGCCTGCCAAACCTCGCCACCCGATTCAGCGGCCTGAAGCTTGCGCGGTACCTTATCTTTGGGAGCGCAATCACCGAGGCCTCGACCATCAACCATCCATCAACCAAAACACCAGGCATCTTATCATCCATCAAAACAGCCATTTCCCGGAAATCCATCAACTCGCGAATTGAACCATCATCAATATAGCCGTCGCTCGTTCTATGAGCATCTGCAGTCGCAATGGATTCGCGCAAAGGTCCGTCACCCTTCATTCTGGTGCCTTGTGCGCGTCGCTAATCCTGGCGTTTCCCTGCCGCAGATGAAGAGGCAACAATCAAGGTCGCGCCGGCCAAGGGCACCGTTCTAGCCTCGAAGCCCCATATCTGGGGCAAGCTCAAGCTCAAGAAGCCGCCAGTCAAGCAAATCAAGCCTGGCAATTGGAAAGAGGCTACGCTAGTGGAAGGTTGGTTTAATGGACAGCTCGCTCTCCGCACAAGCGTACGCGCTAACCTTGACGACCTGCAGACAAGAAGAAAGACAAAGATGGCGGCGCAATCAACGCTGCATCGCCCGGCCCCGACGTGAACCAGCTCGACGACAGGGCCCGCGACACCTTTTCGAACGGTCGACCCCTCGAAGATGTTCTCGAGCTCTTACAATGCAAGCTGTGCAGGAAGGGCATCAGCCGCACGGCCGCCAGGGATCATATCGCCAAATGTCTGCAGATCAAGAAGGAAAAAGCCCAGCGAAAGAAGGAGGCCCGCGAAGCTCGCGAACGCCTCAAGGAGGCTGCTAGGGAAGAGGAAGCTCGCAGGCTTGAGGAGGAGGGCGCTGCTAAGGGTGATGACGACAGTGACGACGACGATGGTAAGGAAGGAGCCGGCAAAGCTGGTAAGAAAACTAAGAAGACCGATGTCGCCGGCAAAAAGAGGAAGGCCGAAGGCGAGCTCGACAAGGGCAAAGCGAAAAAGAAGAAGGACGAACCCAAGCCCAAGGTCGCCAAGCCAAAGGGACCCGTTGATGTGGAACGCCAGTGTGGTGTGCCGCTACCAAACGGCCAGCTTTGCGCACGCTCATTGACGTGTAAGAGTCACAGCATGAGCGCAAAGCGTGCCGTCCCTGGCCGCTCGCTACCCTATGACATGCTCCTGGCTGCCTATCAGAAAAAGAACCAGGCGAAACAGCAGAAGGCAGCACTCGATGCCAACGCCCCGTTGGAAGATGAGGATGATCTGAACGCCGGAGCCGTCGACAGCGACGAGGAGACTGCCGCTGTCATGTCGGCCCTGGCCAACTGGAACCCTCAACCTGTCGTACCGCAGCCAGTCTTTGCACCGCTTAAGAGGCAGTACCAGCTGGCTCGCCTGCACGAGCAGCTACAGGCTGCCACCAACGGTGGCCGTACGAACATATTCAAGGTTGTTGGTTTTGGCGCCCAGCGCCTGTCCGATGGCCATCTGGGCCTCTACGATGCCGAGGATGCCCCTGGCGAGCCCGACCCAGTTGGCCTGGGCAGCCTCTCGCGTCGCTCATCAAGCATCGGTCTCTCTGGTGTCCCACAGCGCCGACCTTCTGTCACGAGCCGGGCTTAGAGTGCCCAATTTTGTGACGGATTGTCAGTCGCTGGTGAGGATGATACAACACAGCAGGCACAGATAGCTGCCGTTGATCATGAATCTCAGAAGGAGGATGCGCCGCTGGCTGAGGTGTGCAAAAAGCCTTGCTGGAAGCCCAAAGACCGGCCCGGATCAGTGCTAGACCAGGAGTATGTACCGATGTCTGGTCGTTCACTCTCAAAGGTCACGAAGCTGAAAGCAACAGGCAGAGCTGCCGCAAACCGGCAGCCGAAGCAGTCACGAAGAGCGGCTTCTGCCATTCCTGAGTCATCAAAGCCGCTCGCGGATGCACCGGTTAATACCATTGTTAGCAAGTCATCCCCTGCATTGCCGACTGCCACGCCGCTTTATGCATTCGCGAACCTCCCTACGACGGACCTTCGACTCCAACCCGCAGAGCTGGCCATACAGGAGATGCGTAAGAGGTTGATTGCGGCATCCAGCTCCTCTCAGAGTTCTATTTCGTCGACAGGTGTACGTGCGCCGAGAGGTCGGAAGCGGAAGGAGGACAGGTCAATGCCTGGGATTCATGGTAGTCAGCCCATGGAAAATATCCATCGAGCTACGGACGGTGTCCGCCAGACGCCAGAGAACATGGCCCCGACTCCTAAGGAGAGCCCATCGGATTCGACTGTTGAGATGCGGGTGTTGGAACTGGGCCAGCTGCTGGCCCAGGAGGATTCACTGGCCAAGTCCAGCCCTGTTCTTCCTAATACGCCAGTTGTTTCTCTTCTGGGGACATCGCAGAACGGTGCTACCAATGGCTTGAAGCAAGGCGTCCAACATATTCAGAGACAGATGGCTACAAAGCCAACTTCTGTTTCTCGGGCAATATCACATTCACCGATGTCTTCTCGCCCTCTTTTCTCCGCTCCTTCCCCCCCTATGATGTCTCATTCATTGTCTCCTCTCACCCGTGCTGCGACTCCGAAAGCATTGTCGTCGTCACCGTTGGTCATGTCAATGTTGCTTCCACAACAGCCACCCTCACACCCTTTTGTGTCGCTGCCAAGTGGAAGTACCCTCAGCCAAGCCATGCAACAATCGCCGATCATGACGTCGATGTCCAAATCTGGTCTGACACCTGCTGCCACGAGACAACCATCCCCGGGAGTTATGCCTCATTCGCCTCCACCAAGACAGGGACCTGGCAGACCGCCCAAACCCAGGCCTGCCGACCCTGTCAGTCCAGTTAACCCGACCAGATCCCCTAATCTACCGAACGCGTCCTACCTGACAACACTTGGCGATCTATCGACAGGCATGCAGCCGCCACAGCTGCCACATATGCCACAACAGCAAGTCCCGCGGGTCAAATTGAATCAGATGCGAAACCAAGCACTGGCTAGTACTTTTTCACCTAGGCCGAGTTATCTTCCTTCTCAGCGTCTGGATCCAATCCGGGAGCAAGCGATCAAGCGTGCGGCAGAGAGAGCAGCGGGGCTTAGAATGGCGCAGGCTCAACGGCAGCCGCAAATGCAAGTGCACATGAATGTTCAGGCTCAGAGGACCCCTCAGCTTCAGGCTCGAACATCTCCTCCAACTGCAAGCCCGGCTGAGACGCAAGGCCAGATGCTAAGTGCAAGAGCCCAGGCTGAAGATCAGGGGCAAAACAGGCTCCGCATGGGGCAACCACAGGCGAACACACAGTTGATGAGGATAGATGGGCCAGGGATGGCTGCTGGAATGAGGCAGCCCATAGGGAACTCGCAGATGGATACGATGCAACCACAGCGGCAGGTAATGAACACTCCTGTTGTGCCAGCACCTCAATCCTCGAGTCCACCCTCGGCAGAAAGATCATCCTCACAACCGCAGCCTGTCAGAGATCAAATCGACTCTGCGAGCGTTCAGGCGGAAGCAGCGCAAGATGAGACGATGAATCTCGACAACGATGAGATGGACGACATCCTCCGTGAGGTGAAAGCGCAGGCTGAAAGGGAGGCAGAACGTCAGATGGCAGCGCTCTCCCGGACGAGGCCCCAAGCGCAGCAGCAGGCCCAGAATCTGCGTTCGACTCAAAACCAGAGCCAGATGCATGCTCTCTCACCCGTGGCGTCTGAGTCTTCATCGCCTTCTCTGGTCATGTCTGCTAGCCTGCCTGGGTTGAATGAAGTGAATGTTCGTGCCACGGTAGCAGCTGCTGCAAAGAAAGTAGCTGGTTCAATCTCGCCAGTAGCTAATATTTCTTCAGCAGCTACTGCTCTCTCTTCCCCGTTAGATTGTCGCCCTTACACCACCACCAGCATTCCGCGACCCAGACTGGCCACCACTGCACCAGTCCCACTCATGGGAGCTACTGGTCCTCCGGCTGCATCTGGCACGACTCAAAACATAGGTAGTTTCCATGTACAACAGCATCGACAACGTCGGCAACAGCAACAGCTGTTGCAGCAGCACGCTCAGCAACATCAGCAACGGCTGCAGCAGGCTGCTGTACACAACAACCAGCAGCCGTTCCGGTTCACGTATCCTGCCGAATCGATGGCTGCTGCTGTGGCGATTGCTGGGGCACATAACCTCCGGCCAGTGGTTCCCTTGCCTCCCCAAGCATATCTTTTAAGTGCTAGTCAAGGTGGTGGGAGGTCTGGGTCTAGGGGAAGTAACATTAGGAATGGCTCGCAGGCACGGACCCAAGAACAGGGATAGGGACATAGATATTCACAAGAGCAGGGCATGGGGTCAAACTCAGGTTAGTGAATGGGTCTGGGATATGTGCCCATCCCTCCATAACTCACCACTTTTATCACGTTGGGCCCATCATTGGGCCATATATACATATCTTTCCCACACATTTGGTATCACTAGCGTTCTGGCCGGTTATTTCTTCTTGTCCGTCGCTTTGCTATTCTGCCTCTCCATTGAGGTTTTGGTTCGGTGTTGCTTGGAACTTTGCTTGCTTGCTATAGGGCTTGGTGTTTGGTTGGTGTTTGGGAAAGTCGGCTGAAAGTTCTCTGGGTCTGGTCTGGATGGGTTCATGCATTACAACGAGCAAAATCACAACACAACAATCATCATGGTGTATTTTCTGTTTGACTTGGAAGAGAAAGGGAATGATGGAGAGGCTTTGAGGAAGACCTGGTCTTCTGAATCGGAATCATGGCAACGGCGCTTTGCATTTGGTCAATGCAAGACAGGAAAGCATGTCTCGACTAAGGAGGAGAGGGATAGTTTGCTGGATTGACTCTTTTGCGCCGTCTTCATTGTCAACTTGTGCATGGATGTGACTTAAATGGTAGTGGTATGTGGTGTCAGCCCTTTGTAAAGAGCAAGGCTGCAGCGCATTGTGTACATAGATGTATTGGTAGACGATGGTTATATACATATACCCTGTGTTGTGTTGGTTAAGACATGTGACGAAAGTGCGTTCTATGTTTTTGAATATAAGTCCCAGCATTTGATGTCACTAGCATCCAAAGCAGCAACCCGTACAGCATAATGAGCCACCAATCTCTTCACACAGATCTGCTCTTCATTCCCAAAACAGGCCAACTATATCTACTATGCTCTCGTTCCCATATCCTATAAAATTCCTCAGTCACCTCCCCCATCCTAACCGGGGATCCACCCTCTACCAATCTCCCTTTTCAAAATAGGGCGTGTAGCTCATTTGGTAGAGCGCTCGCTTAGCATCTCTTCGAGACCATCAAAAGGGCTATCTTAATGCGAGAGGTACTGGGTTCGATTCCCAGCTCGTCCAAAGGAATACTAGAGAGCGATTGGGTTGGAGGGTTGCATTTTTTTTTAATGGCCCACTAGGGTGGAGATGTGGAGTATGGGTGATGTCTTGAAGGAAACATGAACTATTGTGGCAGCTGATCATGGATATTGAGTTAAAGATGTTTTTTTTCCTTTTTGGGGGGGGGGCGAGCGGTTAATGATATTAATTAAAGTTGACTGCTGTCTTTGCAGCTCTTGATGAGATAACTCTCAGCTGTTGAAAGAATGGTAAAACTCGGACATCACACCTTTGTTCTGTTTGTGTTGTCTATCACAGAGGCCTGTATTATGCAGCTTAATGCTTGCAAATGGTATTAGATTACTTAATTTGGCGAAAGGTTGACAAAGTTCTGACATCCAGTGGAATCAAGGTGACTTCAGGTGCTGTCCACAAACATTAAGAGAACGCTCTCAGTTGCCCCCAGCATAGCACCGTCTATAAAAACCGGCATAGTCTCGTAAATAAAAGGGACTCATGCCAGAAAACAAGGCTACTACTTAATAGCCATCGCAGTTCTTACGTCACGAACTTGGCGAGGAGGGCTTTGGCTGTCAGCCATCTCAAAGGTTTGGAGATATCTCATGCGCAGGCCATTCTGGCAGCCCACAAAGCCTCAGCTCAAGCCACAAATGACACAGTATCCTTCTTTACCTGATTCTTCCCTCCCGCCGAGAACCCTGTCCCCTCCCGGCGCAGTTCAACCAGGCCAGGTTGAATCTTATCCTTTTCCTTTTTCTCTTCGCTTTCTTTAGCAGGCTTTTCTGTCACATCAGTATCACACACAAAGCATCGTACCGTCCCATCAGCCGCAGATGGCTTCATGAATTGGCCGACGCAGCTGCGGCAGAGGACATGCCCACAAGGCTTGGCTAGCATGGCTTTAGATGCGTTGGTTAGGGCTTTTTTGCAAGAGGGGCAGATGCGCTGGAGTTGTTTCGTTTCGGAGTCGGTTTCTTCGGTGAATTTGATGGTTATAAGACTGTGGAGTGAGTAAGGGTGAGGGTTGTCTTCTGGAGCGGCAGGACAGATGGGTCGAGTCTTTTTATTCTTGGGTTCGGTACTGCGCGAGTCGGTCGAGGGTGTCGCGGCGGGAGCCCAGAACGGTAGGGATGGCTTTGAGGACTGAAGAGTACATCAGCGGGCAGCCAGTTGAGTGACACGAAGGGGTGGGCGACGCTCACCTTTTCTTCTTCGATGGCTTTTCGAACTTTTATCCTCTCTTCCTCGGCAATACGGGCAAGCTCATCGGCATCCAAAGAGAACTTGCGCTTCTCGCCCCTCTTTTCGCCGTGACTCTGCCCGCTCTCACCAACTACCCCATTCTTCAACGGCCCTGAACGCTCAAGGTTGTCCTTCCCAGAACTCTTAGTCTCCCTCCCTGCCTGCTGTATACTTAGTCCCAACTGCGTAAGTTCAAACTCCCTAATGGCCCTCTCCCTCGCCTCAGCATCCCTTCTAGCCTCCTCTTCCAGCCTCTCGCGCTCCTCCTGCTCCCTCATCTTCTCCAATCGTCTAATCTCTTTCTTTTGCGCAAGGATATTCGACAAGGCGCACTCGCGACAGAAAATGTCGCCGTACGAACATGCAACTGGGTCTATGGCGGGCTCAAGACACAGCCAGCAGGATGCGAAGGGCAGAAATGACTCGCGCGAAAGGCGGGCTGAGGATGAGCCCCAGGCGGCGCGGGCCATGGCGCGCTCGTGAGAGGTAAAGATAGGCCGGCTGGTGTTTCTCTTGCCTGGGCGGTCAGTATGTGCTATTGGAAAGCTGACATGACAATTGAACTTACTATGAGCCATTGTGACTGTTGTTGGATGGGGAAGGTTGGAGGGAGAAGTAGATATAGATGACTTGGTGACAAAAAAGGGGCTCCTGGAGTCACGTCTCGAAAGTCCAAGAAGCTCAAGATCAGTGGAGACCGGCAGTTGGCATGTCTTGGCACTGCGGGGGATGGGGAAGCTGACCCTTGTCGCTGATGCACGCAGCCTGCAGGCCCTTCTGGAAAATCGGGTACATGAATAAATCAACTCGTCAATTGCATTCTTCACCTTGATACCATTGCCCGAGTCTTTTTTCTGTTTCCGTTCGTTCTCTCTTCATGTCTTTTGTTCTCCCCAGGGGTGATTTGGGGCCGAAATCCTGACAATTGATTCCAATGGGATGAGGTTCTAACTTGCAATTGAACACTCTCCCACAATGTCGGCCTCATCGCCGGTCCCCCAGCGGCCCAGCCTCTCATGGCAGATAAAGTCAGCCCTGGTCATGGGAATGACCGGCGTCATCTCTCGGGTTTTTCTGTATGGCTTCAACAAGGTCGAGGTCCACGGTTTGGACCGTTTTTTGGAGCTTTTGGACAGCCGCAAAGACCCCGCGAATCGAAAACACGGTCTCCTGACTGGTATGTTGTGTTCCCATTGACTTGAGGTTACATCACTGACCGTTCCTCAGTCTCCAACCACATCAGTGTGTAAGTGGCTGTCGACGCAGTCACATTTCAACCACGACCCCAATCTCACACTCTCCTTTCAACCAGTGTCGATGATCCCGTAGTTTGGGGTCTGCTCCCTCTCACTAAATATGCCTTCAATCCGGACAACCTCCGCTGGACCCTCGGTGCGGCCGATATCTGCTTCAAGAATAAGTATGCTCCTACTCCCTTAAACATTTCCTTGGTGTCCTAACTCTCCCAGACTCTTCGCGTCCTTCTTCACAGTTGGCCAAGTCCTCCCCTGCCATCGCCTCAAGCACTCTCCCTACGGCGGACCCTTTCAGCCTGCCCTAACCCAAGCCATCCGCCTTCTCTCGACCCCCAATCCTCTCCTCTCCTCTAATTCACCAACCTCACTACCCCTAACGTATACCACAGACGGCACAGACACCCACCCATCACCCCTCTCCTTCCCGAAACTCCGCCGCCATGCCTGGGTTCACGTCTTCCCTGAAGGCTTAGTCCACCAACACGCATCGACCGACCTTCGCTACTTCAAATGGGGCGCTGCCCGGCTCATTTTAGAGTCTGACCCGGTGCCTGATATCGTGCCCATGTTCATTGATGGCACACAGCGTGTAATGCCAGAGGACAGGGGGTTCCCGAAATTTTTGCCCCGGATCGGAAAAAAGGTACGGGTGGTGTTTGGGGAAGTGGTGGATTATGAGAGGACGTTTGGGGATTTGAAGAGGCAGTGGGATGCGCTTGTCGAGAGGGAAAGGAAAAGGTTGGTGAAGGAGGGCGGGGAAAAGGCAATGATCTTGCTGAAGCAGATGATGCCGGGAGAGTTGCCAACAGATGAGTTGAAGTATGGAAAGGAGGCGAGGGAGATTAGGATTGAAGTTGCGAGGAGGTTGAGGGAGGAGGTGTTGCGGTTGAGAAGGGAGTTGGGTGGGTATCCGGAGCCCGATCCGTCGTTTGCGTTTGCCGAGACATGGCGGCCAGATGATGTTATTGGGGCGAAGAAGTATAAAAGCAGGGTCGACGGGAGTAATATTAACCAGGACTGAGATCTAGGCATTAGTATACAGGCGTCCAAAAGGGGGAATGAGAAAATCAATTCGTTTCCAGACGATATAGGTCTTGTGGGGGTTGGGGGGCTACTCATTGAAAAAGGGGTAAAGGCGTCTGAATTTATCTCAAATTACCACGGATCACATTCTCCGGTTTATTCAAGACGCTTGTGTTTGACAAGAGTTCTAAATGACCATTATGAGAAGAAAAATACCTCTAAACATGTGTATCCCAAATGCTATGCGCCATATAGCCCATGCCTCATGCCCCCTAATTATCCTTTCTCGACCAGTATCTCCTCTGCCAACACTTCCCTTCATCATACTTCCTTCTATCATGCACCATGCCATACTATCCCTACCTCACAGCCAACATTGCAAACCCCATTCCCCTCTGCGTTCCCATCCCATTCCCATTCCCCTGCCCGTTCGGAATAATCCCTTCCATCCTATTCTTCATATCCGACCTTCTCCTTTCCCCCTCCACGATCCCCTCTACGATCTCCATCAGCAACCTGGCCTGCCCCATCCCCGTATCCTTCCACGCCGTCTCCAGCAGTCCCAATGCCCACTCTCTACACTTTGCCTCCACGCCCGGCGCACACCCAGCCACTTTAATCTCAAACAACAGCGTCGGGACCCCCGCAAATCCAATGACTGCTCCACCATGGGTACGGTCAAAGATTGAACAAGCCCAGTGCTTTGGTCGTAAGGAGGGATGGCGGTAGTGAGACGGGGTCGAGACGAGGATATCACGGGCTAGACGAGATATCACGGTCAATGAGGATTGTATCCTCGCTGGCGAGATCAATGCATTAGGAAAAGAGGTGGTGTTTGTCATGGGAAACCGAAACGCAGCCTCAAGCAGCATCTGGCACGTTAAAATACGTGCCCAGCGGTAGTGATTCCATGTTCGGGCGACAAACATGTCAGAGTAGACATGGTAGGCGCCGTCGAAGACGGCTTGCGGAGGGACGGGGTCAGCTGTAGGGGAAGGGGCGTAGTTGGAGAGGAGGTCTTCTGTTACGGTCCAGATGTTCGTGTTTGTAGTGGAGTCATTGCCGTTTGTGTTGGTGTTTGTGTTGTGTGTTCGTACCTGGTCTTCCCAGGCCGCGAGAGCGTCGTCAAGTTGAAGGACTTCGTGAATCACGTTTGCAGTTTGGGGGTCGCCATCCATTAAGGGTTGGCTGTGGACTCGGGCTGAAAGCTTGACGAGACGGAGGACAATAGGGAGGAGCTGGGCGGCAGGTTTGTCTTCCGATGATACGAATCGAGAAGCGAGGTCAATCCATTCGAAAATGGATTTGGGGAAGGCTTTGCCATCGGAGAGAATGCCTTTTGGAGTAAATGGGATGGCGAGGGTCGGCTGGGGGGATGAGTGTTGTAGAGATCGCTGGACCTGGGCTAGGATGGTGAAGCACATCTGGATAAGGCCGCGAGCACCTCCGTTGATAGATGGACGATATGAAAGCACTGTGCTCAAGATTGCTGCTCCGCCCATGACATGCGTTCTTGCTGGGCCTACTGGCTCGTATGGATTACTAACAACCTAGGAAGGCTTAGTCAACGTTCAGACGCTCTTTAAATAGTGCAAGCTCACTTCGTACGTGGCCATCATGACGACGGCACGTAAGATAACCTCAAGGTCTATATCGGTGATATTTTGTATCCTCGATGAGATGCTGTGGAGAGCACTTCCATAATGTTGCCTCGCTAACGTGTTCAGCTCCCTGTCATTATGTAGGTTTGCCTGGGCAGAGAATCCCACAGCCGCCATGATATCTCGTGTCTCGGGCGAGTGAATCCATCTGCGTCCTTGGAGTTCTTGGCCAACCTTGGGCTCGTCTGGCAACCCGATTACATAGTGTTCGAGATAAAATTGGATAGCCTTTTCAACAGGCGTGGCAGAGATTTCTTTAGGTAAGCTCTTTCCAACCCCCTCAGTTGATAGGCGGTTTTTTGCTGAGACCACTGCGCCCGACTTAGACTCGGCATCTGCATCTGCGGCGGAAGGGCCTTGTGCAGGTGCAGACGTTTCCCTCGATCTCACTGGTGTTGTTAAACCCCATTGGGCGTGAGCCTTCCGGATGACCTTATTGCTCTCATCTCGAAACATGAGAGAGATTGGGTCCCGGTAGCCAGGACATGGCTTGCGAGCCCGGATACACTGGGTGCATCCGGGGGATACACGGTCACACTGGCTCGAGTCAGTGCCTAGTTTGTGGAGAGGGAGAGGGAGATGAACATGAGCAGGTTAGGTTCAAGATCCGATGCAAAAGCCATGCAGGGTGTGTAGACGTCACAGATAACATCCTTGTCCGGCCTGCCCTGTGAGAAGATCGAGAACAAACGGCGCCAAGGCGGGTCAAAGATGAAATGTAGGATAAGCATACAACTGAGAGAAATGGTGACACCACATGGGCAAGAGAAACAGAAATAAGCTTACTTTTATACGTCTAATGCGGCAGTTTTCACAGCCCTGCGATGCCTTGCCACAGTAGACCATGGCTGGCTGGAGGAATGCCCGCGTTGACGCGTTGACAAGGGCGATCAGTGAATGTGACCACACGACCGGAACGGGCAATCAGCTCGTCATCAACGGTATCCCGGCCCACACACAACATGGGGGGTCAGGTCACTCAGCAATCGGCTCGCGGATTACGGATCGCGGAGTAAGCGGAGTCGCGGGCCTGCTGCTCGGAAAGTCGGATGTCTCTCCAGAGCCCCAACGTGATGACGCGCCAAATTCCCGTGCTACAAACACGTGTGCCGATTAGTTAACCCAGGAAGGTAAGCAAGCTGTCGCGGGAGGATCTCTGTCGGATCTCGCTCAGATTTGATAGGAAGATGCGTGTCCAGGGTCCAACAACCACACCGAGTTGCCTAATGTGTGGGGGATGGATCTGGGGGATGTGGATGCATGCCGCACAATACCATGCAGTGCCTGGGATCCTGGGCTGGCGATGTTGCACTCGAGCTGTCAACTGTTCAGCTGGAGTTGCGTTCGTCGTTACTGCCACCTGTATGGTGTGGGATATGTGGCGTTCCGTACGAGGGCAGCATGCACACGCCCACCAAGGTTGTGGAAACGTGTTACAACAGCAACCCGGGGGTGTGGTTCACGTCGATATCGGCTGTGATTATGTCTGTGTCTGGGCGTGTTTGTGTGTTCCTGGCTTCTCTGGTTGCACACTCGCAGCTCCGCAGCGGCCCGGTGAGAAACAACCAGTTTGAACATAAGAGTGCGGGGAAAGCTGTGTGGTTAAGGCTGCTGCGAGCTGGGTGAGGATGACTTGGGAGCTGCCGAGCCACTGGCAGAAGCCAATCTAGCGTGCCATTGCGAGCCCGGCGAGTGACAGAGAGTGTGTCGGTGCCGAAAAGAAGGGCGAGCTGGCTGTTGTATAAACTTTCGAGTCTCGACGCGATCCTCGAGCCTCTTCACCCGTCTCGGACCCCAGCTCCTTCAGCATGCATCTCCAGTGCACTGAACAGTGGGTACCGTACCTGTGAGACCGCGATGTTCACAACATTCTGAACAATAGGATCAACTGCCGGACGAGCATTTGATCTGCCAAGTCCCCGGGACGCCGAATTAGCACAAGCCACCTACTTGGCGCTACCGAATAGGTTTATCAGGGTTAGGGTTATGGTTGCCACATGGGTTGAATCTAGATACACAAAAAAGGGCGATTGTGATGTTGAGATACTCATTGCCTGAGCATCATGATGATGGGAGCACATGTAATCCGTATCAATGTCCCACTGTTTGGCCGACTCTTGTTGGTCAAGCTCCTGCAAAGGCCTGCGCCCTGTTATTGGATCTTGTCGAAAGGCAAGGGTGAAACTGAACGACTGGTTGATATGGCGTTCCAATCCCTTGGATCTGATCCGTGCACTGGCCAGAGCCACAAAGCCATAAGGCAGGCCAACTTTGAATCGGAAGCTCTCCGGCTTCGACATGCTCTGCATCCGAAGTCGAACAGGCTGCGAGACGCAGTGCAAAAATCTAACAATACAGGTATCAGCCACACTATGAGAGATCCTGACGTAAATCTACTTATCCAGAAGTAGGATCTATGTGCTGAATGCTTCAATGGCCTGAGATGCAATATCCCAGAGCTGGACATAGTCTCTTGTCCAGGTTGGGCACAGAGCAGAGCCAAGCCGGGTCCGAAGATGGCCACCTGGCAGCCTTGAGTCAGTTGCCCCGCTATCAGATTTGGTGATATTGTAACCATGAATGACTGTGTTGCATCTCTCAGCGAGAATCGACAAAATAGTTTGGACATCCTTCATCGACATTCTAGATGGTCAAACAGAAGAGATGCATAAGAACCAGATGATGGCAATGAAGTCTCCAGGCTCTGGCCCCCCCCCGTGGCTTATGTAAGCAGACCAGACGCTCGGGCCGCACCAGGGGTTTGACCACCCACACATCCACGCTCACGCCCACAGCCCACACTGCTGCACCTTGCCTTTAGGTTTGCCAAGAAAACTTTCCGTAGACTGTGGGCCTGTGGGCTGGCAAAGCACGCCCAAAATCAATTTTCTGCTTGTGCTCGAGGCCAGAACCTGGAAGCCCAGCGAGCACTCTGCTTGTGTTCCAGCAGAACGACTTCCTTCAAATCCCATCTTTCGCCCCAGCGATCCCACGAGCTCACAATTCTCCTTTCCGTTTCCACGTGCCTCGAGCAGCGTCTTTTGTCTCCCTTTTTTCCCGCCCGTCCTCGCACGTTTTTCGCAGTTTTCCCTGCAGCCAGCTTTCTCCGAGCACACCCCTCCCACACTTCCACTTTCATCATCTCTGTTCCGTTCCCACTTTCCACTTCCCACTCTCCCACCAACAAACAGCCCAGAGCCAGTGCCCCAGTGCCCACTGCTGCTGCACCCACATTGTCTGGCCCCACCCAGTCCAGTGCTTTTGCTCATCCACCCATCCGCTCATTTACGCCGACTAGGAGCTCAGTTGAACCGACTGTATGCCGCCCCCAATTCTCCAATTCCTCTCTGGAATCCATCACGGGAAGCCTTTTCCCAGCCAACTTAACTCTCTGCTAACCCTGTCCCTCCAGCCCTATCTCCCATCTTCCAAATCCGATCTTCGATACTTCAGCCCGATACCACACCCCCGGGCACTTAGGAACGCATCCTAGGCTCCGCTTTCTTACCTCGCGCACCGAGTCGAAACCTTGAATCCCAGCTTTCGATCTCACCCAGCACAACCACTCCCACTCCCCCACTCTACCAACCACCGCGCGCCCATTCAAGATGGCGACCAACGGTAATGTTAATCACGACCAGTACGCGGCTGCCCCGGCCCAGAAGACTGAGGCGCCTACCGCCAACAACACCAACACCGAGAGCTCGGCTCGCGATCTCCCCAAGGACGAGGTCGGTTGGTATTTTGTCGAGCAGTACTACACAACCCTGAGCAAATCCCCCGAGAGGCTGCACGTGAGTACTTCCGCTGCCGTCCTAGGTACCATCTGGATTGTGCGACTGACCATCTCGGCAGCTGTTCTACGGCAAGGGATCGCAGTTCGTGGTTGGCCTCGAGGCTAAGGTGGTTCCTGTTTCAGTCGGTCGTCATGTAAGTCGTGTGCCCATTTTCTTCCATTGCTACCCAACCCAAACCAGGGACTGACCCATCAAAAACAAACAGGCCATTCAAAACCGCATCAAGGAGCTGGAGTTCCAGGACACCAAGGTTCGTATCTCCAACGTCGATGCCCAGGGCTCCGGCGACAACATCGTCATCCAGGTCATCGGCGAGATCTCCAACAGGGGCGAGGAACCCAAGAAGTTTGTCCAGACCTTCGTGCTTGCCCAGCAGCCGTCTGGCTACTTCGTGCTCAACGACATTCTGAGGTATCTCGAAGAAGAGGTGGAGGAGGAGCCTGAAGCTCCTGTTGAGGAACCTGCGGCTCCCGCTGAGCAACCTGCCGCTCCTGTTGAAGCTGAGGCTAAGTCTGAAGCCCCCGCTGCTGAGGAGCCCGCCCCTCCTGCTCAGGAGCAAACCCAGCTGGACACAGCCGCTGTTACCGAGAAGCTCGAGGAGGCTGCTGCCGTTGAGACCCCGGCCGCTGAGGCTACTCCTGCTCCTGAGCCCGTTGCTGAGGCTCAGGAGAAGCCGGCTGAGGAACCTGAGGCCAAACCTGATGTTGAAAAGACCGTTCAGGAGATTGCTGAGGAGGAAGTTAAGAAGCCCGAGGAGCCTAAGGACCCCAGCCCTACTCCTGCTGCTACTGCTGCTCCGGCCCCTGCGCAGGCTCCGGCCCCGGTTCCGGCTCCGGCTCCTGCCCAGCCTGAGAAGCCGAAGGAGCCCCCAAAGCCTATGTCGTGGGCTAGTCGTGTGGCTGCTACCGTTCCTCGTCCCGCTGTTCCGGTTGTTCCTAAGCCTGCTACCCCGCCCACGCAGGCTCACCCTCGCGCTCCTGCCCCTGCGCAGGCCCCGGCCCCTGCTGCTCCTCAGCAGCAGTCCGAGAACACTCCGACCCAAACCTCAACTAAGGATAAGGATTCCGGTAACGAGTGGCAGACTGCCGAGACCAAGCGCCAGAACCGCCAGTCTCAAGCTGCCGCTGCGGAGAAGGAATACACCATGGCGTATGTCAAGTCCGTCACCGAGAAGGTCGAGGAGGGCAAGCTGAAGGCTCACCTTGAGTCTTTTGGCGAGCTGGTGTACTTCGACATCAACCGTACCAAGGTAAGGCCATAAAGTCGAGCAACTGCTTCATGGTTCGCACTGACACCGATTGCTTCAAGAACTGCGCGTTCGTCGAGTTCAAGACTGTTGCCGGCTACAACGCTTGCATCAATGCCAACCCCCACACCGTCTGCGGCGAGACCATCTATGTCGAGCAGCGCCGTCCAAAGGCTAATGCCTATGGCGGCTCCAACTACAACGCCCGTGGCTCCGGTCGCGGCGGCCGTGGTGGCTATGAGTCCACTCGCACTGGCAGCTCCGGCGGTCGTGGTGGCTTCAACCAGGCCCGTGGCCGTGGCGGCGGTCCCCGTGGCAGTCGCGGCGGTGCCCAGGCCGGCACTGCCTAATTGGCTTTCTACCACGCAAGGCATGCAAGCAAAAACACAGTGTCTCTTTTGTGCCGTCACCTCCCTCTCCCGTGTGAAATGGGAGGATGAAGCCAAGATGGTCTTTTCTTCTCCCGTTTCAGTTAACTGCGTGACTGCCTTTTAGAGAGGTGGCATTTTTCGTTACGTACTTTCGTCCTTGGGCATCATTCTGGCTGGGCTGGCTGGCTGGTAGGTGGTGTGGGTTTCTGAGGGCGGAATTTCGGAGTAGGCAGGAAAAAGCGGAAGGGCAAATCGGAGGGCAGGCATTCATTTCGATTGACTTGCTTGGTTGGCTGCGTGAGTCATGGAGTAACGGGGTTTCCAAAACAAAATGCAATGATGATGAGTTAGGAAAAGGATTTGGCCTTTCACGCGAACACTACAACAAACTCGTCCCACAAACAAAGAAGCAAAAAAGAAGCATGGTTATGTTTCTTTTTGATAATGGTTGTGTTTCCGGTTGTTTGATTGATGGCTTCCTTCGGTCATGGTGCTGGGTGGTGATTGACGATGATAAGTATGAGTCTTTGGTTTTTATTCAGAGTACTGGATGGGAGAGCTTATACCAATATCCTTTCTCCCCGAACCCCTTGCCTCTTCTGTTCTCATGAACACTCTTATTCAAATCACTCCATGTTTCATCACATGTCTTCTCTCATGTCCTCTAACTTTCTTACCTGGAATCAGCTCCATCCAACAGCTTAGCTACGACTTGTTGGGAAGAAGGGGGAGGGGGGAAGGGACTTTCGATGAAAAGATTGAAAAAGCCGCAGATGCTTTCCATTTTCCTACACATACAATCTTGGTCACACTTAACAGTACATCAACCCGGTTATGTCTACAGCAGGACGCCCCAGGGCAAAAAAAAGTTTGAAGGAAACTTGTCTAGAAGTGTCGAAACCCAGAAGGGATGGAGCACGCCTCTCGCTTTTGATCACGCAAGGCAACCTGCCTGACGCTCTCTATCCTTGCCGTTTCTTGCTAGATGCAGCATGAATGAATGTACTTGTGGGAAATTACGAGATAAAAAGTTTACAGGGCTGAAATACACTCCTTATAGATGAAGTGTATGGATTAAGGAAGTCTGTACAGTAACCAAATGGCTTTAGATGTGCGAATAGTGTAGATGAATAGGAATGATTAATGGACTGGTTAAACAAGATGTTCAAGTAATCTTCAGCTTGTTAATACCTGTTTCTTTTGGTTCATGCAGTGAAGCGTGTGGTCGCCTGCCTAGAAATTTGATCCTACTGCTTCCCCCCCTTTATCGCTGTCCAATGATGAGTACCTATTACAAGGATGAGGCCTCTCCCTGCTCATACCTTAGAGGAATAAGTGGGATCTGGTATTCCAGGCTTTGGTTCTTTTCGTCTTTCAACATCATTGGGATCTGGGAGAGTTGACATTTATTCTGATAGCTTCTGATAGCTCTCTTCTCGGTAGCTAGTATGCCTGGTCTATGGCCCGATATGCTCATAATAACTGCCCCTGCTTCTATCATCACTCATTCTTAGATTGTATCCCATGACCGTGCCTAGAGAGTATCGGATACAAGATGTAATGCTTCAATAGAGGATCTACTAGGCCAGTTTCAGATACTCGTCAGCTTTTATAAGTGGATTCCAATACCTGACGGATACAGGCAAAAATAGAGTCCCAAACAGCTGATCGCTGACTTTTTTTTTTTGCTGACCAGTGAAAAAGGAATTGATACCCTCATGAAGCTATTGGACATCTGACCCAGCCGCGTCCTGTCTTTGATGTCTAAGATTATCAATTGAATCTTAGTTGAATATTTGTGTTTTGGATATCCTAGGAATGAGGTAATTTGAACCTGCGGTCCGAGATAGGTAGGGATATTTCACTTACATTAACTTTGACCACCCGGGTTCTACATGTTTATGAGGCAAACGTTATCTAGACAGTTGCCTATCTACCACAAAAGATCTAGCACCCATAGCGTTGATGTACTCCTGGCTCTGGAATTGACTCAGAATCAACAAATCAAAAGAATGTCATTCTACAACTGTGCAGTTTGATGTACCTGACAGGATCATACCACTGAGATACTAGATCTGGTCAGGCAGTCGTCAGTCTGTCATACTTATAGAGCGGGTCGGACGGCCTTACCGCGCGACCGGAATCGGGGGAGAGGAAGATGGAGCATGGGACCGGTGAAGTCCGAGTTCCCTCTCGACATACCTATGCCCATCATTACAATGGCCAGGCATTCTCTGCTGGGGTACGTGTTACTGTTGAGGTTGGTTACAAATCACCATGAATGTACCGGACTGGCGGATCCAGGGGCTACGATTACTCAGGACCGTCTTCATATATCCGAATTGCACGTTGAACATCCCCATTTTCATCCATCATTCGGGCCCAGGATCTAAGGCCCTTCCTGAGATAGATGAACCATTACCCCCGCCTTGGGCTTGAGGGGTAATCAACAACTACTGGGCTAAAGCGGCACGAGCGGATAAAAACTGCAAAGAGAGATCTCCACGAGCAATGGCGATCATCTATTGATTCGACTGCCATGTGAATGATTGTCAACCGAGAGAGATAGGCACATGTCTCAACCGATACATGCGCGCGAGAACTCTTCCAGACGCCACGCACAAAAGTGGCCTTTCTTGATCCCATTCCGGTTGACCTATGCTCGAGTCATCATCGAGTCCGATAACGCTCTTCCAGAGTGGGGTTAAAGTTCGTTTCTTGATAGTTTTCGGTCGTCTCCCGTCCAATCTCTCCCCTCAAGAGGCCGGCACCGGGTGGTTTATGGCACTGAAAGTCTGCGCACAGAGTGTGAAAAAACAATGGGACCTCAGATACACCCCGCGCGAGGTTTTATCCTCCGGTGCTTTCAGCAGCCACGGCCATGCTGCTTCGGGAATGGCTTCATGACGTATGGTCGTAGATGAAACGGAGACCCTGCGGGATGGGCTGGTGTTTCTGGCACAAGGCATACGTCAGTGGAAGGGCGTGTGGTGGCTGAAGGCTGGGTATGCGAGGCGGGGGAATTGATCTGTGGGAAGATAGTGGGCGGGAGTAAGCCTGGGATGAAGCGCGGACCACGGACTCGTGCCGATGCCGAGCTCAAGAAGTGTAAAGACCGGGCTGCCGTTCCGGAAGGGTTGCAACTGGCACATCCAACAAGCAGCAAGCACCGGGGTTGTGGCCCAAAAGGGTCAACTTTGCCCGGGCTACACTACACCAACGATGTAGCAGAAGCGTTACTGATGGCAGCTGAGCATGCCATCGGCCATCTATCTGGTGGTTTACGCGTCACGGGCCATGGCGACACTGCCGGAGCCGCACCAACAGCGATTGCGGAGAAGGCTTCTCTCCACCACCAGTGCCAGAACAGCAGTTGCTTAACTCTTCTGGCGGCAAAACCAGGAAACCTAATTGCTGGCTGTTTGTAACATCATGCGAGAAGCCGGTGTGCAGACCGGCAGACCGAACTGCCTTCCCAGTCAGGCGACGATCCACGCGGTACAATGTTATCCACCCTTCATTGAGCACTCAGCTTGACATGCCTCTTTCATGTACACGTACCACATTGGTCGTTGGTGTCCCGGCACGGGACACAGGAGAGCGAACGGGCGGCCTGTCACGACTGGGGAAGGGGAAGATAGAGTGGCGAGCTGGCAGATGGCAGCAATTGGCAGCAAAGAAGACAAGCACAAGAGCGACGCTCCCCTTACCGAAGATCACGAAGACCCAGACGAGGTTCACTCCCACCTTCCTAAAAGGAATATAGCGCTCTAACGGAATTCAATGGTCGGGACCCACCTGTGCCCCACCAAACGGTTCAGCCTTGAAGAAGGAATGACGGCGCGCATGCCGAGAAGGGGAAGCAACCTGCACTGCTATGGAGAGAAAGGAAGGCAGCAAGGCCGCTCTGGAATTTCTGAAATAGCTGGCCGCCAAAGCCGGGGATTGGCAAGTTTGGGCCTTTGATTCCCCGTTTCTTACATGTACGGGGAAACGATCCGTTCACTGTGCTATGGATCAGATCCCTTGCCGCCGTCATGTACCTGCCAAGTTCAGCTCGTCATTTCGAGAAGTGTCCAAGTCTTCTTGTTCTGCGTGGATTCGGGAAAGGACCCTAGTGCAGTGCAGCGAGAAGCCAAGAGCCCGGAATGTTCACCTGGATCTGCCTTCTGGAAAGAGTGAGGGCGTGGTGTAGGACGAGAACGCATTGATGAGGTTGCAGTGTGTGCGCCATGAGGGCTCGGCTCCGTTTCGTACCGTACTGTAGAACGTCTGTAGAGCTCAGTAAGATACAAACCACCTCTCACAGAGTATCGAGCTGCAGCGCGGAGCTTGGGAACAAGTTGGGCATGGTGCTGGCGCAATCGGACTTCTCTGTCTCAAAATAACACCTTCGAACTGTCATTAGAATCAAGATGGCTTCACTGGCCTAGGACACATGTTTCTTTCACGATTGTTGGGTCCGATTCGGCCCACCTCCGTCACCCAACCCTGTGGCGCCGTGGACAACCACCTACCCGGAACAGCCTAGCCTGGCTTGTGCTCACTACCCGTGAGACCACTCCCGCGCACCTTGATTGGCGCTTCCGGGCGTTGCAGCGCGCCCATCGCCCGACAAGGCGGGGCCAGCCCGGCCGGGATTGAGACGACATGCAAGCTTGCAGCTTGAATCGGGGACTACTGCAACAGATTTGGCATCCAAACGGGGTTGGGCAGATGGTGGGGGGCTTGACGACGATGAATCACGGATGCCGCAACACCACATGGTTATCACTCGTAATATATGCCAGACAGGAGTGCCACAGCCGAACGACGGCCTTCAGGGTCGCAGAGATGTGCAGAACGCAAATGAACTTTGATGGCCATAACTGCCAGCCGTTGCAGTGCTCCAGTCGGGTAAAAGAGAGCAGCCCGGCAGAGCAGAGGAGAGCGAACAGAGCTGGCTCATGGCTGCCACCTTGCCCTCGTTCTGTGTACGACGACGTGGTTCATGTACCTGGTCGTGAGGCGGCGAGATTAGGAGTAGCGCAGATCGACACGCCATGAAAAGGGCCATTTCGAGTACGTCAATCGGGCACTTAGCGGTGAGGTGAACGGAGGTTATTGCAGTGTAGGGAGCTCAAGGTAAGCAAAATCGTAGGCAAAGGACATAGAGTGAGCACCTCCTTTGAGTTCCGAGTCCGAGCACTGTGCGGATGGCTGAACATGCTGTGCGAAATGGCGGGAAGAGCCATCATTCCCATGTCTTTCGAATTATGATAAACACTACTAACCTTGATGACATTGCCCGCATTGTCCGCTTTACTAGGTCCCAACAAGACAGGACGTGTAGATTGTAAATGGGGTATCATGAGAGAATCGATCTTGAATCGATCAGGACATGACACTTAGCATGGGGTCCAGGGATCTGGTTCCCAGTGTGCTTAAAAAAACCACAAGCTGGCAGGGGGCTTAACGCTGCGGGCCGGGGTCCCTGCCATGAGCCCATGGCGCCCTTCAGCCCCTTCAACTGTTGCCAAGCACCCAGTGACCCATTGCCCACCTGCGTCGCTTGCATCGACCTGCTCCTACCACGCCGACTCCATCTTTCTCCATAGCACTTACCCAGGCTACCCGTGGGTCCCATAACACCCCGGAACGCACCTACCACGGACTCCTACCTCCTGCCCCAGGAAGCTACAGTTAACATTGTTCTTATTACTCACTTGCTGGGCTCTTTCCGTTTGGTGCACCCTTCCATCTCCATCTCGTCGTTTCTATTATTTCCTTCCTCCACTAAGCGAGTGGAAGTCGCTGCTTACCTTCTGTTTTTCTGCCTTTCTTCCTTTTTCCTTCGATCCTGTCAAAGACCTCGTGGGACAGCGCCCTTTTTCATCGCAACCCACGATCCCACTTCTACTTCATCCATTCCACCTTTTGCTCATCCCCATCACGGTTTCATAGCGCCACCCGATCGCATCCGCTCGTTACAGAGGGTACCTACCTACTGTACTGTACCTTACAGGACGGACAAAGGACACAAGACAGAGGACAGGACCCGACCGTCTCACGTCTCACACTTAGTTTCTGCTCCTGCCTTCTTCAAATTCCAGACGCTCATTCTGCATTTTCATTCCATCCTGCAGTTGTCTGTGGCACTGCAACACACGCGCGCAAAGAAACACACGTATCGCCAGCTTCCAGTCTCACCCAAGTTTTCTGATTTGGTTGACACTCATACGCCTATCCCAGCTTCGAACCCCCACGCCTGACGGACCACTTCTCTCGCTTCAGCTTCAGTTCCTTGACTTTCACACTAGTCTGTTATATCCTTGCATGACAGGCCTCCCTTCCTTGGCAGCCTCACTCGACGACTGCTCAAGGACTATTGCGGAACACACGCTGTGTGTATGGTGACGCCGCACGCTAGTGATCGAGGTGGAAGACACAACACCCTACTGCTGACGACAGCGCTCCGGCATCACGACAGTTCCCGGTCACTACCGTCGGGGCATTCTACTCAGTCAGGAGCGCAAGGGCCGGGCATGACGTGCTGGAGAGATTCGGACGAGGACAGGCGGGACTTAGCGATCACAAGTACGACACATCATCATCTTACGGGAGAGGGGGGAGGGGGCGGGGGAGCTTGGGATCGGCTTGGTTCCCAGCATCGACCACGCCGCCGCCGCCTAAGGGGGCAGCCGCCGCATAGGGACGCCATTCTAGGGAAGTCTATTGCCCAATGGCGCAGAGATTTGGCGATGCTTACTCCCAGCCCAGCGCCGGCGGTGATGCGCCGCCAGCGCGCCAGCGTCGCATGTCGATGGAGGAGGACATGTTCTACCGAAATATTATGACCTCGCGGCCAGCGAAACCGCCAAGTTATGAGACTGCCGTGAGATCTGCTCTTGCTGCTCAGCGGAAGGCTCAGAGTGCTCCCCAAACGCAACAACCCGAGGAGGTGCTCCCGCCATACTCGACCGACATCCAGCTAGAGGGCGTGTTCATGCGCAAGATGGAAATCGAGGAGACGACTAAGCGAGCTGAGTATCGTGACTGGAGAATGGTTTATGTCGAGCTTCGGGGGACGATGTTGAATGTCTACTCAGTCAAGAAGGAAAGAGGATGGTGGGCGTCAAAACATGACGGCCCAGACATCTCACCAGACAATCCGCCCTGGGTGAAGAAAGGGTCATTAGAGAGAGCTTACAGCCTGCTCTATGCGGATGCTGGCATTGCTGCTGACTACAGGAAGTACGTCTTTACTATGTATCCGGGAGGGTGATGGTCCAATTACTGACCGAATTAGGCGGCGATATGTCATCCGTATGAGACTAGAGACAGACCAGTTCCTTTTATCCTGCGTCGAGCTCAGTACTTTTGTTAAATGGCTAGACGGGATTTTTGCTGCCATCAACATATCTGCGCCCATCGACGAGCGCGACTTCCCGAGAGATTTCAGCATACCTCGCGTACAAAGGATACGATGGCTGCGCGGACAACGACCCCGGCCAGAAGACAGCATAGGCTTTCAACGGTTGACCGAACAGCAACAACGAGAAAGCGATGAAGACGACGACGATGCAACCGATGGTGGTGACGACGGTGGGGAACCGCCCGACCAGGGGGGAAATACTGGAGGAGCTGCGATCTACGGCCCGCGAACCGACCATCCCATCGTGGGCAGACTCTCGACAACGTCGTACCCCAATGAGAATATCGATCCTGATACCGGCAAGTGGCGGCCACAACATCACTGGACTCCGGTTCACGACCAGCTCTATGCCCGTCTCTGCTACGCCGTCCTGCTGTTCAAGAGCCCACGAAAGAGCAATTACATCGTCAACCGGGGTAAGCGCTGGTACGTCGATTGGGAGACGGGCAAAATGGTGCGGGTTCTGCCGCCTGCCTATGGCGAAGTCGACGTCATGGGGCCATGGCAGGTCATTAGGGCCGAAAACAGGCTTCTTTAGCAGGGCTGCTGTGTTTATCTGGCATGTGGCCGTTTGTCATATTACTGGTTTCTCTATGTCTTAACACATCACGGGCGGTTCTTGTTTTCTTTTCTTCTTGATACCACAGTAGGGCGGAGTTTGGGATAGGCCGGAGCATCTGGGCAACAGTTATGAATGGGTCATTGTCTTCTTTGTGTTGCATTATGCTTGAGCATGGCTGGCATCGGAGCGGAACGGGCGGGTGCCGGGTGAAAGCATATATAGCTATACCATGTACCACTGTTGTTTTTGCGTTCTCTTTGGATACCTATGGAGAAAGGTCCATGTATGGAAAGCTCCAGGGAGCAAATACATGCATCTGTTTGATGTATATACCTGATGCAGATAACTCAAGTACGTTAATCACACTCTGTTTAACCTTATGATTTTGTCCGTAGCCGTTCATTATATTTGCTGAAATCTCAAACCTTATGCTATCGCAAATCGCCCGCCAACGCCAAATCCTTTGCCGACCCTCCATCTGTCCGATACCCAAACTCTGAGCATACTTCACATCATGAAACCAACATCCCTCCGCCCAGCAGGCCACTTTCTCTTATCGTAATCTCCATCTCACCCGATTTTTATGCTCCCTTTTCTCTTGACCGTTACAACAAAACAGATTAGTAATTCCGTTCAGCTACCTTCCCTCCAGCACTCCAGCCGCACATTGCCTAACAACCCGATCGCCTTCCCTTGTCTCCTCCCCAAGCTTGTCAACTACCTCGGCCAGCAGCTCACCGGCGCCTTGCACATCGCGGGCTGCTTGCTCAAGGGACGCAAGGAGTGATTCTAGTTCCACGCGCTGGGCACTGATTTCAGCCCAGAGCTTCTCGTTCGTTGATTGCGTTTCATCGAGAGCTTTTTCGAGGCGGGAGTGTTGGTCTTTGAAGTGAGGCCGCAGGTGGGAGGATAGGACTACGGGGGCGGGGAGGGTATGTGGTCTGTTGGGGTTGTTAGCTCCGGGGTTTATGGCATGAGGAAAATAAGAAGAGAAGAGACGTACGGAACGGGAGGTTCGGTGTTAGGGTCGTGTGCTTGTCGTCTGCGTCCAGCGTCGGCTACGAGGGCTTCCAGCTCGTTCAGGCGCAGGACGACGGAGCGGTTTTGCAGGATGGAGTCGAACTCTTTCTGTATAGCCACGTCTCGTTAGTATTCCCAATATTGGCATATCTTTCAAAGCCACTAGTCCCCTGAAATCGGGCAGCTGACACCCAGAGCGAAAAGGGCTAGACGAACCTCCCACAACCCTCCCAACCTCTCCACCATCTGTCGCCGCACAAACTCCAACGTCCCCGGCGCCTTGACCGCCATTGTCGGGAAACAGCTTGCGAAGTTGTCTTTGTTGATCTTGTCCAGCGTGTGTTTCACTGTCTGAGCGAACAGAGCTTGTAGACGGGCCGCGCGTGGGCCAGGAACGGGAGGAGGGGCTGATTGTTGGGGCCGGTCGGCTGGTGCTGCTTGTTGGCATTGAGTTGTGGGATTATTGCTGGTAGTTAGTTGCTGTGGTGAGGGTGAAGAATTGGCAGTGTTGTCAGAGGAGGGTGCTTCCGCTGATGATTGTGATGATGCTGATGTCGTTGGTGCTGCTACTGGTACAGGGGCGTCGCGCATTTCGACATCTTCGTCTTGTCTTTGCTGCTGCTGGACAGCAGGAGGTGTCTGACCTCCTGCCATTGTGAAGAACTAGTTCGGATTCTCGAGGTGTGTAAGTGGCGATCTGGTAGACTGGAGACCGGATGTTCGGTGTTTTCGGCGCCGGGATGGAGATGCTGTCGCGTCGAGTCGCGTGTCCAGAGCCGAAGCCACAATCGCGTTCAGGGCTGAGCCTGCTTTGAATGCTCGGCGGGGCGTAGTGCGCCACGGCGGGGCCCTTGGAGATCGTGCACAGACCTTATCTGAATCTTGACCATAGTTCCCCCACTCTCTAAAAGACAACTTCTGGACCTGGGGATGGAAATCTATCAACGAGACCCAACCTCATGTCTGGTTCTCAAATTCATGACTTGACGAGAACCGAGCTGTAATTGCGAATCGTGAATAGGTATTAATTATTGTGACAGACTATTCGATTATTCATACAGCAATCAGTTGTGAGCAAAGCCCGGCTCCTCCGGAACTATCGACATACGTGGTTACTGTCACGGACTTGATTTGGAGGATATCTCCGCTTCAGGTTTCTGATTACCACATATCAAGTCTCTCAGCGTTCGTAACATTACATGCATTAGATATCCAGACACAGAGCTAAATGTCTCGAGAGCAACTCCATCCCAACAGATGGGAAACGACCAGGTGATAGGGAGCAAAGAAGTGAGCAAGTCACGGAGCTAGATCAACACAAACCGAAACACCTCCATCAGATAAGACACCGATCGAAATATTGACTGGCTAGTGCATTGAACATCCTCCCAGACATCGAAGGAGAACAAGTATCAGACCGGTATGCTTTTCAGTCTGCTACCTTAAACTTAAGAGTCCTGCAGCATACATCTTTCTGTTGACAGTTGACTCTAGCCGAGTTTCGGGCGTGAGTGTATGGGTGCCTTTTCGTGTTCTCGACATTTATCTAGCGGAGAAGATGCCACTATGTCAGGGAAGTGGGACAGCAGCGCTGTCAGAACGGTCAGTGCTGGCCAGAGTCGCGGGAGGGATCATGCATCTCCGCTTTTGGCTTGATGACTCGTCCATCAAAGTTCCTGGTTGCCTTGAAGACGCGAGGGTTCCTAAACGGGGTTGGCATTGTAGAAGTCACAAAAGGCAACGACTCTAGAGAAGTTAGCTGGCGTCGAGTCCAGCTCAGTATCTAACTTCATGGGATCCGGCAGCTGGGGAGCTGGAGTCGACGGCCGTTTCGGAGGGCGCAGGGCAATCTCCTCGATGTGCTGATCGGCAGAGTCCAGGAACTTGCGAATCTCGTCTCGAGCTGCCGAGATAGCCTGGATAGTGTTCGAGTCCCGAAGCAACGCATTGTAATCCCGGTGGATACTACGCGTGAATTCCTTTGTCTTGCTTCAATCTCGGCATTGAGCGGGCTATTGCATACCGCTTTCTTCCACACACCGAGCATAGACTGGCGCCATGGCTAAGTGATCACCGGGATGATGAGCGCATTGTTTTTTTTTGATCCGGCACGAACCATACCATTAAAGGTCTTCGTCCGCTTCAACTTTGCTGCTGAATGCTGCACCTGGCGGTCAACGAGGCTAAATGAGGAAGCTCCCCGTAAATGTGGGTGCCGGGCCATTGTCTGACGGAATTTATTGACCGGTTTTTCTAGCACGAGTGCCAGCTCATCCAAAATATTGGGGATGAACACGTAAAAAAATTGTTGCCAGGGCATGGAACTCAGCAACATATTTGCAAGGTTTTCCAATTGATAGTATAGTGACAATCCGTATATAATGAGGCAACTTGGCTGAAGTTCACTCGACCGTGAGATTTTTTGAAAACACCCCTTACAGCATGTTAGTTCAAAATTCTCACTGTCATAAGTGGCTGATATCAAATGAAAGGACATACTCCCGGATGCAAGCAGCACGGAATGTCACGCAAGCCAGACCATTGTCGTCCCTGTGAGCTGTCCAAGAGCTCATCGTAACCGAAGCTTGGTGACTGATCATCCGGACCCATTATTAAACAAGGCAATCTCAGCATTGAGCACCGCTTGGCAGTGAGCAAAGACTTCCGTGATACTAGCAGAAAAGTCTTTGGAGACGGTCGGATAAGTGATTTTTCTAAGGTAGAAGCTCATTGCATACTTTTTCAAGATCATGGATGGCGGTGTTGAGGAAAGCCTGCTCGATCTTCTTCATATCCTCCACAAGGTTCAAGGGCTGCGAAACAACACAACTTGAAAGATATAGGACGTCAAACAGATAGCTGAGATCTTCAAGGAAGCTCTAGCAAGTGACGGCCCGCCCCTTCTCAATCGAGGAGAAAGCATGCCTTTGTAAAGCTGGAATCTCAGTGTTGTCGAGACTGAGAAATCTTTGAACAAAATCATCCTTCTTCAATTCAAGGCAACTTTTGGTACACTCTGCCGGAAACACAAACGACCGGAAGCTTCTTTACGATCTCCACGTGGTTACCGAAGGGCATGGTGGGATGGAACTCTTCGTCGTTCCAAGCCGCATTGTCCTGGCAAAGTTTGAAACGAAAATTGGTGAACTGGTTGTTCGGAAATGTTGAAATCGAAGGCTATTACTCTTTGTTGCCCTCGGCAAATGGCCTGGAACCTCTAACCTGGGGTAGTCGTTGTGGTATTCGACACAGACTTGCTTGACCAAATGCTTGAGCGACTTCAGCTTGCTCTTCATTACTTCAATTGCCGTTTCTCTTCGATCATGACCTTGCGCAGTTGTGCGCGATAGGCACAAGCACGTAAAACATCAAATGGCATAAGCTTTAAAAGCATCAAAACAGCTATGTTGATCATCAACTCAATATCGAACTTATCCCAAAGGTCAAATCAAAATCGAAGCAAACTGGTAAGAGCAAACGATGACGACAAGATGTGAACGCAACAATATGTGTCACTCACTTCTGTATGACTCAGTTTCAATGTCGCGCTAACGACACAAATACTCAGCCAATGAGAGCTGGTGGGAGTTGAGATACGGTCAGGAATGGGTTAGTAGAGGAGGGAAGTGGAAGGAGAAGCATAAGAAGGAACAAGCAGGGAAGAAAGGAACACGGTCAGGTTGCAGAACGAGCGTTTGAAGGAAAGGCATTGGCAGGTGGTAAGAACAGCCAAAAACAGAGAAGAGAGATGCAGAAAGCGGAAAAGGGAGAGGGAAGTCGATGGGCCACGGACTGTGTAAGATATCGAAAACTTATAGGCAGGAACAGAAAAATTCGGGAAACATGGCGAATTCAGAATGCAGAATTCGCTTTAAAACTGGAATGGTGAAATGACAATGAGAATGATAATGTGGTCAAAAGGATATAGATGTTTTCACTTACCTGCTTTTTTCAGTGGTGAGATGCAGTTTCTTGCCGCAATGCTTCCGGGTAGAGTGTTGGGCTCGAGGACTGTAGAGCGTTGTAACGGACAATAGACTAAACAAGGACAACAGACCCAAAGGGACGAAGAGAGTGATTGTTGTGATGGCTGAAGTTGGAAAGGAAAAGTAGGAGACTCAAAAGTGGAAGAAATTCGAGAGCAGGTTGCAGCTTGAGTTGCAAGGCGGGACTCGAGGCTGAAGTTGGAATGAGAGATATGAAAGTTGTGGCTGTTGTTGGAAGAAGCTTAATGGCTAGTTACAAGATTGAAGCCACACGAAAAGCTGGTTGGTTTGAGGGATGAGGACAAAAAGGTTGAGAGTTTCGAACGTCTGGAAGTTAGTATATGTCGCGGGCATCTGGTAACACCTCGCTTGGCTGATAATAACTGTAGAATTGACACATCTATAGCGACATTCTAACTACGTGTCTGTAAATGTTGATGAATGAATGCAGTTGACTCCTCCAGACGGGACGTGGCGGGTGTCATCGAAAGAGAGCAGACGCACTTCCAACAAGGACTGAGATATCTTGCGGTTGAAATTTACGATTCCTTGCAGTCCATCAGTTAATCTACGTTTACATTAAAATACTATGCTCGGTTCCATTACGATTAGATGACGGTGTTCGGTTGAAGAGCAAGACACGGAAGCATCAAAAGGGGAAACCATTGACTTTCTGCCAAAGACAGTCTGGTGGCCGGCCAACGGCGCTTACCAAGATTCTCCATCAGACTTCCCCACATTTTATGCGTCTCTTACCGCCTTCCTTGTTTGGCTGGGCTGAATTCTGCCAGGGAGCTCGCCGCATCGGCCAAGGAACTGTGGTATCGCGTCGCGGAGAACTTCCAGGCGAACAAGCGAACAGCCTTGAGAGCTGACAATCCACTCTCCAACATCAACGACTCGCTCTCTTTCACCGCACACCGCCTTCGCTCGAGGCTGTTCACACTCAACTAGCTGTTATTGTCCGATCTTTCCCCTCATCAACCAATTTCAACCGGACTGAAATACCAAATCGCGACAACCAACAAACCCGTTCCCAAAATGTCGACCATCACTCCCCAGGCGATGCAGAGCTCGCAGCCTCCGATATACCCTCTGCCTTTTAACGCCCGGCAGCCAGAGACAATCCGTCTGTATCCTCTTTCTAATTATACCTTCGGTGTCAAGGAGACTCAACCAGAGGAGGATCCGAGCGTGCTGGCGCGGCTGAAGCGCCTGGAGGAGCACTATCAACAGTATGGCATGCGCCGCACCTGCGAGGGCGTTCTGGTATGCCATGAACACAACCACCCGCACATCCTGATGCTGCAGATTGCGAATGCCTTCTTCAAGCTCCCAGGCGACTATCTGCGCCCGGACGACGACGAGATTGAGGGTTTCAAGGCTCGCCTCGATGAGCGTCTCGCTCCCGTTGGCAGCCTCGGTGAGGGCAACAAGGCTGGGGACTGGCAGATTGGCGACTGCCTTGCCCAGTGGTGGCGCCCCAACTTTGAGACTTTCATGTATCCGTTCGTGCCGGCGCACATCACGCGACCTAAAGAGTGCAAGAAGCTGTATTTTATCCAGCTTCCCGAGACCAGTATGTTTCCACGACGTGTACTGGGATGGATCGCAACCTGTTAACTTATCCATCAACAGAGGTTCTGAGCGTTCCCAAGAACATGAAGCTGCTTGCTGTTCCCCTGTTCGAGCTATACGATAATACCCAGAGATACGGTCCCCAGCTGTCGGCCATTCCTCATTTGCTCAGCCGGTACAATTTTGAATTCGTCGACGAGAACGGCGAGGTAGTTGCCGTGACTCCCGGTGCGCCAGCAAGCCCGCAAGGCTACGTGCCCAAGACCAAAGTCTTGGCTGGAGGCGACGACGTTGACATGAAGCAGGAAAATGGGACGCACTAATCACATGCTCGGCTAGACTGGACTCCGTCTAGGTATGGGAAACATTGGGTTTGAACAGCAGGAGTACGGCGTACGGCGTCAGGTCTCGGCAAACAGAGCGCGAAAAGGGAGGCAATCACAGGTCATTTCTTCCAAATCTTCACTTGTAATTTTGGGACGATATACGTCCCAACACATCATAAAGACATCTCATGCCTTTTCACCCTGAATCGTCGCTACTACTCTGCGCGAGTGTTTCATCGCCCGAAACTCAAGATACCAGATCCCTTGCCAGGTTCCGGTGAGCTGGAATGGTTAGCCACGCTGCACAATTCGTCCGAATTGATCTTCAGACAACTTACAAGTCTACCATCCTTGATGGGTATCGTCACGCTAGCTCCGATCAGGGCGGACTTGACATGGGCCGGCATGTCATCAGGGCCTTCAGACACAGAGCGTCAGTACTTCATCTTAAGGTTTTTTTATACCAAAAATCTCATACCCTCAGCATCGTGCCGGTAGAGTGCCTCTCCTTTTGGCCCTTCGTCAGGTACAATCCTGTCAAGTGCATCACTCATATCCGCACGGACATCCTAAATCAGTCAACGCACCTGAACTACACATGTAGTTGTGCCAATGGAACATACCTCATCCCAATTCTCATTCAAACTTAAAGCGCAACTTGTGTGCTGGATAAAGAGGTTTAACAGGCCAATCTTGTACTCCCGGATCTCTGGCAACTCCCGCAGCACAATATCAGTAATAAGATAGGATCCCCGTGAGCGCGCAGGGAGAGTGAACTGCTTCTGAAACCACGACGTCCCTCCCATGTTTGCTGGCCGTTGTGGCGGTTGTGGTGAACTGAAACTGTCTTGACGACTATGAGCGTGCCAGAGATAGTGAACCGGCGAGAGGAAGTGAAGAGGGCCGGACCAGATTAAATGGAAGAGGTTTGGGAAGAGGGCAACCAGGATGAGGATTAAGATCAGAAAGCTTGTGGTAGACGCCGTTGTGGCTGGTGGGTTGGAGGTTTGTAAGGATGATTTTGGCGCTGTGGCTTGAACTTGGGGACGAGAGCGGCGAAGTGCCGGCGTTGGAGACATCGTAGAGAGCGAACGCGGGATGGAGGGGTTCCTGAAAGTTTCTTGGCTCACAACGTCATGTTTCGGGGTGGAGAAACAAAAAGTTTTATCGTTGTCAAGTTGGCAGTTTACGTAGGCTTTTATGTGGCTGACCAAGTGGTTGATAAAGGCAGAAAGCTCACCTTAATTCCTTTTTTTGTTTCCTCATCTCGCGCTACCACAATTAACTTGGATCATATCGCTTAATGTCTCTACCCAGACCTCAGAAAGACGTTGACCTCAAAACTGTAGGTTTCAATGACGACAGGTTTGTTACGAGACAACCTGGGGATTACAGCGTTACAGACAGTGAACAGCAACCGTAGTATCATCAAGGTCGGAGATAAGAGTCTTAATTGCGGTACGGCCAAGGGGGATGCTGAAGCCTTTTAGCATCTAATGAATGTAGATAGCATCGTTTGAAGGTAAATTGCAACTAGTTATTTCGGAAAGGCAAGACAAGTCAATGGATGATCAAGAGTTCACCATCTGAAATCTTCTGTCGTGCTGCAAAATGCAGAGGTGCAAGCAATCAGCGAGGCTAAAACCTCAGTCGGTGTGTTTGGGTAGACAAACCAGTGGACTCCGACTTCGGGTGGGGTAGTTGGGGCTGCTCCCCGCCAAAGCTTCATGCATTCAGCTCGGACCCATGCCATTTCGAGAATCGCTCAGAGCCGAGCTGCTGACAAACCCGCATCGTCCGGTGACAATCGCCTGGATAGGGACTGAGCTGGCGCGCGCTCCATACCGGGTCCGTCACCAACTGACAGGACTGTTTGTGCATTTTTTCTTCCTCTTCAACGCGTCATCTCTTAGTCCATTTTAAAGCAGAAAGGGGAGCTCGGTCAAACGGGAACGCCAATGCTTCTGATTTCTTTCTGAAGGAGATATATTCTTTTCGTTTTATGTGCGGACCGTAGCTTGCCCTCTCTGCCCGTGCACTGGACGTCATCCATCGATCGCAAATTCGTTGCCGTCGCCGCAGATCCGTTTCGATCTTGGTTGATAAATAAAAACTTGCTAGGAGACAGCCAAGTCCAGGCTGTCCCCAGATCCGACGCTTCCATCACGTCTGATTTTTCTGTTTCCTCCCATATCCGCATTCTGTCCTGACATGTCGTCTCGGTTCTCGGTGTTTCCTTGATCTCCATCGCGATGGAGGCAGCCGACGACTTTTACGACGACCCGTTTTCTTCGAGACACCAGAAGCTGCTTTATCAGACCGGCTCTTTTACCGGCTACTACGCCGGTCCGCAACTCGGCAGCGGTTATCTCAATGCCGCGCGCAGCTTTCGGCAGCCGTTTTGCGGCAATGAGGAGGGATGGGGTCCCCTGAGCCCCTTTCGTTATGACTTCACTCCCTGCTTTATCGACGTGTGGGTGGCGACAGTCGCAGTATTCGGTATCTTGGCCGGAACAGCTGCTGTCTGGTGGTTGTTGAAGAAGAAGCAATCGGGCCCTGTGTCAAAGGATTGGCATTTCTGGACAAAGCAGGTAGGTCATGTCTAAGAGTCATGTTGTCGCGGATATGCTAACCACCGTGCCTAGACTCTCCTCGTGTTTATCATTGCTGATGTTGCCGTGCAATTGGCCCTCCAAATCTCCAACTTTCCGGACATCTGGTATGGGGACTTCCGGGTCTACACGACTGTGGCCACAATTTTATCGCTCTTCGTCGTCTTTACCATCCAATGGCTCGAGCACTCTCGCTTGAGGAATGCAAACGGCGTAGTTCTCTTCTACTGGCTGCTGCTCCTGATTACACTGTCCGTCAAGCTCCGGTCGTTGATCTCGCAACAGATATACGCTACAAGCTTGCCCTACTTTGTCACCTACTGCGTCGGCTTTGGCCTTTCGGTGGCCGAGTTCTTCTTCGAGTGGCTATGGCCAAAGAAACAGGATGCCTATTCTGTGCTGATCGAAGAGGATGAGTGCCCGGTTGAACACGCGACCGTATTCTCCCGTCTTACTTTCTCATGGTTAACACCATTGATGAAGCAAGGCTACGCTACCTATCTCACCGAAGAAGACCTCTGGGCCCTCTCCAGGACAGATACGACCAAGGCCACGGGCGCTGCATTTGAGAAGGCCTGGGAGTATGAGCTGGAGCACCACAAGAAACCCAACCTATGGCGTGCCCTGTTCCGCGCATACGGAGGGCCCTATATCCTCGCTTCCTTCTTCAAGATCGGCAATGACATTTCCCAGTTCACCCAGCCGCAACTCCTGAGGTTCTTGATTGCCTTCATCTACTCCTATAGAATCGAGGAACCGCAGCCTGTCATCAAGGGTGCTGCCATCGCCCTAGCCATGTTTGCAGTTGCTGTGTTCCAAACTACCATGATCCACCAGTATTTCCAATTGGCTTTCGTCACCGGTATGCGCATCAAGAGCGGCCTGACATCATCCATCTACAAGAAGGCTCTCAAGCTTTCCAACGAAGGCAAGTCTTCTAAAACGATTGGAGATATCGTGAACTACATGGCTGTGGACGCTCAGCGTCTGCAAGATCTCACTCAATTTGCTCAGCAACTGTGGTCAGCTCCCTTCCAGATCATCATCTGCATGGTCTCTCTGTACCAGTTGGTCGGATGGTCCATGTTGGCTGGTATTGCTGTCATGATTATCATGATTCCAGTCAACGGTGTTATTGCGCGCTATATGAAGAACCTGCAAAAGCAGCAGATGAAGAACAAGGATGCGAGGAGCAGGCTGATTGCCGAGATCGTCAACAATATGAAGAGCATCAAGCTCTATGCTTGGGGTGCTGCCTTCATGAACAAGTTAAACTACATCAGGAACGACCTGGAGCTCAAGAACCTCCGCAAGATTGGCGCTGGTCAGGCCTTTGCCAACTTTACCTGGTCCTCTACTCCGTTCCTTGTCTCGTGCTCGACATTCGCTGTCTTTGTGCTCACCGGTGATCGTCCTCTGACGACAGATATTGTATTCCCGTGTCTGGGTATGCTAAAAAGATCGAACTTACTCCCTAAACAGCATATTGCTAACACTATCATTTAGCGCTGTTCAACTTGCTCACATTCCCACTGGCGGTTCTCCCCATGGTTATCACTTCCATTATTGAGGCCAGCGTAGCTGTTAGCCGTCTCACCTCATACCTCACTGCAGAGGAGATTCAGCCTGAGGCTGTCATTGTCAAGCCCCCTGTTGAGCAAATCGGTGAGGAAACGGTTCGGATCGAGGATGGTACTTTCTCTTGGAATCGTCATGAGAACAAGACTGTCCTCAAGGATATCAACTTCAAGGCTGCCAAGGGAGAACTCACCTGCATCGTTGGCCGCGTTGGTGCTGGTAAAAGCTCGTTCCTTCAGAGCATTCTTGGTGATCTGTGGAAGGTCAAGGGCCGTGTTGAGGTTCATGGAACCGTTGCTTACGCGAGCCAATCGCCCTGGATTATGAATGCTACTGTTCGTGAGAACATTGTCTTCGGCTATCGTTTCGATGCGGAGTTCTACGAAAAGACGGTTAAGGCCTGTGCCCTGCTGGACGACTTTGCCCAACTCCCAGATGGTGATGAGACTGTTGTTGGAGAGCGTGGTATCTCTCTTAGCGGTGGCCAGAAGGCTCGTGTTGCTCTGGCCAGAGCTGTGTACGCAAGAGCCGATGTCTATTTGCTGGACGACGTCTTGTCTGCTGTCGACTCTCATGTTGGACGTCACATCATCGACAACGTCCTCGGCCCGAGAGGTTTGCTCAAGTCTAAGACAAGGGTTCTGGCCACCAATTCTATTCCTGTCTTGGTTGAGTCAGATTACATCTGCATGCTGAAGGATGGCGAGATCGTCGAGAGGGGTACCTACAATGAGCTCCTTTCGAACAAAGGTCTGGTATTTGACCTCGTTAAGACCGCGGGCAAAGGTGACTCGACTCAGAACTCCGGCTCTGCTACCCCTCGCGAGAGCGAGAGCGAGACATCTACGGTCATCGAGGCGTCAAGCAATGGCCAAGACAAGGATGATTTGGAAGAAACTCAAGAGGGCCTGAGCGCTCTCCAGAGCATTCGTCCGGGACCTAGCAGCTCTCAGTCGAAGCCACGTGCCGACAGCATGGCGACGTTACGGCGTGCCAGTGCTGCCAGCTTCAATGGGCCTAGGGGCAAGCTCCACGATGAAGAGAATCCGAACAGTCGGACAAAGCAGGCCAAGGAGCACTCGGAACAAGGCAAGGTCAAGTGGTCAGGTATGTTCTCACCCACCCATCATAACAGCAGATCGGTTACTGAAATAGCGACAGTGTATGCCGAGTACGCAAAGACGAACAACCTTGTTGCCGTTACCTTCTACCTGTTTGCTCTCATCGCTGCTCAAACAGCTAATATTGGTAAGCTTATACCAGCAATTCTCTCTCGATGCGGCAGAATCAGATCTGACGTTGCATGACTAGCTGGAAGCGTGTGGTTGAAGGAATGGGCCGAAACAAACACCTCTGTTGGCGGCAACCCTGATATTGGGAAATACCTCGGCATCTACTTCGTGTTTGGCATCGGTGCCGCCGCTCTAACCGTTATACAGACACTTATTCTGTGGATCTTCTGCTCCATTGAGGTATGTAGAGGTGAGAAAGGGGGACTGAAGGACGGGTCATACTCACATGTGGTTCGCAACAGGCATCTCGCAAGTTACACGAGAGAATGGCCACCGCCATTTTCCGGTCGCCTATGTCCTTCTTCGACGTCACGCCAGCCGGTCGTATCCTGAATAGATTCTCAAGGTGCGTTTGCTTGCCCGTCTCCCCAGCTGATATTGCCGCCTCTTCCCCTCCATCTGGTAACACTAGCCTTCTGCCGTGCGAGGGGCAGACTGTGGCCAAGTGGCTCCAACAGTATGGTGAATACCAGCACCGGAGATGTTGTGCTCCCCTCGGCTAGCACGACACCAGCAATGCGGTTCCCAAATTATTCTATCACTGCCACTGGGGGCAACATTGGGATTTGGGCATCAGGCTAACGATCTATTCTCCTCCGTGTGAACAGCGACATTTACCGTGTCGATGAGGTACTGGCCCGTACTTTCAACATGTTGTTCAACAACTTGGCCAGATCTGGCTTCATCCTGGGCGTCATTTCGGTGTCAACGCCGCCTTTCGTTGCGTTGATTTTCCCATTGGGCGCCATGTACTACTGGATTCAGCGGTACTACCTGCGGACGTCTCGAGAGCTCAAGAGATTGGACAGTGTGACTCGTAGCCCGATCTACGCGCACTTCCAGGAATCTTTGGGCGGCATCTCTACAATTCGAGCCTACCGCCAACAGGATCGATTCCAGCTCGAGAATGAATGGCGCGTCGATGCCAACCTTCGGGCTTACTTCCCGTCCATCAGCGCTAACCGTTGGCTAGCCGTGCGACTCGAGTTCATTGGTGCTGTTGTGATCTTGGCCGCGGCCGGCTTCTCCGTTGTCTCGGTTGCCAGCGGTGCCCCCTTGACAGAGGGTATGGTCGGTCTAGCTATGTCGTATGCTCTTCAGATCACGACGTCCCTCAACTGGATTGTTCGTCAGACGGTTGAGGTTGAGACCAACATTGTTTCTGTCGAGCGTGTGCTTGAGTATGCTCGACTGCCGAGCGAGGCTCCGGAGATCATACACCGCAGCCGTCCTCCAGTCAGCTGGCCGTCTCGTGGCGAGGTCCAGTTCAACAACTACAGTGCCCGCTACCGCGAGGGTCTTGATCTCGTGCTGAAGAACATCAACCTAGATATCAAGTCACACGAAAAGATTGGCGTTGTGGGACGCACTGGTGCCGGCAAATCGTCACTGACGCTGGCGCTTTTCCGCATTATCGAGCCTGCTACAGGCAACATTTGCCTTGATGGGCTCAACACCTCGACAATTGGGCTCCTGGATCTCCGCCGGCGCCTGGCCATTATTCCCCAGGACGCTGCGTTGTTTGAGGGCACTATTCGGGACAACCTTGACCCAGGTCATGTCCATGATGATACCGAGCTCTGGAGTGTTCTAGGTACGTTATCTCATTGGTTGCTGTGCGGCATTACAACGGTCGTGGCTCCGGCGTTCACTATGGTGCCATTGCTGTGCTGTCAACGTGTGTTGGATTGCGTAGTTTGCTCTGGTCTCTACGACGTGGTACAAGGCTAATGCTTTCCGCTACACAGAGCACGCCCGGCTCAAGGATCACGTCGCGTCCATGGAGGGAGGCTTAGAAGCTAAGATCCACGAAGGAGGTAAGCTGTGCATAATTTTTTCCCCATTTATCACGTTACTCTTACCCTTCGCTTACCACCGGCTTTTCCCAATCCCAACTACTGTCGTTGTTACCCCTCTCCCCTTCAATCCTCCTATCCCCCAGCATTCAGCAGTCTTTTCGAACAGCAAAGCTCCAACATCACACAAGAGTGGCATGTCACACATTATACATTCTGGCAATATGTCCACCACGTCTCGCGCCTCTTTCCACGATTCAGAGTTTTCTTTGCCCTTGCCTTCTCCCATTTTGGTTCTATCTCTATTCTGGAGATTCTGGAGGACAGCAGCAAGACAGTGTCCCTGCATGATCGGCTTTCCATGCACCCTTTTCTGCACCTTTTTAGCTTGATACCCGGATGTTCCGCGGGAGTTAATCCCTCTTGCTGTTTTATGCCTGTCGGTCGCGACATCGGCCCTATTATCTATCCAAAGGCAATGGTTACGGTGAGGGGCATTAAAGCGGCGCTAAGTGGCTGCTGAAGCACATTTTGAGGCACCCCTCCATCAACCCTATTCCAATGAATTCCAATTCCGATAGACCGCAGTGTCGGAGATTACCCATTACATGGGACTGCAGAAACCCCTTGATGCGCCACTAAGTAGCGCATGTAGTACTACATGTGCTTCTGTGGCTGCTGCACACCAAGCAAGCATTGTAATCTTGATCGCACATGCATGAGCTACTGAACTCAAACCGACACAAGATTGTCGCGTCATATCCCATTCGTGTCTACCATCACAAAAAACCATAAAATGCTAACCCATCGACACTAGGTTCCAACCTCTCTCAAGGCCAACGCCAGTTGGTTTCCCTCGCGCGCGCCATGCTGACCCCGTCTAACATCCTTGTTCTTGACGAGGCCACGGCCGCCGTCGACGTGCAGACAGACGCCATGCTTCAGCAGACGCTACGTGGTCCTTTGTTCGCTAACAAGACTATCATCACGGTCGCTCACCGCATCAACACCATCCTGGACAGTGACAGGGTTGTGGTGCTTGAGAAGGGAGAGGTTGTGGAGTTTGATACGCCTAAAGAGCTGGTTAAGAAGCGTGGGGTTTTCTATGGGCTGGTCAAGGAGGCTGGGTTGTTAGAGGAGTTTGAGAAAGGCGAGACCGGGGGGAAAGCGGGGCAGGGGAGCGATGGCAAGTAGGAGGGATGAGAGTGGGGGATAATGGAATAGGAGGAAAAAGAAAACTAAAAAAAAAAGAAATACAAATGTGAAAATATGAGTAATGTTGTAGATTTGTAAAACGTTGAGCGCCTAGTCCAACCAACGAAAATGATTCATACAGTGGGCATGTGTCTACCTACCAACTTACATACATCTACACGAATCAATGTCACTTACATCCGTTCAAGCATGTCGTTGACTGAATGCAGAGCGCCGTTCGTGGTCAAGTATTGTGTACACAGGCAGATGCTTTCGGGAATGTTCAACGGCGATCGATTCCTCATGGGTGTGCACCGGCGACCGGACGCCACCATCGAAGTCTGTTTCACTTAACTTCACCTCGTCCAGGTGTAGGACGTTTTAAGATCCACGTCTTAATGGCTTTGTAAGCCGTTCACCGCCAGATTGGTTGGCGGTGCCGATTCTTTCCACTGTGATGCTGATGGTGGTGAACACAGATCCAGCAGGTTTCCGTGTTTTGTCCGACCGTGTTGGGCAATTTTCGGGCACATCAAGGCAGGACGAGTTTTCATGTGTGGGTAGGTATACATGCTAAAATGAAGGACTAATTGGAGTCGGAGACTTGGTAAAACAGGTTCCGGCACGGAATGATTGGTATTGGGGTTTCATAACGGAGATTCTTCTCATATCATTCAAAGCTATCAAGATGCTGTCTTAGTCGATGGAAAACTCGGGATAAGATCAGCGGTTATGGTTGTCACAACGGGTTGAAGAAGACATCTGACCAGATACCCTCGGGGATCAATGATCCAGCGATCTGGAGAAGCAGTCACGAACAATAACACAAACTTGGTCATTTGACACACATGCCCGTGACCTTGACTTCTTGTGTGCTTGTGTTGCAGAGAAAGGGTTACAGAAGTAGCTCAGAAGCCGCAACACTTAAAATACTACATCATAAAAATGGCCATGATCTGGCCGAGCATCAGGACGATCTTGGGATGCATCCAAAAGATGGCTAAGGCCAACAAGTCAAATCATAGGAAACAAGCTCTTGACAATTGACGAGCGTTGCATCAGGTGTGGAGGTCTTTCGTGCAACCTCAGGACCAAGCAAGTAAGCTTCCAAGATTGAGTCGTCCTTTTGTCATCAATGACCAGGCCCGTAATTGCGGGGATTAAATGTTGCTATTTTCCTCGGGATTAATGGGCCAAACAAGTTCGAAAATCTTGAGTGACGATGGAAGGGGCACACAAGGTGTCCTGCTGACAAAAAGGCCACGAATATTCGAGACCTTCTGGAGTGTCGCACACGGAGAAGCGTTCTGGTCAGCAGAACGGCACACACACACACACACACACACACACACGAGAAATGGATGTAAATGAGGAGGGTAGGACAGAGCTGCGTTACCTAGCGTGCTCATGGAGAGTCCCAGAGTCCGATCCTGCGGTCCAGTGTTTATGATCTCGTTGGTCTTGCTTCAAGTCTTGCCTGTTGAGTCGCACAAGGCTCATTGGGCCCCACGCCACATGCCAACGGTCGTGACTGAAGCTGCAGACTGACTCGGTAGTCAGTGAGACGGTGGCCTCTTCAGCCCGCCTAAAAAAACTTCAAGTGGTAGTTTACTGTGTCGGGAAGATATGATAAAGACGATTAAATAAAGTTATTGATGGCCGCTGGCCGAAAAATAGCTCAAAGATTTTGGTTAAAGTTTTGGTTTGGAGCACCTATAGTTGACCTCAGAGAATGATGATGGGACCGAAGACAATGAAGACATCACCTTGGTCTCCACATCCAGCTCTTTCACTTGTCCAGACCACTGCCCCTCTAACAAAGCAGTGATGACACAAAATTCATAATCACGAACAGAGGCGGTCTCAGTGCTCATCCAACCCGCATTTGATCGGGGTTCCTCGACGTCAAGAACTTGGTTGAAATGTACCAGGGGTGGCTGCAAGGCAATGGCACAGCTGGTGTGGCGGGAAAGATCGGAATCTGTTAATATATCAGATGTACGTAGTGTATGTCGGTGACTGAGATACGGAATTTCCCATGACCGTCAGCATTCGTCGAGCTCTTGATCGACTCGGTGGTTCGTCGGTGGTGACGACATGGCGAATCTTGCATCGTGGAGGGGGCTCATCCAAGTTGTCATGGGCAAATCGCAGTTTGGCACTAGTTATCAGGCTTTCAATCAGTATTGACGTCTTTGCCAGCGCACTTCGTATTAAATCTCCGGATGCATTGTGATTAGCCGCGGATATTCCATATCGGCGCCCAAGATTGCTACAGAAGATAAAGCATGTGCTAAACAGCGTAATCGTGGCAAGTGACAGCCATGAGACTTCATAGGTAGTCTCCCCTCTACACATTCTTGTTATACTAATCAACATTACCCATAAGGGTCTCATACAGTACTAATTAAATACTTGTTATCTTCGAAGAAAAGGAAACACAAAACTTGATTACGGCCATTTACAATACTTTTCCATCTCGTGAGATAGTCAAACTTGATCCTAGCTTCCAATAATCAGCTGGTCCGCACAAGCAGTAGACGAGTATCTTTGTTTTTGGACTTTCTAAGCGCTTAACCATTGGTGTACCTCGATTCATTTCATGACCAAAGCCTCAAGCTCAAGTATTTGACTGTAAGCGCCATGGTATGTGGCATGTGTGTGATGCCTCTTGTGTAGGCACGGATAAGGAAGTGCTAATTTGAGTTCCTTGCTATTACAACAGTGCAAGCGCTGAACCTGGACATTAGCAAGGCATGAACAATGGATCATCTCGATGACCAGATGCTGAAATGTGGAGCAATTGAAATGAAGGATCAGTAATTTTGTCACATCGCCTACAGATAAGGTCCTATTTAGAAAGGATAAGAGATCGTATTGGGTCGATCTATGCCATTTACTTCTCGGCCGAGTGTGCAGGATTGCTGCAGATATTGGGGTCCTCCATAGGGTACGTACAGCTACTGTCATGTCACATCCAAGGGAGATCCTGTGTTCCGCAACCAACGACCCAACAGAACGGTTGTCACTTTTTCTCATCTCGACTCCAGAATGCCCTAACCCATGTCCTCCACAACTCCATGTTTCAAGCTTCATGAACTCGGATCGTGCCCAGCACATGGGTTGGTTCAACACTACGAACAACACAATCGTTGAACCGTGAGCTCTTTTTGCTACACCGTCCAAAGATTAATGTGTTGACCTAAAAGCTGGCTATGCAAGTTACGGGAAAGGGCCGTCCCGATATTCTGGTACCCAACGTACTTATCTGATGGCGGTGTGAAAAGGTGGAAAGTGAGCGATCTGGAGTCCGCGGCAGCGCAAGTGCCTGCAAGCGGGAGAATGGCGATCACGGCGCTAGTGTAGGGGAGGATGGTCATCCGTACCGCGGCAGGGGGGTTAGTGCACCCCTGTGACAACCTTGCAGTGCATGTAGGTACGTACATGCATACATACTTCCCAACAGCACAGCTGACACAGAATTGAAGCTTGCCCAGGGAGGTAAGTACTTCGCCCCCATCCATGATGCCATCAGCTGTTGGCTGCTGAGCAAGCCCGCTGACTTTAAAAGCCTAGCCGTGGCAAAGGGCTTGTAAGTGTTGTTTCTTGGACAGATTACACAGCAGGAAATCGAGATGCATGGATCTCTGTCAACAAGATTGATCGTTTGTCAGTTAAATGGAAGAATGTCACCCTTCCAATACGGACCTTTATTCCGTTGCACGGGTACAACGCCCGAATGACACCCAACTCAGGACTTAAACCCGCGGGCGTGACTTGAGGAGACACTAGCCGAGGAGATCGATGAACGAGAAAGGTGGGATGGCAATCCTTCACTTTCCCGTTTGTTTTTTGCTTGGGAAATGATTTCCGTTTTGATCGGGCTGCTTCAAAGTCCTGTGAGTGGCTTGCCCTTAAACCCAACATCAAGCAATCGGAATGCTCCGAGTAGAAGACCGCATGCTGCTGAGCAGGGCCTAAATAGCATACATGTGCTAATAGTTGATGGCTAGTGTCTTCGTATTGTACGGTTTAGTGCTAGCATACTCGGTAAGTGTTTTGTGCGAGTACTTGTCGATACTTCTCTGTGGTCACGAATCTTCCTAGGAATAGCGTAGATCCCAGTGCCGGTGCCGGCGGCAGTCCAGGAAATCTTGGCGATGCGTGTTGCTCATACTGTAAGCCAACGCTTTACAGTTTACCCCTTGTTTGATTGTTAGTGAGAAACGTTGAACAAGGTCCTGATCAGCCCTATGATGTAAACCGCAGCTTCTTTGCTTAAAACCAATGGCTTTTGGGTAGAAAACAAGTTGCAGTGGTCAAGCAATGAATTCTATATCCATAATACTTATTGCTCTGAAACTGGGTTTTTGTGGTTCAGTTGTGTTTGTTGGGCAAACACTGGTCTCCAAGTCTTGCGCTGATGAACAAACAGGGGGGTGTGTTGTACACTAATGCAGTCCTTTCCTCGCTGCCTGGAGGCACAGTGATGGTGTCGCACTCCAAGAACGTTGAGGCATCAATATTATATGCCATCCATAGACAGTATATGTATGTAGGGAGGTACTTGTGGAATGTTTGGAGCTGGAGATGTGGCGACTGGTGCAGTCCTAGATCTCCCACGCCTCGAGGCGCCATGGAACTAGGCTCTATATTCGGTTTTCTCATGACGCTTTCGGCATCTCGGTGATATATCCTTGTACAAGGTGGGGTGTGTGCCAGCCCAAAAGAGATCGAAAGTGCCGGAGACAACGCGAATCACCAGTGAGGAGGGCTCAAAAGAGAGAAGTGCATCGGGTGCTCTGCCGAGGTTGGCATGCCGCACCCAGTATCTGCTGTCTTCCTACCCAATCTCGATTAGCGTGCTCTTCGGTTTCAAGATCTGGATTTCCCAAGATGGGACAGCGATCGCATACGTGTGCATGGGGCAGGGTTTGGGATGGACAACGGTGTGAGGGGAAGGCGGACAATTTTGTGTGGAACGACCCAAACTCGCGTTTTTTCATCGGCTTTTTCCCCCATTGGATGGGCAGGTTGGATCCTTCAAACCTAAATCCAAAGAAGCTTACCCTCCAACCAATCTTCTGTTGCTCTCTGTCCTGTGTCTACGGACTGAAGATACAGACACATGTAGATGGCTTCATGGCAAGGCACCAACCACTTTTGCGACTTTGCTCGAGCTGGGCCATTGGTTGGGCTTGGATGTTGGGAGGAGGTTGGTCCCATGCCGCAGATCCCGCTGTGGATCCGGCATGGCTTTGCGCTAAGCCCTACCCTTTTCACCGCGCTAGGTACGTAAACTGCCTTTTGGCAGGATCCACTATGGTTGAGCTCCACCTCAGGACTCGGCTCCACAAAAACAGGATCCACCGATCCACTAGGCACTGACACCAACAGCTGGACTTGAACCCCAACCCGCACGGCATTGGTTGGAAGCAGCACATGCCACGCAGTACATGACACGGGACATCATCGACTTTCTTTTCTCTTTCCTTAGTGAAGGAGAACTGCGGAGTGGTTCCCCTGCATAACCATGCATGTGCTTCAGCTTGGTCGTCATAATCCAGAACTGAAATTGCTTCAGCCTAGGGTCAAGGTCAATGGTTGTCTGGATCGTCATGACATAAAGTCATGGACCGTGACCAGCATGCCAGATTAGTGTGTGTGCAAGTACACACTATGTACACAACAAGGCATGGAGCACCATCAAGTAAAGCAGTGTTGTGTTTCACGTTCCAGCATCGCCCTGTGAGCTGTTTTGGTGGCCACAGCGGGCGTTGTGAAAACAAGCCGTTCGCAGCCCATACAACCTTTCCGCGAGCATCCTGCTAGACCAATAGCCTAGTATTGAGCGAGACATGGAGGTCACAACTCAGCTGCTGACTCCAGGATTTAGAGTGAACTCTATAGAGAGACCCGATCGAGACAGGATCGACGCTGAAATCGCTCCTGGATTGGACACCACCCCTTCTTCACGCAAGCTGGAGGTTGTGTGCTCGCCTGCTTGACCGAGCAAAAATTCAGGTCCCCGTAGTGCCCATCTGTAAGACTTACTTGCCTAGGTAGGTACCCTACGACAAGAGCCGATGTACCTTTGGCTACAGCGTGTACAGTGCGTGTATATGCTGCATCACTCGCCCCCACACACAGCTGGTGACCCTTCTCTCCCCCACTTTTTATTTCAATATCTACCTCTCTCAGCAGAAGTCAAGGGATGCAACAATGCGTACAGCAGCCTTGATTGAAGCATGTTACTGTCAGGTGCATGCGGTTCCGAACCTCTTCCATGTATGAGTGGCTTGCAGGGCTCCCTGCTGCACACACAATGCTCTCTGCCTGATTACGGGTATTTGTCCTTTGGCCCTGTGTTTCCCAAGCCTACCAGGATTCTCTATAGCTACCTGGAATCCAAGGGTCTAGATGTCTGCGGCTTGTCCTTGGCAGGTCACCCTTCCCTGGTGTTACACAGCCTTGAACTTGGTTGGACGTACCTTTATATCTTCTTTCTCTCCCCCTCCACAAGGCTTCATATGTTTCTTCTGCCAATGCCCCTTTCTCTAAGACACAACTGTTCCTTGAATAGAGTTTGAGAATATACGTCGTCCCTTAGTTGATCGTGATAAATCTCAACATTTATCTTAGCCCAACCCATCCTGTGTGTTCAGGGGACTTGTTCCTTTCTTCCACTTATGACTTGGATGAACTAGCTTTCATACGTTCTAAAACGGCTATTCTTCTAGAAACTTAACATTTTTCGCTCTCGAAGGTTGTCCATATAAGTCATAAGCATTCCAAAAAAGACACCACAACTGTGACTGACAGTCGTTTTATGTCGGCATTAGTCCCGATATATAAGTAGGAACAGCTTAACGGAACCCGGCCGCTGCCTGGTCTAGGCAAACCGTTCGTCCATCAATCCCACCGTGGGGATCCTTGCGCCCAAGGATCCTGCCATTGAGCTGGTGAACTCCCGGTTCTTTGGCATCTCAGGACAGGGGGCGCCCTCCACCACAGCTAAGCTTGGTCGCGCAGATATCCTTGTCAAAGACGACCAGCAGGCACATCTGTGAACCTATATACACAACTCGCGCTATTGCCAGTCGAAGGCTGTCACTGGTTAGTTTCTATCCACCGATGTTTCATTTGCAACACATCAAACAAAGAATGTTGACCGTGGCCTGCCAATACTCAGGGACTACGCCTGTTAGCTTAGATTACTGCCTTTGCTTGAACCACTCACCGGTCAAATTGCCTTTGTCTTCAGCTCCTGAACGTTCAAGGACAGGAACATCTCTAAAGTGAGATTGCAAGGAGCTTTGGACCAATCCTAATTTTGGCTGCAAGCACTTTCTGAGCCCCGATCTTTTTATCTAACATTCAGCACTTGATAGCGAACATCCTGAACTCCTGGATGCTGCTTCATTGCCCTGAAACATTCAAGACTTGCCTCTTTCAGCTTCCCCATCTTCAGGCTGCCTTTACTATTGCCAAAGCTCACCGTGTCTCACATCCATACCGGTGGCTATCCTGGAGGGAGCCCATAGTTTGACGAAAAGAAAAGAGATATATCTACGAGATTCCCTCAGTCGTTTGCTTAAGCAGTATCGGACAACGCCGACAGTCACGAGCTGGACTTCGTTCACTGGTCTTGTCGAATTTTGCTAGTCACCAAACGCACCACGTCCGTGTGCCTATTCGTCAGCTGTTCTGACTTTGATCTATATCCGCCATTTTGACGTCCCGGAGTCTGAAACGATGGGCAATGTCAATCCTTTTTCTCCGCCTGAGCATTGTTGCCCCACCTGCCAACGTCCATACGATAGTCGGTATGGCGGGAATAACATGCCAATGGAAAATGGCCTTGTGACAGCACAGTCATACACTAGGATCACTCCGCCTTCTGTATGCGGCCCCTTGACTACTGCTGAATCTGAACTTGGATGGACTCGATGTTTTTTATGCTGACTGTGAAGCTAGACTGTTGGAAAGGCGCTGCGAGAGCAGTGTAGCATCAATTGGGAGTGCTTTTTCCTCGCCGTATATCTGGGAGGCGGAGATGTAGCCTTTTTCTCGGGCCCTGAGCTCTTTCCGGAAGAGGAAGTTCGCAAAATATTCCGCAGAGATAGATTCGTTCAGGCATATAACCGACTCTGTTCGCCAAGTAAGTATTATTCAGAGCTTGAAGAGTACAGGGATTTGAAGTTTTTTTTCTTTGGTCTAACACTACGCAGCGAGCGAGCGATCGCATACTATCGACGATGATGATTGTAGTCCCGGCTATGGTGGTGAGCCTTACACTTTCCGCAATAGTGTGGATGAAGCCATGAACCATCATTTCGGTCCCCAATGGCCTAATCCTACGAAGCGCAGGAAGCGTAGGTTCAGGCGTACCGATGAGGATGCGGAACCCGCCGTTATTATGAAGGCTATGAGGTCAATTACCATTGGCAATTCCGAGCAGGTCCGAGAGTACTATGTTCAGCGCTTCACCTGTCTTCAACAGCGTCTCTGCCGCGAAATCAGCAAAGCGTTTGTGAAGACAATTGCTCCTAAGAAACAGGCCAACAACCCATACACTGGCGGCGAAGAAAAGCGGCCTGACTGGTGGCCTGGGCCTTGGGGTCCCGGAGAGAAAGAACGGGTTCGTCACAAGGAGCCTGATCATCTCTGGAAAAAGGGTTGGTCCATGTTTCCGAATTCTTTTTGAAACCTGTGCAGCTAATCAAGCACCAACCTAGAACGTATCGTTCTCCTCACCCACATTCTGTCGTTGGTGACAGAGCCTCGAGAGAGGCAGCACCCGGATATTCGGCGGGTGGGGGTTGATACTGCGCTGTTGGAGAAGAGCACCATGGATTTTGTCTCATCATGGTTTGCCACAAATGGGCCGAAAAATGCCCATAAAAAATCTATCTTGAAGGAACTCTTCAGAGTCGCTAAGGCAGAAGAGAGGTACAAGAAAAATGAGATAGGTGCGATGCATTGCATTTGCCCCATTGATTGCAAACGGCCCCCTATTTCTAACATGACGCCCGCAGACGGAAGCACGCAAATCCAAGTCCTCGCAGATGACATGGTCATGAGCTACTGCCCTCCAGAAGACGATGAAAACGAAGAAGACGTTGAAGAGGTTACCACACCCCCTAACCTGAAGGGAGACCCTGACCAAGACCATACACCCCTGGTGGCGTCATGCACCATGCCGTTGTCCAAGGCGACTGCGCCAACCAACAGCAGCCTGCCGCCCGTTTCTACCACAAGCAGCCTCAGCCATACAATCTCGTCACCTCTCCATGGACAAAGCTTCCTCGGCGACATGCACCTGCGCGGCCATCAGTACAGCAGCACCTCCCCGATGCTAGCTACCGACCTGTCCACCGAACAGTACGCCTACCCGGAAGCAGGTAACCTGACTACCGTTGCTACCGCAACCGCCGGACAGCCTGCCCTGCAACCCGAGGCCCCTACCTCCCTCCAGCTCCAGGACATGGTCCACACCCACGACCCGAACTCTCGTCGCTCCTCCGTCGCCTGCCCTGCTCCCGAGTTCGGCACTTCGCCGTCCGCCCTGTACTCGCCCGCCTCGTGGCAGCAGGCACAGGCCCAGCCCCATCATCACACAGCTACGGCTGTAACCTCTGCCCCTGGTAGCAGCGGCTCTACTTCGCTGTACTACACTACCGCAGCCACGGCATCCCAACAAACTTTGCCTCCTCCTCCTCCTCCTCCTCCTCCTCCTCATCCCAATCCTCTGCCCCTGCCCCATTATCAGCAGCAACATCTCCTACCTAATCCTTACGCTTCGCACGCCGCTCATCACCAACAAGCTCAGACACAGGCTGCCGCTCAGCAGCAGCAACAGCAGCAACAGAGCCAACAACAACAGCAACAGACCCCGTCGACGATAACACAGTACGCGGCAGCGGCAACTCCGACATCAACAAGTGCCTTTGAGAGCGTCCTGGCACCAGTGCATGCTCATAGTCCGCACTCTTCGCATTCTCCTGTTCATCTTCCTGCTCATCATCATCATCCCCATCACGCTCATCACCCGTCGTTTCGGGGGAATCTCACGTTGACGATGCATACGAGAACGGCGCCGCCGCAGCATGCTTGATTGATTGGAGAAATCCAAGCTGGGGGGACATTTGGGGGCTTTATGGGTTTAAGAATGAAAAAATAATTCTAGGTGAATTTCTGAGTATGGGATGGAACGGGTGAGTAATGAGAAGGGAAGTGTGTTTTGAGTGAGTTTTGTTACGACGTTATGACCTTGTTTTCCTGTCACGTCAGTTCAAGTATTTGTCTGTTTATGTTGAGTTCATTGTCTGGTCTTTTCCATATATACTTGTCCTTTTCCCTTCGCTTGCCCCGAGAAGGACTCCGCCGTTGGCGGCCTGACTTTGGAGCATTTTGATGTGTGGTCTCTATTGCGGATGGAACAAACATTAGATACGATCATTGAGGCGAAACTTCGATGGCGAGCTCTCTGAGTGTGCGCTGTGTACACGAAGAAGCGAGGAAGAAACGCTTCATATTATATATATATATAGGGTCGTCTACGCTCAAGTCTCTGCTTACGGTAGAGGGTTCACCGGGATTGGTCCATGGGGGATCAGGTGGCGTTCATGGGGTAGGTTGAAGGGAAAGGAGTACAGAACTGGATATAGTTGTTTTTCATTCTCGAAATTGAATGGAGAAATTCTATGAGCTGTCTTCTCGGACTTGAGGTCGGGTGTCCCCACACTGTAGCCCATACATCCTCTTACAGAAAACACCAACCTTGGCGGACACTACGCTCGCTTACCTATATTGCGTTACAGATGCCTAAGTAATTTTATCGCCTACCTAAACTGTTAATTAAACCGCCTACATATCGCGATTCCAATTGCTATCATTAAGTTACTGTCGTGACTAATAGAGGTATCGGGCGGGAAGAGAGAGATCAGGTGCAAAGGGCCAAGAGCCACTGGTGAGAGGTCATCAGAGCCAAGAGTTATTGACGACGAAAGGCCTTTGGTAGAAACAAGGACGGATCATGACCATGTAAGGTAGATAGATTGCTCATGGGAGAAGGGGACGAAGAACTCATCAGTCAGCAATGCAAACAGTCATGCGAAACTAACTGGCAACCACAGGGATCCTGAGCTTATGTGAGAACTCCTGTCTCTTAGATCCATAAGCCTTAAACCGAACCCGAACCCATCTCAGGAGGGCTAGGTGGATCATCGCACTAGTACATCTACTAGATTTATAGCTAGAGTGATAAAATACTCCTGTATTTGATTATTATTGATTCTTAACTCAAACATACTATTTCTACATCTTTGACTAATATTTTTCGACGAGAAATTCTTTCTAGACTATGCTTTCTTTTCAAAAATTTTAGCCCTACCCAGCTACGCTAGTTAGCTGTAGCTATTCTCTCTAGTTGCGATCTGATACGCTTATAGAGACATCTAGATAATTCAGAGCTCCCATAGTATCCAGATTACTTAAAATGACGATACATCTAGCCTTTCTAAGATAGGTTCGAGTTCGGGACAAGGCTTATGGATCTGGGAGATAGAAGTTCTCACATAGATTCAAAAGCACTGTGGTCGCCAGTTGAGTATGCGCAACTGTTCGCGTTGCTGACTGGTGGGTTCCTCATTCCCGTCTCCTACGAGAAATCTATCTGCCTTATATACTTGGATCCTTCGTCTATTTTTTCTTTTTCTACTAAAGGCTTTCGGTCACTCATCAGTGATTCTTAGTTCTAACGAGCTTTTATCAGTGACTCTTAGCACTGACGACCTTGCGTCAAAGATGCCTGCTTCCTATTGGCCGTTTTGGCCTCGCGTGAGCCGCGTCTTTATCGGCTTTCTGCGTCTGATCTCACTCTTCCCGCCCGATACCCTCTGTTAGTCGTGACATATCTACAATAAGTTAAAGAGAACTTATCAGGGGATTAAGTCCCTAGGAGTAAGCTACTTACTCGTCAGGCCTCCCCAAAACGGCGGTCCGATTGGCTTGCTCTACAGACAAGTCTGGCGGAGCAACCTGCAAATTCTGAGGTACTTTTATTGTTATACAAGCTCAATAGACATAGGTCACTTTTGCAATTCATTGCTAGTTGCATATGGGCCTAATCGTGCATCAGTTTTAAAGTGCTTAAGCTTTCGAACTTTTTATCAAAAATTAATCAGATAATTGTTCTAAGAATAAACAAAGTTTTAAAGAATTTCTTAGGAGTTTTCTAGAAGATATAGCTGTTGTTGTCACAGCTAACGGAATGATGGAGGGCCTGCCCAGAAAAGCAGGATTGGAGATGCCAAAAGGACAGACCAATCGAGACATTGTCATCGCCAAGACCTAATCATCATGGCGTGATACTCCAGCATCACCGGTGATACTGGTGATGGCAGGAGTGATACTGGAGGAGACACCAACGTATATAGGACCTAGCTAGCCACTCATTAGGAGTTCCTCAGTCAGCAATAGAAACAGTGGTCAACCAACAACTGGTGACCGCAGTAAATCACGTACACTACTGTGCGAGGACCTCAGTCCCTCGGGTTCTACAACCTGGCTACTACCTTCGAACCCACCTCAAGAGGTTGTAGAATCGTCACAGTGTCTTATCATTATTTATTCATTGTATGCGTTACAGTGCAAGGCTATATTATAGATACCTGTATACGTGGTTTGCACTAAGTGTAGATGACCTTTGGGCTCACAAAAATTTGTGTAGGTTACGATGTATAAAAAACTTCGCAGCTTGCTCGGAATTTGTATGGTGCTCCGCCCGACTAGTCTGTGAGCAGGCTAGTAGAACCACTGTTTTGGGAGGCCCGACGAGTAGCTATAACATAGCTAACTATTAGCTGCTCCATTCGACTCGATTCAACACGTTATCCTCGCGACTTTTATTGTTCGGGCAGAGAACGCCTTGAGTTCTTTGACTGGGTTCACCCCTTGGCGCCTTCACAGCGGAAAACTTACGACAAATCACCAGCGTCCAATTCAGGTCAGAAAGACTGGCAGGCCTTCAGGGGTATACGTACAGATCTTACGGCGTACTCTGGAATCCAGTAGCCCTACCTCGAGGGACAAAAGCAGCAAGAGAACAGCATTTTGGCGCAGGTTTTCGGACTCCCTCAACATTCTGCTACATGTTCCCCTGATTTCTGCCTGGGACGCCATGGCTTTCTTGCTGTGTAACGTATCTAATGTTAACTTTCAAGCAGCCAAGGAACAGTTGTACCATTGGTACACGTAGGGAAATATCCATCGTTAGTAGGCATTGAAATAGTCTAGTTTGGTGGGGGGTTGACGTGGGGGTTCAGGAAACTACATAAATATACAGTACCAATTGACCACGTTTGCCGCTTTTAGTGTACTACAATATGTGTACAAACAGTGACGTAGGTGTATAGGCTGTCAATTTGGAGTTGGGATGGCATGAGGTCCGGTCCGGGTACTGCATTCCGGGAGCCGGACGACAGAGTGTGAGAGAGACAGGGGTAGAAGACAAAGTGTAAGGCAAGTGTACGACTCGAGAGACAGAACTATGTACAAGGGGAACGGCTCGTCTATGGCTTTCGTTTTCGCTCCGGCGGGAGGGAGGGGCGAGCCGCAGCGACTACGGCAGGCAGGGCAAACGGGCGGAGTTGGGCTGCGCAAGAAAGCAGCTAGCAACGAAGCAGCAAGTGTCACACACAACCGGCCCGGAAGGTAGACAGACCGAAGATGGACAACTTCAGACAGCAGCAGTTCTTGCTGCAACCCAGGATACGTTTCACATCGGAGTGTCCTGCGGTTTTCTGTGGGATTCTGCCACGCGGCAGCCTGTCACAAAGGGATTGCGCAGGTTTTTTTGTTGATGTAAGCAGTTGTTGGGCATTATGACAGACAGGCAGGTGGGAAGGGATCAGGGTCCGGAATGGCGTGGGTTTTTTTGGGACGAGTCTAGACAGAGCGATCGCAGGGCGAGAAGAGTGTTTGTCAAAAGCCTCTCTCGTTTATGGCATAAGCCACAACATGAGATGCGTAAGGGATGTGAGTTTGCGTGTGTGGTGACGCGGAAAGCATCCAATACTAGCGAGATTTCGAGCGCTGAGGATGTGGGGGGTAGAGGATTCGCAGAAGGATTGTGAGAGAAAGAAAAAGTAAAAGTTGGGTATAAATCTCGCTGCCTTCCGTCCATAGCTGGCTACATATGCAGTTGGCTGTTCTGGCGCTACAATGATTGGTATATACGGCGGAGGGGGCACTACATGTGCCCGAACTGCAGTCGGTGCGCGTCATGTTTTCCGTTTGGCTGCAGCCAGCTTACATCCTGCAGGCGAGGATCTCTGGATCGAATCGCAAGGGCAGCGTGTTAGTCGAATTTCCTAAACGCCTGCCTATCGCCTGTCCCGTCGTATCAGCCAGCCTTGCCCAATTGTCGGGAAGCCGCTCAGCTCCCCACAGCCGATGCCAGCGAACACCAGAAGAGGATGAAACTCATCGGCCCGAGAACTGTGTCGGCTTCTAGGCGGAATGGCATAGCTGGCTGGATAGTCTGGTCGGACGGAAGATTGCAGACACCCGGCAGCAGAGGACTGAAGCGAAGGGCAGCGAAGGGCAGCGTGGTGGTGGTGGCGGTGGTGTGTGCGTATGAATGTGTGAGCTGAAACCAACCGTGCAGGTATTACCTACACTGTGTGCTCAGTGTTACTCAATGTACTCCGCGGGAGTTCGATGTTTTGCAATTGATACAGTACTTCCGGCGGGCAAGGTGAGATCACTTCGCCCTAATGCGGTCATCTGTCTGTGACAGCTGCTCAAGCGACCGGGATACCGCATTTGGAGGGTTTCCCGGACGAGAAAAGGATGGGCTATGCAGAGGTCAGACAGACATTCTCCTAGATCCAGATCATGTCGAGATCAAGATCCTGCCCGCCCCTCCTACCAGCGTGATGGGAGCATGGGATATATGACATGTCAGATGAAGCTTATCATTTCTGCAGGTAAAGTGTTGTAGGGGGGCTCCCCTAGCGGCCAGTCCCTGTCTTGTTACGGTCGACAGCGACTGAGCCCTCGCATCCTCGACTTGACAAGGAATCATTAAGCATACAACAGCATGGCAGGCAAATTCCCAATCTTGCCAGTATTAAACAAGTTTAGCAGCAACGAAGCTCTCTGATGGTCAGTTTTGATTGATCACGTTGAGTGCTGGATCGAGATCGAGGACCACACTGCGTGATGAAATTGACTTTTGACCGTGAGGACGCACCTCTGGTTCCCAAGTGACAACGGTTTGGTGGAATGATCGTCTATGTGTGTATCGCATTTATAAAAACCTTTGCTGATGTGATAGGGCACCAGACAGCTGTTGAGAGATGAAGACTGCTGGGGAGGTTCTGTTTTGTAGCATTATATCTTGGAATCAGATCATAGATTCAACTTGTTGTGGAGAACACAACAATATCCGTTTAAATGCTTATGTATATCCCTCAAACTTTGCTCTTTGTCGTCAGACTTGACTTGCCTTGGTCAGTAGTTTCGTTATCGTCGGTATCGCTGTCGGAAACATCAACGGTTGACTCTTGTATGTCGTCTTTCTCCTCGTCAGACTGCTCTCCTTCATCAGCATCATTCTCCTCTTCGCTTTCCGCTGATGCATCATTATCATCTCCATCATTCTCAATCTCATTGGTATCCTCAACCTCAGAACCCGACTGTCCGTCTTGCCCTTCTCCCTCACTCTCACTCTCATCACTCGCACCGCCACTCCTTTTCCTCTTCTTCCCCTGTGTAAACAACCCAGAGTCTTCGCCTTTCCTCACAAACACATAGCTCCGTGCCGGCCTCTCCTCGCCCTTCCAAGCAGCCTTGGCTACCTCCCCCTTCTTGTTCTTGACCACACCCAGTGTCCTTGCATGAGCATACCCCGGGTATGCTGACGCCATAAACTTGAAACTCCTTTCAACTTGCAACCCGGTATGCCGTGCCAGATCTCGAATGTTCCACAGCGTATAGGGCTCGCCCTCGAACAGCGTGACGACGATGCATCCGCCAGGAGCAAGAGAGGGCTGCGCGGACCGGAAGAAATCCACAAGCAGCTCTTGGTTGTATCGAACCTGCCGATTAACGTCCGTGGACTTGCCACCAACATGGGGAAAGTTGAATATAATGCGTTTCATCGTACCGGGCGGAGCATCGTCGTCATCGTCGGGGTATGGCCGTTTCGGCTGCTTCTTCGGAGCAGAAGGCGACCGGAAGAGAGGGAGCTTACGGGCGTTGACACCGTACATCACGCGGCATTGTGGGGAGGACTCGATGACGGAAATGTTCTGGGCGACGTGGGGGTACTTAGCAGAAAGTTCGGCAAGGTCTTTTTCGAGTACGGTTGCTGTCACATTAGTGCACTTGTGATGGGTGACGAGAGAGGCAGCAAAGGAGAGATCGCCTTCGCCGACAAGGAGGATGGTGTCCGAGGGATGGAAAGGGAGTGTTGGTGTTTGGTATTGTTGCTGGGAATGCTTGGACGCGGCATTGTCTTTGCTGTGAGTTGTCTTCTGCTTTTTGGACGGCGGGGGTCTGGAGAACGGCTTATTTTTTGGGTTCTGATGCTGATGTTGGCTCCGATATTGATTCTTTTGGGCCTGGTTGGCTCTGTGCTGCTGCTTAACAGCCTTGGCGGCGTTTTTGAGTAAACCACGCGCTTTTCCCATGGTACAAACAGTGAATGTCTGCGTGATGACGTTGGTTGACGCGGGATCGGTGAACTCGGCTCGGGACGCGACGTCGACGCGTCTCGGGATCGGCGGCGGGGAGGGGCCGGGGGATGGCGTGAGCGATGGTCGGACAGCCGGAATCTCGGAAATTGGCCGCAAAAAATCAATCAGTGGGAGGTAGAAAACCTTCCTTGGCTTCCGTTTGGCTTCCCTCAGGCTTCTGGGTCAGGGTTCGGTTCCATCCGCGAGGCATGTGGGTCCGGGACAGGACCTGGGCCGCTGCCAAGACGGCTCTGAAGTTACCAGAGTTACAGTGTTACATATATTACGAGGTACCGTAAGGACAGCCAGCACGTCAGTTGAATCAGCTCGGCAGCGAGGGCATCCGCAAAGCGAGCAGAATGACGTGGGACAAAAAGCAGTGATAATACAAAATAATTGTCTGAGGATATCTATATTCACATTATGGCAGCAGCCCTCGGCCCATGGACGCCTTTGTTATCGAGGCTATGTACAAAGGGCCAAGAGGAGCAGGACTGCTGGTGATCGATACCGAGGGAAAACTCTGAACTCTTGATATATTGGCATAAAATGAGGCATTAAGTCCAATTGACTATGATGGAAGATGGGCGTATATGTGGCAATTGGCAAGCTTGAGACGTCGAGCACTGCGAAAGGCTCAAGGCGGACAAACATCTATATCCACAAGAGTTTCATACCATTCATCGATCATGAGCTCAGGACTGCTAATGCAATCGTCCTCTAGGAAGTTCGATTTTATTTGAGATAAAACCACGTTGCGCTGCGCTGAAAGCTAAGCTAAGGAACAATATGGTCCCAGGTCGTCCGTTTGACTTCTGTGGGAGTTCTGTTTGTTGGATCTCTCTGTCCGTCGTCTGCCTACCTCAAGAGGATCACACCATAAATTTCACGTGCGATTACACTCTTCCTACATCTTCAGATCAATAAACTGATCCAACGTTTGGAAATAGATCTATACCCAATGCTTTAGAGCAGGCATGCATCTCCACTTAAATTTGTGTTAATAGGCAGGTCAGAGATGTCATGAACAAAGACCTTGTTGGTTCGCGCGTTCATAAAACGGACACGCCTGTTCGCTATCTGTCTTCTGCCAAATTAGCAGCAAGATCGCCCTAGCAAAATGCACGTGGCGGCAGATCGATGCCTTTGCTACAGAATAATGAATTTCCGGCAACTCACACTTAGATGGAGGATGCGTTGGCGACGATAATGGCGACAACAAGCTGTGAAAAGCGTTGAAGAAGTGGGCGTTGTGTGATCGCATGAGACGTTGGAGCCACTCCGCTGGCCCCACGCTACGGCACCATGAAACAGGGACACAAGCCACCAGAACTGAGAACAGAGGAACAAAGGCAACAGAAGAACAAATTCCGCCTAGCAGTTACCAGATCAATTGGCCAATTGATCTGAGCACATAGATATCATCGATACTTTATCTTTGATCTTTTGCTTCATCGACTCTGGCGATAAAGCTGCGCATTGTCGACGCCCAGCGTCCGAGTTGACCCCGTGCAAAAACTCTGCCAGCCTCGCGGCTTTCCCGTTCGAGTTGCAGCCGCCAAAACGGCGACAAGTACCTGTGCCTGCCTGTTCCTGATTTGGAAGGCGTTGAAGCACTCTAATTGGCTGGCGGCTCGGTTAAGCCTCAGTGGGGCCCAGGCTCATCCTGCACGATTTGGGTTCGGGGCCGGGGTTGGGAAGACGGGGTTGTGGTTGGCTGGCGAGTAGGTCTGGCTGGCCGAAAAGCAGCAGCACTGAGATCCACCGATCAGACCCAGCAGCACGCTCGCTCGCAGCAGGGAGAGCGAGAGCGTGAGACTGGAGCATCAGAACAATACTTGCAGCAGTTGCAGCCAGGAGCAGCGCCTGTTCTGGCATCGCGGCCACCACTGCAAACGACTCGCAAATGTATTTCGCCCCCGAGCACAATAGCAGCATCAGCATATTCTCGACGGCATCGTTGTTGACTGTTGAGGCCAGCATTGTCGACGGAGCTGCTTTGCTGCACCGTTCCATCCGCCCATTCCCATTGCCCATTCGTCTGTTCTGAGCCTGGCAGCATCCACATCCGCATCTCATCCATCAACCGATTTCCAGGTTCACCTCTTTCTTTTCACCCTCACTCTCACAGACTCACTCTTTCACTTGCAACACCTGCCACAGCACGCAGCACAGTGATTGCACCGCGCCTCGAGTATCTTCTCGTCTGCCTCAGGCACGTAGTTCTTATTTTGTCTGCTAGCAGCTTTTTTTTTTCTTCCCTGGCCGAGTGCATGTCCCAGTCGCGTCAGTCTGGCACCCGCCGTCGCCGTCAAGGACTTCCACTTGTACAAAATCTCACCAGCTCTGCTCCCGACCCACCGTTCTCGTCTCGGCTCACGAGAGCAGCCTCTAGAGAAGCAGTTCCAGCAAAGTTGAGTCGGTGTGTGCGCTCTCAACTTCTTAGTTTTCTCATTCTCCAGATCTCTCTCGCCCCGGTCTTCCATCGGGCTCTCTTACTACTACTGCCAGCTTTTACCTACCTGCGCCTTTTGTAGATTTGGCTCCTGGTTGGCTGATTCCCATCATCCACGACTTCATCCACTTTTCGCTTTTCACTTTTTTCTCCTTTCGACTTTCCTTCGAACTTTTCTCTTCTCTCGATTCCACCACCACTTCATCCAGTCTTTTCTCGCCTCAATCCGGCAGTACCGGTGGATGGAACCATGGATCAAGTCACTATAGAAAGTCAAGGTCATCAGCAGCCTGAATCTGCACATGACACTTACACCAGCACTATCAGCCAGAGCAGTGCTTCCCTGTCTACTCCCGCTGTAATTAACGGCAACGACGCCACTCTCGGCGCCACTACCGAGCAGATCACCATTAACGGCAACGAGAACAGCAACGCCATCAGCAACACCGACGCCAACGGCACGATGAGCGAGCAGGGCTCCCAGGTCGTCGACGGCCCGGAGGTCGACGATGCCGCATCTGAAGATGTGTCACTAGCTCTGTCTGCTTCTGCTGCTCGTGCCGGTAACAATGGCAGCCCGGCCAAGCCGACCGGCAGTAGTCGAGGAAGAGGACGTGGCCGCTGGTCCCGTCTGAACAAGAACAAGGTATCCAAGCCAGCTCCGCCGAAAGTCCCTAGCGGTCGCGGCCGCCGTCAAAAGGTTTACGATTCTCTCAAGGCTCAAGCTGCACACGAGCGCGCTCAAGAACTCAAGCAAGCCTATACAACCATCGCCAAGCAAGTAAAGCCAGCGCTCCAGGAACTCGCCGACCGCTCCATCAACGAGCTGCTCGAAGATCCTGCTGCCTTCGAGAAGGTCCCCGAGTATGAGGAGACCATGAGCTTCCTTCGCGAGCGGCATGCTGGAGCCCTCGAAGCGTGCGATAAGGAACGCGAGATTGGGCTGGAAATGATCAGTCACGTCTACGAAGCTGAGACGCAGCTAGCGTGGCAGCGGTATTATGTAAGTTTTATCCACTCTTTCGACTTTTATCACTTGAAAGCATCGGGAGAAAAAATGCGGATATTTCTTCCCAAAGGCAATTCTTTCACTGAATTTTACTGACAATCACAGGCTGGACTGGCTGAGCTGTCTGAGGAGTGGTACGGCCATCTACTGCTGCAGTTGGAGGTACTTGAGTATCTCCATGACAATAATCTCCCAGTTGATGTAAGTTGGTCACGTGCTCTGTCTGCCTGTCTGATGTGGCCCCTGCTGACCAATCCTCCCTCTAGCTGCCTGCACTCCCCGACAACGACTACGACTACAAGCCGATCACGCAGGAAGATGCCGATTGGCAAGGCGTATTCTACCAGACGCGTGACGGCGTCGAGGTGCCCTTCTCCGGCGACCCCATCTCGGTCTTAATGAAGAAGCCCCAGACTCTGCCGCTGGAGGCGATCAAGGGCAAAGCTGAGGATCAACCAGAGGGTCAACTGGGTCCCAAGGCCGCCGCCGCCGCCGCTGCTGCTGCTGCTGCGGGCGGTGTCGATGGCGTGGCGCTCCGCCATTCGGCCAGCCTGCTCGGCGGCGTCGAGGCCATCGAGGGTGACTCCACCCCGGAGACACCATCGAACGCCCCGACCCCGGCCCCGGCGGCTGAACCTTCCGAAGAGACGACCGCAGATCGTCCCGAGAAGCGCGCTGCGGGCAACGAAGAAAACTTGGTCGACCCGACCGACCTCCCTCTTCCCCGTGGCGCCTCAAGTCCAGACGAGTTTGGGGTTCGCCTCATTACGAGGCGTCCAACTCGCTTGGACATCCCAAATAACCGAATCATGGTCCCGAACATGTTTGAATGGGATGAACTTGACATTGGTTTCCGGGATTCGACCAACTGTGCCAAGAAGGGCGCCACTAAGCAACGCCGCGGTAAGTACCTGGGCAAGCCCGGGTCAAATTACATGTTCATCGACCGCCGCGTCGGCATCTGGGACTCAACCCTGGCTGCCGGTGAGTTCGATGAGGAGTTGGTGAAGAGATACAAGCTTCACCCAACCTTGGGCATCTGTCTGCCAACCTCCATTAACGAGTCTGAGCCACCCAAGCCACCTGCCGACGGATGGAAGCCCGTTGTTTTCGTCACACCGAGCGGTGACCACATCCACGCCTCTCGGACCATCCGTCTCGCTCGCCTCGACAAGGCAGTGGACGAGATCGAGAGGAAGTTGTCGCTGGGCAAACGGTTGCGCGAGTTCTGCCAGGAGAACGAGATCCCGGAGGAGGGGATTGCCCCCAGCGCCGCCGAGATCGAGAACAACCGCCTGCGGGAGCTGGCCGCCCGCGGTATTGACCCGGTCGAGCTCGCCGAACGTGAGCAGCTCCGCCAACAACTGCTGCGCGAGCCAACGTCAGCGCCCGAAGAGAAGCCGTCGTCCACGCTCCCTCCAACACCGTCGACCCCTGAGCCTGTCAAGGAGGACACCATAGTGTTCACCAAGTTCGTTGACGAAGCTCTTGCTGAGGCTGAGGCCATCCAGGCGAGGGAAGAGGCTTCGCGTCTGGCGCCGCCCAAGCGGTCTCAGACATCGCGTCCATACGACGCGATTCGAGATGTCTTCACTGAGAGGCCCCCCACTCGCCCTCCCTCCCCCCAGCCGGCACCAGTAGCTCCTCGTGCCCCTGCTGTGACCGATACTTCAGCGCTCTCGTGCCTGGCTGACATGGCCCTTTGCCCAGAGCCTGCCGTCGCCAGGCCTGCGGTGGCTGAGCCGCCCAAGCAGCTCAGCCAGCCGCCGCTGCGCAATGGCATACTAATGGTCAACGAGTTTGATCGCCAGCCGGAGTACCAACCTGCTCCTGTTCCAGCCCCTGTGCCCGCGCCGTCCCAGCCGGCTGCCCCTGCTGCCTCTGCTCCCGCGCCGCTTCCTGCGCCGACGCCACGGCTGGCCCCAGCTCACCCCCAGACTCCGGCGACTGACTTCCGGCAGCCCGAGCCTGCTAGACTCCCTCCGCAGACCGAGCCCCGACCACCTAGCGAGCCCCCAAGGGCCAATGACTTCCTGCGGACGACCCTTAACCCGCCGCCGTCCGCTTACCCTCCTCCCCCTCCCCCTTCTCATGTGGCGCCTGTTCGGGAGTACCAAAGCTACGCTCCCCCCGCTCCGCCCACGCCAGTGTCTCATCCTGCCCCGGCGCCTTCACATGTTCCTCCGGCCCACAGCCAAGCCCCCCCTCCTCCGTTGTCGGCGCGGACACCGTTCTCCAGCACCTCGACGGCCAAGGCGCTCCCTGCCCTACGGCCAGTCCGGAACATCCTAAACGACAACCCGCCCCTCCCTGATCCTCAGAGCGGCCTACATCATCATCATCATCATCATCATCATCATCACCACAGCATGGCTGGCTCATACTATCCTGCTCCGCAGAGTCGCCCATACCACAGCGCTTACTCGATCCAGGAACCCCCCTTGCAGCCCATGATGCCACCGCAGCATCACCACGGACCTCCGCCGATGTCTGGTGTTCCTCCTTTGGCTCCGGTTCCTCCAAGGCAAATGAGCCCATACTCTGTCTCACCTCCACCTTATCATCAACCTCTCGCGCCACAGTCTCTTGGCCCAGTACCAGGACCCCCTCCCCCGGGCCCTGCTCCGATCTACTCGCATCCTCCCCAGCAGCAAATGCCGCCTCCTCCGGGTTCTTCGGCTCGTCCCCTGCAAGCTAACCCACAATCAGCGCCGCCGCCTAACCCTCCACAACCATCTAAGTACCGCAAGCTGGAGCCGGCGCCAACTCCTCCTCATCGCATGCCCTTCACTACCAATGGCCAGGAGCTCCGCACTGTTCCCTTCGATTATCGCGAGGCCATCAAAGATTACACCCCCGTCGAGGCTCCTCCCCGGCACGGTCCGACACAGATCAGAGGATGGACCCATAACAACATCCGCAAGGCGAAGCCGACATCGACAAGCTCAAGCTCTAAGGCGGACACCAACAGGGATGGGACCCATGCCCACACCGCCAACCATGATGACCCTGCCTAGAAAGCTGGGAATCGCGCTGGTGAGGCCAAGACACGGAGCAAGAAGTGTGGTCGGACTGAAGAGAGCAACGACAACGACAATGAGAGGGCAACCAAGAAGTCGAAGGCGACCGGTCAGACGCCTATTCCGAGAATTAATGTTGAGGCGGCGGCAACTGGGACTTCAGTCGCGTCGGCGATACATGCTTCTTCGGCCTCAGCTTCACAAAGTGAGGGAGTTGTCATGTTCGATCCACCAGCAGCGTTACTTCAGCCTTTTATGCTGCAACCGCCGAGAGCGGCTACCCCTGCTTCGACAAGATCCTCCACACCCTCTATTACCCTTCCTTCACTAAAGCCTTCTCCGATTACAATCCCTTCGAGCCCGCGCCCACCGATCGAGATTCTGCCCAGGGGAAGCAGCATTTCTCCGGCTTCTGAGTCACATCTTACCCTTGATGCCCAAACTGCGGTTAAGATTGCCCGTGCAGCGCTTGCTGCCGTTCCGACTCTTACCCCTGCGATGTCAGCTACCTCCCAGAGTACCAATCATACCAGCCACAACGTTGTCGTCCCTGGTCTTTGGATGCCTTCAGTTCCAGAGCAGGCTTCAGCTGAGGTCCCAACACAGGCTTCGGTGACTGAAGAGGCACTGACTAAAGAAGAAACTCCAAAGAAGAAACGAAAGAAGCACGCAGCTTCCCAAGAGGAACCAGTGGAAGAGGAGCTTCTCAAGAAGAGGCAGAACACGGTCATAGTTGCTCCAAAGGAACCGCCAGCTCAAGGGGAACCTCCAAAGAAAAAGTGTAACACCCACACCATTGCCCCTAGGAACATGCTGCATTCAAGGAGCCCGTATAACCTGCGCAGGAGAAAACAATGTGCTGGTCAGGAATAAAGATTGAGCAGCATGAGGCATCACACTTACTTCTATGATGCCAATTTGGTTAGCTTGCACATACCCTGCTGCAAGTGTTCATTGAGGCGCTCTTGGACAAAGAGAGAACAAGATATCATGCTTACCCTCCCTACCTATTTGAAGAGAAACCTGTCAAGGCTTGGCAATGTTTTGATATATACTGCGATGATGGAAGAGGAAAGACAGAAGTTGTGAGAGAGCTGGCTTGGGAGTTGAGGATACCTAGGAAACGACAATTAGACTGGAAAACTCTCTTTCTCCCTGTGTGTGTGTGTATGAATTGCTTACTGTACTTTGATTGATTCATTCGGATTCGGAAAAATCGTTCGGGAAAGGGTTAAAGCAAGTCGGGAACTACCTAGGTACATACTGAAATGGCTTTGCATGGGATCGTTTGTTTTCGGACATTTAAAAAAAAAAGACCTGATTCTGAAGAGGGATTTGGATTGGAACCTAAAGGTCATGCATTGTTGAGACAAAAAATAACTAGGTGCAACATAACTCATTGAATATGGTCGGCATTGTTTCGCAGCATCATTGGCCTGTTTTGGCTTGTATGCTTAATCTGAGAGTGGTTGTCTCCAGCTCTTTCGGGCATGCATGACATAGCTCTTCATTGATTCTTTGGATCACTACTCAAAATCAGTGTATACCAGTTACTACCTAGGCACAATGGAGAGAACACCTAAAAGGTTGTCAAACACCACCTATGAATAGTTTGTTTCTGGACATTTGCCATAACATTGGTTTGTGGCTGGTGAGGGTGTATCAGGGTGGATATGAAAATCATCAGCGGGTACAAGACTTTATCACTTTGTTTCCAAATTTCTGTGACTGAAGTTGGATGTACCCAATTGTTCGAATCTCATTATGGCTTTTGCTACGTAGTCCCATGTCGTTTTCGTTCCCCTCCCCGCCCTCCCACCCCCCATGTCTTTATCACCTAGTATCTCTCTACTGAGTAGAGTAAAACCAGTTCAAATGTCTAAATGTCTACAGTAAAAAAACACCGGTGCCCGTAGATGTCCCAGAGAAATCAGCTAGGCACTGAAACCTTCACACTCCCTCTACGCTACTACGGCCGCAGCAGCCTCAACACCCTCCATCCCCTTCCCCAACTCCCCTTCCTTCGGATGCAACGCAAACTGACTCGCCTCCATCGCGTCACCATCAAATACTACCAGATTCTGCACCGGCTGCTGCGTCTGCCCCAGCACATTAATAACATCCTGCGCAAGCTGTCCGCCCAGCACGGCAGTCACGGGCGCAATCTCCGACCCTATATTCTGCAGGAACGCTCGAATGACTTCGCTCCGTAGTGTGTCCGCTGGTAGGCCGAGGCGCTTATGTTGCTCTGTGCAAAGCCGCGTGAAGAGGGCAAGGTCGTCGCGGGAGTTGGCATCGGGCAAGACGTGATCTGTATGGGATGGGAATTCCCACAGAGCGAAAAAGCAGCTTAGCAAAGGGGTAACGGCTCTGCGACGGCGGGGGGAGCGGAGGATGTCTGGGGGTAGTTCACCATGGCGGGAGGTGGCTAGGGACCAGGGGGAATAGAGCTCGCGCTTGGTGACAAGCTCGGTCGTTTTCTCGTCGCCGGGCTTGGGCTGGACGGAGAGCACGCTGCGCGTGCGGGTTTCGGCGCCCAAGGGGGTTGTGACGTTGGATTTGGCGCGGGTGATGACGTAGGTGTGGTCGATGAGGTCGGCGAAGAGGTAACCGTACATGCCGTGGCTGGCGGCGACGTAAAAGGGGCGGTTGTATTGACGGGCGGCAGAGTTGACTTGGGTAAGAGTTGTGGGGTCTAGGTCACTTGCGATGATGATGTTGAAAGGTTCGAAGAAGTCAGGGGACTTGGTGCGGATGTCTTCCGTGTCAACGGTGATGCGAACGCGGGGGTTCAGGCGCTGGACATTATCCTTGGCGGCAACAGCGCGATTAGTCCCGATGGGTGTATCCTCGGAAGAGAGGAAGAACTGGGCGCCAAAGTCGGCCTCGGTGATGGGAGCCGAATCGACGATGGTGAGTGAGCCAATGCCGGCTAGGACAAGATTTTTTGCAATCTCGTTGCCCAGGGCTCGGATGGTAATCAGAAGGACGTTCGCATTCCGGATCTTTTCTTGGGCCTTCATGCCCCAGAGTCGGATTTGCCGGTCATAGAGGGCAATCTCATCTAGGGGATGTTAGTGAAAGAGCAAGCATGAGTTTCATAGCTACTTACCGCGGCTGATCCCGTTAGTCGGCGTGGAGGAAAAACCGTTGGTTTCTTGTGCCATGATTGAAAGGTTTTGATTTTGAGCCATCCTGGACTGCTGGTCGATTTGTAGGAAGTGTAGGCCACCACCGGGGTGTAAGGGTTTATGAGCCGCAAATGAGACAGGATCTGCAATTTGAAAGGATGTTTGGGTGAGAAGTTGTTGATCGAAGCGAGCAAGCGAGGTAGGTTGCCGATGTCCGAAGGCTCCTTATGAGTTGCAATGAAAAACAGAGACCCTGAATATTCCTCGGGTCCCTTGATGCAGGCTCAGAGCAGGAAGGAGTTTTAAGACGACAACAGTCAAACGGGCGATAAAGTTGTAAAGTGGTGGACTGTAACGCGTCTTTGGCCAATGACAATTTAGGTGTAGTTGAGGCTTTGTAATTCACAAGTTACGGGAGCGCCTGTTAACTGTACTGTGTAATCCGCAATCCATACCCGATTCTTGACCCCGAACAGAAACAAAGCATCCTCAAATGGAAATGCTTTCCAGCCATTCGAATTGCTATAATTCGTGGAATCCTTCTAATCCTTCGACTAAGATGCCAAAGGTACACAGGAGTAGCATTTCGCGATGAAGGCAGGTAACACTTGAATGTCAATTGGGCAGTTGACGACGGCCTTGCAACTCTAATAAGCCCCGAAATGCGCAGAGCGGATTGGTGCGATGAGCTGCGTTCGCCAGTGCCGCGTTGCAATCTACCTACTGTAGCCAACTGTGGCGCGTCCAAATGCGCGTTTGGGATATACTTAGTATCTCTCGTTCTATTAGTGCTTGATTAGGTACTCCTTAACAGAATGCCGCTTCTTTACAGTGCCGCACTGACCATTTGCAGCTGTGGCACAGTAAGGTTTGCACTGTCCATAACCATGTAGCTGACCCTCCAAGGTCCCCGCCAAATGACTGGTGCTTTGGGGAGCCCACCACCCGCCGCAAGCTCTCACTTCTGACCATTCACTCTTTCTCGCTGCGGCAGTGAGCAAGCACTCAATTCGCCCTCCATGCAAAACCTCTCTTCTCTGCTCCACTGACGGCGTTCTGCCACTCTCTAACTTGCCATCGCAGAGCGTTTCAGTTGCTGCAAATTTCATTTGTTCGATCGGACATTCACCGACCAGCGACCGACACATCTTACCCCGACCGGCCGACCAAGAAGGATATTGATACTAGGCAGCTCCCTCGGGAGTCTTCATTTGGCAGTCTGCCACCACCACTACCACCCTGGACCGCTTTGCTCCTTGCTTGGGCTGCGGCTTTGTACATGGTCAGTTCAATCTATTGTCGTTTTAGCGAGTCACCACCACCACCATCATCACGACAGCCTGTCTGCCTTTGTTTCCTCTACCCGCCTGCGTTTGCCTTCCCTACTTCTTCCCGGGCCTTGCTGCTGGACGATCACGAGGATCGCTGCCATCTCCCGTTCAACGGCTCTTGTCTTTCATTCCGTCGTGTCCCACTGACTCCGGCACAGTCCGCCGATCGACCCCCGCGTCTGTACCAGGACGACTCCTTACGCCCTCGTGACTCCGACAGAACTTCCTCGACCCCGTCATCCACAGTCCATGGTTTGCCGACCGACGACCCTTCGGAGACATTTCAGAGGTTGATTGAGAACGTCCATCGTCACCTTGATAATTTCGCTCGCCTGCTGGCCCAGCAAGCGCCTGGCATCAGCATGTCCTCTGGCTCTGACAGAGATCGAGACCCGCGCTTGCGTTTATCCAGAGACGACTCTCCCCGATATTCTCCAACTGACGCAGTTCCTCCTGCCGTACCTTCTCTCCCGCCGTTGCGCTCCCTTGGCTCAAGGATAATAAGGGCTGGCATAGGCAGTCCTCTAGCCACAGGGCCACTCTTTCGCTCTACCCGCTATCGTCCCGCCGAACGCGGTTCTTCGGATAGGTTTCGCTCCCACCTGGAAGCAAGAGCATTCAGTTCGGCCCTTAGCGACCTGGACGACAGCAACACTCAATTGCGTGCACTGCTTGATATGACCAACGGGCCCCTCATGCCCCCGCGCATCCCTCCCATTCTACCCCCGCCCCACGGGCCCGACCCGTTGGAGGACACCCGTCGCTTCAAGCGTCGAAGATTAGACTCGGATAGGCCCAGTGGCGAGTTCAAGACCATTCGCTATGGCAAGCAGGGCCAGGTTGAACCGGGCACACTTACAATGGAGCTCGTAAGCTGTGATGGCGGTATTTACGACGAAGATCCCAATCACCTGCCGGAAAATGTCCTCAAGAATGACGATTCTGTCTACTGTACAAAGGGAAACCGCTGCAACATTGTCTTGAGGCATCATGGCGGAACGGTGTTCAGCGTCAAAGAGCTTGTTATCAAGGCCCCCAAGAGCAGATTCTCAGCACCGTATGTTTGGTCCAACGACCTTTCGAGTCTGTGTGTGAGACAAGATGCTGACTCTTTTGCCAGTGTCCGCGAAGGCATGGTGTTTGTGGCCTTGGAAGCAGATGAACGCTTCGCTCGCACAACCCAGTATCAAATCCAGTTCCAGCCTGCCCGAGTCCAGAGTCGTAGCGGTAGCACTTTGTACTCCCAACAGCAAGAAGACGGCAGCCATATTCCTCGGTACTACGCCCGACATCGTAGACCATATGAGTACGGCGCTGAAGATGAAGATGAAGACGATGATGACGACGAAGATGACGACGAGGAGGAAGAAGACGAAGAAGATGAAGAGGGAGACCACAGCCTTGCCCAGATTCCTCCGGAGTTCACCATTTCGCATAATCTCCACACCGTCACTACCGAGTTGAGCGATGATGAAAGCAACGAAGATGCACCCCACCGGGGCCTTCCTCGGCGCCGTACCCCGAACCGCATAGGGTCGCTCTCATTTGAAAGTGAGAGTAGCGATGATGGGATGGGCCCTAATTGGGAAGGCCGCCACTTTCCCATGTGGGCCCCCCTTACAGAAAACACCTTTGGTTCAGGGCGTCATCACCATTACGGCTCTCACGGCTCTGCTTCTAGAGCAGCAGCATCATCATCATCGCACGGTCCTGCAAGCAGCGGACGATCGTCTCGTGAAATCCAACCCAGCACCGGCGGCTCGGGAACCCAGGATGTCGCCCAGGATTCTGCTCGCAGCAATGGAAACAGCGAGCTCCTTTCACCCCTTGCCCACTTTTTCATCAAGAAGGGCAAGTCGCGCTGTACCATCCACTTCGACCCTCCAATTAGCGCACGCTACTTGCTGCTCAAGATGTGGTGTCCAGAGGGAGATGGTTGTGGCAAGAACATCGACATCCAGGCGGTCATTGTGAAGGGATTTGCTGGCCCTAGGTTCTCTCCTGCTTTTGAACTGGCTTAGTGACTCTCCAGCGACCTGCCTCTGTCAGAGTTCGCCTGTGTACAAATGCTTCAGCACATGATGGTATTTCTTTCTGGAGGTGAATGGCTTCTTGTCATGAGGTTTTGGAGTTTTGAGGTGTCGGCGTTGTCTTTGCTGCCTTTGAGCAAGAATGGTACAAGTGCATTGGGATTGGGACATCATGATTGGAATTATGGGTATGGGGCGATACAGGACCAACAGCATCTACATCTAGTGTGTGTGGGATAATGTCATTTGGGTTTGACAGGTAGATGGTTACCTCACCAGGAGCTTTAACCGAATCGGAGAACTCTACTTGATTGTTTGTTTGGACTTTCTTATAGTAAATAAGGCTCAGGGATAGGCATTTGGGATTATGGCTTGCATGGGATCTGCTCACCGAAGGGAAGAAACATGGGCCACAACCAGTTAACGGACCAACTATAGAAGAGCTGGGTTCAGAGATTCTGTATGGTAGTTTGCAGGGTTAGTGTACTTATCTGGACCATTACAGCCATGGACCTTGAGTTTTAATGTTGTACAAACTTATGTGCACACTTTTTAAGACACTGTATTGCTGATGATTTGTCATGAATCACCCTAAGTTCCAGTAACAAGGGCGAGTGTCCAACAACGTAAGTTTGGTTTCGAAATTGGATTCCAATGAAAAAAGGGGCATATCTCAGTTCAAGTTTGATTGAGATTGACTGCATCTTGGCTTTGCCTCTCCTTAGGTTGAGTTCGCCTTGGCTGACTCTTCACTTGACACTTGCGATGTTGAGTCACCGGAGACTGAAGTTCTCGGCCTCATCTCCTTACGGTAGTATACGGAACGCTTGAGACTTTGAAAGAAGCAGTTATGAGGTCTAGTGTGTTTATGCCCCTATTTTGATTCTTATCACAAAACAATATGTGAATGGCGTGACAACATACGTAACGGTTCGATTCAGAAATACATTTTTCATTTTGTCCATTGCTTTCTTTCATTGGGCTTTTTTTTGTTCTATTGTGTTCCAAGAAGTTGATATCGATTGCGAGCTGTAGAAGTGTTACCTCCGCGTAATTACGGTACAGCAACCGCAACCTGACGCCGGATGACTGGCCGTTGAGGCGCAGTTGAAGCCGATGGCTTGGCAGACCCCACCTCGACCCCCGGCATGTGCGATTTACCTACCTAAGGAGTATATTTCACCGTTTTCTCCCCTCCACCAGAACCATCGTCACCATCGAAAAAGCTAGCAAATCTCACGGCATCAGACCCTTTAGGGCTCATACGATACCCCCGAGACCACGGAGACCCCTCACCCGCATCTTTACCTCTACCACTACCACAGAGCCTATCGAGAATCCGATATTGCTACAGCTATGGCCGTCAGAGCCCAGTTCGAAAACTCCAACGAGTAAGCAAAGCCCCACCATCGCAAACTTAGCCCCGCCAATGCGCTTTCCCCCAGCCGATGGGATTTTGCGACCACATGTCGGACACGGTCGATGCACAGCAGGGAAGACGGGCGACGCCATGACACTGATCAGTAGCTGACTTGTTAATTACCGTATAGAGTTGGTGTCTTTGCGACATTAACCAACTCATACTGCCTGGTGGCGCTGGGCGCTAGCGAAAACTTCTACAGCGTGTTCGAGGCCGAACTTCAGGATGTCATTCCCATTTGCAGGACGACAATTGCTGGCACACGCATCATTGGCCGGTTAACAGCTGGGTACGTTGCATCTGGGTGAATTGATGTTGCCATGGAGGAGTCCGAGATGCTGACAGCCCGCGCCGGCAACAGCAACCGCAAAGGCCTCCTTGTTCCCACCACCACTACGGACCAAGAACTGCAGCATCTGCGCAACAGTCTTCCCGATGACATACGGATTCAGCGCATCGAAGAGCGCCTGTCGGCACTGGGCAACGTGATCGTGTGCAACGACCACACAGCACTAATCCACCCGGACCTGGAGCGCGAGACAGAGGAGATCATCGCCGACGTGCTGGGCGTCGAGGTCTTCCGGCAAACGATCGCCGACCACGTCCTCGTCGGCTCCTACATGGCGCTGTCCAACCAGGGCGGCCTCGTCCATCCCAAGACCAGCATCCAGGACCAGGACGAACTCAGCTCCCTGCTGGGCGTCCCCCTCGTTGCTGGCAGCGTCAACCGCGGTAGTAATGTCATTGGTGGTGGTATGGTTGTCAATGACTGGCTCGCTGTGACGGGTCTTGATACGACGGCCCCTGAGCTCAGCGTCATTGAAAGTGTCTTCAGGCTGGGCGAGGGTGCTGGACCCGGCGCGATCAACACCAGCATGAAAAATACTATCGTCGAGTCTTTTTACTAAGCGGTTATGAGCTTGTGTATTGGGATGGGATTCCGCGGAGTATCTGGGCACTGGAATTGATCGGGTTTTGGGACTCTCATTCAAAAAAAAAGTGACTGTGATGTGATACGATGGATTGTGTTGTTTGCATACCCAGGGGAAGGGTAATTCGGCGTGTTGTTGGTCGCACAATTTGTAGTGTGGCGTAGTAGCACAGGTAAGCTCTGCCATATGGCAGATTGTGAGGGACGGGTGGTCGACATAGTAGTCGAATATTACCTACATTGTCCCTGATTGCACTCAATCGTGTTGACGTTCTAGGTTGTGAACTTTGTTCAGGGTTAGGGTTCTATATGTCATTGGACATGTGTGGCATTCAGGGTTGCTTTCTCTTTTGAAACCCTGACAAAACGATGGCACTTCTTGTCCCGAGTTAATATCCGCCCCCGGATCGATGTCAATGCCGCCTTTGAACGTTGGGATCGGTGTCTCACAACTGAAACCCATTGCCTGAAGCAGGTCAATGACTAACAGCAGACATGCAGCATGTGTTGCGTTGCCTGTGTCCCAGACAGACAGCAGTGCAAACATTTTGTGAACCAATTGGAATCTACGGGAACGTTCCGGTGTCCATGTTAAGCCCAGGATCGGAGCATGGAGACGTCAACTACAGGGCTGCCTCGAGGCTTGAATGGCTTGAGTGGTAACGGGGAGTGGCTGTCTTGATCATGACAGTGGGAGTGTGGATCATCACAGCAGCGCAGCAGCATCGCCATTATCCTCTCAGCCCCCCTGGGCGGGAGCCCTGCGCGGGTAGCGGGCAGCGCCGTTGTGGTGGTCGGTGCCAGCTTCTGAGTGGAGCAGCCTCCTTAGAAACCAAGGGCCCACGCCAAACTCGGAAGGCGCTTGCCTTTCTCGGGAAGCACGAACAGGAGCTCGATTCGTGTCTTTGGGGCTTCCGCTTGTCATTTTTCCCATCATCATCCTCAATGCAATCCTCACCTCTTCTCCCTTGGAACCGAGGGTTGCGTGAAAGACAGCGAACGGAGCAGCGCTCATTCAGCCTACCTTCTTGACTTCATATTGTAAAGCTACACATTATATTCCGTACCTGGCTACACTCTCCCTACCGAGATAGCGTCCCCCCTTCTGCAGCAGTGCAGCTTTCTGCAGCTGCGTGTCGCCTTGCAGCAGCGAGCTCGCCGCGCAGTGCAACCTTCACGTTCAGAGGGTCCTCATTTTACGGACACACCACTGCCACACCACTTTTACCAGTTACATTCCAGCAGCACGCGCTCACTCATATCTCCCCACTTGTTGCCTCTCCGTAGATTCACAGCATTCCCCTAGAGATCTAAGGCTATCCTTTGGGCTTTCCCATTCCTCTCCGTGCGTCTGACGGTTTTGGACAACCTGTTCAGGGGTTTCTTTTACGGCGGGTCTGGATTCGACATAAGCTAAGTTGTCAATCGCGTATCGGTAGGCATCCTTTCTAGGCTCGACCCATCTCGAGCAGCGGCTGGCCAGCATTTGGAATCCCCTTGTCAATCACCCGGAACACAAATAGCCCCGCCTAAAACGAAACGAGAACCGGCCAGTACCAACGTCAATCAGATTGAAGAGATCAGGTCCAGGGTTCTCCACGAGCCAGCCGAAACATTAACTCGTCATGCTAAGCGACAACCCTGCCATAACTTGCTCCCCGCAACACAACCTGCGTCCATCATCTCAACCGATTTCTGATTCTTTTCCGAAAACATTCTCAGATCCGACAGCTGGGCCTGGCAATGGGCACGTTGCTCAGCAGTCACAGCCTGTAAACGGTTCATCTGCATCCGCTTCATCTTCACGGCTTGCCAGTCCCACAGAGCATTTACTTCAGACGAGTTACCCACAACATGGTCTTAGCCCTCTAGGGCCTCCTGTTGCTCCCCTATCAGAGTATCACAGTGGCTATGGGGAGAATGATTGGCCCTTATCATCTTCAAACTTGAATCATCGCCGACAAAGCTCGTTCCCTAACCTATTGTCGCTGCCTTTCAGGAGCAGGACGCGATCACCGATCGAGAAGACACACGCCAGGTCAGGCTCTGAGCAGATGCCCTATACTGGCGACGGGAGAAGGAACTGGAATTCAACGACGGATAACCAGCGCAGCGGAGGTCTCGTCGGCTGGTTCAGTGGGACCACCGGCGCGGCGAATGCACTGGGTTCGTCCCTGCAGTCCGAGACCCGCAGCGGTGCCGGTGCGAAAGGGAGCCAAAAGGACGGAATAACCCCGGATTCGACGCCCACGGCATCGCGGAGAGGTATGAACGGGTCCGGTGTTCCTGTTTCAGACCTGTCAACTCCCAAAAATTCCATATCCACAGCCTCTCGCTTCATGTCAGCCATATCTTCGCGCTTCACAACCATGACACCTACCAAGTCTGATGTCGATATTGAGAGCGATGAGTTCTACAACCTCCACATAGAAGCCGCCCTCTTTCCCAATGGCCCACCATCAGATCGCGATACATTCTCGCCGGCAGCATTTAAAAATCTACATATGAATGCCATTGGTTTGCTGACCAGGATGCAAGCCGCCTATCGTGAGCGTATGAACACTATTCGTGATCTTCAGGCAGAACGATCTGCTCAGCAGGATGAGGTCGAGGAAGCAGAGACGCGCTCGCGCCATCTCAAGTTGCAACTTGAGGACATGGCGCGCAAAGCACAGGAGCATGAGCAGAAATTGAAAGTACTCATGGAGGAACTTGCTGCCGAGAAGCGTGCAAGAGCTGCGGCTGAGAAGGCCGTTTCGACAGCACTATCACACTCAGAAAGGGCATCGATGATAATGGAGGATCTGGGAGTGGATGAAGACCGTCGGAGAAGGAGGAACAAGAACATCAGAAAGAGCTGGAAGAGCGGCGCATCTTGCGATCACCTTGATGATGAGGATATTTCCGACGATGAAAACGAGAGCGTTACCGAAAGCGAAAGCGTGTTCTCGCGTTGCCGTAGCCCGCTCCCGGCGCCGTCTGCTACCCCCAGTACAGCCGACACTCCCGATTCTAACGGACAATCGCAACCCAGGCAACAGGCACCTAGTACAACTGGCACCCCGACAACTACCTCCACACCGAAGCAACCGCAGAAACATCCTCAACAGTTAAGTGCTTTCCAGAAAATCTTCCGTGGCATCACGGGCGACTCGTCGAGTGGATGTCCCAACTGTAAGGGGCAAGACGCGAGTGTGGCCTGGGACACTGTTAGCCTGCTACGGGATGAGAACAAGCATCTCAAGCAGCGGGTGAGTGAGTTAGAGGTGGCAGTTGAGGGAGCTCTAGATGTGGTTAATGGCCTTGGGCTTTTGCAGTTGGCCAAGTAAGCTTCGGGACAGCGAAGGGGTTGAGGAAAGAGGAGTTACAGTTCCTCTCAAATAATACAGCGTTGATGTAATTTTACTTAGAGGTCCTGGGATGAGGAGTCTATCAGCTACTCGTATCGTGACAGATGGAAGCTAGACTGGCATAGAATGTTTTTTTGTAGCCCGGATCTTGTGGTGTCGGTCAGGATGTGGCTCGGTCTTGATGGGTTTTTTTATCAGGATTTGCCCTGTCTGATGGGAGTCTCGGACAGAATAAGGCACCGTAGGCGGTGTTTTTTTGGATTTTACATATATACCGGCACTCCTTGGATAGCATGTTTAATTGTTAACATTAAGTTTTGCTTCGATAAGCTAGCATCTTTCTCTTTAGTTTTGTCTCATATAGCAGGCCCTTGAATGGATGATAGCTATGTGGAGAGTTGTTATTCACCATGCAGCTATCGTGTTTTCAGGTCTCACTTGAGGCAGACAGACACCCAAATGTGTTAGAATGTACACTGGCATTTGCCTCACTTTCCTCTATGTATACTATGCTCCGTCTACCTGCAAATAGCTCAGAACCTCACGGGCATCTCTATCAATCGCCCTACTTTTCACCATTCCCCTGGGAGACATGTTGCTCCAAGAAACGGAAAATCGCTGTCCCATGCCCTTGGTTCCGCATATTTTTCGTCTCTGAAACTGCCATCTATGCTGCTCCTAGACGGAGCAGCATTACCTCGGCCGTCCGGAGTCCTTCCCTTGAACTTCCTCGAGAGCTCCCCCCTGCTTCCCTGTTCCAAATTGCCAACTCCTCAAACTTTGATTTTCCAGTACTATAGCATCCTTTCAGCACACCCGTTCACCGTTTAATGGTGCTCCTTCTCACCATGGTGCCCGTGGTGGTCGTCCTTCAGGAAAAAATGCTCAAACACGCAGTAGGCCGTGAAGGCAACCGTAGCAATGCCGAATCCGGGAAGCGCGCCCTTGAAGCGGTTGAAGCGGCTGAAACGGCCAGTGTAGCGCCAGGCCTCACTTTAGATTTGGAAGTTTCTCGGGTTAGAAACGGTTCTGGTCTGGTCTTAAATAAGGTGAACCTGGCATTGGGAATGGACATACTGCCTCTCCCAAGGGTCGTAGGTCGGCGTCTTGGTGTGTCGGAGGAACTCGCGCATGTCAAAGCCCGTGATGTTGGGCTTCTCGCCATTGTTGCGGAGGATCCTGTATTCGCGAGCGCGGGGAAGGGCGAGGTTAGCCTTTGGTTTCGGTCCATAGGGCAAAAAATGAGGGGAATTAGCTGCAATTGAGGCAACTAGTATGCAGTTTGAGCGTACCTTGTAGGCTGCATCTTGATGTGGCGTTGGCAATTGCTTGGGGACCGGGCTGCTTCGCTCTTCCGGCTAGCTGTTGGCAGGGAATGGAGGTCGCAGGGCGTCACCTATCGCGGGCGTAAAGCAGCGCTGTTTCGCAGGTGGTTCGAGCTCCTGGGGTGGTGGTGCCAAGTCGGCTGGCAGGCAGATCGAGCTCCGCCCTGGGTTGGCTGCCGGGCCTGCCAGCCTGCCAGGTGCCCAGAGGGAGGTTTAAGGTGGTCCGTGCACCCAGCAGCGCCCTCGTGCGTTTAGCCCATAGTAGGTACGTACTGTGTAGCCCACGTGGATGGACCGTGCTGGCAAGTGGGTCTGGGGCTCTGGGCATTTGGCAGAACCCCCCATTCGCAGCCTGCAACTCGCAGCAGGACCAAAGTCAAATCCACACACAGCCAAACATCCCGCCATCGCTGCGAACCACCTCGTCCTCGACCGACACCCAAGTTCCACGACCATCGTCGACGACTTTTCTGGGCGGACTCTCTGGCGTCACATGGCGCAGAACCTTTAGCATCAATTCTAGCCGACGAGATCGATTGGGGTAGTGTTTTCCAGTGGGAAGACTCGCAGCGTGCTGCACCACGACACCCAATCCCAATATCCCAAATCTCATCGCATTGTGTCTTCTGCAGCCCGCGCACCATCCCACCAAAGGTCTAACACTTGACCAAGTGACCGACGCGGGTCGGGAATGGTTCAATCCGGACCGAAACCAGGCACGGCTTTGAGAAAACAGCGTTCACCATAGATTAGCGATCGAGCAAACGACGAGGCCAGGGCCGTGGTTACGTATACTATAGTCACCCACCACGCGGGCGTGGATACAGTGGCTACAGCGCGATGCCTCCGCCGCTGAACAGATTTCCTACTGGGCCCACCACCATCTCGCCCTACCATCAGCAATATCCTGCCCATGCCCAGCATGCGGCAGCTCATCCGCCGCCACTCGGGGCGGCCCAGGCCTACCTCAATACCCAGGTCGGCCAGGTGAATCCCTATGCCGCGGCTAACAGCAATCTCCTAGGTATGGCGGGGGGGCTCAACACCGGTACTGCTGGCTTTGGTGTTGGCGCCGACGCCGGCCTGGCGAGCCATGCCGGCAGGATGGGCTTTGCGCACGCAGCGGGTTTGCAACAGCCTCAGCAAGCACAACAACAACAGCAGCAGCAGCAGCAACTGCTCCAACAACAGCACGTCGCCCAACATGCCCAAGCCGCCCAGTCCTTCCAACACGCCCAGCATCTACAACACCAGGCCCACAGCCTGGCTGATCACACGATTCGCGTTGCGCAGAACAAGGGGAGGATAAGGGAGGTGTGGAAGCACAACCTGCACGAGGAGATGGCCGTCCTGAGAGAGCTGGTTGACAAGTACCCGTACATTGCCATGGTAGGCAGCCCCCAGCCAGTCGTGCTTGGGGAGGAATGAGAGCTGGATGAAGGCTGATGATTAATTCTTATTTTTTTTGGTTGCTAGGACACCGAGTTTCCCGGCGTTGTGTCAAGGCCCATGGGTGGTTTCCGCGGTAAGAGCGATTACCACTATCAGTGTCTGCGGACCAACGTGGACATGTTGAAGGTCATACAGATCGGCATCGCTCTGTTCAACGAGAACGGCGAGCAGCCGCCGGCGCGCCCATCGCCGAACGATCCCCCCGAGCTGCGCCGCGCTGCCGCGAATGGACCCCTGCCTTATGCCTGGCAGTTCAACTTCAAATTCTCACTCAAGGACGACATGTACAACCAGACTTCGATCGAGTCCCTCCAGCAGGCAGGCATAGATTTCTCCCTGCTGGAGCGCGACGGCATAGACCCACATGAATTCGCCTCGCTGCTGATCCCTTCGGGGTTGGTCTGCTTCGACGATGTGCGCTGGATTAGCTTCCACGGCGGCTACGACTTTGGCTACTTGACAAAGTTGCTCGTTTGCCGTCAGCTGCCCGGTGACGAGGTTGAGTTTGACCAGCTCATGAAACTTTACTTTCCCTGTACCTACGATGTTAAGCACCTCATGAAGCACGCCATCAAGCTACATAATAGCGGCATGCTGACCCCCTCCGACCCTGGCACTACCGAGATCCTGCAGAAGTTTGAGCAGAAATCAGGCCTCGAAAATATCGCCGATGTCCTCAAACTCAAGCGCATCGGGAGCGCCCACCAAGCAGGCAGCGATGGCCTGCTGACTGGTCGCGTCTTCTTTGAATTGCGCAAGCGCATCTTTAACGGCGAGATTTCGGACGAGCATCTCGGCAAGGTCTGGGGCTTGGGTATTCCGGATTGGTCCATCAACCCGGGCGTGACCTTGGGCAATCCTAACAACACCAATCCTGGCAATGCTGGCGTTAGCAACAATGCAAACGCGAACAACACCGACAAGCAGGCCGAGACGAACGGCAACGCTAATAACGCCTCCGGCGCGAACCAGAACGGCGCCTGCCCTAGCACCCCCAACACTGGTAACTCCGGCCTGGCGAACTCCTCCAACACCCCTGCTGTCACCACAAACGGCAACAATTCCTCAACCGCTGTTGCTTCTGCTGCCAGCACCACCACCGGTGGCGGCGCCGGCCCTATGACACCCGGCGGAGGCGGCGGCGTCTTTGGTCAGTTTGCTTACGGCGGGAACGCCCGGTAAAATATTAACCAAGTGGAGCGTTTCTCGCACGTGGGCAGGCAAAGGCTAGAATAGAATGGGAGTTCGTTTACATACAAGGGTCGTGGCGTAGTCCGTCGTACATACACAGGGACAGGTCAAGGTTATCTCTAACTACTACTACTACTTACTACTACTACAAATGGTTGGGGTTGCCATTAGGACATGGGTGACTACTCGGAGGGTGTTTCTCTGTGTAAGGGTACAAAGCAAGGTTCTCATTCTCTATTCGCTTCCTGCTTGTTGTTGTTGTTGCTGTGTTGTTTTAGGTTTATTTTTTCTCGTTTATGCTTTGCGGTTGTTTGTAGGCTTTGAGGTATCGTAGAATAAACATGGTTTTCCCCAATGTTTGAATCTTAAATGGCGTGATCCTGGCTGTTACCCCTGAAGTCCTTGGGGAGATAACCTCGTCCTGGAGGTGGTACCAAAGAGCGACACTTGAGTTTACTTCAGGCAAAACACTACGAAAACAACTCAGACGTACTGATTGAGCTACGATTAGATACCTCCCCGTGAAAACTTAATGCCGCTGTTCATACGATTGGGCGGTAAGGTATCGTGTATGTCCCTTGATTGTGTTGGTCTTAACTAACCATGCTCGAGTGGAGAGACTCGGCCATCACTCTTTCCTCAAGCTAAACCAGAGTCTTCACGGTTCGATATCTTCCAACATCGCTAACTCGTTCAAGTTGTCTGTTTGTCATGCTCAGAATGTCTGCTTAATGACTCCTCCGCCTGGCCCCAGAATCATAGTTTGCTTGCCTGCTGAAATCTTGTGTCACCCTCACCTAGATCCCCCGCCTTTGCTACCCTATCAGAAGAACTCAAAAGGTCACAAGGGAAACAGACAACAAGAACGCAAGCACGAATTAAAAATCGAAAAAAAGGCAAGGACAATCTGAAGTGAACCATCCCAAAACGCCGGATGCACCATACACCTTGCACCAGACAAACACCTGCGCCATGCACCATGTGAGAATGGTATTCAGGCCAAACCACAAAGTTAAACGCCGTTTCCCAGTCTTTCCATCCTCCCATCCATCCAGCGACAAGTTCGAATAGGATTAGGTAGGTAGTGATGTATGAAGAATCATCATCAAAAATATGAAACCGGAGCTGGTTAAAGGTGTAGAGAAGGTTCATGTGACGAAAACTTTCATGCACTTCGCCTCTTCAAAAACCTCACCCGTGATCAGGTCCTTGTACTTCCCCTCCAGCCCGCTCTTGGCTGCATATTCCCTCAGCCTCTCCACACCGTAGATGCGATTGTTGGGAAGCATAATCAGGTCCTGATCTAGGAGACGGCTCTTGGAGTGATGGGCGTAGCGCACGTTGCGGGCCAGCTCATTCAGCTCTGTTGAGCAAGTTGGGCATACGCGCGTCATGCTCACGGCAGAGGTTCCGTGGAGATGATGATGCTTGTGGCGACCAGTAGCAGTACCGTTAACCCCGTTCGTGCCATTAGTGCCGTTAACGCCGTTTACTCCATTGACTCCGTCGACTCCGTCCATGTTCGTATCTTCTGCGCTTAACTGGGAGGCAGTGGTGGCATTGCCGGCGCCATGGCAGGCAGGCGTCTTCAAGGCAGAAAGCCCTGTGAAGAGTGCAATGTGAAGCAGAGGGGCATTGGGGAGGTTCAAAAGCTTCAAATAAGCATCTGTGAAGGCATCGGCCAGCTGATGCCAGCGCAGCGGGCTAAATTGCGAGGCATATTCCTCGATAGTCGTGTTGGGGCCATGGGCTAAGAGGCCACAGATAGTCTCTACCTCTTCCCGGTATTGGTCTGAAAAGGGAATGATATACTTGCGGGCGTGGTTGATGGCCTCGATCTTCTTGCCTGTGCGGACCATCTCGATGTATTGCTGGCAGCGGAGCATGAACTCCAGATTGGACTTGATTCATGTCAGACAAAGCAAAAGCCAAAGGTCAAACAAGGGGGTATGGTAGGACTACATACCTGCATCTTTCGCAATTCCTTCTTGTTCTCCTTGCACCATGTCAGAGCCTCTTGCACACTCCCTCCTCTGAGCGACCGTTGGATCTTGTCCATCGCCACAAAGGCATCGATATCAACGAGTTCATTGATCTCGGCATTTTTGGCCATCTCAACAGCAGTATCAAGATGGCCATGGCGCAGGCAGTAGTCGATCAAGTAGCGATTCAGGCGGCGGCGTGACCATGGCTCATACTTCACATCATCGACCGTCTTCAACGTCAGGAACTCACGGGTCTCGCGGCTCCTGGCAGCAATCTGATCAAAGTACCTATCCTCCTCCTGTGTGCTTGTTGCCAACTTGCGTTTCAGATTGTACAGCTTATTCTGGATCTGGGCCAGCTCTTTGTCGGCCTGTTGCTTCGACAACTTTCCATCAAAGGATTTTTGGGCAATATCTTTAAGGGTGTTCTTGATTTCTGTCGACTGAGTCTCAAAGGCTACGTGGAACGACCGGAAGTTTTTGCGCAGGAGTTCATATGGTAGACGCAGGAATTGTTGGTCCTATAGGCGTCAGCACAACTTCCGCCTAACCGCAACATGGCTGTGACCCAGGAGAAGCTGGCTGGGCACAGAGCGAAGGACAAGGCCAAAACATCACAGAATGAAGGGATTAATATGCAATACATACGAGGAGGAGTTGGCTGTCGTGGTTTATCTTAGAAGCTTCGTCCGCCATGGTTGCAGCAGGTCGCAGCAGGACGAAGTGGAACTGGCTGTATGGTGATCGAACAGACAGCAGTAAAAGCCTTCCATAAAATGGGAGAATGTGGCAAAAGCGCTCGTGCGTTGGGGTCTGAGCGATTGGTAGTATTATGTCCGCACGTGTGGGAAACGGCCACAGTCAATCAACCATTGCCCAACGGCATGAGTTTCTGAGTTGGCGTGCTTGCATCAGACGTAGTCCGGAACCGTGGAGGTGGTCCAGTCTTATACGACGTAAGGCAAGGTGCAGAGCACCGGTGGATAAGAGCTTCCCGATAACGTTATCGATGGAGCCAGCCAATGGATTAACCTACGGCGGGGCGAGGGGCTCTGACACACAGCGCTGTCGCCATTCCCCCAAGCCATCCTCCATGTTATGCCTCGCTTGCCCTTGCGGCTCACTAGGCCCCAGCCCACCGGGCTTGCAGGGTCTAACGGTACGTAGCTGTTGGCCGAGCTTCCCCGAGCATCCCGGGGGACTGAGTCCCTAGTCGACGCTCTGAAGTGTTCTACGATACGTATCTACCTATTGGAGGTGGCAGAAGCATGAAGTTGATATGTGGATAAGTAGGTGACACAGCCTCAGGCCACACGCCGTATCCAGTATATCTTCAGGCTTGTTTCGAGAGCATGCAAGTGCCTCGTGACATCCAGTAGAAACGGGTCGCCGTAAGAGCCGCGTGAGCGCAAAACAGCACGTCAAATCATGTGGCGGGCTTGTCTCACAGAAGGGTGGGGGGAACTAGTTCAGAGGGCTCGCACTTCCAAGCTCCTGGCCTTGCTCCGACGTTAAGTGTGGCCTCTTCGGGACTTATCTATTGACTGAAAGCGTATCAGAGATTCTGAGATGGTGGGCAGGTGGAAGGCCAGCCGCGCAACGAGGGGGTTCGCACTTCGCAGTCATAAAAGGTCCAGCCGAAGACAACACCGTTTCTGTTAGCCCCAAGTTTCGTAATTTCTCTTTGTTGGGCGCAGACAACGTATAAGGCGACTCGAACAACAAAACAGTCCTTTGTGTTCGACTCAATAATACACACCGGCGGATTGCCTGTTGCGGTGCTTGAACTTTGAGGTCCTCAACGTACCAAGTGAGGTGAGTCGCATGTTGGAACTACACACAAGATGGGACCAACCGATGAAAGACGCGGGGCCGGGACGATGCAGCTGACTGGCTGCGCATGCACAACAGAAGGTGGGCAAGGCAAAAAGCAGGGACCCAGTTGACGCGTGGGGCACCCAGCAGGCTGCAAGGCAAGGCAAAGACAAAGGCGAAGGCATCGGCTCGGCAAAACGTTGTGGTCCGTGCACCCCCAGCTTCAACTTCTTATTGATTGACCTCAGGCGCGGGCCCAGCCTTCCTGCTCACATGATCTCCGCTCTTCATTCAACTCACCAGCGACAACCACCAGCAATTGTCGAAAAAGTATATCGCAAGTCGAGTTTCAAGCTACAAGTACGTTTTCCTCTTTCAAAGCAATCGATTTTTCACTGCAAATCGACCCGCATCGTCATTTCGCCGCGTTTCCCCGCCTTCGTGGGTCCTGGCTGACCTTCTGCAGCGCCAACTCGTCACGTTTTCGGGCACGTTCTTCACATGACCTCGACCTTAGACCCGGCTGCCCCTAGTATTGAGAGTAAGGAGCTACCCCATTTCAGTCCCCCTTGTGAAAGTTCAATGAAAATCCCATCGCTAGCCTGCACGCCAGCGGTGAGAAGCGCGCCGATGTAATTGAGCTGATGAGAAAGTACCTATCGCCATCACTTGTCAACGCGCGACTTCGCTGCGCGTCGCTCACTCGCAGCTGTAGGCATAGCGCCATGCGCAGTGGCTACTTAGTAGCTAAGCGGCTCGCAGCTAAAGACTGAGGGGATAAGATGATTCCGGTTGAAGATTGGCCATCTTCATATTCTTTACTCACCAGCGCCTGACAGCGGCTTCAAGAGTGCTGGTGCGCCCCTCACTGCTGGCCGGCTGCTGTGCGAATTAGTTGGAGGGTTGGCGACCTAGGGCACACCTGTTTCCTAGAGCCCTGGAACAACCGACTGCAACTTTCGCTTGGGAGCTTGATTGTGCTAATCAACAAGCAGATAAACCAACTAGTCGAAAATCAGTCATGTCTACTCCGGTCGGAGTCCCTCATCCAGAGCTGCCCGCGGATCTAGCGACGAGCCCGGGTCAGAAGCGCAAGCGCGCAAGCGACTCTTCGTCGCCGGACACTCGTCGCTCGAAGCGTGGCGCTCCGGCTGCAACGATGGCAACCACTGAGTCGGATGCTAATCAAGCCGTGCAAGTTGCTCAGGCTCAGGCCGCTCAAGTTACTCAAACGGCACAGGCCGCCCAGTCCTTCTTGGACAACACTGTGAGCATTGCACAGGCTGCTCATGAGCATGTCAACGTCGACGACTTTAGCGCGCTTGCCCAGGCGACTGCCGCTGATCATAGCGAGACCACCGATGCTACCAACGCCACTAACACGGCGGCGGCTGCTCTGAACATGTACCCCAATCTCCATGTCTCGCAGCCTACTGCCGAGCCCTTCTCAAGCCAGCCGGCTCAGGAAGCTCACCAGGAGAACACCTTCAACCATTCTATTAATCAGCCAGCGCCTGCGGAGCCTATGCCTGTTGCCCAGCCCACGTCGATACCGGCGCCCGCGGCTCCAGCTCCGGCTAATGGGGTGCAACAGCATCCAGTTCAACAGCAGCAGCCTCAGGCGCCTCCTCACCCCCAGACGCATCCCCAATATAAGCCGCCCAACCCTAAGCCGGCTGTTGGTTCTGAGGAATGGCACAAGATGCGTAAGGACAATCACAAAGAAGGTAAGTCATCTGGATGCCATTCTCTTCAACTAGCTTCGCATGTTAACATAGCCGGCAGTTGAGCGTCGCCGTCGCGAGACAATTAACGAGGGCATTAACGAGCTCGCTAAGATTGTCCCTGGGTGCGAGAAAAACAAGGGCTCCATTCTGCAACGTGCCGTTGCCTTCATCCAGCAGCTGAAGGAAAATGAGGCGCAAAACATCGAGAAGTGGACCCTTGAGAAGCTGCTTACTGAGCAGGCTATCGCTGAGCTTAGTCAGTCGAATGACAAGCTGAAGCAGGAGTGTGAGCGCCTCTACCGGGAGCTCGATCACTGGAAGTCTCTTGCTCAGAGCGCTGGCCTGGGCTTACCTCCTCAGCAGCAGCAACAAGGCCAGCCACAAGGTCAACAGCAAGGCCAACCGCAGCCGGAGGAGCAGCCTCAGCCCGCAGCGCAGTCTCAGCAGACCTCGCAACCTCAGCAGCAAGCACAGACGCAGCAGGCGCCGGCTCCCTCCCAGCCTAAGGAGGAGCAGGTCGCCAGCAGTTAGGTACATCCTGGTGCCCTTAAGCTAGCCCCTGCTGCCAAGTCTCCCGCTAGCATTATTATTCCACATGCATCCATTTTGATCCCGGAGATTCAGGCTTCGGAGGCCGATGATGAAGCGGTGCTAACCAAGCTGGAAGAGGCCTTGACTGGTCTGCAGCAGTATCGGGAGGATCATCGCGATTTTCACTGGACCCCGCATCAAGTGAAGACTACCACACCCGTCGCGCCTCTTGCTACCGGTCCCACCACCTTTACCCTTCTCCCTCGTCTAGAGAGGTTGTCTCGCTTGATACCACGTGATGAGAAGATGCGGATGACAATCTCGTTGCGGTTCCCTCGGTCTTATGCGCTGCTGTTGTCGATTCCAGCGGCTCTCGCGTCGTTCATGGTACAGCAGTCGTCGTCGTCGGGTGGGCATGCATGTCGCCGTTGAAGTCAGCGGCCGGCATATCCGTGTTCGATGTTGTTCTTTCGGCTTAAGGTTTGGCATCGTCTTTATCTTCGCCTTCGAGGCTTGGTGACCCGGGCTTTCCTTGCGAGCGAGTTGCAGTTCAAGGGCCTAATCACTATATACCCGGGTTTTCATACTCTTTCACACGATGTTCTTCTATTGTTCTTTTGGCATTGTATGGGTAGGATGGTTGTTTGATGTTCCTGATTTCCTTATACTATGTTGGGGTGGTTCTAGTTGGCGTCTGAGCACTATTCACGGTCTACCTACAGCCAGAGTATCCCCGACTTGGAGCTTGGGCATCACGGGCGGTGGTTAGCACTGGGTGTCAGGTGGCGTTAGTCACGGTTTGTCTGAAGAAGTGACTTTTGCTCCGCATTTGGACTTGATAACAGCCATTTATGGCAATATGGTACTGGCGGGTCATTCTGGGTATATCTATGGCCAAAGGATCCTGAGAGAGAGATATGCGATCGATATCTCTCGGACTGTAGGGTCCATCTTCATCCTTTTTTTTTTGGCGGACTACCCACTGACAGTTACCCGCAAGCGATATTATTATGGTGTGGGAGTAGATACGGAATAGCAACTTTATTTATCAAAACTGCGTTGTCCCTGATGCAAAACCTCTAACTTGAGGACTTCTACCCCGCAGTGTAAGACCGTGGCAAATTGTCGCCCTGCTGCATGGCGACATGAAAGATGACATCTTTTAGTTGGTGGAGGATGCGTTAGCATCAGGCCACTGCCGCGAACAGAATCCTACAGTAGCTGCTGTAAAACAATCCTTCCGCTGCCCCCTTAGATATATTGTGTATAAGAGCGATTGGGGGCCCGGGCGGAAGGGCAATGCGAGGGGCCCAGTCGGCTGGCGAGGCAGCGGGCCGAGGTGAATGTCACAACCCTTCGGTCCCTCTCATTGGGGACTAGGCAGATGTTATCAAGCCCAATCCCCAGCGATAAGTGAGGAGGCTGGACCACAGACGGTTTCATGAAAAGCGGGGCGGAAGCGGGGACGGGCAGGGCTGCCGTGACCCCCGACTGGTGCTGTGCTAAGAAACGCAACACGCGACTTGATCATGGCGCGAGCCCCGATCTCGCTGTTACAGCTTCGAGGTGATTGGAGATGAAGAAGTCGGCGTGACTTCGTGATAAGTATTAGGTACCTGGCTATGTAGGGAGGAGGGACTCCGAACCATGATGCGGGCAGAATGAGCATGGTCGAAACCCATTTCGAAGTATTCTGGAGCCTCAAGATACATGACCTGGGTTGAGCCTTTGTTAAAGCTTCCCTGAGTACTCGACGGTTGACAGCTTCGAGAACAAAGTCTGCCAGCCGTTGACGGCCAACTCCGCTGCATCCAGGATGGGGAACACCCGGCTTTTGCTTGGGCCTATCACCAGTGGCCACTGCAGCTTCCCCGCATCCAATCCCACTTAATCCAGTCTAACACTGGAAGGCTCGAAAAGGTCCCTGGCGTTGGAACCTGGAAGGGCCGATCCGGATTCCGGGCCCAGTTGAACTAAACATAAGCCGGTGATATCCTTTGGCAAACGGGGTAGATCTCCCTTTGGCCCCGGAGCTCCTCATCTGTGGCGGTCTCGCTGCCTATGTGGTCCTGCTGCAGTTAACGTTCCTCCGTTTTCCTTCTCTTCCCTTCAAAACACCGTGGTGGTCGCTATTCTGAAATCATAGAAGCTAACCAATTGCAATGATCACCACACCTTGACTGTTTGCTCATACCTACCTAGTTCATCTCCTTCTCCAGTTCATAATCACGGGGAAGGTCTGAGCACGACCACCCAGCAAAGAACAGAACCCAGGGAGAGTACTCGTACTCTACTAATCAAATCAACTTCACCATGTCGACAGCCAGAGCGTTCCGGGGCAGCAACGTCCTCCTGCGGGCCGCGAGGACAAGGCCGGTTGTTGCTCTTCCTCGCGAGTCTCGCCGCAGCTTCACCGCTTCAGCTCCGAGCCTGTCGAAGTTTTACGACAACTGGGAGCCTGAGGGTCCAACAGTCAAGACTGAGATCCCAGGTCCCAAGTCCCAGGAGCTCATCAATAAGCTCAACGAGGTCTTCGACACCCGGAGCTTGAACATGCTCACGGACTATTCTAAGAGCTCTGGTAACTACATTGCCGATGCTGACGGCAATGTCCTGCTGGATGTGTAAGTAAACCAACTGATTTTGGTTGATGGACAAACATTGACGTTTCTTCCAGTTATGCCCAGATTGCTTCCATTCCCCTCGGCTATAACAACCCAACTCTGCTGAAGGCCGCCCGCAGCGACGAGATGATCAACGGCATCATCAACCGCCCTGCCCTGGGCAACTTCCCACCTACCGACTGGGCTGATGTGCTCAAGTCCGGTATCCTCAAGGTTGCCCCGAAAGGTCTCAACCAAGTCTTTACTGCTATGGCTGGCTCCGACGCAAATGAGACTGCCTTCAAGGCTGCCTTCATGTGGCGCCGCCAACGTGACCGTGGCGGGTATAACGTTGAGTTCACTGAAGAGGAGCTGCAGTCTGCCATGGAGAACAAGGCGCCAGGTGCCTCAAATCTCTCCATCCTCAGCTTTAGGACTGCCTTCCACGGCCGTCTTTTCGGCACTCTTTCAACTACCCGATCCAAGCCTATCCACAAGATCGACATCCCAGCCTTTGACTGGCCCCAGGCCACTTTCCCCAAGCTGAAGTATCCGCTCGATCAGTTCGCGGCTGAGAACGCTGCCGCTGAGAAGGCCGCCCTGGAAGAGGTTGAGCACCTCATCCAGCACTATCACGTCCCCCCAGCTGCCGTCATCGTCGAGCCGATCCAGTCCGAAGGCGGCGACAACCACGCCTCTCCCGCCTTCTTCCGCGGCCTGCGCGAAATCACTCGCAAGCACGGCGTCCTGCTGATTGTAGACGAAGTCCAGACCGGTGTTGGCGCCACGGGTCGCTTCTGGGCCCACGAACACTGGGACTTGCCTCACCCCCCTGACATGGTCACTTTCAGCAAGAAGGCTCAGACCGCGGGTTATTACTTCGGCAACCCTGAGCTGCGCCCAAACAAGCCGTACCGCCAGTTCAACACGTGGATGGGAGACCCGGCGCGGGCCCTGCTCTTCCGCGCTATCATTGACGAGATTGAGCGGCTCGACCTTGTGCGCCATACTGCTAAGGTCGGTGACTACTTGTTCCAGAAGCTGGAAGATCTCGCGGTCAGGTTCCCGGGCCAGTTCGAGAACCTCCGCGGCAAAGGCATGGGTACCTTTATTGCGTTTGACCACCCGAACCGGGACGAGTTCCTTATTAAGGCGAAGAAGTTTGGCATTAATATCGGCGGTAGCGGACAGTCGGCTGTGCGATTGAGGCCGATGCTAGTGTTTGAGGAGAAGCATGCTGATATTCTGGTGGAGGCGTTGGAGAAGGTTGCGAAGACATTCTAAGGGGGCTTGGGGTATATGATTTTTCAAGAGCAGAAGGTCGGATAATTGATTGATGAGGTTTACTTGATGGAATTAGGGACATATTTGAGAGGCGTATATGGCTGGGTTGTCTTGAGGTTAAGTTAGCTAGAAGTAATTCTTAGTGATTTTTGACCGAATTATGAATACCGTTGCTTTCACATTTAACATATCCAAAAGCCCGGCCGAAGTGACGCCCTCAGAATGTACCAGACTAACCGCCGCTCTATTTGTGTTCTAACTCGTCACTATCGAGCTGTACGGCTTTGCCGATATGTACGGAGAATCGATGCAGAATCACCGTCAACACCATCGTCATGCCAGTCGAGAAACCACGCCATCAGCGAAACCTGTTGCCGGGTCCATGCATGGAACGGCTCCTGTATGTTAAATATTGGTATCGTTCAAGTATGGAACAGAAAAAGGTGGGCGAACAAAGGCTCTCCAGCCATATACCCATGTCGTGCTCCAGTAAGAGATTATGTGGTGGCATTCCAGTTCCCTCCTCCGCCTCGCTGACTCGCATTTCCTCCCTCACATTGCCCCCAACGTTTGTTCACATAGGTAATGTAGACACGAGTTGGTCACTATGGGCATGTTGTGAAGCCCGAGGGAGTAGACGGAGAAACAAAAAAAATCTTATGTATGTGGTAATGCTGTATATGCACCCAGTACGTTGTTGTGCAAAGTATTATTGCACCGCGGATCAGAGAAAAAACCTGTTAAAAAGGGTGACGAATATGAGATGGAAGAAAAATCAAGAATAAAGCATAGTAAAGTAAAATGACGTAAAAGCGCCTGTTTATGATCCGATCCTTCCTCATCCCGAGCTGGCCGCTTTTGGTCCTTGTTCCTAATCACCTCTCAAGGTAGGTAATTTTGGTTTTCACTCTAAAGTCAACAACGCAAAGTAGTTTGGGTGAAACCATCCCCAGATTTTGTTTCTTTGTTCCATGGCCTGCTTGTCCAAGTTCAAGAACGAAAAGATTATTTCAATGGCTCATCACAGCTTGCTTCTGCTGCTGTGCCTGTTCTTGCGGCGGCGGCCCATCATTATCCACGTCCATCGGCTCACCAGACACGGTAAACGACGCTGACCCGAGCTCAATACCAGCGTTCTTGGCAGCTGCGAGCCCGTTCTGCAGCTCTAGCTGCTTCCTCTTCGCCTCATCCTCCAAACGTTGGGCCTCCTCGTTCTCGCGCATTAGAGCCTCTTCCTGCTCGCGCATAGACCTCTCTTCCTCAGTCATGGGGATTTCAGCCGGGGGAGGAGGTGGTGGAGGCGGGCTTGGGATGACATCGTTGCCAGTGCCGTCATCTTCTTTGATACGTTTCACAGACGGCGGGTCGGATGAGGTAGCGGCATCCTCGTCTGCAGGGGAGCGCATGTCGTGATCACCATCCTGGTCGTCGTCGCGCTTACGCTTGCGTCCGGCCGAGCTGGTGCTCTGAGGGCTGCTGTTGGGGGCCTCCACATCGGACATGACCTCATCGACATCCTTGCCCAGAGTCCCAGTGGGCGTCGCGGTGTTCTGCTCTGTCTGGGAAGATTGCATGCCCTCCTTCGAGGTGTACTGTGCCTTTCTCTTTTGATACTCGAGGTATTTCTGCAGTGCGCGGTCAAAGAAGTCGTAGACATACTTGCGGACCTTCTTCGCCTGCTTGCTCGAGAGGGGAACCGTCGGGTCCTGGACTCTATTGTGCTTGTAATCCGAGGCAACAAGCTTCTTGTTCACATCGCGCGCGAACTTCTTAAGGTCTTCCCTGGGCAGTTTGCCATGGAACTTGTCCATGACATACTTGACGTGAGGAAAGAGCTAACCCTATGTCAGATATTCGATGCCCGGCTGTGAGAAGAAAACGCCCAGTACTTACTGTGTTCTCATAGATCTTCATCTGCTTCTCGATTGGTAGAGAACGCCACTTCTCCTTCTTCGGCTCCGTTGCAGGAGTGCTAGACCGCTGCGGAGTATGACCTGCTGATTGACGCGGGGTTGGCTCCTTCGTTAAGCTATCAATGATGTCCTGCAGGGCTTTTTGGTCCTGCTGAGCCTTGACGGATGGCTTGGGGGTTGTGATAGCAGGGGCAGTGGGGCGTTGCCACTGAACCTTGCCATTGACATCGTAAAAGTAGTATTTGCCAGTCTTCTTATCCACAGTGACAAACCAGCCCTCCGGCAAATTGGTCGGGGGCTTCCGAGGTCTCACTCCATTGTAATAGTTGGCATTTCGTTGAGGGATGTTGCTGCGGGGACCTGTCGGGATCACCACGTTCGCAAGAGGGTCCGCGGGCTTTGTGGGCTCCTCGCGATTGCTACGCCGTTCTTCCTCGAATGAATTAGCGATCGCTGACACCACGCGGCCGTCCTTCTTGCGTGGAATGCGGTAAGCTGTTTCCAACTTGTCCCATTCCTCAAGCAGCCGCTTGGCTTCGAAGGCCACACGCTCATCCGATGATGAGGCAAGAGGCTGCACAACTGCCTCGATGTTTGAGTCGGAGATTTTGTTCTTAGTGATACGGGGAAGGTTGTATAAGATGTCTAGAACCTGCAAAACCACGTTGTTGTCGTGTTTGAAGGCATTGAGCGTGCTCTTCAGGATCTGATAGCCGTGCATCCGCACCACTCTATGGCGCAAGTGATCGTCTTGAGTAGCCTGAAGGCGAGAGAGAAGTTTGACAGCAATCCATTTCTCCTTGCATTGCATGAGTGTGGCCATGACCTTGTTGACTCCATCCTCGTCAAGGGCCTTCGGCTGTAAGCTGTTGACATATTCCTCATCAGTCTCGGACGCCTTCTTCTTCCGGGGCTTTTTGGCGACAGTTGTATCCCAGCTGTCACCATCCTCAATGCCAAGCGCCTCGATGGTGGCGAGCGGCAATTTGGTTGCACGCTCTGTCTGCGTCTTGCCACCAATGAAGCCGACACAGTTCGGCTCACCGCAATAGCATGGTTGGGGGTCGGCACCATAGCGGTCAACATTGTAGTTAAACACCAGCTCCTCTCCAGCCTTGATGTACCGCGCGGCAAAAATGCCCATCCGCAGTTTGTCTCCAACCACCCATTTGTCGACGTAGCAGTTGGGGTTGCATGAGTGATTGCAAAAACGGCCCAGATTGCCCTTCTTGGTTGCATCCACAAACTCATTCTTCGTCAACGACATGAAGTAGAAGTGCTTGATCCCTTCTTTGTCATATTTGAGCATCCGACTCCGGAACGTCGGCTCGTTAATAACTTCGCCGACATACTCGTAGATAAAGTCGTTCGGCTGTAGATCAGTGTCTGCCCGGAGACCATAGCCCTTCTTCTCAGTCTTGATGACGGAGACTTTGGCATACTGCTTGCGCTGGAAGCGCTGGTTCTGACAACCTTCGCCACAATTGCAGTCGCCAATAACACACTCAATCTTGGTCGCACGATTGATACAGTCCGAGTCTTCACCGCAGGCGTGGTTCTTGCCGTCGCCTGCAGAAGGGGCAGCAAACCCCAAACGTTAGGGGGCTGACGTATTACGCAGAGACATGGGGAGCAAGAGAGAAAAAAAAAGCAGGGTGTGAAGCGTGGCACTGGTACTTACGCCAATCCTCAGCACAATCACAATCTAACGCATCATGGTCCGATGACCCCATGTTTCGAGAGCCGTAAAGGCAGTCGCTGATGACCTGGAACGTGCGACATGCTTCTTCTGTAGCATCTGGCAGGTGATTGAATAGCTGTGGCGGGTTGCGAGGAGGAAGTTTTGATGACTTTCGCGACGGCTTGGGCGCGACTCCGTTCTCTTGGGCCAACGCGCTATCATCAGCAGGCTTTGCATCGTCGGGGGACATCGTTGTGGCACTAGAAGATCGAGAGGCCGATTTTGAGCCGGTTGAAGTGGATGAATCACTCGCATCCTCCTTCTTGGACCGCGGCCCGTTTTGTTTTGTTCTCTCCTCGGACTTCGACCCCGCGGTCGGTCCTGAAGCACGGTCACTTGCCTCCATGGCAAACCTTGGAATGCGTGCGTGAAGCGCTGTTAAGAGCCGGAAGAGAGACAAGAAAGAAGTCGGAAAACAATGAAAAGGGTAGGCTGAGGTGCAGTGAGCGAACGCGGCCAGTGATCTAGGAATTGGGTGTGCTGAAAAAGCCCGGTCACATATGGGGGTCGGCTCAGACGACAAGTTCGGCAGTGGAAAAATCGAGAGACCTGCGCAAGGTGAGAAGGCGTGGAAATGGGGGGCTGAAAGTGTGAGCGAGGGAAAAAGAGAGGTATGTAGGTAGGCAAGAAGATCAGTTGGGTCGGTATACGGAGTAGCAGGACAGGTATTTGGGGAAGCTATTCTGCTTCTGCGCGCCAGGCTTGCGACATGGCAACGCAAAACTGACAGCGGGCCCTGGCGACGTAGGGGAACAAAAAGATCAGAGCTCAGTGAGGACGATGGTGGGATGCGACCGCAGCGCTTGTCGCCCCGTCCACTTTTCAATAAGGGGCCAAAAGCAAACTCTGGAGAACTTCAATACTCGTGGCAACGCTGCCTCACATCCGCACGAGGGTTGTCAATCGATCTCGTAGTCCACGTCGGGTTGCTAAAAACCGAAACCCCATCCCACCGAAGCGACCAGAGCGACATCCTGTCGAGCAAGGAGCGCGGATCGCGGCCGGCGCCAATCACAACTGTTCAGCCCAGGCCCATTGGCTGGCCCCACAACAGAACCTAAACAGCCCTTGGCCGCATCGTACACGTGATATCCAGTTCAGTCGGGCCGAAGATATTCCGTAACGTGGAAACGAGAGCACAGCTCTCGAGCACTCATCTGTCAGCCTATGGGATCAGTCCCAGGGCGTTGGCAGGTCATCAGCAGCGCGTCCAACTTGGCGAAATGACAAAACACATATGCAAAACAGAGGTCAGCTTTTGATGTGTAGAGTCCTCCGACATAGGGCAATCTCCTGGTGTTGGGTTTCAATCTTCTGGCTTTAAGTTAGCAATGCTAGCACTTGGCTAGGTTGGTCTTCAAAATTCTACCTATATGATGGAAGAGAATAGTAGCCTCTGCGCTGCGCTCTGGGCAAAACCATGCCACAAAACACGTGATATGGAATGGCTTCAAGAGACCTGGGTTGGTGAATGGCATTATCCTGACCTCCCATCCGTCTTGGTGCTGACAACTCAGGCATGTTAGTTTTGTGTCTGGCATTCATCTGTAGGCCTGATCACAAGGAATCAATATCATCCGACACTAGGGATGGACAGGGCATGATAGCATGGAAGTCAACTCGCTACCCAAGGTTCTTGTTTCCAACTAATGATGGGTAGTTCCTATAGAAGCTTGTGCTTCACAGAGTCACAGAAGCACAAGATTACCGGTGGGCTTTTCCTGCCGATGCCACTTCATCTTGCAGACGACACCGCCTTACAGCAATGCCCAAAGGTTGCTTTAGGCACATACGAGAGAGGTCATATAAGCTCCCATGTCGACCCGGTCTGCCCCTGTTGACTCCTGGAATTTCCCCTCATCCATCTCATCCAGATCTCTCCAAACAAAGAACGTTATCACCATTTTTTTTAGCTCTCACACGACCCACTGACGGAAGTGATGCGGCTCTATGCAAGTTCAGACTAACCATTAACTCTAAGTTTGTGCGATCGCCAACTGGCTTGCTGAACAATGCTATTGGCGAGCGCTGCCCATGATGCTAGCCAATGACAGGCGGGATGTTGGACGTTGTTAAGAGGTGGGTACTGGGGTGCTCGACCTGTGATGGTCCCAACTACAGTTTCACTGACTTGAGAAATCATCACTATTCTTTTTTTGGTTTCGTCACTTTCGAGCCAAAAATCTCTGTCTGATTTTGTACAACGGAGCTCGCGAGTTAGAATATGCCGCCTTCATGCTTTGAACTTTGACCAGGAGCTAAACTTCGACAACGGATCACACGATTGCTGCATACGGCCCGTGGTAAAATACCATACGGCTTACCGATTGTTATGGTTCTCGTGTCATTTCGACAATCAGAGAACGACTTGCTGTTTAAGATCATATTCACACCCTATCAAGCCAGAGGCATGAGGTAATGAAGTGGGTGGAGGGTCACACGGACATCCTCTGTGCGCCCAACGAAGTTGCCGCACGCTGCACGTCTCTCTGAGTTGCAGCTTGTGGCCCCCTCACGCATCGTCCAGCTCGTCAATCAAAGGTCTCGGCAAACCTGCATTCACCATCTTGCAAGGCGCCGACTCTCCGCTGACGCTTCTCACTGCCTGGCCTGGCTTGCTGGTTGCAGACGCGCCGTTGCAACACCAAGTCGAATTGGGCATTCGCTCTCGCTCATCGCTCCGGAATCCAGCTGCAATGCGTGTAAACAACGCGAGTGTCCGAAGTCGACTTGGGTTGTTTGCGTCGCTGGCAGAGGGAGAGGGGACGGCTATGCCCAGTTAAGGCCCTAGGCGAGCTGCAGGTTGTCTGGCCTTACCTTGTCTAGGTTTCCTGCATCACGATGCTCATAGCCCATGGAGACGCAGAAATCAGGCAACGGGAACAGGTACTCGGCTAATGAGCAGCAAGACCATAACCATCGAGAAGAGGTTAGGGCATTTTCTCCAGGTGGATTGATGAGACAAGTGCTGCTGGGTCTTGAGGGCTTCTCCGGACGAGCGCCCAAGGCAGGCTCCCAGCCCCGTGGGGTGTCCGCTACTGTTACCCAAGAGATATTCGCTACAGTTATTGAAAACACCAAAGGGCTGCCCACCCGTCCCGTGTCGTCCAGCTCGAGATGGCACTAGTTGGCCGTCCTGTCCACACCATCTCGTCCAAATCCGGTCGCCCGCTGCTGGGCAGCTGAACCATCGCTTGATGTCGCTGCAGCTGCATGGCCTGTGGCACTCTCAGGCGAATGAAAACAAGAGATAAAGCAGATCCTGGGCTGCGTAATTACGCGACGCACGCAACCAAAGGGGCCGCAAAACATGCCTTGTCGTGGCGAGCAAGCTGCTGATCTGCCATGCAAGATCAGAACAAGGCTTTCCTAAGGCGCGGAAGACTTACGGACTACGGCCGGTCCGAAACTGACAGAGGACTTTACGTTACCATACAGGATCCGATATGCATCTCGAGTGGTCCCGGGCTCCTGCGCTACAAAACTTACCCTACCTACCTATGCTTGGGACACCGAGATGCTGAGACAGGGGCTTGCGGGCAGGACGCAGAGAGTCGCTTGATTGCAAGCTCGCTCAGAAGACGCGCGCTTCGGGCGGGGCTCGCGTGTCTTTGCCGCCCTTCTTCCCGGAATCCGCCCACCTTTCAACCACTCGAATTCCCGACCTACGGTTGTCTTGACGTTCGAGCAAATGTTTTTGTTTCTCTAGGCAACGCTTCTGTTTTAACGGTCTTGCCTTGTACAGGCAGATCTCGACGCTCGTTCCCTTCGCTCCTTTCTGTCCACAGATGCATCTGTCGCGCGCCCACCCCGTCGGATCTCAGCAACCGTTCTGCTCTTCTGTTTCTCTCCTTTAAATACAGATATTCTATTGCCAGCCTTATCCGCGGGCCGTTATCGCTGCTCCTCTTCTCAGTCAGGTCCCGGTCATTGGGCAGGTAGTTTTCTCACCTAGAGACTCAATTCTTGTCTATTTTCCTGCATGCCTATCAGCTCCCGGTACACTGTCAGATGACCAACCGCCACCTATGGCAAATCATCCTCATTCCACTTCGTCTTCTTTCCAACACCTCCGTGAAGCTACTTCCAGCAATGAACCCTTCATGGATGCATTCAGTGATGATGAGAAGGTACCTACCTCCTTGCCACCTTAGGATATCCCGCTACCCCATTTTTCAATCTGCCTGCCCTTTTGCACACTTCTCTGTTTTTGTGCGTAGCTTAACTCAATGTACCGCAGCGCTTTGTTCTGGCTGAGCTAGTCAAAGTCAACCAGTTGGACGTGGGGAATCTGATAAGATTCTTGAAAGACAATGGCGTGATACTGGATCAGCGCTGCCTAGACATCCAAGTCCCTCGGGGTAAGTTGCTCGTTGTTCTTGATCGTGTCCTTTAGGGAAGTGCCTCGAAGGACAGTTTCGAGGTCTAACACCATATCCCAGGGCGTAATCTGCGCCAATGTATCAACGCGGCCCAGGCCATGTTTGACCAACCGCAACAGACTCCGTTGCTGGTATTTGGGGAGCACATACAACAGACGCCAACGCCTATTGTCAATCCATCAGCAAAGCGGAGGTCTCTCAGTGACATCTCGGTCCCTGAGCAAAGCTTCAAAAAGCAGGCTGTTTCTTCTACCGGGACGATGTCGCCTCGACCTCGCCCCCTCAGCGCCAGCCAAATCCCTCCTCTTGGCACACAACATCAAAACATCCAGCCACGTCCTCCCAACAATGGTTGGGCCCCTCCCCCCTCGGCCGCTGTCCGGACTGGCATAACTGTTCCTCCGACAACAACCCGTCCTCGTGGGCGACCGAAGAAGGCAGAGAGAGATAATTGGCTTATCTCTATGCCCACTCCTAATTCTCCTCAACCTCAGAGTCCAAGTCTTCGGGGTCAACCGCCGCCACAGCCAGCTCCTCAGGTACCATTAGAGCAGGCAGTCAAAAGGAAGCCACTATTTGCTGAGATTGCTCCCAAGCCAGCCCAGGGAGAGTCGGGTTACGAACTAGCTTCTAGGCCACAGGCGGCCCCGGGCCCAGAGTATCAAAGCTCAAGAGAAGATATCCTCCGGCGAGAATACTATCCCCATCAGAGTTCCGAGCAGGCACCAAGGGACCCTCCGATGCCATCACATACCCCAATCTCTCCTCGACCACCGAGTCCGTACCCTCAACTCCTGCCGAGAATGCAGTCGAGCCCACCCGAGTTAACGGAACCTCCGCAGCCAAGAGATATACACCCAGCAATAGGGCCGCCAACAGCAAGAGGAGGAGGTTCCGCGCCTGTCAATCCTAAATGAGAAGAGTTTGCTAGAACTGGAAACGAGATACAGACGCCGATGAATCTCATTTACTGTTGTTCTGTGTTGGTCCAACCTTGACAATTTCCGGACCAGAAAGCTCCTTCCTTGACTCACCCGCTTTCCCTCTGGGGGACTACGACCTTTATTAAACTTTATACAACCAAAGAATGAATTGCAGCAAAATTCATTTCGACGCTATTATGGGAGCATTGCATCAGGAAGAAAGTTCTCTGCACCGATGATGCAAACACGTGCACCAACATAGTACGATAATGGACTCGAAGTGCAGTGACTGACGATAAATATCAAGACCCGACGATTTCCCTCCCTTCGATACTTTTTGTTCATGATGCGGACGTATGACAGCTTTACAACCGAGAATACACAAGACACTCCTCGCTTTCCTTTTCTGACATGACGACAATATTGAATGACCGACTAATATAGACATTTCCGACGAGAAAATATCATCTACTAGTTGACGGAAAGCTTCTTTCTGCTAATCCCTTGTGCTGTCTAATTTCCACCGGTTGAGACACTTTCATGGTAATTTCCCAATGTTCTTTTCTCATACTTTCAATGAAAATTTTATATGATAATGATGATGTATCTGATGGTGTTAAGATTGATGTGATGGATGTGGATTGTATGATTGGATGAGACAGATTGAATACCATTGTACAATTAGACAGGCAGCTTGCGGTATTGCAGGATGAAGATATGAGGTGGAACATTTCATTTGAAGAGCTGTGTTGCTTATGATTTTTGACATGATAATTTGTAATATATAGTTTATACTACCTACGTGAATGGTGGGAATCTATCTAACTTTTGGATTAACTTATCCTGTCAACTGCACATTAAGTTGTCAAGAGTGGTTTAGGGTGAATGTTCCTTCTTTCATTAATGAGGCTTTGTGTTCTAGGTGAAGTCAGATATCTCACAAAGGCTATAGCCACACATAGCTCTAAGTGTAGAACCTGTAGACATGAATACCAAGATGAATTCACTCACTCATCATGGAGATTGCCTAACAACACAATCAGTTCATTGAAGTAGGATTTTAGCATTACTGAGGACAAACCTATTAGAAGATTTCCCCTTGCTTACGTTTGAGATCCATATGCTGTAGTCAAGCATCGAAAAAACACAGTCTCGACTTTTGAGGGAGTAAGAATAATCATCTGTTACATGCTCTTAGACATATCATTTCTTCCGAGGCCATTCGCAAACTATTGGTTGAGCTAATTGTGAACCATAAGACCACTCAACAAATAGTTTGCGCAGTTCCTCGTGGAGTTGAGACACTGCAGATCATTCCCGCATCACTTGTCACTTGTGGACAGATGGTAAAGACGTTAACGATGTCTTAGCTTGTCTTGTAAAAAACCAGTTTTGTTACTAAACCCTAGCTATCAACCACTGACTTCCTGATCTTGTTTCCAAGAGGTAACATCTGTTATCGGGTAATTCTTTCTTCTTCCGGAATTTATGGTAAGGCGTTTTCGAGGTTGCCTAGGGGCCAAAATGAGGATGTTGCTAAGGTCACCGGGAGAAGCCCAATTGCAGGTGAGGGTTTAAAAGGAGCTATGGTTCTCCCACTGACGTCAAAGGAAACAAATGCTAAGGATCTACGTACCTACCGCTTAAACATCTAGCTGAATCGCCCATAAGCTAAGTAAGAATAACTACTAGTCCAAACTTTAGTCTTTCCTGGGGTCATTGATTCCACACTTCCCAATGCTGTGGCACAAATGTCGGCGCCGCATGCAGGCATGCCCAGCTGCAGCTCCCGCAACTCCGCCCCGGACCCGGCCCATTTTCCCACGAGTCATGTTCTACAACTCCGACTTGCTGACTCCAAAAGCTCAGGAACTCCAATGCCTGCCATCAGCCCACATAGCCTCGGGAGTTCTGGTAAAGGCCGGTGGGTGCGGATAAACATACTGACTCTCTCCAAACCATGAAATGATCAGCATGCTCAGGCCCGGAGATCGACACGACATCGCCAAGGGCTTGCCCTGAGGAAACGAACCACTGCGAGGCTCTGATCAACAGGGGCCAGAAAAGTCCGGACGCACAACACAGATACCGATCATTCAGTAGCCATCACCTTTGTTCATGCGTAGCGTAGACGTGGCAATGTGATGGTATTCCTCTGATTGGACGATGGTTTTAGCAGTCTGGGGTCGCCGTTGTGGAGGAAATTGAGACCACGGTATATTGTTAAGTTGGGACCCCAGGAAACCCATCGTGGGGAAGACATCAAGCACATAAAGCTGAGATGGATAACCAAGTTAGATGAAAGGAGGTCTCCCACGGGCTAAGCCAACCCGAGGACAGTGCGGACAACGCAATACATTGAGGATAACTCATACTGTCCGATATTCATCAGTCATTGGATTGGAGCGGCAAGGCTTTCAAGGGAGCTTATAGGATAGGAAGTTCCGTTTCCCATTGCTCAAATGGCCGACTTGATAGTCCGTTAAACATGCAGTTATACCAATATATTTCGCATCGCAAGCCGATGTGGTTCCGAGCATCCGTGCGGTGCCATGGGGAGTGTGATGCGAACTGTGAATGTGAAAGGATGGCAACCGCAACACCAACAACAATGACGGGACGACGGCAAGCAGTCTACAGAAAGCGAGAATGTTCCGAGCCTTCTCAATGCAGCTTCTCTGCAAGGGACTGGATCCCGGGAAATGATGGATGGAGTTATTGCGGGCGTAGTTTGTTTTTTTGCGGCATTGACGCATGGCAAACCCGGGCCAGCGGGGGAAGAAGGGTCTCAGGAACGACAAAAATTCAGGGTGTCAGGCATCCAATGATGAGTCTTGCAAGTTTTGTCTCACATCACCACGGAACGGAGGAACATCCACGGATGTTGAGCACCATAGATCGCTCTTGGTGTGCATTCGGCGAAAAGTAAGCATGAGTTAGAAGGAAGTTCAAAATCGAGCAAGGTGCCGTAGAAGCACCTATGAGAGTCAGTGCCGTGTACTTACACGTGAAGAACACACGGAACAAGTCCCATCATGAACCGTGGAAACGGGAGGAGATTGGTGGATTTTCGGAGCCCGGATACCTGGGCTCGGGTCCTTTTCCTTTTGGCTGGAGAAGGAGACGTGAAATTGACGAATCAGCGCGCGGCTGACATGAAAGTGTTGATGGAAAACATGGGACATCCTGCGGCTTGCGGCGGGTGCAAGCAATTCGGGCTTTCAAACTCGCAGCTGCGTCCATCTGTGGCCGCGAGGCGAGATGAGAAGCTATGTCGATGTTGGCTCCTAGCGTTTTGATCTGGAAATATGATGAAAATTACCTGTCAACTTTGCCTCGATCCAACAGATCTCGATGCTCCCGTTGTTCCATCATCGTCTGAACAGCCTTGTGTCTAGCCTCCCCATTGTGTTGCCTAAACTTCAGATTTCGGAGAGGGCGGCTCCAAACGGCACCTAGTATGTGTAAGGCCGGCAATCACCGGGAGGAGACCTCCCATGTCCCAGAATTTTTGCTAGCGTCAAACGAGGATTTTGCTCCGTGAAAATCTGTGTCCGACTTTTCACGACCGCCAACTTTCCAGGGGGAAGGAAAAAAGCTCCAATGGAAGCCTTCGCCGGCTGTGTAGTGGAGCTTTGGGCTTTGGATTGGCCCAGCAGCCCTGGCCTGGCCTGATTGAATCCCTGGTTGACAGTTGCCAGTAGCCCAGCGATCCTGTTCAGCTGGGAGGATCCAACCGCTGCCACCCTGCTGATGAATCACGATCCGTGCTTCCACAGCTTCGGCAAGTGCTGGTACCTGCGCCATCAACTGGACTTGGCAAGAGTTGACATTGGGCATTCCTATGCGCGATGCGGCAGCACCATGAAACACTGGTCCTGATGTTTCACCATCTGCAGAGGGTTGCTGCTGTGCCCTCTGCTGGATTATTAAGGCATCTCTGTACTGCCACGCTGTCACTGCTGACTAACCGCCGTGTTCAGCTTTGAGAAGCTTGTCGGCGGCGTTATTTTCTTTCTTCTGTGCTAGATGACTTCATGAACCACAACCCACGAGCTGGGATGGGAAGTAAACAAGAGAAAAAAAAAAAAGCCAAGACAACGCAAGCCGCGATTTTAAAACGTTTTTCTTGGCACCCGCCATTTCACCTGTTTGGGCGTCTTGTGGCGCGGGGCCCCTGGCTTGAGTCTTGGCAACTGTCGCCTCATCCCGGTCGTCGGTCTGACATCCATCTCAGCCCCTCCAGGCAGTCAGTTCATGAAGGGTCATGAAGCCACTGTTTACAATGCTTAATGGGAGTTACTGATTTTGGAGGGTTTTCTTCCTGGTATCGTCAGGCGCGCGGGGATTTGGTGGTTTGGGAGCATGTTGTTGGCTGTTGAGCATCAGCAGATAAACAAGACAAACGCAGGTAACAACAGCGCTAAAGTTAGGTTGTTTGCTCAACACCATCGTTATTGGTCACGTTTGTCACATGCTTATGTTGCCAAGCTGGAAAAACGCGATTGATAGCGTTGCTGCTGAGGTCCTTTTAAGGTTCATCTGAGTTGCCAAATTTGGCATGTTTTCTGCGCCCTTCCTTGGCGAAGAGAATGCCTTCCCGAGCTAGACATGTGGCCTTGAGCCCGGATGTATGGCTAGCTGTTCCTACATTGATTCTCCTAACGAAAAATTTAACGTCAATGCTTGCGGGATATTCTAATATTTGGTAGCAATAGTTCCCTCTAGGTCGTGGAGTATTACCTACGCGACTTGGTAGCGTGTCTAGAGCATGAAAAATCTCGTTCTAGCTCGCTAGAGGATGCTCTTAAGAGACAAAGTTTGTGGGCCAATGTAGTCAGCAATCCCGATACCCTTGTTTTCTTGAGCTTGCTCCATTCATTTGTTCCGACATCGAGGTTCACGTCGGACCCGACGAGGGGAGAATTGTTGTGAGAAGCGGGGTTTCTTTGCTTCCGAACATCTTGTATGGCGAGCATGCTGTTGGTTCTGTCATATGCGATGAATCAGTTTTTCTGTTTGGCTTGTAATTTCTTACCAACAAACCCCGAGTCTAATGACGTGGTTTTGTATTATGAGCCCTTGAGGAAGGGTGATTTGAGGGTTCCAAACCGCTTCAAGAGCGACTCGGAAGGGTTGTTGCTCGGCTCATTGTGAGGCTGTCAAAGCGACAAGTGATCGCGGAGTGTGTTTTGCTTTTATTTGTTTTGTTTCCTATCGAGACGGATAGCTACGCTGTGGCGGTTCAAATGCTACCTAAAACGTAGACGGCGCTTCAGATCGCGAAACGAAAATGGCATATCGCACAACCTGCGCTAGCAGTTCGCATCATTGATCAGCGGAGGAGGCTCCGTTGTTCTTCCTTGCTATGTTCAGTGCTGTGTCTCGAATTCGCGCAAACTGAGGAGTTCGATAGAGCTCGACAAGCTACCATCCCCCCTCACCGGATCGGGGCTCTCCGCGATGTCTCGGGGCCAGGACAGACAGCCCGGCGTAGCCAGGGGTCGGGAACGGCGGGGCTAGGAACAGCCAAAGAAAAAAAAAAGACAGGACCAGGGTGTCCTCGGCTTCCCTGCAAGGGACGACTTTGCGATCCACAAACTCACTACGCCCACGGTCGACGTTCTACGTTGCTTGCCTGGATAGCCCAGCGAGGCCCGGGCACGGCATCGCAGGTTACATGGACGGAAGGGCTTGCTGACAACAACACAGAGATAGCCCCTGGGGCACAGCAGCCGGGCACTCCACGCGCGATCCGACGCCTCCCTACATTTATCCGCGAGCCCACCCCCAGAGCTGGGGCAGAGCCCGAGCTTTTGGTCTTTCTTTTCCAGGGGTGCTATCTTTTGTTTGCATATGACCGCTTAGCAGCCGCGATTTATACAGCCTACCACCACTTGAGACAACCTGCCTACCTTCGTTTGCTATACTACCTTTGCGCCTACCAGTACCACACATCATCTGGCTGACCAGACTTTCATCGCCTCTCCTTCCACTTTTGTTTTGTTACGTCCATCTCAACTAGCTGGCTGAAGGGCGGTTGCTTCGGTCTGCGGGACACTGCAGTGAACCTTGAACTCCTGAACACAACTGGTCGCTTAGTTATACCGATTCCGCTTTGAACTTGATGCGCAGAATTGTTCCCCGACGCTGGACTTGTTGGACGTTTTCATTTGTTTTTGCTTTTTTTTCTTGCCGCTTTAGGAACTCTTCCTAGCTTCTGGGAACTTACACATTGGAGCCCGTAAGCTAGCGAACCCGTGCGCGGATCAGAGGAAGAACTGGAAGCTCCGCTGGCACGTTCGTTGAAGGGAATTTTGACAAGAATTGATAAGAGGAAAAGGGTAGTCGTTTGGATGGTTTTTTGGGCGGTTGCACCGCTTTTCTGCTCACCCATGTCCGTTTGCCAACCAGCGCCGGCACGATAAACACCGATCCGTTTCCTCCTTCGACACCAGCAGGAGTTTGACTTACCCGACGTCGGCAACCGTAGTGCTTGAACACAAGGGGAACCATGGCTATCCCACGGATCCTCCCAGCAGTACTGGGAGTCACGGCATCCATAGCGACAACAGCCGTTTTAGCAACTCAAATCATCCTTGCAAGGTCAGACGCACAACGAGCATCGTCAGTCAGAATAACTGCCACTGTTGCCGCCATATTCGAGGCGATCGTGCTAGCCTTCCTCGTCGTTTTCGTTCTTTCTCATGCTATCCAGTGGACCCCCGTCGTTCGTTTGAGAAGATTCAGCAATTTATGGCTCAGTACAGGTGTCGTCCTGTGCACCGTCGGCGCGGCTGTGTCTGTGGCCAGCCTGATCTGTCTGAGCCGGGTGGTTGATGATGTCAACAGCACGATCTTGGGCTCGAAGGCAACAGATCTGATGATTGGGGCATCAACTGCCCTGGGGCTTGCGTTTGCTGTACAACTCGTCTTTTTCGTCGTCCACGCCCTGGCAGCACGGGCACAAGGAGTCGGAATGCATTTGCTGGGCCGTTCCAACCGTAATGACCGGCCGCTGCCGAAAGTCAAGTCGATCCCATACCACGAGACGGTCCCGGCTTCAGAAAAGCGCAAGGGGAGGATGTCGGTTGAGGTTTGGAGCCCTCCCGGTTCGAGTGCTGGGCGGTCTGCAGGTTCTATTCGCTCGTCACTTTCTCAAGTTGTGCGGCCCATCTCGTCGAAGACTCGCTTATTGTCAACCAGCTCACGGTTTTCGCGCCGAACTGCCTCGATCGACGTTCCCGAGGTTCCCCCGGTGTACACTCCGCCTTCTGGCTGCGTAGAAGACGGCTTTGATTCTTGGGACACATCTTCAGTCGACACCGAGAACCGTAAGACGGTGACAGAACCTTCTTCCTCGCCTGTTCTCAGTCACGTCCTGGAACCCATCCCCGCGAGCCCGATTACGGCCCAGACTCATAGCTCCAACAGTTCGACGGAAAAGCTAGAGCCCCCCCCACGGAGCGCCAGACGTCGTAGTCGGAGCTACAGCCCCATGCCGACAAGCGCCCTCATCCAGGCACAACGGACTAGCTTCACCCAGCACGTGTCGCACAGTGAGTCTCACATTCACCCTCTCTTCCGGTCGAATTCTCCTGCCCCTCCAACCATCGCGACTCCCGGCACAATGGTAGTCGCAGCGCCCAACGGGGGCGGCGTCATTTCGGACAAGGCCAGCATCCGCAGCATCAAGAGCATGCGCCGCCTGCGGAGTGACAGCATGCCGGTGGTGCCCAGCCCGCTCAGTCGTGCCACGTCACTGGACTCGTTCCATCGCCGCATGGAGAGCAACTGCTCGAGGGAGACGAGGGAAACAGAGACGGTGCCGGAGATCGATGAGCTGGGGGCTCTTGCTGTTCCCGAGGTCGAGACTGAGAGCACAATGACGCCGCCGATCCCGGATTGGATTTTCAACGCCGGGACTCGTGAGAGTGTGGCAACGCATACCGGACGGAGGGGCCAGGGAGCTGGCAGCCAGGCAAATGAGGCTGAAGTTGGGCAGAGGTTGTGATTCCTAAGGCGACTGGTGCAGCTTAGAGGTTTTCAGGGCACTGGCATGCCCTGGATAGATCCCTTTGGTTGAGGATTTGATGCCTTCTGTTTCATATGGTCGGATTTTGGGTTTTGATTTGCATGAAAGGAGTTTCGGTTGAAGGAATTGATGATACCGGTCTTGATACCTGAGCATGGCGTTCTGGATGGGCCAAGGATGGATCAGGATGTTGGCTGGGACCTGGCCTAGGAGCTAGAATGGAAAATGGGAATTAAAGAACAAAGGACATGCAGGGCGTGGCACAATCTGTACGCATATTTACAAACCGGAAATTTTTCTTGATGACAGTAACGACGAATATATGGATAGATTTATGGTGGGACACTTGTTTCGTTTGTTGTGGGCAACAATGCGTGAAAGAAGAGAACATCTCCCAGGTTGTTATCCCTTCTTGTCTGGCAGTGTCCCCTCCGTCTTTGTTATCTACTTCGTTACGTTCATTCACAGCTCACGGTTCCAGTCCAATGGTTGTGCTGGGCAGACCTCGAACCGCAGCCTGAGGCCCGATGGCTTGGCCCAAGCTTGTGCGCCCCCGGACTGGCTGCATGAGAGAGTGAGCCTGTCCGCTCACATCATATCCGGGCACAGCACGTACAAAAGTGAGCGGGAGTGGAGCACCCCACCTGCTGGCCTGCTGCTTGACTAGGCGACAGCATGCCGCGTGCCCACAGCGCCCAGGTCCCCACCAACTTCGATCCAAAGGCTTAAGCAGTGCATCTCTCTCTGCTCACCAACCCACAGTCACACATTTCCTGCCTCTTCCATTCCGATTTCCTTCTTTCCCTTTTGCCACCGATTTCCAGAACTGCAATTTGCAGCTCTTTCCACTGCAACGACGCCAATACTGTCTCCGACCTGGTTCACGCTGCAAAGAGCCTCGCGCATCCATCACCACTGCTTACCCCTCCCAGAAAACTCGTCGTAATCGTATCGACTGCCGATTCCTGCAAGCGACGTCTCGGCGGCAACTACAACTAAATCGCCCAACATGAAGATCACCATCAAGGTGTGTATTCGCACATCTACACATCTGCGTTCCGCACACACTTCCGGAATCTCGGCGTTGGGTCTCGAGGTTGAAGTTCGCGGGGCTACCGGCCGCCTGTCGCGTTCCGGAATGCGCCCCGCTCTCCTTCTTCCCTCCTCGTTGACCTTTCACCAACACGATGCGCCCTTACCATCCATGACTATGATGCTAATTCCATACTTTCATCCATCAGGATCTCAAGCAGAACAAGTTTACGGTCGAGGCTGAGCCGACCGACCTTGTAGGTTCATCACCTTTCCTGTCGACTCGATCCTCTCGACATCATGGCCAGACTTGCGATGGGCGCAGCGATGGGCGCAACGACTGTGACGCCGTTATCGGATACAAACTGACCAATGTTTGGTAGATCTCGACTGTAAAGCAGAAGATCGCCGATTCCCAGGGTTGGGATCCTAAGAGCCAGAAGCTCATCTACTCTGGTATGCTCGCTGCCTTCGACGGATTGATCCTTCGTTTCTCCCCCGCCCACCACTGACAAGATCTTCAGGCAAGATTCTCAAGGATGAGGACACTGTAGAGAGTTATAAGATCGAGGAGAAGGGCTTCGTCGTCTGCGTTGTGCAAAAGGTGAGGAGTTGGTCGAGCTGTGCACCTAATCGGCAACGCTAACCATTTTTTTTATTATCTAACAGCCTAAGGCAGAGCCCAAGTCGGCTCCCGCTGCTGGGTCGTCATCTGCTGCGGCCCCGGCGACACCTGCTCCTGCTCAGACTTCGACCCCGGCTGCCCCGGCGGCTCCAGCTCCAGCCGCTGCCCCGGCTCCCACTGCGGCTGCCGCCCCCGCGACGCCGACGCCAACCAGGACCGACCCTGAGGCCTTTAGGGATCCCAACTCGCTTGCCATTGGCGCCGCACGTGCTGAAGCTATTGCGAATATGGAGGCGATGGGCTTCGAGCGCTCCCAGATCGATATTGCCATGCGCGCTGCCTTCAACAACCCTGAGCGCGCTGTCGAGTATCTTCTGAACGTAGGAAGCCTTTCTTGGTTTACAGAAGCGCATGTTGATATGTTGATTGACTGATTGTATCTAGGGTATCCCGCCGCACCTTCAGCAGGAAGCCCAGCCTTCTCGTTCCCCGGCTGGCGCTTCTGCGGCTCCTTCTGCGGCACCTGCCGCTCCTGAGGACGATAACGTGAACCTCTTTGATCTCGCCGCCCAGCAGGGCCGGGGCTCTGGCTCCCGCGGCGCTAGCGGCGCCGGTGCTGCTGCTCAGCAGCAGGGTCTGGGCAACCTCGAGTGGCTCCGCCACAACTCTCAGTTCCAGCAACTTCGCCAGGTTGTTCAGCAACAGCCCCAGATGCTCGAGCCCATCCTTCAGACCCTGAGCGCCAGCAACCCTCAGCTCGCCCATGTGATCGCCACCAACCCTGATCAGTTCCTCGAGCTGCTCAGCGAAACCGGTGACGACGATGCCCCGCTCCCGCCTGGTGCGCACCAGATCTCGGTCACGGAGGAGGAGCGCGATGCCATTGAGCGTCTGGTTCGCCTCGGCTTCACCCAGGACCAGGCCATCCAGGCCTACTTTGCCTGCGACAAAAATGAGGAACTGGCTGCCAACTTCTTGTTCGACCAGCCCGATGATGACGATGACCTTCCCCAGCAGTGAAGGATTGCGACCCTAACCATGCTGAGTCGATAATAAACTAGCAGGGTGGGGAGGAGGGAGGAGGGGAATGGCAACAGTTATCTGGATCTAGTAATATCCCTGGGATTCTCTAAAGGTATCAATGGGAAGGACTTGGAAGGAATGGAAAGGGGAAGGGCACAGATCATATTGGGAGTTGTCGGCAATTTCACACCTAACGGCTAGCGCATGGAGGCAGCGTACGTCACATGGGTTAGACGCTACGTTTGCTTTTGGCTTGGTTTGGGTGGTGCCTTTTTTTTTTTTTTTCATCTTCATCTGCGAACCCGGCAGAGAACAGAACGAATGGCAGAAAAAAAAAAAGAGAAACTGTTGCACCAAAGGTCATCAAGGACAACGAGCCGGTGGCTTGTGTTCCCCTTTGATCTTTGCTATTTCCTGAATCTGAGGGTTTTTTGGTGCGATATTTCGTCCTATGACCAATTGCTCAATGATTTGAGACTTCCGGCCCGGAAGAGAGTAAGGTTGGGATGGGTGATTATGGGCTTGAAGCATACGTAGCAGATAATTCCATCCAGTATTTTCCTTCTAATACTTACCCAGCCTCAATATCAGAAAGTATGGTCATCATCTTGCCGCAAGTCAGCTTTCCTCTAGTTCTTCGTCCTTCCAAATTAAGGGAGGAACATCAAACAGCCAATGTCGCTGCTGTGCTAATTGACCATGAGAGTATTTACTAGGTAGCTAGGAAGAGGGTATCTATCAATGCTCGTTATGGAGGAAATTTAGGTAGCTAAGGTGACCAGAGCCTTCCCTCCTGTTTTTGTGTTCACCCTGTTCCGATCCTGTTATTTCTGTTATAGACATCGAGCAAATCTCTTACAAGTAGGGTACTCGCACGAGAAAAAGAAAGGAGGGTTGGTGGGAATGAAGTGAAGATCAAACCCCAACCATTCCCATGAAATCAACGAGATTTACCGGCCCCTTGATGTGCAGCTGTTTGCTCTTAGCCCCTCGTTGAAGGGCATGCTTACCTCCCCAGGCTCTCTTCACAGCCCAACAATTCCCGCGGCCTTCCTTTTCCCCTTCTTGCCCCTGCGACCGGCCGCATCATCATTTTCCCCCTCAACTGTACTGTTCAGCTGCGCGAGCACCTCTTCTTTGCGTCGACGCGCCTCGTTAGCCTTCTCGTCCTGCAGCGCCTTCTGGCGCGCCTCAAACTCTTCCTCTGCGCGCTTCTGCTCGGCATAGATGGCCTCGGCCGTCTCGTATTCGACGCCCGTGCGCTGCTGGTAGTCCTCAATGCTCATGCAGGCGACGGTCTTCTTACCGACCAGGGCGGCATTGACGCGCTCTGGGTTGACACGTTCTTCGCGATTGAATTTGAGTTTGATGTGCTTGCGGGTTTTGCCCTTGAAGAGACGGCAGATGGTGTCGAAGTCAGTGCCGAAGGCTTGGAGGCATTGGTAGAAGAGTTCCGTTTCTTCTTCGGTCCATTGCTGCGGTTTGAGGTTGCGACGGAGGTAGGTGGCGGATGTTGTGTGGTGTGTGAAGTCGTTTTCTTCGACCTCGATCATCTCGCCGGCCTGTTCTCTCGCGCGCGCATGCCAGTCGACCTGAAGGGAGCGGTGATCCAGAACAATCTCGCCGTCGACGATCTGATATTGTTCACCAATGGGGGCGGTCCGTCTTTGGGGCATCGGGGTTTCGTTGTTGGTATCATTAGCCGGAGTGCCTTGGGAGGAAGAACCTGAGCCGGAGCCTTCTTCTTTGTTAATTTCCTCGTCATGTAGGCCTTGCTGGAGACGTTTCCTCCTCTCGTTGTATCGCATCCGCTTAGCCCGTTCGCGCTCCATAAGCTCATCATGTAGGCTGAACTTCTTGCCGATATGGAGGTCCCTAGCCAGGTCCGCCATCTTGATCTGGGTTACATCAATCTCTATGCTTTCTGAGTTCTCCGGTGTAAGCTCGCGACGATTCCTACTGCCCCTACGTTTCGTTTTTGCACCGGCATCCCCATTTCCCCCAGCCTCTGCTGTAGCGGTTGAAGACATGCTACGTTTCGCACGTGAGTGCCTGGGAGCAGCAGACTGCGATCCCTCCGTTTCGTCATTGTCACCGGTTATTACCGGTCGTATTCGAGTTCTTTTTCGCTGAGGAGCTGCCGTGATCTTCTCGGCAGACTCTCCATTAATAGAGGTGTCTGCTTTCCTCTTGCGAGTTTGTTTTGTTTTTGTGGGCTGTGGCTGTCCAGAGGAGGACGTAGACTCAGGAGCAGTTTCAGCTGTTGATGGGGTTTGTTTGGTTGCTGTGCTATCGGCCGAAGGCACAGATGTTTGGGTATCATCTGTCTCTGGTAAAGGGCCAGTGGTTGTGGAAGAATTTGGGTTAGTAGAAGTAGCAGTGTCTGGAGCAGATATTGAGGGTTCGGTTGACGGAGCTGAGACCTGGGAGGATATGGAGGCAGTGGCTACTGCGGCTTTCGCAGATATGCTTTGCTCCTGCGCACCAGCGTTCCCGTCACCATGGGCTTTGGTAGCTGGGGCCGTCAATTGGGCTTTATCTGGTGAAACTGGAGGCTGTTTTAATGCGTATTGTGCCTCTTTGGAGGAGAGGGATGGTTGTGTCCCGGAAATAGCGCCGGGAGCCTTTGGGGTAGGCTCGGGACTGGAACCCTTGTCCCCGGAGACGTCGGGGGCTGCTGCAGGAACTGAGCTTTCAGTTTCCTTAGATGCCGCCAACACAGCGCTCTTCTCTGATTCTTTGTCTACCGGCAAAGCTGTCGCAACATCGTGGGATGTGGCGTTGTCTGGGACAGGGGTCGTGTCGTCGACGAGAGCGACTGTTGTCGAAGGCGGGGCAGGCTGTGGCTCTTGGGAAGAGACATGCTGTGTTGCTTCTGGAGATTTGGCCACGGACTGCGTGGGCGACTGTTGAGAGGACTGCGAAGGGCTTTTAGGAGCTTGGGGAGCCGATGCGGGAGCAGGTCGGCGAATCTGACCCTTCGCCTTCGGCTTGATGTTCGACTTTTTGTTCAACATGTTGTTGTATGGACTCGGGGGGGGGGTCACTGCCCCGCAGCAAACACTTTTGGTGGTTCGGTTACCAGAATCGGCGCACGCGCAAAAGCTCGCGCACGGCGAGGGAAAACATTAAGGGTAAGAAATCAACCGTGCCTTAGAAAATCAAAGACTCTTGAGGAGAGACCGGAATTGGAGATCGGACGAGCGTCAAATTTTGCAAGCTTGTGAATTTTGTGGCCAGAGTGCGATGCGACTCCCCGAATTACTGAACAAAGAGTCAATCGCCGCAAGCGCGCCTGGGACTTGGGAAACGTGACGGCGCAAGTCCCAAAAAAGTGGGCGGGTCCTGGAAGTCAAGCGGGCAGCTTGCAGCGTGGGTATGGCGCTAGCCCCAAACAGGAATAGTGTGGACCCCCCGTGGAAAGACGGATTTTCAGCGGGCGAAATTTGCGCCCCGGAAGGTAAAGTTACAGTAAGAAACGCGCTAACGGAGTAATGCGGCGTATCGCCCGTTCTTCCTCAGCAGAGAGGCCAGTCCTTCAGAGGCTGCAGAGCTGCTTTGGCTGTCTCCGTTCTGCCTTGCATTCTCCGTTCTCCGTTCCAGTTCCAGTCACAGGTGCAGAGCCAGGCTCTCTCCATTCCCTCCATCCCCAGACCACACAAATCACACCCTTCGCTCCCTTTCCCGCTGCTCCCTCCCTTCTGCTTGGATTTTTTTTTCGAGGGGGCGCCGCCGTGGCCGCGACGACACAGCCGCCAATCTGCGATCCCCCGAGCACTTCCATCGGCCTTCACTTGCTAGTTCCTTTTTTTTCCCCTCTTTGCCCTCGCTCCCGACCGCGTTAATCGACTTCGTAGACTGCGTCTTTTCTGCCCTGCCTCCCTCTGATGCCGTTTGCCACATCCGTGACCGCGTCGCCGCGACCTGCCACGCCTGCAACGATGGAGGACAGGAAGAGGCCCGCCTCGAGCGCGGTTGATGACGGCGCGCCGCCGAGCAAGCGCCAGGCCATCAACGGCAGCAGCAAGGACAAGAGCGATGTCGAGATGAGAGAGGAAGCCTGGATTGAGGTGAGTCCCTTCATGCCTTCATGTCTTCATTCATTCCGACCTCCTCGGCCCTGCGAAACTCGCCGACCCTGCGTACCCTGCATCGTGTCCTGTCACCACACACCTCACCATCATTGCACGTCCACGTCCACGCACCACGCGTCCTGTTCCCATCTCGTGGCCAACGCCATTGCCATAAGCCATCCAAATTTCTTCGGGGCGATAGAAGGAAGCTATCGACTGCCGTCATCCAGCTCAGCTCCATTTTATCTCGCCTTGGCTGTGTGGCTAATGCGCGGCTTGCTGGTCACAGCACGCCCGACTTCCTCTCAGGCCCTTCCCCCATCCTTTGCAGTCATCATCACGTCAATATCATCACAGGCTATCTGCATTCTGTCGCTGTATCTCCGCTATGCTGCCGCATGGGGGCTACGCATACACTGGACTCCAGAGCCGATGGGTTTGGCTGACATGGGTATCTTGATCAGGAGTATCAAAAAGGCGCCATTTATCGGCAAATGCTCGAGTACAAGCGGCAAGCTATGAGCTTGGAAAACCGCGTCCAGGAACTCGAGAAAAAGTCAACAGACCACGATGACCACATTCGCATCATGGACGCATGGGTGCTCCAGGTACGTTGGTTCCGCCCAGTCCGCAACAGACTCCGGCCACTAACGCTGCGGGCTTAGTTGCTACAAGAAATAGATCTTTTGGTCACGAGCACGATATCCTCTACCAGCTCCCAGGATTTACATCCGGGCTCGGCTCTCGCTTTCAGTGACAGCAAGGATTTTCAGCGGCACTTGGGCGAGAAGGCAAAGACTCTTACTTCTAAGACGGATGCGATACTCAAGAGGCTAGCCAGTGCACGTGGCGAAGTTAAACCCGAAGTAGCAGAGCTGGAATCTCAGGTTAAGACCTTACTTGCGCAGCAAAAAGATTTGATTGTCAAGGTCGATCGTCTCGAGACCCAGAATGCGTCGCTTTCAGAGCAGTACGACAAGGCAACCCTCAAGGCAATAAAGGCCGAACGCAAGCTCGACCGTTTACGGAGCGCCCAGGTGCAAAAACTAGAGCAGCAAGCTATTGCTAGCTCTACCCGCTCAGCTCCTAAAGACGAAAATGGCTCTGGTTCTGGAAACTCGGACGGCAACAACGAAGAGTTGAAGCGAAAGTGTCACGAGGCAGAGGCCGTCGTAACTAAGCTGAAGCAGCAACTGGAGGCTGCACTCTCAGAAAATAAGGCGCTTATGGACGAGAATTCTAGTCTAAAGATCAAGAAGGAGGTGGTGACCGACGAGGAATATGTGCGGACTGATGCCTTCAAACAATTCAAAGCCCAGAATGAAGACCTGATTAAGCGAGTTAATCACCTCGAAGCCACTAACAGGCAACTCCGGGAGGAAGCTGAGAAGCTGAGAGCGGAGAGGACGGAGTGGAAGATGAAGGTCGAGGCCGAAGCACAGGCTGTCACGGCGGAGTTGGAGAAGGAACTCCATCAGAAAGACCAAGACCTTGCTCGCATCCGCAGCGTGCGGGATGAACTTAATGCCGAGGTCATGATGCGCAAAGCGGCTCAGGAACAAGAGAGGGTATCAATTACGCAGCTCAAGGAATTGGTTGACGCTCAGAGCGCTCGAATCGAGGAACTAGAGTCGGAACTTGGCCGGCTACGATCCAACGAAGCATCGAGCGTAACTCCTGATATCGAAGCGATACCAATCGACGAACTGCGTCAGAAGTATGCCAAGCTGGAGAAGGACTTCGAAGCAATCAACAAGGAGTTGCCCCTGCTGGAGAAGTCCTACAAGGCGACGATGAGCCTAGCGCACAAGAAGGTTATGGACCATATCAATATCGAAGAGACGGTCGCCAAACTCCAGGCCGAGAAGAACAAAGCCGATCAGAAATACTTCGCTGCGCGCAGAGATATGGACGCCCGGTCACACGAGATTCGGATGCTTCGGGCGCAGAACGGCAAGAGCTCTGAGATCATATCTCAGCTCAAGGAGGTGGAAACGCACAACCGCAACCTGATTAGCAGTCTGGAGAAGCAGATTGTGTCTCTCAAGCAAGACATCTCCAACACCATGGCGGAGCGGAAGAGGCTGGAGCAGCTCAGCAACGACGCTACCAGGAAGGCAGACGCGTGCAAGTCTCAGATCCAGAGCCTCACGGAACTTGTCAAGGCCAAAGATGCGGCCGTGGTCAGCATGAAAGAGCAGTTGCTGAAGGCCGAAACCGAGTTGGAGAGGCTCAAGGTGGACGTCAAGGAGCTCACCAAGGACTGCCACAAGTGGAAGCAAAAGGCGCAGAACAACATGTCCGAGGAAGAAGAGGCGCTCAGGGTAAGTTTGCACGCCTTCAGCCCTGTAATTTGCGAACGTGATGCTGACAGTAAACCAGAACTTGGTGATCTGCTCCGTCTGCCGAAGCAACTTCAAGAACACCTACTTGAGAGGCTGCGGCCACGTCTTCTGCAACCAATGTGTGGAAGACCGGATTACCAACCGTATGAGAAAATGCCCGAGCTGCAATAAAGCCTTCGACCGTTCTGATGCCATGCCGGCCCATCTCTAGTAACTGCTCTGGTCGACAGCGCGATCATGTCATGATCGCTTTTTTTCCCGTTATGGTGGCGCTGAGAGAAGAGGCTTGGCTGTTCAGGCTTGGTCAGATTTGTTTTGTACGACTTAACTGTGCGGATTATGTGTCATCAGGTGTAATTTTACGGTGTGAGGTGAAACATATTTGCCGGGTTTATGGGCGGAATTCGGAAGGGCCTTGGGGGCATCTATCTTGCTTTGCGCTTTGGGGGGTTTTCTTTGCCATGTTTTTTTATGGCTTGGAGGAAGGGGGAAGCAGGATATAGAGCCGGCGTCACGGACAAGGACCACGGGCACGCACCAAGCGGGAAAGCTTCTGCGTTGTATGTACGGATCAATAAACTTTAGTCATTAGTTGACTTTATTCATAAGATTCCCCGGTTTCCTTTCTTCACGTTGGGTTTTAAAGCCCGTGCTCCTCTCTCAACGACGGCTTGTCGACCCATATCCTGTGGTTTCATGACGGGAGGTTGAACCGGCGCTGCTCGAGCTCGAAGATCGTCCGCCGCCCCAGCCCGATCCAGATGTCCAGCCACTGCCTTCTCCCCAACGCGTTCCATATCCGTATTCCCTCTCCCGGTTGCGTGAATTCCGTCCTGCCATGTAGCCTGCCGCAGCTCCTGCAGCAGCACCAGACCAAAACCCAGGGCGCCAACCCTGCTGCTCAGTCGAAGAGGACGGCTTCGTTCCTGGATATGGCGGCGGGGGGTCATCCCACGGCGCATCATTCCCACCGCCCCCTCCTCCAGGTCCCCATCCCCCTCTTCTGTTGGTATTGAAACCCCCAGTACCACCAGCATTCCTCCCGGTCTGCGTGCAAGCCCCATACACAATCCACACTAACACTGCAACAAATACCACCGCAAATAACCATCCAGCCCAATCATCCCCGTTCCCCCTCCCAATGCCAACCAGCCCAGGATACCTCCTCTCCCCCTCGGCCGTCAACTGCACCGTGTATTCGACTCCACAACTCCCCCGCAGCACGTACGGATCATCAGGCGACTCGTACCCTTCACAGATAACCTCCGTCCGGTCCAGACGAACGGTTGTGGGAAGCGTTGCCGTGCAAGCCCATTCAATATCCTCCGAGGTGTAAGAATGTCCTTGATTGACACAGCGCATTGTCTTGAGATGGGGAACGACGATGTCGCAGAGGGATTGGGGCGAGACGCACTTTAGTTGGGGTATGGGCTTCGTGCGGCGGGCGGTGGTGAGTCTGTTGGCGTAGAGGGTAAGGGATTGGACCTGAGAAGGGTACAGTTAGTCTAAGGGCTCGGGGTTGGGTAAAGAAAGGGAGGTAACTACCTCAGAGAGGAGAATGGCATCTTTGGGACGGCCGCGAACTGCAAAGGCGCGGGAGGGGAAGGAGAGGGCTGTGAGAAGGGCGAGGAAGAGAGTTGGGAGCGAGGTGGGTGGTGAGGGTATTTTGGTGAGACGCATGTTTGGCTGGCTGCTCAGTTGAGGAGGGTTCAGGCACAGAAACCGTGCAATAGGCGTTGATGTTGTTCGACTCGAGGGCTCAGATCTGGATATCTCGGTCTTTTGATCGGAAAAAAAGAATTACGATTCAATTTGGAAGCACCTCAGATAGTTGGATACCTCTGCGCAAAGGGGGGCTTTGTTAGGAAAGACGCTACGCTTGGTATAGCAGGGTAGTCCAAAAAGAAAAAAAAATAATCAAATGATGTTATGGACAAGGGGAAAGGTAAGGTAGAGGACAGATGTCAACTTCTCCCAAACAGCATGGTTGCTCCCGGAGTTCTTTCAGGCGCGAGTGCCGAGCCCATGCTGCTGCAGTCGGGTGGCGTTGATGTTGAAGTTGGGTGTATGTGCGTAAGTGGGTGGGATGAGAACCTGCTGTGCTGTGATTGAAAGGATCCGCGGCCAAGGCAACAACATCATTGGTGGCGACGTTCTGCTTCAGCAACCTCCCGAGTCCCGACCTTGTTGACACGTCAGTTTGCAAAACAAGAGTGATCATGACATCTTTGAAACTGTAAAGTTGGTCAGTCAGGCAGCAATGCCTTGACTGCTTTCAAAGGAAAATTATTCGAATCCGGGTCCAATACCCAGATTTTCTTCTATGAAGGACTTGGCGATGCACCAATTTCCGTGGCCAACCCTTAACTTACACGAAGGCAGTGTTAGCAAGACTCGAACCCCATCGATTACTATACGCCCTTTTGCAAGCTCTAGTGCCTACGTTTTATGTACAAGGTATTAGTGATACATCTAACAATAGATTTTAATACTCCGTATGGCCTTTTACCGATGTCAGTAAACGCTCATGGTAATGGTATCAAACCAAAACAACCGCTCCCGGTATCCAATATTAGCCCAACACCGGTATCATGCTCTCTATCTCAAACGCCCCATCAAGTAAAGCAGCACACCGAAGCCCTGCTCGATGTACATCACCTCTTCTCCAAGCTCTGCAGATTCACCAGCTCAGCATACCGACCATTCTTCTTCATCAGCTCAGCATGTGTACCCTGCTCCACAATTCTGCCCTGATCAAACACATAAATCACATCAGCCTTCTGAATGGTGCTCAAACGATGCGCCACAGCAATGGTCGTCCGGCCCTTAGCAGCCTTGTCCAGCGCAGCCTGCACAACGTGTTCACTCTCCGAGTCGAGCGCACTGGTAGCCTCATCGAGGAGTAGGATCTTCGGGTCACGGATGAGCGCACGCGCGATAGCGATGCGTTGTTTCTGGCCACCTGAGAGTAGCGTGCCCTTGGAACCGACGATAGTGTCGAAGCCATCCGGAAGTGACATGATGAAGTCGTAGATGTTGGCCTCTTCGCAAGCAAACTTGATCTGCTCTTCCGTAACTTCGTTGGGCGAGCCGAGCAGAATATTCTCCCTGATGGTGCCTTGGTAGAGAGTCGGCTCCTGCGAGACAAGCGCAAGGAAGCTGCGGTACGAGTTGACATTCAAAGTACTGATCTCCTTGCCATCGATGTAAATGCCGCCAGCCAGAGGATCATAGAAGCGTTCGAGAAGGGCGATAGTCGTCGACTTTCCGCAGCCGGATGCGCCCACAAGAGCAACGTACTGGCCGGGCTGGATGGTCAGATTCAGGCCGCGAAGCACAGGCTGCTCAGGCCGAGTCGGGTACCGAAAGTGCACGTCGCGGAACTCGATATGGCCGGTAATCGATTCGAGTTTCTCGCCCTCATCAGACCAGGTGTCGATGGTCGGCTTGCGGTCAAAGAGCGCCTTCAGGTCACGAGAAGCCTCAACCGCCTTTCCCATGTCAGGGGCAAAACTGAACACAGTGCCAGCAGCCTGAGCACCGAAAATGACCGACATGAATACGACGAAGAATTGGAACATAGTGTACTCGCCCTTGGCGATCAGGGTACCGCCGTACCAGAACCCAAGAGCGAAGACAAGGAAGACGAGTGACTGCGACGCCGCGAACAGAAGGCTGGACTTGAGCACCGAGATGAGACTGGCCTTTTGCTGAACATCAAGCGAATGCTTGTACTGCCGAATGACATCCTCCTCGCGAGTCAACGCCGCCACGGTGCGGATGGCCGTGATGGCTTCGGACGCGAAGCTGGCAGAAGCAGTATAAGCACGCTTCGCGCGACGCTGATAGTGTGCCAGCATCCAGAAACGGAAGAAACCACTCGCGATGACGAGAGGCATGGTAGCGATGCAAACAAGCGCCAACTTCCAGCCGAGGGCAAGGGCCAGCGTGCAAGCGGCGACCAGCGTAGTGAATACCATGATCAGGGTGCCGAGGGTAGAGCCGCTGAGACCAGCAACGTGCGTCGTCTCGGTACTAAGGAAAGAAGTGAGAGCGCCAGCCGAGTGTTCCTCCACATCGAAGTACTCAACATCCTGCCGAAGCATGGCCCGGAAGGCTCTGTCGCGAACTCTGTGGATCAGCCGCTCACTGCACCTTGCGAAGACAACACCCTGGACGGCGAAGGCGATGAACATAACGATTGCTGTCATCAGGTACATGAGACACCAAAATGATGCATCTGACTTGATGTCCGGAATCGTCCTGGGGGTTACAGGGACCGAGCTAAATCCTGTCAGTCAACGGATCACGACACTGGCCTCCGCGTCTGGGAACTTACAGAGCACCGATAAGCTTAGAGAAATAGACCGACTGGACCGGGTTACCACCACCGCAGATGGCAGAGAAGAACAGGCCGACAAGCATGAGCTTCCATTCTTCCTTGTTGAAGCTGGCGATAGTCTTGATGAGAGTCCAGAGGCTATATTTGGTCTCCGGCTCAGCCTTACGCCGCTGCAAAACCAAAGAGCTCGCGCTCTGCGTCGACTGGCTTCTTTGCAGCTTCGTAGCGAAGTCGTCATCAGGGTCCTTAGGCACACTTATGCCTGCCTCAGACTTGCTGCGGCCCGAGAACTTGCGGACCAAGAAGGCTTCCTGTTCCTTCTCGATGGCTTCCTCTTCCTCAGCCGTCATCTCGTTGACCGCAGCGATAGCCTGAGCAGTGACAAGATTGTAGTACGCCCCGCGCTTCTCGAGAAGCTCGTTGTGAGTACCTTGTTCGATGATGCGACCTTGAGCCATGACCACGATATTGTGGGCGTCCTTGATGGTTGACAGACGATGGGCGATCACAATGGTCGTGCGACCCTCGGAAGCAGCCTCCAGGGCGGCCTGCACAACACCTTCAGACTTGGTATCCAGAGCACTGGTTGCCTCGTCCAGCAGCAGGATCTTGGGATCCGACACAATGGCCCGAGCAATCGCAATCCGCTGCTTCTGGCCACCACTGAGCAGGAAACCACGTTCGCCGACGTTGGTCTCGTACTTCTCGGGAAGGGACATGATGAAATCGTGAGCGTTAGCCTTCTTCGCAGCCTCGTAAATGCGTTCTCTCTGCTTCTCTGGGTCTTCGTCCTCCCACTTGGAGCCGATCAGACCGTGACGGATGTTCTCGTAGATGGTCGTGCTGAAAAGCGTGGGTTCCTGAGAGACCAGGGCAATCTGCTGACGCAACCAGCGCAGGTTCAGCGTTGAGATGTCCACACCATCCAGATAAACCGTACCCGCAACAGGAGAGTAGAAACGTTCAACCAAGCCGATAATGGTTGACTTGCCACTTCCTGAAGCGCCGACAAGGGCTGTGGTCTTGCCGGCAGGAATGTCGAGCGACACATCGTCCATAACGACAACCTCGGGACGCGAAGGATAGATGTGCTTGACGTGCTCAAGGCGGATGTCGCCCTTGAGATTCTCGAGCCTGATGCCTTCGTCGCTAGAGGGGTCAATCGGCGACTTGCGGTCGATGGTGCTGTAGATCTTGGCGGCCGCACCCAAAGCTGTGGTGAAGGCCTGAACGTTAGGAGCAACATTACCAAGATTGAAGGCACCAATCATGACGCTCATCATGACAGTCAACATCTTGCTGAGCGAGATGACCTGATCAACCAGGTAACGCGATCCCATCCAGAAACCAAGACCATAGTTGAGATAGACCAGGGTCATCATGCCGGCGACCATAATGCCGAGAGTTGCCTTGAGCTTGAAGCCATGTTTCTCGGCTTCGACGAGATGGGTGTCGTACTGCTTCGCCAAGCGGTCTTGAGTGCCGAAAGCGACTGCGTTACGGATGCTGCTGATGACCTCTTCGGCAACGGAGCCGCCCTGGGCATATGCGGCAATGTTCTGTCTCGAGAACTTGACAATAAACCGCGAGCCAGTACCCATGACCATGAGAAGGGCAAAAACAGTGCTCAGGAGGATCAATGTCAACTTCCAGTAGCTCACAAAGCCAATGACAAAGGCGGCAATGAAGGTGGCAACGGCCTGAAGAGTCAGACCAACCTTCTCGGAAATACCCTCCTGGATCAGGTTCGTGTCACCAGTAATCCGAGTCGTAACCTCGCCAGCGCCGAGCTTGTCGAAGAAGCCGATGTTCTGCTTCATGCAACTCTCGAGGTAGTGTTCGCGGATCTTGGCGCTGATATGCTCGCCAGTGTAGATGAAGCCGACGGTCGCAATGTAGGACGTGACGAACTCGCCAATTGCCAGGTAGACGAAGTACAGCACAAGACGGGCCAGCTCATCGGTAAATTTGTCGTAGTTCATATCGGTGCCGGGGGTGAAGTAGTCCTGGAAGGTGCCTTGAAGGTTACCGAAGACGACGGTCATCAGGGGCAGGGCGGCGCCCGAGGCGATGGCGCAGATGGCCGACACGACGATGATGATCAAGTCGTTGCGCGATGCATAGCGATAGAGCATGCCGGCGCCAGCCTTGATATCGGGAGTGATGACCTGATCCCTAAGGATTTGCGCTTCATGCTCGGGGAGATGAGCATACGGGTCCTCCTCCTCCTCTCCGTCATCTTTGTGCTCAGCGGCCTTTGACAGATCAAGAACCGCCTCTTTCCCACCACCATTAAGCTGATTGTTCTCTAGAGTGCCAGATCCCGAAAGATCAGCGGCGTTGCCGTGGCTAGAGCCGCGGCCTGATGGAGGAGAACTCCGGGTCGGCTCCTCGGCGGCTTTCCTGTTCAGAGGATCGCTCATGATGTGAAAGTCAAAGACAGATAGCCATCAACACTATCCCGAAAAGAAGAGGCAGGAGTGGATGAGAGGCAGAAGAGGTGTGGCGATGGTGACCTGCGATTGAAATATGCGTGCGTGCTCGGGGAAATGGCAATTTACGGATTTATCTGAGTGCAACAGATGGCACCCCAAAACGGACTGTTGAAGCTGGCCGTTGGCCGCCAGCCCAACAATGTTGTAGGCTCGACGTCCTGAGCCAATCGATCAGATGGAGCGTGTTCGACAAATGATAGCCCAATTGTGTCAATTCGGTAAGATAAGTCCCCTTAAACGAAGCGATTGCTGGAGATAACGTAACGGGGAGGTGGAACAGACAGGTTCTCAGGGACGGAAGGGAGAACGGGCCCCGTCCTTATGTTCAAGAATTGGCAGAGGATCCGTGGTATCGGGAATCCCGTCTGTGTGTTTTTGTCCTTGCGGGGGTTCGTTGAGGGGGGCCGAGCTTAAAAGCCAAAATGCCTACTCATCGAATTGAAATGAACATCTCGCCTGTTTGTAATTGGAAGGTTGGAACTTGAGCCAGACTTTGCCAGGCTCATAATCACACTTCGCGTTGCCGAATCCCCGCAGGCGGCGTTAATTCGCACGCGTCCCCGAACAGCCCCTCGCTTCTCTTCCTTAGACTACGTTTGGTACGGAGTACTTTCGTCAAGCCATCCCAAATTGGAAAAGCTTGCGTGCACATCTCGGACCTCAACATCAGACGGCCTTCGCATGTGTCCGATGTCGTCTTTCATCTGGCATCCGATCGCAGTGCTCTAGGGCTTCTGCTTGCCACCGGGCCGCGCCAACAGCAGAGCAGCCGTTTGCAGGCGGGAATTTACTTATCGAACGGAATGGGATGAAGGGGGGCCTTTCGCCCCGGCTTGTGCTCACTACAGGTTGGCGGTTGTTGGCTGCTTCCCGGGTCGCCCATGCCCCGCTGAATGCAACCCGTGCAGCTGCCCCGGGCAGACCCCACCTCTCAAAATTAAACTTTACGGGGCGCAGAAGCAACTGTGCCTGGGCCTTGGCCCGTCCAGGGAGGGCCTTTTGTTCCTTCTGGTCCTGGTGTGTGGGGAAGGGGGGAGCGCGCTCGCAGGTCTTGGATGCCGATGGCCGAACAGGATGCCAAAAGCTGACACAATGACTGGCAACCCGCCGTCCGCTGGGTTGCGTACAGAGCTGAGTAACGCTGCTGGCATAGGCTGTGTGCGTCTTCGGATGACTCAAAAGGCCGACGTCGTTATGCTTGATCCTTCTCTGACTCTGGAAATCTTGCCTTTTCTCTGGTTGGTCTCGATGATCCTCCACTGTCTCCGCATGACGCAGCCGCTAATCCTGAAGGGAACGACTCACGTTTGCAGCTGTGGTGTCAAGAATCACTTTCATCGCTCGCAAAAGAGGCCGGATGTCGGGCCACGGCAACTCCGAGCCCCGATGGCCCCAGCTGGTTTACCTAAGCTCAGACGATCTAGCCGAGGGGCGCCGGCGAATGAGATCCATGCGCTCAAGGTTTTTGGCGTGCTCCCGGAAACAAGATCGTCAATGGACTTTCGAATCTTGGCGCTTGGCGACGTGCTTCGCTGACGTTTCCAACAATGGTCGGGATGGACGGTGGCGGTCTCAAGATCCAACACCCCATGGTTGCATAATGCGGCTCTTCGATGACTTTCTGGAGAGCTTTGCCTTACCTCGGCCCATAAACAACAGGAGAATGCGATGCGTTTGTGTTTCCATGTCACCTTTAGGGCCCAGAGCCCCACGCTCCAGTTGCACAATGTCTCGGTTTGAGGTGAGCCATCATCTGATTCCAGACGGGCGCCATTGGCATTGACAGATACTGTACAGTCAGCGCTGCAAGAATAGTCATCCCCCATCACCAAGATTATAGGCGATTCCGGAAAGCGGCGCAGCTTACGGCACTCGGCTGATCTTACATGTCCAGCCTCTCGAGAGAAGTGAGCAACGGCGTTGTTAGGTAGAGCCAGTGTTCAGACAAGACCGGTGGTGATGGTCAGTGGGATGAGAGTAACCCTAACCCTGAATAGGGGCCATGATATGTTCTTGAACTTCTCATGTTCTCCCTCACAGGCTCCCTTGGGACTTTGTTTGTTGATGATATCAAATATATTCCAGAATCACCATGTATGTCGACACTCGATACGGTGAACTTCATTTAGTGTTTTGAGTTCTGGCCGTGTCTCGGTCCCAAAGGTACGGGTGTACAATGTACAAGCGGGTCCGTCTGCCAGATCCGTCGAGCGGGGAACTGGTGACACCGCCCAAAAATTGCAGTGGCAGAAAAAAAAAGCCAAAGGTCGCAAGAGACTTAAAACATCGACAACTCGAGAACTTATCGAAACGGTCTCTCTGCATCCTCCACATTTGCATATTCGGTATATCAAGGGCGCTTCTGTTCAGTAGTTTGTTTCATATCCAATTGACACGTATTCTCATTAAGAACGACAGTTAAGAGAGAAACAAGCTCAGAACCGCCACAATGCCCAAGTCCAAACGCGCCCGCGTCTACCACCTTATCCAGGTGAACAAGAAGGGTCGTGAGGCAAAGGAAAGGCTCTTTTCCAACATTCGTGAGACCATTCCCAAGTACCAGCACTGCTTCGTCTTCAGCGTCGATAACATGCGCAACAACTACCTCAAGGATGTGCGCCATGAGCTGAATGACTGCCGGTTCGTCCTTTCTACTATTCTAAGTCTCAAATCTTTCTTCAAATCTTTCTTGCTGACTTATTTCTCATTTCCAGCATCTTCTTCGGCAAGACAAAACTCATGGCCCGCGCGCTGGGCACGACCCCTGAGGAAGAACAGGCCGACGGTTTGCACCGCCTGACACGCTACCTGACCGGTACCGTCGGCCTGCTCTTCACGAACCGCGATCCGGCCGACATCGAGTCATACTTCTCCAACCTGTCGCAAGTTGACTTCGCACGCGCCGGCACCGTCGCCCCGCGCACCGTTACCGTCCCTACCGGCATCGTTTACTCGACCGGCGGCGACGGTCCCCCCCGAGCACGACGTGCCCGTGTCGCACACCCTCGAGCCGGAGCTGCGCCGGCTGGGTATGCCGGTGCGCATGATCAAGGGGAAGGTATGCCTGGGCGATGAGAAGGGCGAGGCGTCGGAGGGCTACACGATTTGCAAGGAGGGAGAGGTGCTGGACTCGCGACAGACGAGGCTGCTGAAGCTGTTTAGCATTTGCCTGAGCGAGTTCAAGGTGTCGCTCTTGGGTTACTGGAACTCGGCGAGCGGAGAGGTGACGGAGCTGGAGGCGGGGAAGACGCGGCCGAAGCGGGAAGGTAATCGCAGGCAAGCGATGAATGGGGATGAGATTGACGAGGATCAGTCTTCGGATGAGGATTCTGACTGAAGGGATGATATGTTGCGCTGGGAGGTCATTGTCGGTTCGTTTTATTTATCCATACAGGGAAAGCTTTTTGCATGATACCCATAGCTATTTGGGCTGGGTTGTCTTGTTTTTGTTAATGGGTTTAATTGGCGCCCAGGACAAGGATAGGAAAACCGTCACAGCACAGACAACGCATGGCATAGACATAACAGATGTCAACGGACAAGTATAAGTCACCCGTAATGCAGGACGGTGCTATCAACTGACTCGTATCTCGCGTATTTTCGTACTTTTTTTTTGGGCAGATATAAACCTCATGCCGCTGAGTTAAAGCTCCGTTCATGAATCTACACAGGACACCATCTATGAACATAAACCCGGGTCACACAGCCGCCTAGTCGTTAGGTTTCATCCTACTTTGCATTCATATCGGCTTCGAGGCCAGTGGCATAGTTAGGAAACAAACAGGATCATGTCATGACATGTCCCTTACCTCTCTCTGACCTTACCTTACCCGATTGATCGGTCTTTCTCATTTATTATTAGGTAAAGGACAAATCTAAGTAAGCTCCCTGCTTTTATCCCATCAGGTAATTTCCCCCTTTCTCCCTCAAAGTCTGCCTGTACCTTTACAAACACTCACATAGACGAGGAAACGAGCGGAAAATAAATACAGAGAGAAAACAAAAAAAAGAAAAAAAAAGTAAAGGTCAGTTACCTTCCCCGCTTCGCTCTTGCTGTCGCTTTCGCTGGAGGTAGCGGCGTCCAAAAACTGGCTTTAACGTAATGGAGATCCCATCCGACAACGGTAAGCTGTCTTCATCTTCATGAGGGTCTTCAACCAGATTGACCCTAGAGTAACTGTAGTAGAATTGGCTGCCAAAGGGTATTATGCTCTGTTAGAGCAGTGATTGTCCTGACCAGGGACTGACCCGAGTGACTTCGGGGTAATTCAATAAATATGTTCCATTCGGAACAATCCGTAGTCCTGACCAAGGACTGGTGGTAACATGGCAGAATTTGACATCAGATCCTTGGTGGCTTGCAAAGGCATTACCTTGTTTGGCCAACTTGCTGTTTCGGAGACCTTCGGTGGGTAAGATAATCGAAAAGGATGGTGATGTGAATGAACTTCTGGAATGAGCCTCCTGGAAATTGGAAGACCGGATGCTTGCCTCGGAAGATAGCAGGATGCATGGTTGTTGACGACAAGCCAATGTCCTTTCTTACCCTCATTTGCCGAAGACGTACCAGAAAAACGGAGGACGATTGAGAGGGAGGTAAGACAGGAGGAGTAGTAGTCAAGAAAGCTGATGATACCCACCACAAGACGCCGCTGTCGGTCCGTCGTGTAGTCTCGTCGCTGTCGGGATCGATGTCGGTTCAGTAGCGCCGCAGCTTGCGAGGGTCCTCGTAGCTACCCTCATAGCTGCGCTTCCGGGAGTAGTCGTCTTCTCTGGGACGATCGTAGTCGCGGTGACCACTGCTGCTACCGTAATACCCACCACTGTCGCCACCGCTGGCACTGCCACGAGGACGAAGGGGCTCGGCGTTGCTGCCCGTCTGACGAGGAGCGCGGTCGCCACGATAGCTGCTGCCACCGTATCTGTCATCATAGCGTGAGCCATCACGGCCATCACGGCCGTCGCGCCGGTCGCGGCTGTCACGACTGCCATAGCCGTCCCTAGGGCCGCTGGGTGCGCCAGGAGGACCGCCGTTGGGGCTGCCATAGCCACGGTCGCGATCGCGATCACGACCGCTGTAACTGCTACCACCACCTGAACCACCACGGAAGCCACGGTCACCGCCGCCACTACCGCCTCTGAAGCCACGATCGCGGGCTCTGAAACCGCCGCCGTAGCCGCCACGGAAGCCGCCGCCAAAGCCTCCAGGACCCATAGGACGAGATGCAGCTTGCTTGGTGTATCCCCGACCGCCTAGGCCACCACCAAGACGGCGAGGCTTCCAGCCCTTAACAGTACGGCCTCTCTCAACATCAACCTTGATGAGACGGCCCTTGATGCGGATGCCATCACAGCCCTCCAGAGCAGCTAATTGCGCATGCGCCAGATGCGCATTTGTCAGTAACGCCTTACCATAAATGGAATTGTAAACTACCTGGTTGGTATCGGGGAAGTGGGAGAATGAGGGAAAGGAAGGGAAAAATTATCAATGGACTGGCAAGCTTGAGGGCCATAGTTGTCCTTGATGAGGGATCGTTTCGCAAGACAAATGATTCAGGAGTCAAAGTGGCAGCATTACCTCTCATGTCTTTCTCGCGTTCGAATACTACGAAGGCGTAGCCGCGGTGAGGCTTGATTTTTTTGTTGGGCTTCTCATGGGCATGGGTGTCGCGGATGAGACGGATCTGTCAGGGTCAGCAACTGAGCGCAACAGCAGCAACGGGAAAATTGAATGGAACAGTTGACTTACGCGCTCGATAGGGCCGAACCGGCCGAACTCGCGTTCCAGATCCTTTTCATCAGCCTCATAGCTCAGACGCGCGACGATCAGCGTCTTGAACGCATCGCCACGAATGTTGGGGTCCGCATGCGGGTTGTCTGACAAGCAGTTAGCAAGCTATTGTAAAAGAGAAAGTATGGAGGTTCAATATCATCACGCACAATTCTTCGGGCCCTCCTCAAGTAGCTTCTTAAGTGCTTCAGCCTTCTCGCGCTTTTTGCGATCGCGGCGCTCGAGCCAGCTTTCAGTCGGGTGATATTCGTATTCGCGTTCATACTCAGCAATTTTCGGGAGATACTGAGCCAAACCACCGATGGGTGCTGTTTTACGCTGCTCAGGCGGGAGATCGATGGGCGGCACCCAGCGCAAAGGCGGGCGAGGCGCGAAGAGCGCGAGGAGATTAGGCGGGAGTCGGTCCGTCATCGCAGGACTCGAGTAGCTTCAACACCTCGAAAATTGCGTTTTGTTGCTTCGATATATTGCAAGCAGTGCGCGCTGTGGGATGCTATTAAGCAATGTCGCGCGTTGCTAGAAGCCGTAATCGTTGTGCAATGATGAAAGTAGTGAATGAGTCGCTTGTTGCGATGGCTTGGAGGTCGAAAACAGGAAGCTCGCGTGTGGGACCCAGAGATGGCAGGATGCAAGGCGTCCGCTATTGTTCTTTCTCACACTTGGTCTGTGCACTGGTTCAAGCAGCCAATCAGGCACATGCTGCCCCACTTATTTTTCTGCCGGGTTTGAATGGGGCCAGGGACTCGGCGCAGGCCATTTTCAATCGCTCAACATCACGATAACCAGGTCATGCTTTCGGGGCGACGGCAGTCAAGATGGTAGTACGGGCATTGCAGCAGGTTTCCGTCGGCCGGGTACGACTTTCTCTTATTTGACAGGACAGTACTTAAGCGGAGAGAGGGTGCTAACCATAGTGGCAGAACGGCGTCGGTGCCTTCATTCTGCAGTGCAAGCGGATGGACTTCCACTACTGCGACTGGGCCGGTAGTTCCAGGGGAATGAAGTATGTCGTCCTTGTCCTTACCTCGGTCTCACAAAGAAAAGAAAGAGGGAAAAAGCTAACATGAGTTTACCTTACCAGCGGCTTCATCAAGTCCCTGCTCCCCAAGTTTGCCGCCGAGCACCCTCAAATCGAGATCACTGTCTCACCCCGGCCGTCGAGGCATCCTGTCATTATTGCCCACTACATCAACGGCAAGGAGAGGTCAATCTGCGTGCGGAATATGGAGCCCTATCAGATCCTCAAGAAGGTTGAGCTGCTCCGTGACGCTAGCGGCGAGAAGAACAAGCGTGTTACCAAGCCGGTGCAGAGCATCAACGAATCTGTCCGTGGTGTCTGGTCTCCTTACCACGGTACTGGCATGAAGGTGTAAATAGGGGCCCGGTGTCGTTGGTGTTTGGTGTGTGGACTCGGTTTAGTTATGTATTGTATGTATGATTTGACGGCTCATTATCTGATCTGGCTTCATTCCTCTGTACAAATAGATGACGGGATAATCGCATATATCACGACTACAGGGAAGCACAGCAGTACAAAATGCAAGCGCATATGGGTCAATGGCCGGACGGCCGAGCGAAGTTCAATTTACTTTTCCTTCTACCGGGGTATTTCATCACATCTTCGCCAATGCATTCCCGTTCTCAGTCGATTTGCTTGACCTAAACAACGGAAATGAGCCTACCGCCAGCATTTCTTTCTATTTCTCTCCCTCTCCCCGATGGGCAAGCGCTCACTGGTTGGAGTTGATGATGTCGACAACTAGACCCAGGTTAGTTTTGATCATGCTACAATACCACCAGGAACTTTAAAGGATACCCACACTCGGGCTTCAAGCTAGCGCCGCCAACCAGGAAGCCATCAATGTCCTGCTGCTTGGCCAGGTCCTTGCAGTTCTTGGCGTTGACACTGCCACCGTAGAGGATGCGGGTCTCGTCGGCGACGGTCTGGTTAACATTGGCAGCAAGCCACTTGCGGATGGCCTCGTGGACCTCCTGGGCTTGCTCGACGGTGGCGACCTTACCAGTGCCAATGGCCCAGATGGGCTCGTAGGCAATGACGACGCTCTTCCAGTCCTCAGGAGTCAGCTTAGCAGCAAGAGCAGCCAGTTGCTTCTCAATGACAGCGATGGTCTGGCCAGCTTCGCGCTCCTGCAGGGACTCGCCGCAGCACCAGATGACGCTGATGCCGTTGTCAATGGCATACTTGGACTTGGAGGCGACGAACTCGTCCGACTCGCCCAGCAGCGTGCGCCGCTCGGAGTGGCCCAGGATGGTCCAGTGGACGCCGCTGTCCTTGAGCTGCGACACGCTAATCTCGCCGGTAAATGCCCCGTTAGGTTTGTCGTAGACATTCTGCGCCGACACGGCAACGCCCTCCTTAGTGAGGCTGTCGACGGCCAGCTGGAGATAGAGGGCGGGAGGAGCAATCACAACCTCTGCATGTCAACAAAGGACACCCGAGTTGTCAGCTAGCTGGGTCAAGGCAGCGGTAGAGTGGGGACATTCTGTTGCCACTATATCCGGCTACATACCAACATTGGGGTCCAATTGGGCCTCGTTCAGGTTCTTCACGATGGCCTTGATGGACTCCTTGGTCCCATTCCTAGAAGACGGTTCCTCATGAGCTGACCGGCACTGTATAACAAGGAGCGACAGCGACGCGGGGTTTTGGGAGGCGGTGCGATCGCCGATGGCGGAATGGCGGGGTAACAGCGCGGGAGAGCCCGCAGCTCAAACATACATCTTAAAGTTGCCGCCGACAAAGAACTTGCGCGCCATGTTGGGCAATCTGTATCCGACAAAGCTGACGAATGTCTAAGGGTCAAGAATTGGAGAATTATTGGTCCCAGGAGCGTTTGGGGAGGAGTTAAGGCGATGGCGTTGCGAGTCTGGAGGTTTAAAGGTGGGATGGGATGGGGCTGCGGGACAAATTGGCTGACCAGCTGCAGCCATGCCAAGCAGTTTGTTCAAGGTCAAGTGGAACCACCATGGGGGGCTGTTTGACGGCGTGGAGGGCAAATCCGCCGTGTTCCCTTAAAGTGGCTTTCTGGCTGCGTAGCTGATGACATGCTTGTCATGAATCAGTTGAGGCCGCTGCACGAACAGAAGGAAACTCGATTATGCCTACCCCAAATCCGGTAATTTGGTTCCTCTTTTCATGTGGTATCATCCCACTCATTCGTCCATCTGCTGCGAGGAAAAGCCCCTCTACTTTCACAGGTCTATGAAGCATACCAAATACGAATCCCTTTTCGTTGGCCTTTCCACAGCTATACAAGGCTTACCGACACGGATCCCTAAGGTTCGGGACCAGCACATTCGTTCTCCCTGGCTGCTCCGGTTCAGCCCGGCCATTGATGCCCCACGAGGAGCCGGAGACGACCGATCCACACCTCCTCTCACTAAGCCATTCCAAGCTCTCTGCTACCCTCCATCCTTTTAACCTCTCCTTTCTTAACGCTTGTTGACAAAAAAACCTCCTCTGGGTTTAGCTACCCGGTCCCTCCGGAGCAGAGCCTGCTTCAAATTGAGAGATTGCTTCTTCGCCTTGGGCGCCAACCTTGGATCTCCACCATTCGACACAACCCGGTACGCCGTCGAGCCCACACGCTTGTCCTTTGGATTCTTGGGTTCGACCAGAAGCTTCGGATCAACATCAAGCTTTCTCCGTTTCTGCGTGATGGCAGAGGCAGGGGTGCTGTCTTCATCGTCAGATTCAAGAAGCTCAAGAGGAAGCAGTTTTGGAGCCTCTTTCTTCTGTTCGGAACGAATTGGTAAAGTCCTCTGCGGGCCAGCATCTTCTTCATCCGAGTCCTCCTCTGCAAGTTGGGCCGGCTTCTTATTGCGCTTCCTCTGCTCAGCCTGCTGCTTAAGAAACGCATCACGCTCCTGACGTTTCCTCTTCAGCGCCGCAGCTTGTCTGGAATGTGTTAGCAACAGAAGAAGAGAGGAAATGCACCCTAATACTCACTGTTCGGCAGCCTTCGCGGCAGCTCTTTCAGCTTTCAGCAGAGCGGCTTCAGCCTCACCCGTAGCAACCTCCTCAGGGGGAGCATCGTCATCGGACTCCTCGCTATCTTCCTCTTCATCCTGGGAATCCTGAACAATTTCCCTCTCAGATTTCTTTGAGCCATTCCCCAGACCATTGCGTGACGCAGCCTCCTCCTTAAGAGTGATGAACTGCTCACTCTCACTGTCGTCAAACGTGATATGCCGCCTGTCGGCCGAAGTCTTGGATGACTCCTCAGTTTTTTCTGCAGCAGCCTCGACCTTTCTTTGCTGTAATTCCGATGATGTTGGCAGCGGAATCTCGATGCAGACATGTTTGCGACTGAGAGATTTGTCATCGCTCTCAGTGGATTGTGATATAGGTTCTTGTTTGTCCTTTGGCTGCACAAATTTCTCCCCTTCTTGGTTGTTGGCGTCGTCATCTTTGTAAACAATCCCAGGTGCCTTGAAGAAAGGAGTTTCAAGGCGGTCCAGCGAAGGAGACCTAGATGTCCGCTCAGGTACCACAGCTTTCGTCGCCGAGACCTCTTGTTCTGAATCCGAAGATAGTTCGATGACCTCCATCTCCTTCTCAGATGATCTCCTTCCCATGGTAAAAAGCAGACCCGGTAACTCAGTCGTTCAGAGATCTGAGAGATATCCTGTGACAGATGGTTGGATGCGAGATAGGATATCCCCTTAAAAACGTGTCTTGTGATATCCGCTGGATAGAGTGAAGCGAATGGTTTTACGAAGAGATATTGAAAACATTGAACTTTTTTTTGCCTTGCTGGGCTGTTGGAGTAAGATGTGATTGGTCAAAATGCCAAGAAAGACTCTCGCTGCCGCACAACCGGCTCCACTACTTCGGGTACGTACCCCTGCCTTTCTGGAGTGTGTCCGCTCCCATCTCAACTCACTCCTGAATCTTGATGAGGTGACCACAGTCGGTGAGTTGAGCCGGAACTTGAGGCGTAGCAGATCAACAATTGGAATGCCTTGACTGACGTGTAAACTCAGGCACTATAAAGTCACGGGATAGTCAGCAGCTCAGACCTTTGTGACATGTGCACGGTCAGCTTACCTTGAAAGTTCCAATTGTTTTCAAGTATTGAGCTCATTCATCGTGTGAGCATTAAACATATCATGGAGAGCAATTGGCTTTTTACCGCTATGTCCTCAAAAATTCTAGTATCGCCAGCGAGAAGTGTTAAACAGCGCATCTGTCATGCAACCCGGCCCATGGCTCTGTCTCTTGCTTTCACTTTCTTGTCGAAACATCTTCAATTACAGCAGCAGCGCAATTATGCTAAGCGCCGACTAGTTCCTCTCCGGAGGGCCAAGCCTTCATATAGCATTCCCAATGCAGTTGGTAATGCAGCTTCCAACCCCTCAGGCAATCCAAACTTGTTGTTCGGCGAGTCGTGGATCCCTCCTCTCAGCTTTTGGGAGGAATATGCCTCTGCCCAACCGCTCCCTCCAGATTTAACTGCACAACTCCTCTACGATGCTGCAAAGCATTACTGCAACTTGGCGACAAACCTGAATTCAGCATGGAAAGGCGAACTGCAAAGAGGTAGTGTCACACAAGTAGAAACAATCTGTGGTACGTATATAGCTAAAACTTCTGCATAGTACACGATATCGACCCCTATACCCTCCATCATGCCGGTATTGCTCTGCTTCCCATGATGCAAATCAACGAGTCTGCCAAGCTAGGCTTCCATATGCTCCGGACTGCGTCAAGCATGGGCTATGCTCCGTCAACCATTTCCCTTATCCGCATGATCACTCAGCTTTCTCCCGAAGCTTACGCGAAGCAACGTCCACTCATCGGCCCCGTGGAAGCTCACCTTAAGCAGATCCTAATACGCAACCCTCTCGACTCGGATGCTCTCACCGTCCAGGGTCTGCTGTATCTTCGAGACGGCGACAAGACTCGGGCCCTAACCGTCTTCGACAGTGCTCTCAGTGTCTCAGGGATGGCTGGAGGAGAGCGAGTTGTCAGGGCGCCGCTATCTTCCAATGCTGATCCCAAGTCGGAGGACGATGTTGTCTATCGCGCCCCGCGCTTCACCTACGAGGGAGTCTGCCACATTAAACGTGGAACCATTCTCCTGTCACTGGGTCGCCGTGATGAAGCGCTCGCTGCCTTCAACATAGCCGCTCTCGAGCTGGGTCTGGCAGATGGTTACACAGAGGTTGCCAAGCTGCTGCCCAGAAGCGATCCACAGCGCAAGACATATCTGCTCAAGGCCGCTCAGGCAGATAACTGGGAGGCCGTCGAGTTATTGATGCGTGACGAACTCGAAGTTGCCGTGGACGAGAGCAGAGATGTTGGAGAAAGGATGGATGCCACGTCATGGGCCATGGAATGGGCTTCTATGCAGCCTTCAAAAGAGAAGAGTCGGCAGTTTCAAAAAGAGGTGATGGATTTGATCAAGGTTTCATTCGATAAGGCGTCCACATAGTTTGCAGCATACTCCGATTTTGAGTGTAGATTAGGCTGTTCGCTGACTTTGTAAGCTATTGCAACAAAAGTTGGTATAAAATCATGTTGAATAGGGTTGAGCAAGTTTGATTCTACGGTATTGGAGGAATATTCATACAGTCAGACACACAGAGCTTCCAAACTGCGACAGCCACCCATTCCAACAGACGATGGCCTCTCTCATGTCATGTGTAAGCATCTTTCTTGCGGTCTTGAGGGTATGGGATACTTGTGATAAAAAATCAAAAATACCCCGTTCACAAACCCTGTCTTTGTTCTTTCATATCTCTTCATCCCAACCCCTTCCCAAAAAAAAAAAACAACACCGAAAGACTGATTGAATCCAAAGAGTACAAAGTTTGAGGTCCACACCGACAATACGCAGTCGTCATCACTATCATCATCATAAAGTATGAGCTCAAGGTTCTTCGCATCGATTCAGTAGCTAACTTGCCCCTTTCATCGCTTAAGCCTTTTGCTGGCTCTTTCCTCACATCCACTACCCTCATCATCATCGTCATCGTCATCCTCTTCTCGCTTATTTGGTCCTTTACCACCACTTGCCGAGTCTCCTCCGCTTCCATTTTTCCCGTCCCTCTTCTCATTCCCCTTTTTGATGCTAATCAGACATCCCTGCTCCTTTAACCTTTTCGTCAGCGGTGTGCTGGCCTGCATCCCCGGGAAGTCCTTCGCATTAAACACCTGGAACGGTTCGCTCATGACTGTTGCCACGATTGCCGACCGATGCCCAACATGCATCCTTGTCGGGTCTATCATCACGAGCGCAAACTTCAACCGGAAAGTCCCTGGCGTTCGGCAGCTCAGGTCAGGAAAGCAAAAGAAGCATCCTTCCTCACCCTTATCATCCAGCCCAACGAAGGGGCTCGCCACAAGCGTGCCCATCAGCCTTCGCTGCTGCCGAAAATCCTCCGGCATGCTGCTCATGTCGCGCGTACCGGTTTCGTCCCAGATGCTGCAGTGTACGACGGAGAATTGATGACGGAGCCAGCGCGAGCGTTCCTCGGGTGTGAGAGTCGCTGTTGTGGGGGTATCGGCCAGGACGAGCTGGACGATTGGAGGGGGGTCGATTACACGCCGATCGCGTTCGCCGAAACCACAGCTGCGAGCAGCAAGGGCTGTTGGCGGACGGTGATGCGGTATTCGGGCATCTGTTGAGCAGAGGCTGATGGGGTCGATCGGATATTGCTGCTAGTCGGATAAGGGTGAGGTTGATGTAGAGAGGCTGAAGATGGTGGTAACGGTGGGGGGTTTTGGTATAGACTGTTCGTCGCTGGCTTGCCATCAGTTTCGGTACTTAGGAGATTTGATATGCTCATTGACTTTGTTTCCTGTCTCGGAGAAGTGCTGGGTTGTGTGCTTGGGGGACTTCGAGGGAGCTGAGGGGGAGGAAGTCGGCCATTCGGAAAGCTCGGAGGAGAAGAATATGAGTGTATCGTGTTCGATCTCGAGACAGGCAGTGAGCGGATTGCTCTCTCATGTTGAAAGGACTCGGCCCTTGGCCTCGGAGATTGTGGATAGTGGTAAGCTCGTGGTGATGGCTGGGCATGATCATGGATGCTACTCATCTTTGAGAAGCGTGGATCCTGGGAAAGCTCATCTGGCGTCCTGGTACTTGGCCCTGATGTTGCGATTGGCGAATGACGGACATCTGCTGTCCGTCTGGCTACCGAATGAGCATCACTGTGTGCTGTCGGCAGCTGGGGCGGCATTTGCCCAACTGGTGATGGAGTTGCATAGTCTGCATAATGGCTTGGTCTTCCCCCTGAATACGAGCGTTCTCGACCGTTCGCCAAAACCAGAGAATGACTCAATGATACTGGAGATATGATAGTAGACACCGGCGGAAGCAGTGGCAATTGTCTCGTTTGGGGAGCTTGTTGGAAGCGTTCGGCATTGTAGTTCCCATGGTTGGGGGCATATGGATCGTGATAGCTATGATGGTGTGGTCGAGCCATACCGTCTAACAAGGTATGGCGACCAAAACTTTGAGGAGCAACGTCAACCGCTGCAGACATTTGAAGGAGCGTTCTGCAGGCAAGAGATAGAAACGAGTATGGTTTGGGGCCTGCCCTAAAGCAGGTCAGTCTCTGTTAACTTCCCACCAGATGAGACCAAGTCTGATCAACAAATATGGGACCAGCCTTACCGAATAGTGAGCCACTTATTGATGTTACCCGAGAGTTTCAGCAAAACCAAAATCCAACAGCCGGGTTCTGGGCTGTATGTGAATACGTGCCACCCGAGTGACGCAGAAGAAGCGCTGGTCGAGTCCGATACTCTCACTACACAACAGCACGTAGGCAAAGACTAGCCGGAAGAATAGTCGGATTCTAGGACAGGGAACAACGACTGTGAAACAGGCACTGCCGGGCACGTTGCCCTTACGAGGAGGGGGTCCGTTGTCTGACACGGACTGTCGAATGAACAGGTCAGGGCTGGGAGCAATGTCTCTCTGAAGCCACCCACGTACAACAGTCGGGAACACACGTGGTTGCTGGAGGAGCTGATCGTAGTCCCGCAGATTTTGTAGCACGTCTCGCAGGCTAGTTTGGATTATAAGAGCGTCGAAGGTGCACCGACACTGCCGCTGATGATGAAGGTCTTCCTGGTAGCCATGACATACTAAACATATCAAGGTATCGCCGGGAAGCTTCGGGCTGCCCGGGTTTTATCATCAGCTTTAGGAAGACAAGGTCCAGCTGTCGATGGAGGGCGCTTCTGCCGGAGGAGTCTGGGGTAAAGTGAGCAGCCGGGGAGTTTGACTTCCGGGAAGATGATGTTGGGGTTACACTCGGTCGGGAGATGCTGTAGTAATATGGCAAAGCCGGGCTAGCGGGCCACGACAAGGGACTGAAGAGGACAAGCTTAATATCGAAAGGCTGTTGCGTTGTATTGGCCTGCCATCTATTTAAACTAGATATCCAACGGTTTTGACATGAGCACTGATTATGGGCCCAGCGGTGCTGCACATAGCGCGGGAGGGGACAACGAAACAGAGGCTTATGGTGACGAGCACTGAGACGGCTCAGTAGGCGGCCAGCAGCCAAGATGTCGTTCCCTGTCCACACTACTTCCTCTATTATGACATTACCTGCAGCATCCTTCCCCCGCACTAGATGGACAGGCATCAAGACGGCACTGTGTTTGGAAGACGGCTTGGAAGCCATAGAAGCTCAGCATGACAGGGGGTAAGGACGGTCTTGGGCCCGGATCAGAGCCCGCGGTGAAGCATTGAACCGCGGCAGCCCCTGAGATGTAACCAGCCTACCATCGTAGCCGGGGAGGTACATGAGATCTGCAGAGCCAGTACCCCGGCGACCAAGAGAAGTATGGCGGCTGCAGCTCACTCCGACGGCACCCCCGCAAAGGCAAAGTAGCCCAAGACTTCGAGAACTGATAAACGACAGGGAAGCCATGTCAGTAATCAAACTGTCATCCTCGCGGAGCCATGGCGAGCGGAAGACGGAATAGTTCGCAATGTGTTCGGACAGCTAGGCTAAGTTGATGCCGTGACACATCTGTATCAAACACGCTACAAAATGTCTGTCTACCTGTGCCTGGCATTCGGCATGTAAGCAAGCCATGTTCATAATATCCTGCCAAACGTCCCTGATCCGGTGCGCCACAGGCATGCGGTCCGGTCTGCTGTCATGGAGCCCAGGCCTGGGGCTCTTAAGAAGGCCCGAAACAAGAGAGACAAACCCGACAAACCCGGACGTGTGTGGCGTATCGAGATGTCCAGAAGTGCAGCGTGCCACGCTTCCTGGGACTGTGGCGCACTTGTGTCAGTTCATCAAGGGCAGTGAGCACCCAGTCTCGCCGGGTGTGCGTACTGTGTGTACGTGTTTGTGTTCCCATGTGGACGCAGCGTAGCAAGGCAGCAGCCTTCCTGTGGGCGTTGAATGGCCGCTTGATGGGCACCGGATGGGCACACAGGCAGAAATCGAGATGCCAGATGGACACGGATGGCACCGAGCATTCCATAGCTTAGGTGAAACCGAGCTGCTGGACCCGAGAGCATGAGGGAGCGGGCCGGGTTTGGAGTAGTCGAAACGCACTCCTCAGCATTTACTAATCAGTTGTCCGAACATCCTCAAACATAGCCGGCTTTTTTGCCAGACACAGGACGGCGGCAGGCAGACAGAGCCAAAAAGAGGCTGACTGGCTATAGCTGTTATGCCTTGCTTATCCAAGCCGGGCGAGCAGCAGAGCACAGATTGGCCCACCCATTTCCCATGGACATATAATCGCCACAGTAAAGTCTAGGAAGAGTTGAGTAAAGAGTCCTCGTGGGAAACAGTCGTTAATGCCAAGCCACGATCATGATCTTGTTGATTGAAGGGTGATTGATGAAAGCCACGTTCTGCGGAAGAACCCCTTCCATCAGCTAATTCCTGCCCGGTCAGGCAGGTCATGTCCAGTGTTTCAGCAGCCGAGATCTCTGGACATCTCTAGTCCTCTGGAAGGGTTGCAAATGGGTTGTGGACGGATGGCACCCAAGGTGTCGTCCGCGGCCCTATCATCTACATATGATCTATTCGTCTGTGGAAGCTTGCCGTGCAATTTTGATTTCCCACTCGTGATCGAAAATTCAACGGTACCACTCCCCAGAGCTAGCGCTAAGGATTACAAGAGGGTTAGGCACAGCCCCACTCTCACCAGGGTGGGCAGCATGCCGGCTTGGCGAACGATCGCTGGGCTGAGTGGTCCGTTGCCCTGTGGAGATGCTCAGTCAAGCGCGTGGGGAGTTATTGCCTGCCGTAGCCGTTCTGGCAGCGTGCCGTGTCCCCCTCCCAAAACTCTGGCCCTGAGCCCGAGTCCCCCGATCATGGACTCAACCCTTCCTCGGTCCGCCCTTGAAAATAGCCGTGCCGCCTTTCTCCGACCAGTGTGACAGATACCCTCTTATCACTCTAAAGTATCCAGGTTCTGAGATGGACACTGTACGGCTTTCGTGAGTCCCGGGACAGGAACTCGATCGCTTGAAGCTTTTTCGCTCTCTTCGTGCGCGAGTCTATGGTGCCAATATATCGAAGATTAGCAGCAGTGTTTGCGAGCAACTGACATACAGGCAATCGAGTTTGCAAGGAGTATCCAAGAAGGCCAAAAGTCCATGATCCTGGGTCATAAATCTCATTAGTTGTCGTTCATGGTCCCCTGAAAGAGACCAGTCCCTATGCATGTGGATGGATGTATCGGCGGTGATTTGCATTACAGGCCAGCCACACTGACGCCACTCCTTTAATACAACCCGATGGCTGACGCCTCTTAACTTTCATCGCATGGCACAAGTCCACAGCTCTCTCAAAAAGCTACACATTCGTCTTAAGTCTCACAACTTCAACTCTCAGGTTCTGAGTTAATTGGCCACTTCATGTGATAGGTAATCGGGATATCTGAAACACGGTGATTTGTCCACCCAAGCCTTTATTGCGTGCAAGTCCAATGGTTGCATGTTCTAAGCCTTCGGCATCTTCCGACTTTGAGAGATCGATCAGCCAATACCACTCACAACAGAGCGGCCGTGGAACAGTTAGCTTCCTGCCAGGAATCCGTAGCTCAAACCCAGTTCCTCCATAAAATTTGGTCTTCTTAAGACAGTGTGCGTGACAAACGTCCTCAACTTTCATTGTTATTACCTACGGCCGCCTAAAGCTCTCCTGATTCGTTGTATAACAGGGCATAGTTGCAGATATTGTAGAACTGTGCTGACATGCAGCTCGGCAACCTACCTGAGAATTTCGCTGACTCTTGCAGACACAACATGGTTGGAACGTACTGCGGCGGGAATGAATGACACAATGACATTACTGCGTCGCTACCTATGCTTCCGCATGTCAACTAGGGTCGTTGGCTTTCCCGCGGTACAGCATGGGGTTGCCAACATCCATGGTTGGAGGGATGCGACCCTGATTCCCGGTTTTGCTGTGCGCCCCATGTTGTCAATGCCGCTGAAAGGAGGGTTGATTTCCGCTTAAACTAATGGCTAATCACTGATCCACGGCTTTTCATAAAGGATTCGAGAGACGGACTTACGATAATATGGGATGAGCAAATTACAAGTAGAGGTTAAGTTGTGTATGTACAATTAGTCGAGCTCATCGCTACACATTTGTGGGCTCTGGGCTAAGCAAAAGCAGAACGGTGCTGGGACCAAACCACCCCGGGTACTGTAAACAATCCCAGCTTTGCCTTTTCGTTGTGCCATTGCATGCAACTTGGGCAAAAGTACATAGAATCAGTCAAGTCACGAGCGCGGTATGACGGCAGAAGAATTGAGGGATATCTAGGCTTCTCATTCCATTGGACTGAAATCCTACATTCCGCTGACTAAGGAGCCCAGAACTCTTTGTGAGCTTCTGCTTCATCGTCGACAGGTACGTACCTCTCCGGACGCTT